CAAAAAAACATATGAAATCTGGAATGCTTTCACGTTTGTTCAGTAGCCATTAGCTTCGTCTGGTTTGCTTTCTGTTCAGTTCCGTCCACTGATTGGATTTTTTCGCTGTATTTGTCACTGTGTTTGATAGAATGCAAAGTTTGACTTCCTCACTAGCTCACATGAATAACGTGGCATGATAATATTTGTGTGCAGGTTTTAACGTTATTCGCAGCAGCACTACTGGAGAAGCAGATTGTGTTTGTTTGTTCCAATTTGGTATGTAACATGTCAACTTCACTTGCTTCTGATCTTTAATTTTGATTTTGGAGTTATAATGAACATTTGGGTTCTAGCTTATCTAACATGTCATCTCTTTATAGTATATATATATCGTTGTCCATTATAACCATTTACACCTATGTATGGTTTATCAGTTTTCCTTGTAATATGTGTATACATGGATTTGAAAATTTCAATACTTTAAAACATGATAAGTTATTGGTTAATTGCTGGACTGAGTCCTAATCATAGTTTTCACAACTATTATTAGATTTTATTAATCAGCATAGCTACAGTACACTTTTGTAGTTTAATTTTAAAAGTGTTTTGTTATACAGGGAATTCTGTCGGCTTCAGTTTTGTCCATTATTCCTCTGATTCGTCCTTACCAATGGCAAAGCCTACTAATGCCGGTAGGGTTTCTTTCTCGATTTTGAGGGTTGTGCAACAGACGTTTCTTGTCTTCTTAAGGTTTGTTTGGGGGGGTCTAATTGTCATTTCTACTCCCCAGATTTTGCCAGATGACATGCTAGATTTCTTGGAAGCTCCTGTTCCTTACATAGTAAGTGTTCAGTTTTTCAGTCTCATCTTGTGCATTAATTTCCCTTTAAGATCACTTCTCCTGTTACTATGTGATTTTTCATTCTTGTAAGTCGGTGTCATTAACGATTTTAGATGTTTTATGCAGGTCGGTGTAAAGAACAAAACTATTGAAGTACAATCGAGGTTAACCAATGCTGTTGTGGTTGATATCAACAAGAACCAGGTTGCATATTTTTCCTGCCTTTCCTGGCTTTGCAAATTTTCTGGATTGTGTCCAGATAGATTTACCTAAATATGAAGTCTTGTTGTAGGTTAAGTCACTTGGAATACCTCAACTACCGAAACATAGAGAGTTGTTTTCATCCTTGAGTTCATATCATGCAAAGCTTGTGGGACTAAGCTTTTCGGCAAGGAGAAGACCAGTGTATGAGTGCACAGATGAGCAGGTGAAGTGCAGTCTTCCATTTAATCAAATTTTGATTGTTTTTTCTCTAATTATCTTTTTGCTCCGCTGCCTTGGTGGTTTTAATTCCTGCTTGGTTCATTTGCTGGTAAATGTCTACGTTGTCACAGGGTCCCTTGTTCTTCGTGAATGAGCTTAGGGTTAACCCTCATGGGATGTGTTTCTTTCCAGTAATATGTTAGTGGACAAAACCAAAACACACTTTCTTTATCCAAATTTTTGTACAATCTAATTTTTTTTTTTTATCTTCATGGCGGACTACTTGAATCATTGAACGCGAACATCCATTTCACTAAAAGTGTGTTCCATTCTCAATGTTGCTTGTTTCAAGTAAGAGTATATATTCACAAAGTTATACCTGTAGTAGGTAATGTCAAACCCCACTCATCTTTCACTATTAAACCAACTCTCTAACATCTCATTAGTTACTTTTTTCATTTATAAAAAGATATCTCATATTCCATCAAAATTCTGATCTCATAAAACCATATTGAACACCTTCTTTCTTCACTTCTACTAAAACTAAGATGCTTAGTTCTTAGAACTTTTGAAAAAACTGAAACAAACACTCCCAAAATTTCATTAATGGAAGAGAAATGTTGAGGACAACCCTCCCTCAACTCTATAAAGCTTTCTCTTCTGGCCTCCACTTTCAGGAACTAATGTTCAAGTTAACATTTCATTTGAATTATGGGATAATTTCTCTTACATGTGAGGTGTTTTTAATGTAAGCAGCCTAAAAGAAGGGACAGAGTAGTATTTAAATTGACTAATACCTAAGTTGTTCAATGAATCCTTCTGTACTCTTTCCAACAAGCTTTTCCATTCCCTTCCATGATAAGTAGAAATTGCATGCATCAGTCGTGCCTAGCTTTTGTGTCCTCACACCCACACATGACTTTGTAAAATATTCGTGTAGCTTATATTCTGTGCATTTACAGGTTGAAGCTGCCAAGGGCTTCCTGCGAGTACTCAGATCTTACTTGGACACTCTTTGTTCCAACCTGCGCTCGCACACCATTACAAATGTTCAATCAAACAATGATAAGGTGCACCTTTCTATACATAATATGTCGCTGGGTTGCTCTGCTCATTTTTCCGGCTGTTATGACACTGTTGGTGTGATTTTATGTGTTCATTTGGTGCCAAATGGTACCCTAGGTTTTTGTTGGAAAGAAAATGTTACCTCTGTTGCTATTTAGACTTTACTACCCTCACGTGGTAAGTGGTAACGAAGCAGGGGTCAAATGTCATGGAACTACAGTAAAAACTGTTGTCCAAGTATCCGAACATTAGGGTTAGGGTAATATTCAGTTATTTCAAGTCTAAATGCTTGTAGGAGGGGCCTTTAGTATACCAATTGCAGCATCCTGTCTACATACTTGGAGTGCCGATGCCTTGCACATCTTTATGATTGACTTTGTTTGGAATCCGTCGCAGCGCGGTCACAGCCAAACCCCCATGAATGAAGTGGCTAATGGCAAGAGGGGTAAAATGATTCGTTACTTGACATGTTTGTTTTCCTTTTTTTTTTTTTTTTGCTTCCAGGTTTCCTTGCTCTTAAAGGAGAGTTTTATAGACTCCTATCCGAACCGTGATCGGCCATTTATGAAGGTTCGTACTCAAAATCTGCCTACAGATTTGATTTCCGAGCCTCTTTTCCAAATGTAGAATACCCAAACTTTCTCAATGTGCTAACAATGTTAGTTTGTCTATGTCGCAGCATTTTGTGGACACACAGCTCTTCTCTGTACATACGGATCTCGCTCTCTCTTTCTTTCAGAAGGATTAGTGTTGGTAAGGTTTTGTGTAACGTGAGTATAACTTATGTAGCTTGAAACCTAGTCGAAGGTTATGTGTCATGTCTCTCCAGATTGGTGGCCCATTTGTAGGGAAATCCCACCAAGTTGGTATCATCCAACTGGGAGGGACAGCCAGGGGAGGTTGAAATTTGGTAGGATAGGGGCAAAGCTTAAATGTGAGGGTTTGGTTTTGATAGGATTGTAGGAGGAAAGCTAAAGAAGGGATATCTACAATGGTATTGTATGTTGTTTTTTTTGTGTGGTGAATGCATCCCAGCTCCCAACTTCACAACGATTCTGTCTAAGCGCAACTGGTGTTTAGGAGAACCCTTGGTCGAGCTGCCTGAACTCGCTGTATCAGGTTGTTAATACTGTGGCTTAAACTTTTTCTACCTGCAATGATTCTGTTTGCCTTTTGGGTACTGGGAATTGAATGCTATGGCGGAAGTTGGATGGTTAGGTGCAGTCTCTGTGCAAGAGCAGTTTTAAGATCTCTGTACTTTTGGGTGGGAATCTAAATGAATTAGCGTTTCTGGAGCAGAAACTGGCAAAGTGTTACGACCCTGAGTTATCAATATCTGCTGCCACAATAACTATTTAGAAGAAGACGACAATGTCTGATTTCTACGGGTTTACCCACAAACAAACAATTGCAGCAAAATGGCTTTTCGTTTTCTCTGGTTTACTGCTTCTGTGAACTGTGACAAGATGCTAGTTCCAGGGAGATAACACTATGAAAGATATTAGTTTGGGTAGTTGCCGGGATGCCGTGTACAGAACAGAAAGAGGGTAAATGGTAGGGGTGAACAAAATGAACTGAAATTTCAACGGTGGTGGTGCTAGGGATGACAATTTCAACTCATATTGTCTGATATTATCCTATCTAATTCCATTGCGTGAATATTATTGGACACTAGACTCGTAGTAGTGTGGGGTGAGATGAGTATTATTTCATTTATCTCACTCTGCCTCGTTCGTGATTCATTTTATATCGATTTGTCTCTATCTTTTTACATTGTATCCTACTTTGATTTTTAAAAATTATTTTCAATAAAACTTTGAATAAGAGCATAATTTAATCTTTCAATTAATTGGATTCGATTATTTTTTTAATATCTCTTTTTTTATTGTTGAAGTATTTTTTTTTCTTTGATTTATCATTAATTTTTTTATTATTTTCATTTATTTTCTTCAACTAATATGTGAATGAGTCAACTTGCCTTGACCAGTTGCTATGCAAATATTACCCTATCAATTAATATTTGGCATGCGCTCGATGCGGAACTAGTATGAGTATTGAGATACTTGTCATGCCCACAATTGCCCTCACTAGGTGTTTTCACCGTGAATTTGTGTGTGAGTTATTAAACAATGTAAAGCGGACTCCATGGGTGGCCATCCCGTGCCACGACCCAGCCCTCCTCTGGATTCTGGAGCTAGTATAACTCTTATGAGTTTATCGATTTTAGCCATTTGGCCCAATGTTATTTTATAATAAGATTGTGTGTAATTAGGAAAATGGGTCAGATGGATATATTCAAATCACAACTCTAAATTTACCCTAGAAATTCTAGCTCCAATGATTCTCGTCTAAAGAAAAACAAACAATGAAACCAAAAATAGGCATAGGCACACAATACAAAATGATTAGTCGGTTAATTTGTCTAATGTTGACATTGGTTGTTTCAACAACTACTATGGAGAGAAGCCTTTCAATAATGAAAAGGTGAAAAATGATTTGTGCAACCAAATGAGTGATGAATTTCTCACAGATTGGTTAACTATTTTATTTGAAAGAGAGTAATATGTTATTTGTATGAATGTATACTCCATTATTGATGATTCTTTATACTAAAAGATCGACGTGCACAATTGATATTGTAAAAAAAATATATATATATATGCGGCCGAGTGCTCTACTAAGTCATGGATCCGTCGCTTCTCGTTGTGATGGATTGTCTTGGAACAACTCCTACGAGGCGGCATATGGTGTTGTTATATTCAATTGCCATGGTTAAATTTGTATCGGGGAACCTAAATGTGTGCTTTGTACCACTATATATGATGAACGAGCTTAATTTAACCAATTAATTAACTGTTATACTTTGCGGGAAAACAAGCCTAATGCTAGGAGAGCTGGAGAGGGAGTGAGCAAAGAGAAATAAGGTCAAAATAAGGTAGCAAGTGAATAAGGTAAAGGAACAGCAAAAAAGAAGAGTTCAGTGGGCAGCAGCAGTAAAAGCTCTGCACCGTACAATCTTCAGAGAGAAAGAAAGGGAGAGGGAGAGTGTCAGGTGGTGCAGGTGCAGGTGTGCAGATGTAGAGAGAGAGAGAGAGAGCAGTGAGCAGAGGGCCAGGCATTGCATTGGCTTCAGACACCCACACCCACCAACTTTTCCTCTCTTCCCCTTTCTCTTTTCACAGTGTCTTTATTTAATGCACTCTTCTTTGGTTTTATGGGTTTCCGCAGAGTTGTCAGAGACAAAGCGCTGCCAAAAACAGGCAGCTTGCTCCTGCCACCCAACGCAGCAGCTGCTTGCCTGCAGCAGGCCAGGCAGTCATAATATGACTACAGTCCCCACCTCCTCTCTTACTGCTGCAGAGTGCAGAGTTTGAAAGAAAGATTGAAATTTTTATATGCCAGACTCTCCCTCTGCTCTGCACTGCACCATTATATCTTGTCAGGCAGGCAGCTGCACCACCTCCACCATTATCAATCAGCAGCAGCATTAGTTTCTAATCGTTCTTTCTTTTCCCTCTGCAAGTATGCTTTCTTTCTTCCTTTTTCCCCTTTTACCTTCCCTCTCTTCAATCACACAAAAGATTCTGCATAACTCAAACGGTCGCTGAAATAAATATACCTACTCTACCTCCTCTTCGCTATTTCCCTTCTCCTTCTCCTACTTCTTCTTCTATCAACCTTTTTAAGTTCTTCATATAATAAAGTGGGGAATCTCAAATCAAACACCAAAACCCACTTCCCTTTTCTCCTTTCAGTAGTTCAGTCCCCCCCGCTTCTCTTCTTCTTATTATCTGGTATTCTTGCTCTCCTGCTGCGCGTGACGTGATGAGTGGAAGAAGCAGCAGGTTCCCCTTCACTGCAAATCAATGGCAAGAGCTAGAGCATCAAGCATTAATATTCAAATACATGGTATCAGGAATCCCCATCCCACCTGATCTCCTCTTCACCATCAAAAGAAGCTCTTCTTCCTCTCCTTGCAGCAGCTTCGACTCCGCAGTTCTCTCCTCCAAGCTCTTCCCTTCTCAATCTCCCCACGGTACCCTCTTATCCATTCTTCTTCTTCTTTTTTTTTTTTTTTTTTTTTTGCATCCTTTAAGAAAAAAGGAACCATTTTTATGCATAATAAAAATATGTTCAACACACTGCGCAGTGGGATGGAGCTGCTTCCAGTTGGGTTTGGGGAGGAAAATAGACCCGGAGCCAGGGAGATGCAGAAGAACCGACGGCAAGAAATGGAGGTGTTCGAAAGAGGCATACCCAGATTCCAAGTACTGCGAGAGACACATGCACAGAGGTAAAAACCGTTCAAGAAAGCCTGTGGAAGTTGCTGCTACTAATGCTACTACTACGACCCTATCAATGACCAACAACAAGAACTCAACATCGTCATCATCATCTCCAACACTCGCCAACCATTCCTCCCCTTATGCTCACACCTCCCTTTCTTTGCTCTCTTCTTCTTCGGCTGCTGATGACCACCATGATCATCGTCTTCACCAATCCCATTACCAAAATCCTCCTTCTACTTACAACCACCATCACCTACTTTCTTCCTCTCACCCATCCGTCGCTGCTCGACACCGCCCTCCCGACTCCACCAGCTTGCTTCTCGACTCTGCTGGGTACTGCTCCCTCACCACCGCGGATTTCAGGTTCGTTCAGGCATTAAATCAAACACCTTTTGTGCAGTTTTCCCTCCCTCCTCTGTTTTCTTTCCTCTGATTCTCTTTCTTAACTAGGAGCCGGAGCATTTACGGGCTGAAAGAAGACGTCGATCACGAGCGCGCATTCTTCTCGGAGACATCTGGGTCGATGATGAGAAGCGCCTCCGACGACCCATGGCGACTGAGTCCACTGGGTATCAACTCGTCGTCGTCGTCATCATCTTCCTCATCGTCTTCGAAACAGAGGAGCTCGTCTGGGCTACAGAGCGATTACTCGTACCTCCAGCTTCAGAGCAACCTGCAGAGCGAGGAGAGTTATTCCACCAAGCAAAGTAACCATGGGGACGGCAAGGGTCAAACCATGCTCAGGTTCGACAGAGGAGGAGGAGAAGAGCCCCAAAAGACAACGGTTCATCGATTCTTCGATGAATGGCCGCCGCCCAAGAACAAGGATCAGTCGCCGTCATGGCTCGATTTGGACAGCAGCACCCGGCTCTCCATCTCCGTCCCCAATTCATCGTCGCTCGACTTCCCAATCTTCAACTCCAGAACCCATCATCATCATTGATTAACGCTAATCCTCCATGGGTAAAAAATAATTACTGCAATTGAAACTCCGGTTTTTACAGTTTTTTTTTTCCCTTCTTGTTTTTGTGTTTGGAACTGATATAACTTTTCCTCTTGTCTTTTTCCCTTGCAGATGGTTGGGAGTGTTCTTCTTTTTCTTTGAACTTTTTGCTTGTACTTGTGTTCCAGTTGGTGGTTGTGGACTTGTGGTGGAACAACCCTTTTGTATTTTATTTTGGTGGTTAGGTCTAATCTTCTCAACAATATTCAGTGTCGGGGTATAGCTACGCGTAGTCCAGAAGTGACTGCTACTCCGTAGCATATAGTCCGATGTTACAATGTATTAATGTGTGTATGTATATCTTAAGAGTGGTAAGACGATTGGCCTATAACTTCCTCGCGCGCAAGACCGTAAACTAGATCACGAATACAAAATTCTAAATCCTGGATTCGGTCTCTGGGCGTGTGTATTTGTGCCTGTATGTATCAATCAGAATCAATGTAATTGGAATTTGCCTAACAATTTATGTGATGTGGGGATTAGAAGAGGATCCTATGTATCTCTGTCTTGCACTTAGTGTTGTTGTCATGTTTCAGTTGAGAGCACATTCAAAAGAATTGAAATGGGTAGATAGATTGAATGACAGACAGACCAAATCTGTACTAATGTTTTTGTTTGTTTGTTTGTTTATCGCGACTTACAAGAAAGATAGTGAGAGATGTGTGGTAAAAAGAGATGTATGAAGAAGTGAATGGTGGTAATGATGGACTGAACTGTGTGCAAATTTGTCTTTTAAGCAGTGTACATTAAACCGTACCGACGGTTCAACCACGAAATACCAGTATTGGAGGCTAAACCGATATGCGGTATTTACTGGTATAACGGTTGAACTACGATTAAACCACAGTTTTACCATAAAATATGCTAACACTGACTTTCCCGGTACGGTTTCATGGACCATGCTTTTAAGTTGAGTCACATTGGGGGTTTGTTTGGCTGTTTAGCTTTAGCTTGCAAATTTCTGTTCTTTTGTGTGTCTGCAGCAGCAACTTCCCCTGCTACTGATACAATGCTGCCATGGGATCTTATTATTGTTGCAGTGTTACTATTAGCCCTACTACATGGGCTGCCTGTACTCATTGGCTTCATCTTTGTTTGCTGACAACAATCCAGACAAGTAAAATATTTGTTGTTATTCCCAAAATTCCATTGCAAAAGATGAGTCCACTTGAAGGGACTGGATTCCTTCAAACTAAGGTTGTCAAACCGGTTTATGTCAGTGTGCCGGTTTAGCAAGTGGAATGGTTCAACCGGTGGTACATACCGGTTTGTGTCGGTTCATGCCGGTTAATATTATAAATAATTTACAAATTCTCATATTTAAACACAACATTTAACGTCAATACCTAAATATTTGTACTTGAATCCAACAAATAACATCAACATTTAACTTTTTAACACATAAAATAAATAATAAATTACTTTTTATCAATTAAATTCACTAAGATAAGAGCATTTTATTTGGAGATTCGTATATCGATCATGCCGGTCATACCGGTGGTGTCATGCCGGTTTTATGACAGGTACAGGTTAAACCAGATTGAACCAGTGGCACGCCGGCCGGCGTGACAACCATGATTCAAACCCATTCAATTCTTTTGTGATATATAAATATAAGTATATGGATTGGATCTGTTGTGTAAAACTGTACATAATATGTTCTTTAGAGAGAAAAACAAGCATTCACTAGAGAAATGGAATTTAACATTTTTTAGTGTTATCGCTGCAAAAAAGGAAGAAAAATCCAACTTCTCTAACTTACAAGATATAAGGTTGTTTTTCACTTTCAGGAGATGTATGAAATCTCTCAATAAACCAATGTAGTCGAATTATAGGTTTCATGTAGAGAAAGAAGGCACCGTAAAAGTACAAGCGTAAGCTTTCATAATTTACAGAAAAAATAGATGTAAAAATAGAAGAATAAGCTTCTAGGTTTTGAAGCTAAGCTTTTAACCAGAATCGAACTATCTCGTCAAACATCTTTATCCTCATGGGTCGGATGGTGTGGGTTTCGTAATTTTAATTATCCAACCAATGCACTTCGATTTTGAAAATGCTAAATCTTAACTCACCTAACGATTTGTTCATGATCGACTTAGGTTGTGTGGACTATATTTTTAAGTAAAAACTAACACTAAAAAAAATACAACTATTCTGCACCATAAAAAAATAAAATAAAAAACAATTAAAATTTGAAGCAAATAAACCATTGTGAAAAGTGTAAAATGTAGAGAATTTGTTGCTTGGACTTTGATGAAGTGCAATTTGCTTTGACATATGTTTAATATTTTTCATATCTACCAAACAAGCTAAAGATCTTAATTATTATAATTTATAAGTGAATACATCAATAATACGTTACTCTTATGAAATTGTACACAAGAAAAAAAAAGACAATATGATATAGTCTGTATTAGATATGCGTCAAAATTTCCAGTAGAAGAATGTACTAGCTCAGCGAGACAACAAGAAAAATATCATAACTTCCTTAGAAATATGCTTGTATACGACGCAACAAAGTTTTAGATACAAATTCTTAATTAGAACAATAGTTGTAACATGGATTGAGTCGAGTATCTACAGGTTGTGTAACCTAAAACCCGCATCCAGGCCCAAAAAAGCCTATTTCCACAAAACAAAGCCCCTAACCCGACCTTAAACCTTAGTTTCTACAGTAAATACGGGTGGGTTGGATCGAATTGCACGGGTGAATTCGATTATGGTTCTTTTTTTGTTCACCCCTTAAACAAAATCACAAGTCTTGTAGCTAGATTTTATGGTAATACCATAAATCAGTCTTTGAAATGTCACTAGGCCTAACACCCACCATGTTCTTTATTGGAGCCACATGTGATCCTGTGGTTAACAAATTGAGGCACGAACGGGCAGAATCTTATATGTAAATGTGGTGAGGATAGTAGAGTCAGGTTGATGATATAAATTGGTGCTCTGTCAAATTAGATCCCACACGCGCACGCTTCCTTCCGTCCTTCCTTCCCTTGTGTGTTACTGTTACATGGTACGCATATTGGTGCCCGCCATCAACACTGCGTACTTTGTTTTCAGGTCTTTCTTTTATTGTGGCCCAGTTAGCTAGGTTTCTATTTTTTTTTTTTTTGGTTAAATACACTTGTATATCCAAAACTTTCACCCAATAATATCCAAATTTCCCGAAATACCACTTATATCCAATTACTTCACATTCTTTAACGGTGTGTTTGGATATACAAGTGTATTTAACCAAAAATATATTGGAAAATGGATAGATTTGGCAAAGAACAACTTTAAAACATGGATATAAATGGTATTTCGGGAAATTTGGATATTATTGGCACAACCGTGAAAGTTTTGGATATACAAGTGTATTAAACCTTTATTTTTACCCCTACCTAGTACTACTAACACAAGTAAATGTGTTGAGTAAAAGATATTAAAAGGGTTTTTTACCCACTTAGACTGACTCCAACCCTAGAGCTAAAAAGTCATTTACCCATTTTTAACTCTTTTTTGGTGCTCCAAGTCTCCAACCCAACCCACATTATTTTGGGAGCTAAAAATGGCTATTGGTGAACTGGGAGCCAAATTTAGCTCTCAAAAGAGTGGAAAAGCCAAATTTGGCTAGAGAAAATGGTGGACCCGCGGCGGGTCCGCCTTTATTTTTTATTTGTTTCTGTGGAATTTTCTCATTGGTTGATTGTGTTGTTTTCCTTTTTTCTTTTTTGTGTGGTATTTTGTCATTGGTTGATTGTGTATGTTGTTTGTTTAATTGTTTGAAAGAAGATATGAATTGTTGTATGTTTAATTGATATTTTCTCATTGGTCCCGAAGTTAACGGTAACAAAATAATGACTAATTTTTGAAATATTTTTTGTCTCGGAATTTAAAAAAAAATTACATCGTTTTTTTTCAAAAGTAATAACTAACTATAGAATAATTAAAGTGAAATATGAAAATTAGAGGTCAAATAAGTATGGTTTATTGTAATAAATTGAAAAAAGGGAGATGGGAAGCGAAATTTAGTTTTGTGTAGGGTTGGAGTGAAAATGGGATTTGGGGAGCTAAAAAGCCATATTTGGCTATTTGGGGAGCCAAATTTAACTTTACGGGTTGAAGTTAGTCTTATAGCTTGAAACATTGAAGTCAGTATTACGGTAAATATCTAATACGGCTTCATTCGGTTGGATTGGATGGTACCATTGTTACAAAAAACAAATTGTGTCGAGGATTTGGTCAGTAGAACTATTAAGTCAATTATAATAGTGGTTCGATTCATTTGATTGCACGATTTAGAGATGGAACAAACGGTTTTTATCAATTTGACATGAAGCTAGATGAACCATCCTAATTTTAACTGGTCCATTGGTTTACTATTTTGGCCAATACCCAAATGTTGGTCTTTTCTTCCATACTATCCTCTACAGCTATTTTCGTCCTTGGAATCTTATTTCTTACTTACTTACACAGCAAACTTATAGGGCTAGAATGTAGCAAAAAAAACTAGTTAAATGACTAAAAGGTTCCTCTAACATTATTCGGGGGGAGTATTGAGAGGAACGAAAGAGGAAGTGGATGGAAGTGGCTTTGTCCGCAAAGTGCAAACTCCACCACCTGCTCTTCTTCTTCTTTGTTCTGAACACGTTTCAGACTTGACTGTGTGGAGGAGGAAAAAGCTGCCCTTTCTTTACTTTTTCCCCCCCTTCCTAGCCTGAAACTACACTGCATTGCCCAGCACTGAATCATCAACATTACATTCATCAGGACTGCAGCAGCAGCAGAGTCAGACTCGCAGAAGCAGAGATGACAGAGAGAACACAGACAGAAGAGGTAAATCCAATAGATCTATTATCATGACCCATGACATGGATCTGAATGAATGCCCCTTCCTGAAACTCTCTGAATGAATGAATGAATATGAATAATAATAATGATCAGACTACTGTTGCTGCTGCTGTCAGAGAGTCATGAGACAGACTGACTTGGTCATTCATCTCTCTCTCTCACTTACTTTCTCTCACCATCCATCCATAATCTCATGATTTCACTGCTAAAGAAATATCAGAAAGAAGAAAACAACAAAGAAGAAAGAAATACGGGTTCTGCACATCCAAACCGTCCATCTCCTGCCACACGGGCGCCTCTGTGAGATCCAGGGGGGGACACGGGCGGACGCCTCTCTAGATCCTTTCTTTAGGGGTGGGCAACGAAGAAACGCGTATTAGGGTATACTCATATCCGTTACATTTTTTTTTAATGATTACGAATATTCAAATATCCACTTTTTTTACCGAAAATACCCATTTTTTTAACGAGATAAAATTTGGGATCAATGCTTTCTACAACGAGTACCCACGAGTTATCTGTTTATACCCGTTTAGATAATATGAGTACCCGTAATACTCGTTTGCAAAAATTCCTACAATAGACATTACATAGCCCAACCCCAACCATTAACATTAGCCTGCGAGTATCATGAATCTACCATTTTTGTTATTACGAACGGATTAGTACGTTGCCAAACCACTCTTTTTTATTTTCGTTTGAAGATTATTGATGTCAACCATAACAATGTCGACCAAATGCAATTCAAGAACCATAACTTTGCAACCCCAAGTACGAAGTTAGTGTGTAGTTAGTTAAGGCCGTAATGAAACTGGCACAAAATTTCGTTCGTGCAATTTACCTAGTGTACAGAACCAACGTCATGGCCAGGGAGAGGAAGCTTGGACACCCGAGCCTTCGGATGCTGTACTTCGCTACTCTTTGTAAGCTGCACCTTCTCTACGCTGCTATCTCACTGAAGAGAAAGCACCATTAGGATTTAGGATTGTCTTCTTGGCCAGTACATTGACGTCTTGTTAACCAGCGGCAGGGACGCTCCTCCATCTTTCTTTCCTTCCCACTTAATAGTTTGCTCAATATTCAAGACCATAACAAATGTCATCACAATAATGGAACAGAAGGAAGACATCAGATAATAATATTAGAAACTGAATTGCTATATAGCCCTATTTTTTTTTATTTGTAGCCTTAGGAGAATGTAATTACTATTTTACCCTCACTTCCTTTTAAAATATTGAACTTGTTACAACTCCAACCAAACACTCCCTTCTCTCCCAAAATAATTAAATATTCTTAAAAATCTAAATCATTCATCAATCTATTATAAAAAATCTAAAATAATAACCAAAAAATCTAAATAAATATCTATTTAAAAAATCTAATATACTTCACAAATTTAAATTAACAGAAAATTAAAAATAAAATAAAAACCGGCGACGTCCCGGCAGGACGTTCGTCCGTCGCCGGCGACGTTCCGGCATGACTTCAGGCCATCAGAGGTGGTGGTCGCCGGCGGAGGTTGCGGTCGCCGGCGGGAGGTGGCTGTCGCCGGCGGAGGTGGCGGTCGCCGGCGGTGAGTATTGTAGGATTGTGTTTGGAGAAAGTGTTTGAATATTTTGGTCTTGGAATGTGTGAACTAAATGTATTTAAATGTGATGGGTATTATTTCACTTTTTATAATTTAGGGCTACAAATAAAGACAATTTAGGGCTACAAATAGTACGCCCCTATTAGAAAGCCGGCAAAGAAATTACAACAACAAAAAAGGCAGACAAGAAAGTGACCTTCTCCCCGATCTCCGATTGCATCTCGTTGGCGAACATTTTAATTGGACGGGTATGTATGGGTAGTTTGGGTACCTGTTATCCGTTCCGTAAAGGTTACAGGGTACCATTAACATTTATAGGTTTGGGACTGATACCCGTTTCGAACGGGACAGATATGCCATCCTGTCCCGTTGCCCACCCCTATCTTTCTTTTCTATTTCTTTCTTTCTACCCATAAACAAACTTGTAAAATACAAACACATATTTGACCCATATTATTAGGATAATTAGTCCAAACAGTGACAAAAAGGTATACGTATAGTATGCCCCTCTACTACTATTATTATTGACACAAAATGTCATTTCTTTATTATTTATTGGGTTATATGTATAATATGCCCCTCTACTATGACGTTTTATCAAACATGCCCCTCTGCTATTTTTTACATCAAACATGCCCCTGTACATTGACAAAATTATCAAACATGCCCTTCTGCTAAAATTTCTATTGCCAAATGGCATTTTGTGGAGAATATTAATATTTTAAGTTAAAATATGCTGATATGGAGGTGACGTGGCGAGTTAACCGTTAGTCAACGATCTTGATCGTCCAACATAACAGTCAACTCTCATATTTGGCCACTTAAGTAAAGTTTAGGATTAGTTTAATTAGAACACAATGTTCAGACCAGATAAATATATTATCGTTAATTTTTAATAAATATGTGTGGAGTTGGTCTAAGCTAGAAGGAGATTGAAAGAGCTGACGAGGTCAGATTTATCCCTCCTGATATGTGTCTGAATGTGTGCCTCTCCAAGTTTTTGTTTGTTCTTTCTGTACGTTACTACTTGGTGTGCGTTTGTTATCTTGTTTGTGCTTGGGTTAAATTATCTGTTTTGTTGATTCGGTTCTTAGTATCTTCCTCGCCCGGAAACAGATATGTAGCTAGAATGTAGTAGATGAAGTTAATCTGCTAGCTGCTGCTGTGAACTTGGATCTCTCACGGGCACGCTTACAGCGGCAAGTCTTCTAGGTACTGCAACTGCAGCGAATTTTATCTTCACACATCAGGCTTCGGTCGAGTTGGCCAAGGTGCTTCTACTCATGTGGCCAAAAGTTCGGAGGTAAGAAAAAGACACGTCATGGGAGTATGTGGTCAAGGGTGTTGGATGACCGAAGTGAGAACTAACCCAGTGATGGTCAGAGCAGCAGCCCTAGGGTGGTCAAAGTGACATGGAGTAATCAACTCTAGGGGTGGTCAAGGTGACCTAGGGTGATCGACCCTAGGGTGGTCGAGGTGACTTTGGGTGATAGATCCCGACAGGAGCGGACCCACCCTTTAGCAAGGTGTGTCACCCACACACCTTCACTTGGAATTTTTGTGAGGCCCACTTTTTTTCAATGAAAAGTTTTAAACACGAAAATTCCGACACACCTTATTACATTAAAAAAATTATATTGTTATAAAGTTACTAAAATATGTAAATATAGGAATTATCGGACTTTAGACTAGGTTGCTGAGTGTCGCAAGGAAATAAAATTCCCAACCCCTCGTAGCCATTTGTTCCACCCTCCAATTGTTGGCATCAGGTCGACGACATTCTCATTCTCGTTCAAACTTTCATGTTGACGCTTGCTCCAACCTTCGAGCCTCCCATTCCACCTTTCCCACCTTAAGGTAATTAATGTTGAGTTTACGTCTTGCAACTACAACCTATAAAATGACATTTTTTCATACATGAAGTATGAACTTAATCAAGAATGATCGGAATCGGTTTAGAGATGTAATGAAGAAATCTTGCAGAATGAAAATTCGTTGTGGTTCACTATAAGACAATAAAATTATGAATAATATTTTTTATGTTTATGTTTAATTGATTATTTTGTTTAATTAATTTTTATTTTAAACTTATTTTCATCGGCTGACACACCTATCCAAGAATCCTGGGTCCGCCACTAAACCCCGAGGTTACGCAGAGTGATCCTAGGATGGTCTAGGTGACCCGGTATGGGATTGACCCTAGTGTGATCGAGGTGGTCTAGGGTGATTGTTCCTAGGGTGGCAGGAATGAACCTGAGGTGGCGAAGGTGACAGGGGGTAGGGACCTCGAGGGTTGCCGGAGTGAATTCAAGGTGTCCAAGGTGACCCGAGGGTGGCCTAGCTAGGTGACCCGAGGTTATGGATTCAGAGGGTAGCCTAGGTGACCTGGGGTAACTGATCCTGAGGGTAGCCGGAGTCACCCCGAAGCGGTCGAGGACTCGAGGTGCGGTGACCAAGGTGACCCGGGGTTATGGACACTAAAGGTGTCAGAGTGACCTTATGATGGCCAAGGTGACTGGGTGATAGACCTCGAAGGTGGCCAAGGTGATTAGGGTGGTGGACCCTGAGAGTGGTTAAGGTGGCACGGGTTATGGACCCCGGGGGTGGCCTGAGTGACCCCAGGGTAGCCAAGGTGGCCTGAGTGACCCCAGGGTAGCCAAGGTGACCTGGGGTGATTGACTCCCAGCGGCGGATCCAGAACACAGAAGGGCACTGGGCCGCATTTTATTAGAAAATTAGAATAGTAAAAAAATATAATGATTATATTTTTTTTACAATGTAAATTGTACAAGACTGTATTTTAATTTAGCGAATGCATTAATAATGGAGTCCATCCATACCAATAGTATACACTGTTTCAAATAAAATACTTGAGCAATCGACTAGAAATCCATCGCTCATTTTGTTGCGCAAATCAATTTTCACATGTTTCATTGTTGAAAAGGTTCTATTCGTATTAGCTGTTGAAACGAGCAACATCAACACTAGACAAATCAATCTACTAATCTATTTGCATTGTATTTCCATCCCTATATCCACCAGCTGCTCTAGTAAATTTTCCAAGATAACAAACCTCATATATGTTTCAGTCTTTTACGTTTTAAACTTTTTGAATTTTTAGGTTTCATTGCTTTTTTAGACGAATAACCTTTGGGGTTAGAATTTATAAGCTAAATTTAGAGTAGTGATTTTGAATATGTTCATCTGAATTATTTTTCTAATTATACCCAATCTTATTTTAAAATAACAATTACCTGAATATCTAAAATCGAAAAATTCATAAGGCCTATACTAACTATGGATCCAGAGGAGGGCTAGGCGGGGGCCCGGGGTGGCCACCCCCTGGATCCGCCACTGTTGACTCCTATGGTGGCCGAAGTGACCTAGGGATGGCCAAGATGACCAGGAGGTGGTCGGAAAGTCGAAGTGACCCCAAGATGGCCAAGGTTACCTAGAGTGTTGGATCTCAGCGGTGGCTGGAGTGAACCTACTGATGGAGTAGACTGAGTGACCCCGGGAGTGAAGCTGTAACATCCTGAAATTTTTCCCGACGAAGATATTGTCCGCTTTGGGTCTTGACCCTCACGGTTTTCGACTTGGGGTGCAATTCAAGGTGACTTCCCATAAGGTCACACATCCTTGTTGTACTCCACACTGAGCACGTTTAACTCTCACAAGAACTCCTCCGTTTCACCCCAAAAAGCGTCTTGTCAGTTAAGGTCGATTTCCTACTAATGAACCATAGATCTCTCCCGTGCTTTGTCGATGTGGGATTCTCCTAAGGTGTTACAAACACCCCCCCCCCTCCTTGGGACTCAACGCCCTCGTTGAGGTTTTCCCCACCATCGTTCAAGAGAGACGCGGAGAGACTATGATACCACTTGTAACATCCCAAACTTTTTCCCGACGAAGATATTGTCCGCTTTGGGCCTCGACCCTCACGGTTTTCGACTTGGGTGCAATTCAAGGTGAATTCCCATAAGGTCACCCATCCTTGTTGTACTCCACACTGAGCACGTTTAACTTCGGAGTTCTCACAAGAACTCCTCTGTTTCACCCCAAAACGCGTCTTGTCAGTTAAGGTCAATTTCCTACTAATGAACCATAAATCTCTCTCGTTCTTTGTCGATGTGGGATTCGCCTAAGGTGTTACAGAAGCTATACGAAATAAGGAACCAGAAAACAAACCCAAAAAAATTATGACCAATATTGAAATTAACCTGAAAATAAATTGTGACCTATACTGAAATTAACCCGAAAATAAATTATTAATAACTCTAAAAAACGTCTCCGTTGCTAAATCTTTTTGTAGCCTTCTGCGACGACTGATCCGTCACAAAATTAACCTATTTGCAACGAAGTATTCGTCGCAGAATACCCGTATTTTCTGCAACGGCGCAAATGTCGTTGCAAAGTCGCAAAATCAAGATTTTGCGACGAAACTATCGTCGCTAATCATTCACTTTCAGTGCCGACCTAGATTTTTTTTTGCAATGAACCTATTTTCTTCGTCGCAAAACTTTCTGCGACGATGTATGGGCGACGAAGTGCTTTTCCTTTTGGCGACAGAAGAATTCGTTGCGCAAGGTTTCTACGACGAATTTGTCTGTCATAGAAAGCGAAGTTTCTTGTAGTGCTATCTTATTAATCCTTATGTAAATATATTTGTAAGGAAAATTTTAATAATATTACGACGTGGGTGTTTGGAGATTGACGAGTGATTATACTCGTGAACTCATAAATATCTATCCACTCATGACCGCGAGTACCCATTAGAATCAGCCTAGTTATTCTGCTAACTTGAAGATTCGTTAGTATATACTAACTAATATCCAAAATGTATGAATATCCAAGTCTGTTAAGTATCTAGATAGCATGACTATTATTCAAAACATCACAAACTAATATCCATATAATAGATACCAACCAATATCCACAATCAACCAACTAGTATTCAATATGGATACTCTTATGTGTTATCTGGATACTAATTATGTTCTGTTTGGATACTATTCTGTGTTGTCTAGATATTAGTTTGTGAATTTGGAATAATAGTTGAGTCATGGTGGATATCAGTTAGCAAACTTTGAATACTAGTATGTGCTCTCTAGATACTTTAGTACTTGAATATTAGTTTATGTATTTTGGATATCAATTAGTATCTGCTAACGAATCTTCAAGTTAGCAGATTAACTTTCCTCTCCATTAACATAGGTTGAGTTTTCTCTTCTAAAATTTATTAAATATTTTATCGGAACTTTGTGTGAGTACATCACCCACTAAATTTGGTATAGATTTAGACTAACCCGACCCAACCAGAACCATTTCGCCATCCCTCGTTAATGTTGAAGAGTAAAATAAGAAAATCAAGCGAATCATCCCTTATGTTCTTTCCTTTTTCTCCCTGTCATGAGACCAGGTCCTACTGCTATTAAACATAAAATGAAAAATGGGCCGAAATGGATTTATATGTTACTACGAAACAATTTGCAAAGAGAATAATAGTCTTAAATTAGCTGGTTCGGATTTTTTGTCACGAATTTTGCACTAAACAAGGAGACGGATCAGCCATGGACTCCCATAATCCCATATGTCATATTTTATACGAATCATGACAAATGCAGTATAGTCATTAACGATGGTTTCTTTGATGTTATCAATCGTCAATCCAACAGATCGGCCGGCAGGCCGCTGATCGACAAAACAAGGAAAGAAAACTAGCTAGCTAACTAGCCAAGGAACAGCAAACAACTCAACTATATAAATGTGGAGTCCGTGTTTCAATGGCGGATTCATCTTCTCCCTAGTCTCTCTTTTCTTCTCTTCTCATTGATTTGAATAGTTATATATTGGTCATCATCAGGTTGATCAGTAACTAGCTAGCACAAGAATGGAATCAGCAGCAGCATCCATGGCTGACGCTGGTACGAATCCTGCTGCATCTGGGAGAAGGGAAGGGGAAGTCAGGCGTCTTCACATCATTTACTTCCTCGCTCGTATGGGCTGCATCGAACATCCCCACCTCATTCGTGTTCATCATCTCAATAGAAACGGTGTTTTCCTGCGAGGTAACTGATTGATATCATAATCATCATTGGCTGATTAGAAATCGATTTAAGCACTTGATATACTATGTGTATCTTTCATAATAGAGTAACCATTTTCAATATAATACAATGAATGCATGGTACCTGATCAGATGTGAAGAGATGGATGGGGGAGTTGCGGGGCAAAGACATGCCGGATTCGTTTTCCTGGTCTTACAAGAGGTACTGCATACAAAATGATACAGGCCCCCTTTAGCAGCTTGCATTTCTCTTTGAAATCCTGATAAATCAACCAAGCAGCTATGAACAGATGACACTAATATGAAATATTTCATGATCAGGAGATATAAAAGTGGTTATGTCTGGCAAGATTTGATGGATGAGGATCTAATTACTCCTATATCCGACAATGAATACGTACTCAAAGGGTCAGAAATTTCTGTCGATCGTCATTTTGACGCTTGTAAGGACACCAGGATCCCCTCCTCCCCGTCCTCCTCGACATCATCATCTCCAAGGGATAGTGACTGCACCAGTGAGCAACAAGCACCTGATCAACATCATCCAACCACGAACAGAATGATCATCAATTCCCCCACTTCTCTTGCAACATATCCTAGCCTTTCTTCCGCGTATTCATTCGAGCACTACCCTCGAGACACCGTGCGTACAAGTGCACCCAGTTACAATGCCCAGTTAAGGACATCGTCATCACCTCATCCCTTGCAGTCCCCCTCGAGCTCAAGAAGGAAGAGGAGCCACAAACATTCCAATCCCATCGTTTCCAGAATTCTCCGTAAACTGACGACTTGCGAAGTCGTTGACACAGATGACACAGCTCTGGTCGTTCTGAACAAATCATCTTCTCGCACTCCGTCCAGTCGACAGAGCTCCACTTGGAAGAAACAGGTTGACATGCAATCCATATCATCTGCAACAAATCACAAAGTTGTGATGACTGAGACTGAATTGGAGCTAAAACTACACAGCCGTAAGCAACATGACAACAGTTCTGCTAGGTAAAGTACCTAAGCTTAATGCACATATGAATGATATTATCATGTTACACGTTTGACTCGGTGGTTATGAAGAGCATTTTAAATGCTCTTAATGTCATTTTATTGGTTCGGGCCAACAAAAATGGTGTGTTCGATGTGACTCCTTCCGACTGCTGCAGGGATGACTATGAGGGAATAAAAGGGTCAACAAAGGCGCAGCGACAACCAGCCAGATTTTGCAGGGATTCTGATGTTTCCGCAGCCTATAGGCCCGTTGGAGCCCCTACTTGCATGTAAGTATACATATATGTTAGCCATGCATATAGTACTGGAAATGTCAATGGCATTTCAACACGAATATGCATTTGTATATATGGACCCTAAGTAGAACCTTAATCACCATATCTAGTCACTTCTCAAACTATAACTAGTAACAATTATGCATGCAGGCAATGTGGGAAGTCATTCAGACCAGAGAAGCTGCACCTGCACATGATCAGATCTTGCAAGGGAACAAGACTTACGAAAAAATATGCTACGTCTCCTGTGAATCCTGACAATATAACTCGGAACTGTGAATCAATAGTGCTTGCTGCAACTTCTTTAGCCGAAGTTTTCTCCAATTAACTAGCATATACGGAAGTTCCATTCCACAGTTCCATGGCAGTAGTAGAAAGGTAGAGTCAGGTGAACATGTTATTGGGACAAACTACAATTTTTTTGAATTAACTACGTGATAACTGCCCAAGAGTTTACTATATAACTATGACGATTCTTTGGTACTCACTACGATTTGAAAGAACGTCCAGCTCACAGGCACTTCTACATACCAACCTGATTTCTTCTCATCTGATACTAGTTATGTCTCCAGAAACAAGCTCGTACTGGTAGCGGCACCTGAAACACGATGCAATCTGCAGGGTAAAAGCATTATTCCAATAATGTAATGTATAACTATGCATGAAGGTAACCATGAACAACTCCCAAGTCAAACTCAATAGCTAAGACCTTCTTCCAAAGGAAAATTTTAACCAAACTACCGAGACTGGTTCACACTAACCTAGACAAGCTACCAATTTTCGGCCGACGGATGGCTCACAAACTGAGCAAAAGGGTACTTGTAGGCTGGACCAAAACTGCCTTCCCCTAGTTTGTTTGCTGAAGAAAAGTCCCAGTTAATGAAGCTGTACAGACTTGGAAGTCACAAAGGAGGTTGCACAAGAATATTCTTGCATTTGGTTTCGTCAGAAGTAATATTGCCTTTTCAGATACTTTGGTTCATCAACAAGTACAGTCAAGTAGTCAACTATAGTTGGAAAAAAACTGAGCATAAGTTCATGGTACCCGGCCATTCCAACAAGCCTCCAATTCGCTAGCAGCAGGATGCCATAAAATGAACATAATGAGGTTACAAGAGAAGTCTCAAAACATTTCGAATGCATACCAGAGGCAACATATATGATCTTCTGTTCTTGTACAGATCAGCAGGGTAATAAATAACTAGGCTTCTTATGAGGGATTGAAGTTGATCACCATCTCCATTAACATACAAGATCACAGAGTATCCACTATGAATGATAATTTGAATGCAACTAATGTCTCATATTTCTCACTCCTAGGCAGACATTCAATGCTATAGGGAGATTACCGAATCTGCAAAAGTACTCACCATGGTTTGTTCTCCAGTCAAGTGAACAGTATGCCATATGCAAGAAGTACTCGAGGATGTAACTAATGTCTCATATTTCTCACTCCTAGGAAGACATACAATGCTATAGGCAGATTACCGAATCTGCAAAAGTACTCACCATGATTTGTTCTCAGTCGAGTGAACAGTATGCCATATGAAAGAAGTACTCGAGGATGCATGCAACTGTTTTGCTCTCCGACTAGGGCGAGTATTAATAATGAGCCCCTATCTGAATCCCACATCACAACATGAAGTACATTAAAAGTTTTAAAAAGATCACCAACAATAGTTGGGAAACTCTGGACTGTGAAGATGCAGAAAACATGAAAATTTTGTGCCAAAGGAAAAACTCCACTTAGAAGCAAAATGGCCAAGCTTGTTTGCATGACCAGTAGTGCAGTACATTGGATTTACAAACCCTCTAGAACATCTGCACGGAAAAATAAATTAAAATTCCAGGCCTTAAATTAAACCTCAACTAAATTGCAAAGTCAAAGCAGAACCAAACCTAGAAATTTACCAGGCAGCAACCGATCAAAAGAAGGAAGAACCAATGATCTGGAGCAAATAGCAGTTTCATGCACCTTCCTTTTGGGGATATCAGTGAGCATCACTGTAAAACTCCCAGTATTGTCTTTTCCGCTTGCCAGTCTTGGAATCGAGAGAAACAAGAGCAGGTCCTTGATTGTCAGAAAAACACGTTAACTGAAAATATATTGGACGAGGAACAACTTGTGATATAAGACCGAACAAAGGAAAAGAAGCAAAACAATTGACACATTACAGGCAACAAATGATGATTTAGAATCTGAAAAATAAGGTCAGCGACGAAACAAATCATAGTCAGGTGATCACCTGGAATGCTTGACATGCAAACTTCAAATTCAAATTACTATAGAACTTCATGGAACTCTCAAGCGAGCAGCACTACAGAATGATTGATCCTCATCATTACCGTTTACAGTTACCTTTGTAAAGCGTACCCCCAATATGTAAGCATCTAAACTTAATTCGATTCTTAACAGAAACCAACATATTAATACAAAAATGCAACAGCATTATCTCACAAATCAAAAACAAACTGTTCCCTGACCAACAAAATTACGATACCCAGCAGGTCAGGTGACAACATACATAGAAACTGAACCTCATAGAGAATACATCATCTCCCACCAGCATTCACTCCTATTTAGGCCCGATAGCGAATGACAACTTCGGCCTTGACTTGTTCTTACCCAACAACTTTATCTGTTTTGAACGTTCTTCCTCCTCTTGTTGTTTCTTTCTTCTCATTGCTTCCTCCTTCTGTCTTTGCAACTCTTCTAGTTCCCTATACCTTTCCTCTTCTCTCCTCATCTGCTCCAGGGCTTCCTTCCTTAGAGCTTCTTCCACTTTCCTCTCTTTCGCTTCAACTATCCTCTCCTGCATTTCCTTCTCTTTATGTGCTCTTTCCTAGGAGTGCACACATCAGCAGGACACAACCAAGCATGTTATACGACTTCCATACATACTATGATTAATCAAATAAAATCCACACCTATCTTTGATTAAGAATAATTCTTTCGCATGCTAGCTATTAGTTATGCACATGTAGTACTTCTTTGCTTGAATATATGAACGTAGATTATGCATAACAAACAACACTCTCAACTTTATTTATGTGTAATTAAGCGGCAACAAGAAATAATGGGAACCAGCCACTAGATTGGCAGACATCCTTTTTCGCAGCACCTCAAGGGTTCTGATCCCAATTCAACAGTTATGCGAGAAACACTTAAACTAATCACATGTCCTAATCATGCCACCTTCAGATCAGACAGTTTTAATAAGAGATGTGAGATATTACCAGGAATCATTTTCCTATTATCAAAGGGTAGATATTCATGTCTATCTTGCACATCCATCACAATGAGTACCTCAATTTGTCTCGTTTCGGTAGCAACAGCTTCCTTTTCTTTCTTAAGTTGAGCAGCTACTTCATCCATTAGTGCTTTCCGTCCTTCGTTTAAATGTCGTTGTAAATACTGCTTAATCTCCTCAGAGGCCAAGCTCTCCTCAACTTTCCTCTGGATAGCTTCTTCCAACCTCTTTGCTGTCTCTTCTACTACTAGCTTAACCTCTGCTTCATGTTGCTGCCTGAACATATAGAAACAAGTTAATCCAGCAAGTGGACACTCATTTAGAGCAAAGAGAGGAAACCTCCTTCAGTCCCATTTCTCATATCCCAACAAATGCTAGCCCAAAACAGTGATTGACACTGCAAGTGCAAGCTCACTTGTGCTATTCCACTCTTCCGATCTCTGTTTTTTCTACAAATCTACAATATAACAACTGTGAACTATAGCATACTAACCTTCAAGGTGATGACTTTTCTACAGATACGCTTATGCATCATGAAGAATTATAGCATACCTCTAACTGAAATCTGATCAAGCAATGAGTACTAAATTTTGGTGAACAATAGGTAAAGGAAGCTTCCAATTTCATCACCAAATATTACAAGTGCAAAATCTTCTTCAGAAATCCTGTGGAGAAAAAGTCAAGTAACTTGCTACAAAAGCAAGACTACTCCAAAAAATATTATATTACTTGCGATAAAATAGTACATCTATCATTGGAAAACAGAGGTCGTGAATATGTTAAAAACAATAAAGCAAAGAGAGACCCATATTCCCTTCTGTAAAACATTCATGGATTAACATAGAGTTCAATGTAGAGCCAACCGTAACACAAGAAAACTTTCAAATAGAGCCTATAATATCCATTAAACACTACCAAAGTCTCAGTTGGAGTCGATAATATCCAAATGATTGATTTCCGGTTTACTCAACGCAAATCAAAAAAATTAATTGGGTAGTTTAACACTGTATTTTTTATCCAATTGAATCCCCGTAAAGTTTACTTAAAGTAATGAATAATTGACTTCTAATGATTAAGGATCCATACCTACGATGATGAATTTAATTGTTATTGAGTTTTGTCAACCAAGAAAACTCGTGTTGGCTGAATTATATGAAGCCAGTAAACAAACCGCAAAACCGTGGGTATCTGAGCATGAATACCCGGAGGCATACCAAAATTATGTCAAAGCACATCCTTTTACTTGTCTTTCTAGTAAAAGAAATGTGTGATGTAAGTTATTTATGGGTTATTCTTCTATATATGGCTAACACATCCATGTTAATCTTCTTTCACAGATAAGGAAAGGAATCAATCATACAGCAGGTTGTCTTCCGGAAGAAAAAATCTCATAGTCCTCTTTCGGGACCGCTATGTTGTTGCAGTCTATTACAGTAACAATTTATGTCATTGAAGGCAATGATGAACTTCCCAAAATTACAAATGCAAGATAAAAATTTGAAAGAAACGTGACAAGTGCAGTCTAAGAAGCATTCAGGTCTAGCATATACCTTTTCCTCTCCTCATCTTCTTCTTTTCGATCCTTTTGACTGTTTATTTTCAGCTCCGTATGCCCAGGACTTGGAATAGAAGAATCACGAGTAGGAGACAAGGAGAAACTCCTGCTTCTATGCTTCTTAGGGCGCCTTGGAGTTGGTGAACGAAGTTTATGGCGTCTTTGTTTTGGAGAGCGAGACCTGCGGCGCCGTGGAGTAATAGAGCTGCTTCTCCTTCTGTACAGAACAAAGATAACATTGAGCGACAACAGGAACTAAAGCCAAAAACTAACATTGTTAACCAAACTCTTGTTACCCCACAGTCTAGCATATGGTAAAAAGCATATACAGTTACCTCTATACGGTTAAGAAATATCATACTGAGCTCCACTGTTTTTCACATGAAGAAGCTCATATCACAATCGAGCAACGAAAGGATACCCATCAGCCCCATCACCTGTTCAGTTCCCACGTTTGCAATGTCCTTTTCTTTTCTCTTTTTAATACTTCTATAACATTAAACCACAGTCCAAAGCAACTTTCATGCAATGACTGCTTAGCCCCAAACATGGATGACAAGAAATACTTAGAACTACATTATAATTGGGTAAGATCACATTCATAAAATTCCAATAGAACAAATGACACAGGAAAACTGCTTATAGCATTACTGAAATGACCACGGCACTTGAAAATCAGGAATAGGGCCAATGGAGAAAGGGAAAGCATCAAAAGAATCTGAAGAGGATGACCCCATGGAGAAATAGGAACATATCAGAAGCGAGTAGGAAAGAATCGCTTCTGCTTAGGAACTTGATCACATAGTGCTTCTGCAATGGTTGATATGTAAACTCCACTTAGCTACATATATTAAAATGTTTTGAGAGTAACTCAGCAGCAGCATATCCATCACTCTGCAGCAAATCAAATGACCACTCCTAACATGAAAAGACGACTCCATCCAACTTTTAATAGAGCAAATGCAGACAGGGAGCGGGGGAAACTACTTATATAAGGCCCTATATCAAAAGAATTCCTCAACCTGATAATTTGTTGTTGGAATGAATTCTCAAATTCCTGATCCGTGGACATACAACATGTCATTTGGGTAAATCGCTAATCCTAGTACTTGCAACTAAAACCTCACTGGAAAAACAGAGACCAAATATATTTTGGAAAAGAAGTAATTTGGTGTTGATAAATTAATAAAGGAAGAGATTTGTACAGATTAACCCACACGAATGTATTTCCAATCCACAAAATGAATATGCAGGTCCTGAATATTTCATTCAGTTCTTCGAACATTCAAAAAGTAAAGACTGCCAGAGCATAAACGGGGTCACCTGCTGTATGAAATGGATGAGTAAGGAGATTGGCTCTTCTCCCTTCGTTTCCTTCGGCCATACCTATCGCCTGCAGGTGATGGAGACTGCCTTCTCCTGTAGAAAGGAGACCGTGATCTTGATCGCGACAAGTCCCTCGGCATATCCTACCTCCCTAGCTGCATAAAATAACTTACTAAAATCTCTGGCCACAATATCACGTTTCACGCCTGGGTCTGTCAAAAAAAAAAAAAGGAAAGTTCACCTTGGAGGAATAAATTGATATACAACTGGCTCGAGATAAGCTGTACAGGTGAAACTACTACCGGAACGAAATTGTTTAAAGAATTTGACAGAATTAGGGAGATACAGGCACGCTTGTTCAATTGGTAAAGAAACGGTTAGCCTTGCGAGCAGTACAGTGAGAAAGCAAGACAGCTATAGCCCAGTCAATCTAAACTCATCTACAAGAATTCCTAGATAAAAGAACCAATAACACTCTCTTAGTCTTCTTCCTTACAGATGATAGATTTCTCAAAAACAAGCCACAAGATTCATGGCACAAGTCACGACAGAACAGGTTAATAATTTTATGTGCTTTTCATGTTATGCATGTATTGTGTATGTACATTCCATCCAAGGGAGAAAGATAGAGAGAAAAAAACCTCTGTTCTGTTTGTTATATAGCCAACATATTGTCTAAGATGTGGAACTTATATGGTTGGATGCTAATGAGCAGCTTTATATATATGATGATGATTGTTATGTGGTGGATGATGATGATGGATGTTGACCCATACATGGACCATGGCTGCTCTCTACACAGGGTTACAAATTACCATGCTATTATGATGTGAAATTCTCCTGCTACCCACTCCCACTTCCCATTAGTAAATCACTTTCAAACAGGGCAGCCTATTTTAGGAGGCAAATCTACTACTCCCTCCGTCCCTTTTGTTCTACTGTGTACATCCAAGTAGGTTAGGAAATGGAAATCAATAGTAATGATGATTCGTGAAGAGACTGTCAGTCCTTATTTGGTAGGAAGAGTGTGAATGAGCTGGCTCTTCAACCAGATTTTGGTTATGGCCTGTCTGATGTGAGGGTGGGGTCTGGAGGAAGATAGATTGACACACAAGAATCAACCTATCCTCTGCCTAATCAACCAGCAGCAGCATGTGACTCAAAAATTCCTATCTCGGATCTGGAGGAAGATAGATTGACACACTAGTATGATGATGATTTCTTGATTTCTTCTGTCATTTCATTTAAGAAGAGAATAAACAGCAAGTACTACAGTTACGAGGTGTACCACATTCATAGTTCTTAATCGAGCTTAAACCGGAGGCTTAAATAGCTTTATGAATTCTTCCAAGTCCCAGAAGTCCAAGCTTTAAGCCCTGTGCACATAAAATCAACTACGTATTAGTGAGAAAGAAATGACCCTTGCAGTTTTCATACATGGAAGGCAACCCAGCGACAACCCTCATCCAAAAAATCCCAAGTATTCCTTGTTAAGTTCCTTGAGCCAAAAAATGCTGATTCTAATAGATTCTACCTATCTAGCTACTTCAAATCCATATGGTCCCTGTGTATTAAACAACTACTTCAAATCCATATGTTACACATTGGATTTGGAACACATAAAAGAAAAGGAATACCATTATAGTCCCCGAGAATTAAACAACCACTTCACATCCAAATATTATACGCTGCAGTTCCATACTTCCCAACACAAGAATGCAATTCCAAGGAATTTTCAGATAAAGTGATGCGAAGAACAATGTCTCAATACAGCAATAATCAGCACACTGTAGACTCTTTGCTATACGTTTGCAATCTCCCTACCAAGTGATAAACCATAACTGAACAAAACTAAACCCATGGCACTCCGCCAAATATATCACAAATAGCTTCTTTTTTTTTTCTTCTTCTCATACGCACCAGTAGGAAGACATAGATAGTAAGAATCTTGCTTAATAGGGAAAAAAAAAACCTTCAAAAATGTAAATCAGGACAACAGGTTGATACTTTAACTCATGCATACTAGAGCAAAAAGAAAAGTGGTCTACTACCAGTATTTAACCAACATGAACAGAGAACCAGTGTATGATGTGTGACCCAAATACATCATTCCAAACTTACTGAAAACTATTACAGGCACATATGGAAGTATTAAGCTTTCATGGTTGTGAACTTGTAATATTCAAATGGAAGGCATAACATGATGTAAGACTTAGATTTGATACGACTGTTGAAGAAATAATAAATTTGAGGAAGAAAGATTCCACAGATTTGATGCAATACTCAGATTTTACAAAAGCAGCCACATAGTTAAACAGACAAATCCGCGACGGTTAGTTCGTGTGCATTAACAATGTAAATGTAAATATAACATGGAGGCATTCACGCTATAGTAGTTGATCTCCTCAACCGTCAACAAGCGAATCCATAAAATCAAAGCAGTGACGAAGAGTAGCCAGAGATTGGATTCAAACTGCCAGATCAAGATAAACAAAAGCACGGGATCGAACTGGAAGAGTCTTCGAAACTTCTGACTACAAAATCGAAGCTCAATCTGGGGGCAGAAACTGAGACTGAGGAGACATACCAAGATCTTCGACGAACAGCTTCGTCTCCAACGCCTCGTTGCCGACGAGGAAGGAAATCTGGCGGCGTCCTTAAGCTCGGAACCGGACGGCGGCCGCCGAGAGACGGTCGAGATTTTAGGGTGAAACTTGGATTTTCTTTTTTCAGTCGATAAGAAAATGGAGAACAGGTTTGCGCTGTTCGTGAATTTTTACAGGGGTCAGGCGCGGCCGCGCGGGTCATTTGTTTAGGGTTTTGACCCGACCCTTACATGGTATAATTTGACTTTACAAAGTTGTCTAACCGGTTTGGAAAAGTTTTTTAGGGGTGGTTTGGAAGTTACGATTGTTAAATAGATGTATTGTTGAGAATGCAGGTATAATATTATACATGTATTGTTGAATTTGATGCATTGTAGAATACAACGTTTGGTATGTGTGATTGTGTATGTCGCATCAGCTAACAAAACAATCTCAACTCAACTATCTCAACAATCACAACTAAAAGTTGAGATATAACAATCACTCAAAATGAGTGATAGTTTCTGTCACATCACAGAAACAATCCATGTATTGTTTTTGCTAAAAAAAATAAAAAAAATGATGCATTGTAAACAATATATACATAATGACAATCTCAACAAAACTACCGCAACTTCCAAACGACCCCTTATTATCTATAGAGATAAACAAAACATATAACTGGTGGGATTGCTTAGGCACAATCTAGCTTTAGCAAATAACATACAAAAGCTGGCTTCAGCTTGTCCCTTCTATTTACATCGTTTTTATGAGGAAGTTTACAATGCTATATAGCATTGGTGCTATAGGTTTTTGCTTTTATGGTACAACTTGAAATTGTACCTCGAACGTTATGGTACAATTTCAGATTGTACCTATACATTTTGTACAAATTCTTTTATGGTACAACTTAAACTTGTACCTTATGTGATGGTACAACTTCAAGTTGTAAAGTTGTACCATAACATAATGATACAAATTCCTTTATGGTACAACCTAAACTTATACATTTAATGTTATGGTACAACTTCAAGTTGTACATTAAAGCACCAATGCTATATAGCATAGTAGAAGTGCTCCGTTTTTATTAGTTTAATTTAATGGGCCTTCATAGCTCATGGTTCCCTACTGGAGCTCGGTGTCGGTGGTGACCGCTGTAAATTTTAACGTGAGTAGGAGACTCAGATCCTAGGTGAAGGCACGGAGAGCTTAAGGCGGTATGGTGTAACGGTGGAAACATATTCTTTTTTCGATTTTAGTGTTTTTATCACTCTATTCTTAGGAACTAATAGAATTGTCCATTTAGTGGCATAAATGGCTCTTTCATCGCCAGATCGATTAGTATCAACTGACGTTATTTTTACCTATAATAAACATATGTGTCTACTATTTCATCTGACCATGATATATAAAAAAATAACATACAAAAGCAAATGGCTGAAAAGATAAACACATGTTGGAGAGGGAATTTCAAGAGAATGACTGGTGTATGTGAAGCTCAGACCTTACATGTAGGTTTCTCTGGCTCAGAGGACAACTCAAAAGCTCTCACCTAATTACTATGGACCATTTTTTTTTATCACTTAGAAGATGGGACATGTTGCTTACAAATTGGAGCGGCCACCAGGAAGTAGTATTCATCCAGTGTTTCAAGTTTCTCTATTGAAGTTGGCACAGTTAACAGTGCAAGCAGCTTTGCCTAAGGTGGATGCTGATGGAACCTTGAAGATTGAGCCTTTGGTTGTCCCGGCACGAAGCATTGTTGCTCGAAACAGTGTTACAGCAGCACAGATTCTAGTACAATACTCACTAGAATGATGAGGACGCCGTAGGGGAATTCCTAGACAAGTTCAAGATCAAGTTTCCGGATTTCCAGACCTGACTTGACTCTTGAGATTTGATGACAAGTCTTTCTTTTAGTAGGAGTTGTAATGAATGGGACGAGAATTAACGGACCTCTGTGTGCAAGAATCCGAGGAAATAAGGGGCGGTTGACAAAAAATTTAGAGGGGAAGGAGGATTACTATAATACCCTTATTAAAAAAGTTGATATTTTGCTAACAATAAGAGGTGTTGGTGTTAGTGTTGTAGTATATGATCCATGATTGAACATTTCCCAACAACTCGAGTTATTGAGAGTAATTGGTTCTTGACATGATATCAGAGCCTTATGTGACCGAGAGGTCCTGTGTTCAATTCCCGGTGACCCCATTTGTTAAGCACATGATATTCTTGTTTTCAGACCTGTGCAAACTTCAATCGCTTGTGACTTCTCTCTTTTATTGAGAGCAACTGGTTACAGTTGGCACTCTATGACTTCTCTCCTCGTGGCTAATAAGTATCGTAATAAGTATGTAACGACTGTGCCTCAATGGTGCACCTGCGCTCCAATTGGCAGATCGTTATCGCTTTTAATTCCCCCATGCCCTAATACGTTTGCCCTTCTTCGTTGCTATTCTGTTGTTGTTTATTTTGTAATTAGGTGTTCTTGGAATAATAATTACTGAAGTGAGATATTTTGTCTGAGAAATGTGAAGAAATAACACAATAAAAGCAACAAACAGAAAAACAACCCCGTTCCCCTTGCACACGCAACTCTGAGGCCTACTACAACAGCCAGACTCCAAAAGCAAACGACGAGAAATAGCACATTGGCGGTCTGGCATCGCCACCGCCTTTTCGCTGCATAACCGAAAGCCGCAGATGATCCTTGCGTGCAGTTTTCTCCTCCATTTCACTCTGGCAAGGCATAATCAAATTTCCCAATAAACACACAAATGTGGCCTCAAATTAAGATGTTGCAACCATCCATCACGCCTCTACTGAATCCTTATCTTGCTCACTTCTGTTGATTTACAATGGCTAGACTAGTTGCACTTTCCCCTCTTCTGCTCACCTACCTGAACCTAGAAGAAAGTTGCCCCGCTTCTGATTGTTTTATAGCTAGAAATGCGATACCGATCCAACGGTATTTTTGGTCATTCACTGGTTGGGGCCTGGATTCACTATTAATCAATCTTCATCATCCAGGCCGGCATCAACATCATTGTCCTGGTGGTGGTGCTGCTGCGAGGCTGCTGCACCTTCGCCATCACTCACCTGCATCTCACCCGACTCGGGGCTTCCAGCTTGTTGTTGCTTCCCTTCCTCCTCCACTGGTTCGTCTTCCTCGGATTCTGACAATGCCCGTCTCCTCCTTGCAGCTATCGCAGCAGCAGCAGCCTGCGTTCCCCGGAGAGAAAATATACATATTAAAAAGATGTGTTGAAGGAGATATATATTCTTTGGGGAAGTAGTAGAAGGGGGGTGGGGGGAGTGTTTTCTGTTCCTTTCGTTCCCCCAGCTAGTTCTTTTACCTCTTCATCCTCTGCATCGGAGTCTTCAAGCCCAGCCGCAGCAAGAAGATCCTGAGGAGCTGGATCTTTTTCCTCCCTGTAGTAACTTCCATGGCCATCATCCCCTTCATGACCATCCATCTCAGCTTCTCCTTCTTCCATTTCCTCGTACTGTGAAAACTTCGAGCTTTTATCCTTCTTTCTCCTCTTCCCTCCACCTTTCTTCCTTCTCCTTCCACTATGACCACCAGCCTCGTCATCATCAATAATATCCAGTCTATCCTTCCGCTTAGATGCAGAACTAGTACTACTCTTCCATTGTTCCTGAAAAAGAGAAGGCACCTTATTATGACTACAAACAAATCACTAGGTTACAGAGCAGCAAATACACAATAACAAATCCTCCCTCAAATCCCCATAAAATTTTGTCTGGACACAAGAACATACTAATTAATATTGGGGCCTCTATCAGATCCATCCTGAATCCATATAAAGAAATAAGAATAGCTAGCCAAATAATCATGACTACCTTGACACGCTCAAAGTCCTCGTCTTGTTGCCTGGCCCGTTTGTTTTCATCCTCCTTTTTCCGCTTTTCCAACTGCTCAGCACAAGCAAAAGTGTGCATATTTAAGCTCTTGATGTGGTTCACTAATTGATAAACCAATAGTAAAGTTTCGCCCAGAACAATACCTGGAATTTCCTTTGTTCTTCAGCCTTGCGTCGGGCTTTTTCGGCCAATGACATCTGCCGTTCAGCTTCTTCTTTCTGTAGTTTTTGTTGCTCCTCTCGCTCAGCTACTTCAAGATGAACCTTGGCAGCCTCCAAAAGATGTTTGCAATAGTCGACATGGGTGTTTATTTTCTTCTCATCAAAGCCATGGATCTGGAGGTTGGCACCAGCAGAGAGCTGACTAAACACACGGACAGCATTTTCCAGCTCAACAATAGCCGACCGGACCTGTGGTAGTAATATCAGGAAGGATATATATATATATATAAGTACCTTCTTGAACGAATATAATAATATCAACCTGAAGCAAAGATGGTCCATTTTACATGAAAATCTGTTGCAATTAACGTGACGAGCGTAACAATGTTTGGCCAGGTTTTGGAAGCCACACACCTAGGTTTCTTACCATCTACTTAATGAATCCCAAAAATCAAGCAAGAGACCAGATTAATCATAATAGACAATGACCCTACAGTAATAGAAGACAAGAAAATAACCGACTTTTATTCATATCAGTTCCAAGACCGAGGGTGTTCCTACAAATCCCTTTTCATTTGATTTCTAGATAGTGAAACCACCCATAGATTCTCAGTACTTCTTGCGTGGTGATGAAAGTGAAACCCATTGAAGGTAGAATATTTAATATAAAAAATTCTTCTGGAAAAATAGCGAGAGTGATCTCTGGGACAAACTAAAAGGGATGACCAAAACCAACCTCATTTGCTTCCCTCTTTTCCTTCTGTAGTGTTGATGCTGAGAACTTCTGCATTGCAACACCCGCGTCAAACCTAAGTGTATAATTTGAAGGGGCTAAGTGGATGGCTCGCAGCAAAGTTTTCTTGCAGTCTTGCCACTCTTCAGCTTCATAATAAGTGCGTGCCAAATAGAGGAAAATTTGACAGTCCGTATTATGATAGTAGTTCCGTAAGCAATTCTGATACTGCATATAACGTGTCAGAGTGAGAAGGATTTGCAAAACTTATGCCAGGCATATACCTGAGAGACAAGGAAGATCAACTCACCATTTTTATAGCCAAGGCATTATTTCCTTGAGCAAAATACACATGTGCCAAGTTTATCCAGACATCTGGCATCTGCACAAAGCTGCTTCCACTTGCACCTTCCTGGACCTGTATACAATTACCAAAGAAGTCTGTTTAATTGGGAACGAACAATTGGTTGTCATGCAAAATTGAGAAATATGAGTTGTTTGACTGACCTGCGTGAAAAGATCTTTGGCTACGTCGAAGTTACCTTTTTCTGCCAAGACTATTCCAGCTCCATTGGCAGCATAGATGTTGGATTTATGCTGAAGCAGGACCTATGTTGAACACATCACAATGACGCCAAGAATTAAAAAGCTCAGAAGTGCAACCTAGATGAGGAATCTGGAATGAAAAAGAATTTGAAGGCCATCGTCTGGTCTAATTGTGAAGTCAAATAACCAATTCACAGTAAGTCACTTGAGCTTTGATGGATATAATTACTAACTAAATTTATCCTAAAACATCCCTTTTGCTTCATTCGCCCCTGCTGTAGAATTGAGTAATTCTTTGATCTCAATATCTGTTAAAGCGACCTTTGAAAAAGGAAGACTCAGAGGAGGAAGGAGGTAAGGAGTTCTTACTTTGGTGTACAATTGATGGGCTTTTTCCAGGTGAGTTGATTCCAACTTAGGGTTCCTTTTCTCATTACGCAAGGCAGCAAAATAATTCCAGTTTCCCTACCCATGACAAAGCAGCAAATACAAAACTCACATTAATTCAAGAAAGTCATGGCATAACTTGCTCTGAAGTCATCCAAATAGTTCTAGAGATGGTTCTGGATAAAGAAAATTCACGTAAGGATGTATATGGACAAGACAAGCACCAGAGCCAGGGTAGCATAAGAATCTTTCATGCCATCTGTTGCTTCACTAGCAGCACGCAATGTTTCTTTTGCCTTAACCCAATCATCATTTTTCAGCTCCAATTCACCAAGCATTGATAAAGCATTAGGGCACTTGTTATTCAGCTTCAGAGCCTCATTGACCTATAAATAGGAGAAAAACCATCGACGTCAATTTTACACCTAAATTCCTGAATAAACAGACAACAAAAGAGGGTTCAGAAGAAAACCAGTTCAATGCTTAATTGAAGATTATTTCTTGATTTTGCAATAGCAGCAAGCCTGAGATAGGCATCAATATAACCTGGATACTGCAAGAAACACGAAAAATATAGCTTACATGAAAAAGGAAAAATATAGATTTTGGTAGAAATATGACAAGGAATTATAGGTGAAGCATACAAAGAAAAGAAAGTATCAGAAACTGAGGAGCTAACAAGACATGAAGTCTATGCAGGAAAGGAAAATAAATATGACAAAAAATTGAAGCAAAAACCACACTTGAATATATTTGCTCAAGCAATATTTGTTTCTATTTGAGACATATGTAAAGGAAAGCCCACTTGGAAAGGCAGAAGTTCAATAGTACTCAATACTGCAGCGACAGAACTAAAGTAACATGGTAAACTCAGAAATGCAAGCCAACTTCACATCTATGTATAGACATGAAAGTTTAGCTTTACATGTTGGCAATGCTGCAAGCATATGTGGAGTTTCCAATTCATCAGGGCCAACTACTGATAGCACTAATATCATGATATGCTTCATTTTTCCTAAAATTATGCATAGAACTTTCGCATTCCAATTTAATTACAACATTCAAGAGTTTGCCTTTCCACTCAAATGCAATCTATACCTAGAGCCAACAGAACTACTTCACAAGAATTATTTTTTGCAACTCCAACTCCACCCAGCAAAACAACTATATAATAAGCATGCACATGAACTAAACGGTACCTTAAACAATATAAGACGGTAAAAGATGCCAGCAGTTCCTGTATTGTGCAACTGCTCTAGTAATCTTGCTAAGTTGAACAAAGGCGTGACTTTATTCCATGGCAATTCCACCTCAACGCCATCGGCCTCAAGTCGATTAAAAAGTTGCACATCCTTATACTGAAGAATCGATGCACCAGCATCAGCTGCAGTGGTCTTGCTTTTAACATCAAGGAATCTGAGCCATACACCATTACCCAGTGCCTCTTTAAAAGCCTCCAGAGCAACCTGCAATCATCAACAAATTGGCGTCCTCAGGATTTGCAGCAAAAGGATGCTAAGATGCACCATTGATGCTTTCAATGATTCACTACTCAAGAATGTCCGACGTAAAGTCTGAATCAGTAAACTGGCCAATTCTTTCAGCAAATCAATGCTTTCAATGATTGCATTACTCAGGAATGTCCCACAACTGCAGGATTACCTAGGAATATCAGAACATGCATTTGAAGGCAGCTAAAGAAGTCTTTTATTGTCAGGGTTCTTCGTAATAAACCTATAAAAAAACACATTTCCTTTTTTACGCATAGCCCTAGTCACTCTACATTTCTCACTAGCTACCTAAAATCTAAATAACCAACTAACTGTCTCCTGAAGTTGGACAGGTCATGCTTATATCTGAAACCAGTTAACGAACCTCAAGCTCTTCCCTTTCAAAATGGATGACACCAATGTTATTCAGCACTTCCACTAAGACTTCCTGGTCTGACTTCTTCAGAAGACTGCGTGCCTGCAACAATTTCTTTAAGTCTAACTTCAAGGAGACCAATCACAAACTCGAGAAGGTTAGTCAAGATGAGGTTTTACCGTCTTGAAGGCATCAAGAGCAGTGGCTGTGTCAGACATGATTAACAGTTCCCCCAGATCAAGAAATGCCTGAGCATAAGAGAAGCCCAATAAATTATATTTCAGAGCATATAGCATGAACAGCCTGGTGCAAGCATACATCAGTTATCAAGGGTCAAACTGGGATATGCTCGGACATGCTCTTTGAATGTGCAACAACACAAGTCATGATCTTTTCAAAAAAAACAAAAAAAACATCATGATGAATATAAATAATGTAAATTAACAAACTTAACTTCAAATCAAACCAGTCAAAAGAATCTCCAACTCTTCAGTAGTGAACCAAAAAAAAAAAAAAATACTACTCTAGTGACTTTTATAATTTTTGGTTGTACATTTTTTTTCAATTTGACGAACTAAAGTTTCGTACAAGAGCTGTTTCAATAGGTGAATGAGCTTTGATCTACTCATGAATCTCATCCCAAGAGATCAACCAGATTCTAAATGCCATTAACAAACAACTCATATTTTGAGATACATGAGAGAAGCCAGCTGCGTGTTTGTTTCACTCATTTATAACGACTGAATGTTACTTAGTGTGAAAGGGTGATAAGGAGTTCAACATGGTCATCTTAAAATCATGAGAAAAAGAAACATCCTGGGATTATGGGAAAAACAAAACAGTTCCGGATGAAGCAAAGAAGTTCGTAAGTCATTTGTTCATAATTTACTTTGTTTCAAGCAAAGAACCTCAAACACCAAGGCCATCCCCAACTACAAGAAAAACTACCAGATAGACCAGAACTGCCGTTGTACAAACAAACCTCTTCATCTGTCTAATATCATAGAAAAAAAGCCATATCATCCCAACAATTCTCATAATTCATTCAAACATACTGATGAACATAACAAAGAATAAAGGCGGAAATGAGTAAACTATGTAGCACTCTATCTAACAAGTTTTTCTCAGTTTACTATACAGCCCTCTGTGAGGCATCAGGCTCAACTGGATAGTCGATACATAAATGCTAATGAACCAAGTTAATGAATACCAGAAGGACAAGTGAATTTGACTGCCCTATCTATCCAGACAAGTGAACTTTAGTGTAGTGGCATCAGAGAAAGTTAACTGAGAAGAGAATAGAGGGACACTACAGCGCATGACGATGATCTATCAAGATAAATCATGAACTTTCATGCTCTAAAACAATGGCTGCAAACAGCAAGTACAATGTAAGAGATTCAATTTCATGCAAGTCCCAACGAATGTCTCATTAACATTACTTCTCTGGTTTCCTATTATCCACATAGGAGTGGGAGGAAATTCAAAATTTCTGAGGCGTGGTTTCACTTTCAAGGATGTAAGAAATAAAGGTAAATCACCTGAGCATCATGAGGGTCGATTTTTGTGGCCTTCTTCAAAACCTCTTGGGCCTTCTCAGTCTCATTAAGTTGAGCATATACATGCCCAAGAACCTATATGCAAACCAAATTTCAATTCATGGAAGTTCATTCAGAAGGAAGGGAGATTCAATAAAGCTTAAGAAGATGCTGACATGTTATATCACCCACCTTCAAAGTATCACAATTATCCGGGTAAACCTCCAAAACCTTTTCAAAATTTGACATCGCACCATTAATATCTCCTAACTTTAGTTGTACTTGACCCAAACCTGCGAGAAATAAGGATATACAAACAATAAATGAGACAAGGAACTAGATAGAAGGTAAAGGTATGTGTTGCACACTAAGGACCGTAAAGATGCTGGAAGTAGAGGAAATATATCTAAGTTTCGTAAAGAACAATGTTTACCAGAAAAGAAACAATAATGAACACTCACCAAAATAAGGAAATACAAAATCACTGGCCTTATCTTTTATTTCCTTCACAGACTGATTGTAGTATCGCAAGGCTGCTGCATAATCGCCCTATAGTTCAGATGAATTAAATATACAAAATTAGTGTGTTTAGTAGTCAAACCTATATATTAGAACTTATAATTAACTACTGTGGTCAGATGGAACTAATAGAATGAAGTAGCCAGGTTCCTACAATTCTTAGCCATCACTGATACTTATGAAGGTGCCTGGACAAGAATGACTCAATTATATGGCTCTTGAACAAGCAGTCCAAGCATGGTTCAATAACAATAAGTAGATCAGGGTCTTCGATATTACTTTTTGAGCAACTTCGTATAATTATTATGAAATCATAATAGCAGAAGGGCTGTGTGTATGAGCAATCTTCTGCTACCAACAATTAACTAACTTTAACGCAACATGAGAAATGCACTTAACATATCCAAACCAGAGAACTACAAACCTTGCTATGGTACGAACGAGCTAAGTTATAGTATGAATGTGACTTTGTAGGCCCGTGATTGGTCACAGCCAGTGCGGTTTCTGTCAGTTGCTCAACAACATAATGCTGTCCGGTGAAGAAAAAGTGATTGGCTAAATAATTGAGTGCCATAGGGCAATAAGGGTAAATTTCGAAAGCTTGTCTCATCTTTTCCATCCCTTTCCTAGTACGAGAAGCTGTGGAGATGAAAAATGACAAATTAGCAAGCCTTAGAGTAACAACTTCATGTGGAAAAAAAATAAGCAGACCAACCTTCATTTGTTTGTAAGTCTAGAACTGCCAGTGCAACTAGAGCCTCAACATTTTCCGGATCTAACTGCATATAAGAACATACAAATGAAGGCATCACTTATAACCAACTTGTATGATGCCCGCCAGGCGAGTGCAAATGCAATGCTTGTACTTACCTGTAAAACACGATCAAATGCCTTTCGGGCTCTTTCGAAGTGGCCCATCTTGTACTGACACTGACCAATACCAAGCCTGACAGGTCCAGGACAATCAGGAAATATTTGTAATACTCTCTGAACAGAAGCCAAAATAGCTAGCGTCATGGCCACTCTTTAGTCCATACAAATAGATAAAAACAAGCAGTGATGAAATGAGGATAACAAACCCTATACAATGACAGTGATTCACTGTAATGACCCCGATTAAACTCAACACAGGCCTGCAAAAGTACCAAGCCAACTCGTTAGATGAGTCTGAACTGGAGGAAGAGGCTCCATGGCCTTCTAAAATGCAGGGCAGTTAACTGCCCCATTGTTTTTGCATCTAATATCTTTCACTGGCTATAATAGATATGGAATGAATGAAAGGACCTATGCTGACAGCAATAAAGGAGTGGAAACACATTATATAGTTTGAACAAGTGCTTTGAAAGTTGGACAAAATCATGGCGATCCAGAAAGATAAGGATTAATAAAGTACCACTGCAATAAAATCTAAAGAACCAATACCTGTAAACAGTTCGCATGGGAAATTTAAGTCATGCAACCAGCACTGAGCATCAAGAGTGGATAAAATAATACGATGACTATTGGTGAATTCATCAAGACTGCAGATCCGTGTACCTGACCCAATAGAGCTGGTACATTGTCACGGTCTCCGTCTAATACAATCCTAAACGCAGAAGAAGCCTGTTCCAGCTCACCCTTAGCCAGTAGAAGCTGACCTGGAAAAAGAGATATGTACTTGAAATTCTGTCCACTCTCATGGAATAAAACCGTATTAGATAAGCAACAGCTAAGGGCCGTATGTCACATGGAATTCAAGTAAAATACTTCCAGAAAAGGAAAGAATGGTATCACACTGCAGGAAGTTAAAATATGAAGTAAATTCCTTATAGCTTGGAATTCAGACCTTTAAGTAGCACCAGAATAGACATACATCCCACCATAGACAATGAACTACTGCATGGCAAACATAAATTCTAAACATGCTAAACTCTGGAATATTAAGGCACCAATCAGTAGATGAGTGCAGGTTTAAACATACATCCACACAAACTCTTCAGTTACTGTACTTACCTTTCCCAATCCAATTAGAAGGCTCATGCATGTCAATCCTCGAAGCTTTATTATAGTACTTGGTAGCCTGTATGAAATGTTCCTCCCTTTTACTCTGTATTGTCTCAATTTTCCCACGATAGCAATAGTAAGCACCTAGAGCATTGAGGATGGCAATCCTCTCATATCTCACATCGGCATAGTATTCATCAATATCTGCCACAAACAAGATTCATATATTCAGCACAAAATCCAACAGATGATACAAAACAGAATGAAAAAGAACCAAAAAGGGCAAAAGAAAGATAAGCTAAATGTGTGAATCAGGAATCGGGAGTACCAGGACTTGATCCTTCCTCCAATATTTGTCGGAACTGTTCAACCTTCCCTTGTTTAAAGTATTCCCTCTGCACATCATCCAAATACTATCAACACCATTACAAGGACAGTAAACCTGCAGAAAACAGTCGACTGATTTTTTCCAGGCTCTAGTTACTATTTTGAAGTAAAGTAAACAAAGGTCTAACTGGCCTAACCACAACTTGAAAGGCAGGAACCGTATAATGCATCTCAACCCTAGAACACAATTCTGGTATACAACAAGTAGAAGGAATTGAGGTGCTAATTAGGAAGAGATAAGGAAAACAAACCGCAATAATGAGCCACAAATCGAGAGAAGCTTGCTCGGCCTTGAGAATGTCGATAATATCAGAGGCGTCCCGCGGCAGCTGATCCAGGACAACTCTCACCTCCTCCTCGGAATTCTGCACTGGAATATACACCGATGCCATTGACACTCAATTGCTCAGGTCATTCACAGCAAACAGGAAGCAAGAGGAACCCCTAGCCCTACGCGGAGTTCACAGGGAAGCTGACACTCGCCGATTCTTCCTCAAATTCTGCACCGCTGTGACTAAGCTAAATGAAGGCTTTTGCAGCGGCGGCAACCTCTCTGGTGATTCTTCTACGCTAACGAAGACGGGGGCGCGATACCAATTACCTTGCCGGTTTCGGACCTGCAAATTCGAGCCTACGGCGACGCGACGGCGTCTCTATTGGTGTTGCTGGCTGGCTGCTGTTTCTACGGTTCTCGAATCACTCTCGCGCTCTAATAAGACCTTCCGAAGTCGAGTATTTGTTTGCAATTTCCTTAATTAGGGATTTTATAGAATCTAGGAAAAAACATGTTTGATGAGAATTTAGACATCATTATGTTTATTTAAATAATTTATGTATTTTTATTTTTGTCATAGGTGTACAAAGACATAGGTAGGTGTAAAATGCCGTATACTTATAAATATGAATAAATATGAAGAGAATGAAATAATTAAATGTGATGGTTGTTTATAAAAAAAAGGTGATGGTTGATATCTAATCAATTTGTCAATAAAAGAAGCCTTTTAGGTTTAGCCATTAAATGGGCAGTAGTGTCAGTATCTTGAAAAATGCTCTTTCTACTAATATATTAATTATATTAATACATAAATGGGCTCAATAATTGAAAATTGTTTTCGGTATAGAACACTCATGGTGAAAACGAAAAAAATTGGAACCCATTTTTGGTTTCGAAAAAAAAAAGCTGAATCGATAACCTAGGCAGGCAACAAAGGATACAAGCAGGTACACAACGCGCGCCAAAGCCAAAGAAGTCGGAGGATAGATCATCCTTGTTGATAGCATAAGCAGAGCAACCATTCCTATTGCCACGTGCATGCAGAACCGCCAACAATTGTTTGGCAACACAAAGCTGGTTCCACAAATGAAGCATTCGGGAGACTTGGGTTTTTTTCATAGGGTCTAGGGTCGTAAATCATAGGGTCTTTCAATTAGGGGTGGAAATCGGTACGGTATCGGTATCCCAATACCAAATACCGAATACTAAATTACACCCTAAAATCAATCTCAATCCCAATCTCTAATTAATTTCGGTATCCCAATCTCAATCCCTAAATATTTCGATATTTCAATCGGTAGTATCGAATACAAAATTAATTACCTTTGTAATTAATAATTAAATATATAAATCATATTTTTTTTAGGGCAAAGAAACTAAGCAAAGAGTCTTGAGTTGCCTAAAGCTAACATCTCAAGTTCTTGTAATTGGTAATCTTTAATTTGACGACTTTGAGGTTGAGAGACGACTAATACTAGTGTGAAATAGTGATGTAATGATCTATGTATAATTAAATGATACTCTTGGTGGTTGAGGGTCGCGTAGTAGTGAATGAGAGAGTCTAGTTGAGAGGATAAAATACACACTAGCTTATATTTCGGTATTGATCGGTAGTTTGGTATACACCGATCCCAAACCCGTAATCCCTAATATCGAATGACAATTGAAATTCAATCTCAATCTCAATCCCACGAAATAATACGTGTATTCGATATATCCCAAATACCGGTACCAAACTTCCAGCCCTACTTTCAATAGTAACTACTCAAACCTAACCTAATGTATTCGAATGCTGATGTGCATTTATCCGTGCATATTATTGTCAGTGGTTAGCATTCTAGGCCAAGTTTAACCTAAAATGGCGTTATCGTATAGTGGCAATCAATGTCGGATTCACTCAGGTCCTGGTACCCTAGCATACTTCCCGCGTTGTTGTTATCTAGCTGATCGGTTTAAGGGTTTTATGTGGAGCATATGAGCGAAATAAGTAGTCTAGACTTCAAATAAAGATAAAAATAGGTGCTTCGGGGAACTACATCCTAGTCTAGGACTACTATGCAATGTCTAGATACTTAGGATTTGTTGAATGTGGTGAGTGAGCTCTTTTCAATGAACTAGCATCAAGTCTCTAAGCCCCCCCCCCTGTCACCCACACTTTAGTGAGACTAAGTCTTCGGTAAGAGAGGGGAATTAGATAAAGATGGAGTTCTGAGGCAATGAATAATAGGATCTCCCAAATCAATGCAAAGTTGAGCGAATAAGAGATAATCAATTCAAGGAAGCTGATGCTTAATGAATAGGATATGAGAAAATGAAACTTAAATAGTTGGGGACTTTCTACGAAAACTTGGTGGGCGGTCTTTGAAAATCGAAGAAGTGCATGGAAGTAGCCCACCAAGGTCTCCCAAAATGCATAACATGACTATTAAAGCAAAGAAAATAATCCTAGGGCATCAAATATTCAAGACAAGATGAAGATGAGCATTTCAATATCTCAGGGCATTCAACACATGTTAAGCAAAATAAAGTGGTTAAAATATGAGGAAATGGTAAAGTGTACCTTATCTTGCTAGAAGACATGTTGAAAAAAAAAACAATTAAAAATTCTTCTAAAAAAATGATGAAAAGTGAAGTTAGAGAAGGTATGCTCAACCAGCTAACAGGGGTGAAGAAACATGGCATGTAGATCTAAAAAATGGTATGAAGATATTACACATAAATGCAATGTGGAGTTTCCCTTTAAATAGGCACGAACAAGATCGCGGGTTGTTGACATGAGATCGCGGTCGCGATCTTTGCACTGATTAGGACAACATATTTTCACCAATTTCTTAAGCTTAATCATCCATAGACAAGACAAGGCAATGGATAAGTCATATCAATCATACTCAATGCAATTCTAATTTCTACTCAAACGATTATTCTAAAAGAAAAAGGAAAAATACACAAACCGAGTTGTTGGGTTGCCTCCCAACAAGCGTGTCTTTAAAAGTCTTTTCACCGGACTTGACTCCTTGAGATAAAAAAGACGAGATCTCCTTCCTTCACTGATGATTCTTCGTAGAAATCATACTTGTGGTAAAGTCCCAAATGAAGAGCATGGAGTCTCTCGGATGCCTCATCCGGTGCTTGAAATATGAAAGATTCAATATCAAGGTTGACGTGCATGATTGGAGGAACCAAACTCCCTTGTACTTGTATCATCATCCGTGACTGGTTTATAACATTCATCGAATTCTTCATCTTCGAGTATAGGAGCTAAGCTAGGTTGTTCTTAACATCCCGACCTCTTTCCTTGGGGGGTACTTCTATGATCATTGGTGTGATGAGAACCCTTGAATAACTCTTGAGTATCCCTTTTGTGAGAAAATTTTTCCTCACCCGCTCTCTTTATAATCATGTAAGAATCACTCACACCTTCGTCACTACTATCATGGGGGTCAACATGAGCGACCACAATCCATCTTCACATCTTCCCATTTGAAGTACTTGTGAAAATTGGGGATTGGAGTCATCTTATAGCTTATCTCCTCCTCTCCAAACCTTAAGGTGATCTTGCTCCCACTCACATCTATGATAGTCCTTGCCGTGGCTAAGAATGGCCGCCCTAGGATTATTGATGCATCACATCCTTCCGTGTTGAGAACCACGAAGTGCACAGGAGACAAAATGAGCACATTTTACCAAGACATTCTATATGACTCCTCTTGGTTCGACGACAAACCTATTGGCCAACTCAATTCCCATCTTAGTAGGTATGAGTGGTCCAAGGTCTAATTCATTGTATATTCTTGTAGGCATAATGTTGATACTAGACCCCAAATCAGCCAACGGATTCCAAATAGTTTTGACTCCGAAGGTACATGGAATAATGAAGATTCCTGAATCTCTCAATTTGGGAGGAAATCCTTCACATCCAATGGATGCCGAAACAACTTCACTAACGGATACCATAGAAACTTCTTCCATCTTCCTCTTTTGCGACAATATTTATTTCAAGAACTTGGTATATTTAGGAATCTTTATCACAATGTCTAAGAAAGGGATCGTTAACTTCAATTGCTTCATGGTTTCCTTTCATGGAGCACACTCATTATAGAGATCACTTTCGAATAACCGTTTAGGATAAGGAGCTTTTGGTATTGGATCGGGTGCTTGAGTCTTCTTAGTCTTCTCCTCATCTTCAATCTTGATTTCAATAGGAGGTTGCACTCCTTCCCGAACTAGCTCTTTTTTCTTGAATGACTTCATGTTGACTTCTCTTACCGGTATCCTCGGTGTTGAGATAGGTACCTCCTTCAAGGGCCGACCACTCCTTAGAGTTACCACATTACATCCCTCCTTAGGATTAGGTTCAGTATTATCCGCTAGAGTTCCATGTAGTCTCGATGATAGAGTTTATGCCAAAGAGTTTAGTTGGGCTTCAAGATTTTGAAGTGAAGCTTGTTGATTCCTTTGTCCCGCTTCCAAACTTGAGAATTTAGTCGTGGTACTCTCTAAGAACTTGTCAATAGCTTCAAACTTCTTGATGGAGTATGTAACGAATTGACCAACCAAGTCTGCAAGTTTAGAGACTCGACCATCGGAAGTTCGATTTTGTTCTTGATACGCCCCTTAGTATGAGGGTTGACTCGGCCATGGATAAGTATTTTGCATAGGAGCTTGAGATTGAAACCATGGAAGCTTTCTATTTGTTGGAGAAGACCAAAGAAAGTTAGGATGGTTCCTCCAACGCGGATTATATGTTGAACTATAAGGATTATTTCCTCAAGGTTGTCCTCCAACAAAGGTGGCTTGCTCAAATTGTATTGAGGCTTCAATCATAGACTTACACTCCGCCATGGTATGACTTGCATCGCCACACTAATCACACTTCATAAGTTGCTTCCCATTGCCTTTCATTGATGATGCAACTTGATCAATTTTCTTGGAAAGTTATTGTATATGAACATCACGATGAAGGTTCTTCAATCTTCAATAAACTTCCCTTCTTCACACTTTTGCATCTCCTTCCTTCTCCCTAATCGTAGCTATTGAGAGCCATTTCTCCAAGAAATCTTTGAAGTTCATCGACTTCCTTGTTCCTTATGGCGCCTCCACCAGCCGCACCGATGAGGTGGCATGACTCCCTTGTTAAACCGTTATAAAAGCTTTCCACTTGTAACCAAAGGGCGATGCCATGGTGTGAACATTTGAGTAGGAGAGATGTAAACCTTTCTCATGCCTCAAATAATGACTCATCTTCCTCTTGACGGAACATAGTAATCTCGCTTCTCATTAAAGCCGTCTTAGAGGGTGGAATTTATCGTGCAAAGAACTTGTTGCATAGATCATCCCACGAGACGATGGAGTGATGAGGATGGTTATTCAACCATTGGTTTGCCGTTCCACTTAGAGTAAACAGAAATAACCTTAGGCGAATTGCCTCTTGAGGAACCCTGTTCACCTTAATTCCATCTGTCAACTCGTAGAATGACTTGATATGTGCATGAGCGTCTTCAGTCATCATCTCATTGAATTGAACCGCACTTTAAAGCATCGAAATTGTGCCCGACTTTATCTCGTAGTTGTTGTTGGGCACCGTTGGGTGAAGAATAGGTGATTGACCATTATCCACGCTTGGTCTTGAGTAAGAACTCATTGTTATAGGCCTTGGTGGAAATTGAGCTTGATGATCCGCCATTGGTGGAGATTGATGTCTTGCAAGTTGCAACTCCCCTTAGGTTCCGAAGGGTCTTCTCAATTTATGAATCAAGGGGTAACAAACACAAACTCAACAACCCGTGACGCACAAAGTTGGATAACAAAACACAAAACGAAACAAACTATGAAAGTAACAAAAACAAAAACAAAAACACAAGACAAAACAAAATAAAGGCTAAACTAACAACTCAATGGTTTTCTACTAGTTACCAAGGTTCCCCGGCAGTAAATATTTGGTAATATTTTAAATAATTTTTAATTAAAATAATATAATATCGATGCTCTTTCGACGTTTTGAATATGCAATTATTTTAAAATAGATGCTCTTGCGCTCTCGCTCCCGTTCGAAAAATCGGTAATCTAAGTCTGATTACATTGTGTTGAACTAAAACATTAATCTTGAGAAATTATCATTTTTAGTGTTACGTGTCTTTGTATTATTCATGATTTGTCTTATTAATAGCATTTAGTGTTTGTTTTTGTATGGATCTTAAAATCCTACTATTTTACGATTCCGATTTTATTCATTTTTTATTTTACGTAAAATTCTGACGTTGTCCTATACCTAGTTTAAGTAATTAGTAGACTAATTTTTGTTTGGAAGTTTACTAGCACACAATAGGGACTCGATTCTTGTCTTGAGTAGTGGTGGCGATTTGATTTTAATCAAATTCATCCACTAAACAATCTGACAAAAATCCAATTCACTCAAGTCCAAATCCAAATCCAATTGGATAGGATTCATAATAGTTGGAAAGCTACTTACTGCATATACTTAATGAAATATATTTTCCACAAATTAAGCTTTGCTACCTAAATTTGTTTATAATAAAATTTTAGTATCTAAACTTAAAAAAAAATCATAATGATTTAAAGTTTAGATCTCATGTGAATTTATGAATTCATTCATAGAATCTATCCACCTATCTATTTAGTCCAATTCATGAATCATAGCCACCTCTATTGCTTGAGTGATCGAAACAAAACAATATAGACATATGATGGACCTTTTTGGCAAACAAAATAGAACAAGGACTAAAAAGTAACAAGTGGTGGCGAAACAGGCGGAGATGGGAGCAGGGAAAAGCGGTTTCGACACCACGTCGAAGCAGGCGTTGCTGCTGCAGGATTCCCACTCACTATAGGGTTTGAATCTTTTTCTTTTCCACATTGCCTTCAGAGTAGCCGCCTCCCTCCCTCCTTCTCGTCGCCTCGCGCCATCATTCATCTCCTAACCTCTTGCTGCAACTCAAAGAAGAAAGGTTAGCGTAACAGCAAACTATCATTCATTCAATATTCTTCTCCCCCATCGTCGATCAATCTCTGTTTTTTTATTCGACGACAGTCTTCTTCTCGTTACCTGCATTGCCGCTCCCACGCTCGCACCGCTTTGATTACTCAAAGTTTGTTCCTTTGATTGCAGCAGCACCGGAGCAGAAGCTGTTCTATTTTGCTGGAGTACCATGGCGCCGGAACCGCCCAAGAAGGTTTGTATGAACATCGGAACGTTCTTCCTCTTCTGTTGCAACAGTATAGTTTTCTGATGATGGTGGTTGGTGATATGGTTATGACGATGTTGGCTTTTGTGTAACTATTTTTTTCTTCAGCTCAAGTTTGCGCCAAAAGCCCCTCCTCGGCGGGCACCGAAGCCTGAAGTTAAGGCGTAAGTGAATATGTAAAGTAAAATTGGACTTAAAGGGTTGATTGGTTTGCGAGGAAGAGAAACTGTGCTCCCCGCCAACTGATTACCTCAGGCTATCTTATTTTCTTTCTTGGGTTCTTCAGAGAAAAGGTCGAGGAGACTGACGCGGAACGGGCTATGAAACTCATGCAACAGTTTGAAGTATGTTTGTTTCTACACTGGTTCTTCCATTCCATCCATATATGTTGTCCATTGGCCGCTGGATTTTCTGAGGCTTCTTTTGGTTCTTGTTTTTGTGATCTGTTCTTCTATTAGGAAAGGTCACTCAGGGGAAGGAATAAGATCGAAAAGAAAGGTACGCTTACTCTGTGTTTCATCCGTTGCCTCAATTTACTTTTTGGGTTTTTGAGATAGGGAAGATTGCCAGCCATCCAGGAAATAGTTTTAGGATATGGCATTTGAATAATAGGAGTATTATGTTACTGTTGAAGCAGTCATTGAAATCCGTGGCTTGTGTGCCTTGGAATACATCAGAAGTGTCTGAGTAGATGACAAGCTTGTTCCAGTCTTCCAGAAGTTTGCAGTTTGAGTTAGTCGTTCTTGTTGTAGTCCAGAATTCATCACAAAGTTGGTACCTTTGTATTTTGACCATTTCATTCATATATATTTATATTACTGGTGATATTGAGTGGCACCATCCTTCTGGTTGTGGTCTGAAGTTCAACTTATGAGATGGTTAGTTCCCATGTTACTGTCATGCGATCACTAGGCTAGGCCACCTGTGTGTTGTCCCTGAATGTAAAGCTTTTTGAGACGTAGGTCATTTAGGGAGTCATCAAGTATTGGTAGTACTTAGCATCTTCTTTTACTGGGTTTAGTTTCATCTGCCAGTATACTTCATATTAAGAATCACATTGAGGCAATTCACGGAAATAGAAACATAAGAAAGAAAGAATAAATGACATTCAGGATTGGCAGGAGCGTATGGACAATGTACTTGAATGTTGACTATACTTGGTTAAAGTTGCACTGTCTCTCACATTTATTTGTTCATGTATTGAACAGTGCAAGCATCGCATGTTGCATTTGGATTTGGTGGGAGCTCTACCTTAAAATCATATGGCATGCCCAAACTTAAGAGCATGGGTAACAGAGATCAGAGTTCGTCTTTTGGTGGTATGCTATTCATTCATTCAGTGCCATTTAATTTGCTACATTGAGTGTTGGGGAGCTTACACCTGGACCTACATCACAGGTACTGCTACACCTGGGCTGGCTCAGAAAGAGTATGAAGAACCATGGGTAAGCAAATCTTGACCTCAATCTGAGAAGTAGCAGATTCTGTTTACTGACCTCTAATGTGAGTCGTCAAGCAACCAGCAAATAATGAATTGACGTCAACATTGATGCTTGTGCAGGATTATTACAGTTATTATCCCGTTACACTTCCCTTGAGGAGACCATATTCAGGAAATCCAGGTAACTCCCGAAGGCAACCGCTATAGTAAAATTAATGAACATGGTTTGAGTGGCGACACATGACATGTTATGAAAGCTCGAGTCATAATTGTTTCACTATTTTATCTTGCTCCCTTTAGTGCTTTTGAGATCACCAAACCTTCAGAAAGCATGCTATAGAGTTTTATGCACTCTTTTGTATTTCTCCCAGCAACTCTTGACGAGCAGGAATTTGGGGGATCTGGAGAACAACCAACTTATGATGAAAACATACCAAGCCCCGCAGAGGATCTTGATTTATTGGTCAGTGCTCTCATGATGAAATTTCATGCAGTTCTACACATCCGTTTACTATCTCATACTCGGATTTGTGCAGGAGGAAAATGTTGAACCCAGCATGTTCTTTATTCAGCTACCCACTATGTTGCCTGTGACCAAAAGATCGTCTACCACAGAAGGGAAAGAGGTAAAGGAAAAGTCTGCACCATCTGGAGGTGCAGGATGCAGGTTAGAAGAGTTACCTCCTGGGTTCATGGGTAAAATGCTAGTGTATAAAAGTGGTGCGGTTAAGCTTAAGCTTGGTGATACCATCTACAATGTGAGTACTGCTTTAAGTAGCTACATCAAGGTCCAAAACTGAAAATCGAATCACCTCTTCGATACCTTCTTATATGTTCCCTTTGGCCGAATTTGAACCATCTCACGATCTTTTTTACATTTGTTTTTTGAAGATATATAGAATTGCATGCATCCCTGATGATCTCTCTTTTGTGTTACATTTGCAGGTTTCTGTCGGTATGGAGGGTACATTTGCTCAGGACATTGTTGCAATTAACACAGCGGAGAAGCAGTGCTGCGCTGTTGCAGAGATTGACAAGCGTGCTATTTTGATCCCCGATGTTGAAGGCATCACAAACGCCATGGCTGATTTATGATGATATACACCCAAATCACAATAGAGTGAAGCCTATAAATTCATTAAATTCTTTCAAGAGAAAGCAATACAGGTTACACATCCAAATTTTGCCTCGTGATGTATTACTGATACCAACTAGTGTTTGAAGTAGAGAAATATGAAGGAAAGAAATGAAGTTTCGGTTACGTTTTGTTTCCAGTCCTGGATCATTATGAGCTGTTGCAAAGAGATTGTCTTGTTAAGAAGTCCTCCTAGTTTAAGTTATTTGAGTGATGCGGCTGTTCTTAATCTTGTTTAGCTTCTGTTGATGTTATTGGAACAGATGAAACCAGAGAAGGAACTTGGTTGTGATCTTGTTCAGATGCATGTTCTCGAGCGCACAGTAAACTGCACAATTGAGCTTTCCCGACCTATGGTTCCCTTTTCTGGTTCATACAAAAAGTCATTTCTCTGTCTTGGGAAGCTTTATTCCTAATCGAGTCATAATTATATTATTAAGCCATATGAGTAGATAAGGGCGCACAGTGTTGCTACATTTTATTATTACATATAGAAGTCCATACAGGAGAAGATTGCCCCAGGCCCCAGCAACTCTGGAATCCTTAGAGTTTGTGGAGGATCAGTTGAGCTCCATGCTGTGGTTGAAGCAACATAACAGTATTGGGGGCATGTGCATAAGAAGGTGAGAGCTTAAACGAGAAATTGTGCAGAATCATAGCCAGAGCCATCTTAGCTTCTAATATGGCAAACTGTTGGCCTATACAGGTCCTTGGTCCCCAGCCAAAAGGAAAGAAGGCCAGTCGATGTTTAGACGATGCCTTTGCAACTCCTTCAGAGAATCTTTCTGGTTTGAATTCATCTGCATCGTTCCCCCAAAGCTGAGTATCGTGATGAACGAGCAGTATGGGCAGTGTTACATCAACCCCTGCTGGCAGGGACAGGTTTCCGATCTTTGTCTCTCTGTAAGTATGTTGGTAGAGAGCAATTGCTGGTGGATATAGCCTTAGCACTTCATTTAGTATCATTGTCACCTGCAGTGAAAGGGTAGAATTAATGTCATGTGAAGACACAGAGCAAACTAGGAACCTTTCAGCAATGGTGACTAATTGGTTGCTATTGTCTGATTAACCATACCGATCATAGTCTGAAAACCGTTAATCTAAAACCAACAAACTCACAATCTTGAGGTGGGTCAGGGATTCAAAACTCGGTTCTTCATCCTTCCCACAAACTTGCACAACTTCCTGTCTTGCTTTGTCTTGCCATTCTGGGTGCATAGCTAGAACTATCATCGTCCATGTTAGCAAGCTTGAGGTTGTCTCTTGACCTGCCACATAGAATACCTTACATTCCTCTATAACCTCTTCTATTGTCAGACCATGGTCACCTTTCTTGCTACTCGTGCTTTCTGATTGGTTGTTGTGTTCATTTGACTGCAAGAGAAGCCCCAGCAAGTCATCTGTTCTTGATTCCCCAGCTCTCATGGCGTTCTGTTTTTCCTCAATTATACCTCTCAGCGTTGACGTTATCTCTTTGTCCAGTGTTTTCCTCCTCAGATTCTTCTTGGTTGGCAAAAACCTACAAACCAAATTGAGTTAGGTTTTGGTTAACCAAAAACTAGAAATTTGGTTTCTGTATCAGTTTGACTATTTCCCTACCCCTACCAGGAACAAAACTATGATGCATTATTCTTCTTTGCGACGAAGGAGCAAGGCTTTTAAATACCTGAACCCAGGAATGTACAAGGTCTGCATGGCTTCCATAACCAGCAAAATCAGTTCTTTCTGAAGCTGAAAGATCTTCTTCCCTTGTTCATAGCTGCTACCAAATGCAGCCCTTGAGATAGCATCCATGGTGAGCTTCTGAAGCTCAGGCCAGGCATCCACTTCACAAGTTCCCTGAGGACCAACCATTTCGTTCCATTGTGCTATCATGTTGCTGCAACTGAGCCCAAATGCAGGCAACATACCCTTCACCACACGCACCCCAAGTCATTACCGTAAGACTTTACTTCATCTCAGTTACATAGCAGCAACTTGTTATCTAATAGTAAAATTATACAACTCTGTTTTTTTTACCTTGAGCTTCTCAAGGTGGAAAGCAGGATTGATGATCTTCCTGTGTTTAGCCCATTTCTCACCTTCCAGAACGGTCAACCCTCTGGCAAGGATGAGGATAAGTGGGTTCAAAGGCGGCTTCCCGAAATGGCCAAGCTTGTTGGAGAGCACCTCTTGTATCAGCTCTGGGTCTTTGATGATCACCTTTGGTGTTTTCCCAAACCAGAACATAGCCACATTTCCTGTCAAAAAAGTTAGCTACATAAAACCCAACTTGAACAGGTGAGGTGACTACTTCTCTAGGCTCTAGGCACTAATACTCAGCAGCAGTAGTTCCTTACCATACTTCTGGACGATGTTCAGCGTAAATGGGTCGACCCGGCCTGCAATCTGATGGTTCAGATTGATGGGTTTGGACCATGATTCAGTTATGTGCTTGATGAAGTCCTTCATATCCCCGAGGAGCGGTTTGTAGGACGTCCCTGTGATTCCCTGCTGCTGCAACTTCCTCTCCAGGGACTTGGGCTTCCACCAAATGGAATAGGAAGCTCGCAGGGCGCCGTAGATGATAGCCGCTAGGCTAGAAAAGACAAAGAAATGGTAGTCCATAACCATGATTGTTGTTCTTGGTGTGTGTTTTGTTTGAGATTTCAGGATGTGGATTTTGGTAGGGATTTGATGGGCAGCTCTCTGCACATATATATACACACACTAAAACACACCTGGGATTTGATTGCCGAGGACCTCATGTGATGAAAGTGATGTTCCTTGTCAAACTCTGCAACTGGGTTTACGGATTTGTCTTCTGACTTGTCAAAGGGGTAAGTGCATTGGACAAGCACTGCTACCAATGGTGACTAGGCAGTTTCGGATTGGTAAGTGATGCTTAGTTGCTTACGCTTTCTAACAATTTGGTTCCAATCTGAAACCTACTTTATACGTGGGACATACGTTCACCAATTCGTCAAACGAAGTCTCCATCAGCAATTTGTTAATTATAACTATTCATAAAAAGAAATGCAATTTGTTAAATAAATACTGTTGTTTTGTGTATATAAATTTGGGAAAACATAGTAAAATATTTGTTTGTCAAAATTATACGGATTCAAACTTGTGGATCACGGGGTTGAATTCTGAAGTATATGGAGAGCTCAAGAATAAACTCATATATGGGTATGTCACTTGGATTATGAACTCATCTGAATCAATCAGCCCTAGGGCTGAAAATTACCATCACCCTATCTGACTTGTCTTGTCCCTCTCTCTTTCTTGATTCTGTCTTACCCTCAAGGGATAGGACGAGTCGAGACGGGTCAGTGGGTCGACCTAGGGCTGCAAACGAGCCGAGTCGAGTCGAGTTTTTGCTTAGCTTGAGCTCGGCTCGTTTATTAATTTTTCAGCTCGAGCTCGGCTCGAACTCGAATTTTGATAATCCAGCTCGAGCTCGAGCTCGGCTTGAATAAAAATAATCTAGCTCGAGCTCGACTCAGTAGAGCTCGATAAATGCTCATTAACATAGCTTGTTAAGCTGAGTACAAGCTCGACTCAAGATGAGCTCGATTTAAAATCATTTTTGCTGGAAAAATGTATAAACATAAGAATTTAAATGATAGAAAGAACACTAGAAACTAGAAATAACATCTAAATTTCATACACATCTGTATTATAAGACAATGTTCATGTTTAAAAGAGTAATTCATCCTTTCACAAGCTCAAAACAAGGCAGCTCGCGAGCTTAGCTCGACAAGCCACCGAATCAAGCTAGCTCGCGAGCTTATCAAGCTGCGCATGGTCTAGCTCAGGCTTGGCTCGTTAACTAACGAGTTGGCTCGCGAGCCGGCTTGTTAAATAACGAGTCGAGTGTCGAACGAGTTTTTTCCGATTCAACGCCGAGTTGCTCGCGAGCGGCTTGGCTCATTTGCAGCCCTAGGTCGACCCTAATCTACACACTACTTTTTTTATCAAATTATTTTTTAGTACCCAAAATTATTTTTTCTTACAATTTAGTACCTAAAATTTATTTTTTACAAGTAAGTCCTTAAATTTTGATGGTAAAATTACATTTTGGTACCCAAAATTTTTTATTTTTTGCTATTTAGTACCTGGACTTCTAAAACTTTTACAAAGAGGTCTAATATGGTATGAGATATTTGTTGTTGTTAAATTTTAAGGGTCACAGGGTCAAAAAGTGACCCGTCCCTAAGTTGTCCCGACCCTTATAGGATCAAAAGTTGACCCGTCCCTAAACTGGCCTTATAAACAAAGTGACCCGTCCCGACCCTCGGAGTCGGGATTAGGTCAATGAAATTTTAGGATCAAACTTACACCCCCTAATCAGCCCCCAGCTCTTCAACTTATCTCTTGTTTTGATGCGATTCATGATTTACCATCCATGTCAGGCACCTGTTTTTTTGGAGCCACATGCTTCACCCACAATAGTTTGTGTCGAATGACCTGTTGTCCTCGAAATCTAATTGACTCCCATATGGTCTTAATAGAAAATTTATGCACCAACTCTTTAAATGGTTAATATAACTTTGATCTTAGATCCACACATCTAATTAATCACAATCCATCATAAAAATCAATACCAAACAATATTTTTTTTACCAAATCCTTAATGGTCTAAATTCATAAGCCATCCTTCAATTTTCAAATATAAGAATTTGGGACAATTTTACATTTTAAATTCTAACATTCAAACGACCCCCTTAAGTCCTAGAGAAGATTTTGAGTTCACGCTCATTCTAATTTTTCTTTCTAAACTCTTATCCTTTATGTAACTCCCTGTACAAGTTTTTGTATCTTGAAAATTGAAATTAACCTAAATGCTAAAGTGTAGACCGGGAACTACTCTGACCTCTTCACACGTTTTGACCTAAACCAAAAATCATACAAATGCAATATGAATACCTGAATCCATAATGTTCTCATCTAGTGCATCTTACTTGGAGGAAATTAGTGGCTCTCACTCTTGTGCATTGGTTTGAATTTTATGTTTTTAATGTTGAAATGAAGTGTAGTAATCAAAACACAGTAGTGAACAGAATAGGAAAAAATAGAAGCGTAACAAGATAGAATTTACGTTGCTTACTTGTTTAGAGCAAAAAAGAGTATACCAAAAACGAAGCTAGGAAAAACTTTTTTAGAAAGAGTGAAATTAGCCCAATAATTCAGTGTTCTTTGTGTGGTCGGGTTGGTCTGTGAAGTTCTCGTCAAGGCATTCTCGAGAGGTCCAGAAGGCTTGCTATGGAGATATTCCTCAATGATGGGAAATATTCAAGATCATGGAGTCGACGACGTTGATTGAGATTCACGGAATCCCTCAAAGTATGAACTTTTGAGCGGATTGGGGTTCGCTCTCAAGCTCACTCTTCTCTCCCTCATGATTGACTCACTATTCTTAAACTCATTTCATCCCATGTCCGATAGGATTATGCTTGTAAATGAGTTTGTAAATGAATGAAAGATCATTCTCTTGTAAAAATAAACTACATCCCCTCCTCCGCCTCCACCTGCAACGATGCCCACCAGTCTATCTGCGTCTTCTTTGAATCTCCTTCACCTGCGATCCTCTGTGGCTTCATCCAAACTTCTTTGCCTCTCAGTCACCACTGTAATTGCGGATTTCTACTAGATATGACATGGATATACCCTTCGAGTACATGATGGATATTTGCGCGAGTACTTTGGCAAGATGTACATGACGAATAAGGGTATTGAATTGGGGTAACCTGCGCCTCATCGTACTCATTGTCATCACTAATCCTAATAAGCCCCAACAATTGTTCATTGATCTTAGACTCTCTTGATGCTTTGGATTTTATTTTATTCTATTTTTTGCTTTGCAAATTCCTGTAATTTCTGTTTGAAAAAAGAAATTGTTTCGCTTTAATTAATGATACGGTTGAAAAATTTCCGTTCGATCTAGGTTACGATCAAATTAGTGATAGAGACATGTTAACAATCATGGCCCCAACATCATCCCCTTGCTATCTTGTTGAGTTGATGATCAAATTAGTGTCTTCTAGCTGGTGACCAGAGGGATATATGGATCTTCTTTCATTCCCCATATGGGTTTCTTCTACTGTTCTACACGAAAAGGAAAGTTTCAAATAGATTGGTCATGTCGTATATTAACTAATTAAGTGCATATGCATGGGTAGTTAGTCTTTCTTATCCCTTAATTACAATGGTTGAAGCTAATTAAGTCGATCAAGCAATATCAGTATTAGTTGAGTTGAACGACACACTCTACGTACGCTCAGCAGCTAGAAGTTAATGCTTGGATGCTTCTATGTCCTCTCTTCCTGGTGGCTGCTGCAGGACGCTAAATGCTGAAAAGGCACGTTCTGGTGAAAGTGTAATCCAAAAGGAAATTTTGTGGGTGGGTAATGTCAATGCTCATTGCCTTAATTTCATACACAACAGACATATTCTTTTTCCCAAAAGAAAAATTCAAAAATTCGGTCAACGTGCTGATAAGATTAATGATAAAACCAAGAGCGAGAATTCGTACCTATTTAAAGTCTCGGATTTAATTACGAATGACGCTATCATTGTCTAATAAGTTCTTGGTGATTTGATTGACTCTCGAATGGTCGTGAGCCCGCTCTTGTAGCATCTCGAGTGAGACTTGAGAGGAGTGTCTTATCCTTGCTTAACTTATAAGGTGGTCAGACTCTCGTGTCAGTCTTCCAATAGTTCATCGGTCGACCCTTAATGATTGGGTTGTATCGGGATCAATAGCCCCAAAGTTTATTAGACTACAACAGCATTTAAGTGGTACGAGTTCATCGTACTAAGAAAACAATCAAAACGAGTTTATCATAGGAAAGCAAAGATTCAATTCTCAGATGATATCATATTAGCTTATACGAACATAATGATAAAAGAAAAATCCTCAAAACACCAATGAAGTAAATTCCTTTAACTACTCGAGCATTCCGCAATGCCAAGCCATTCCTCATCATCGTCAACGCCGCAGCCGGTACCAAGAAATCCAGCACCACCGAACCCATTCAGATCACTCGCCGCCGTGGTCGTCGCCGTGACGTCAATATCCCAACCCTCCTCCAGCATTTCCTCCGACGAAATGAGCATCTCCCCGCAGCCGCCGGCCGCCATCAGCATCTCCACCTCGTCTCTGCTCTTGCCGCCGCTGCATCCAGCTGTGTGGGGATGATGATGACTGAAATCGCACAAATCCCTGAAATCATCGCAGCCGGCCAGCAGCTCTGACAGCGAGATCTCCGCCCCTGCCTCCCCGCCAAAATCCACCGTCATTATTAACTCATCCGTCCCCTGCAGTGGGTTATTCGCATCACGGCGGCCACCATTAATAATATTCTCATTACTGTTGTCATCTCCGCCGCCAGAGAGCCCGTTATTCGCGGGGGCGCAGGAGGACGAGGAAGCTTCCACCGCAGCCAGGCTGCTCGTCTCTGCCTTCTCCCCGTCCCCGGCCAAAATTACTCCAGCGTCATTGGTATTATTGTTCCCCTCTTCCTCCTGCCGCCGTGGATAGAAAACGAGCTTCTTCGAGCACTTTGCAGGCTTGGCCCGGACCGGGGCCGTGGCAGTTGCGGGTGGGGGGACGATCTTCCGGCGGGGCTTGACTGATAATTTGCTGGGATGAGCGGCAGCGGCGGAGGTGGTGGTGGAGAGGCGGTGATGGGTTTGCGGGTCGACCCTTTTCCCCAAATTGGTATTCCAGTAGTTTTTGATCTCGTTGTCCGTCCGCCCAGGCAGCCTCCCGGCTATGAGAGACCATCTTAATTCTCACAGGCAAATCATCGAACAGTTTGTCAGCAACCAGAGAAAGGCCGGGGGAAAAAGGAAAGGGAATTACGAACCAGCTGCAGTGATGGATATTGTAACAACCTGTTGCCGAGGAGCTTGTGGAGGCGGATGATGAGGTCCTCCTCGTCGGGGGAGATGTTGCCGCGCTTGATGTCGGGGCGGAGGTAGTTGAGCCAGCGGAGGCGGCAGCTCTTGCCGCAGCGGTTGAGGCCGGCCTTCTTGGGGAGGTTGCGCCATTTGCCGACGCCGTGGGAGTCGATGTAGCGGGTCAGGAGCTGGTCCTCGTGGGCCGTCCACGCGCCGCGGTTCAGCCCTTCGTCCTTGGAGCAGCAGGGGCTCCGGCCCATGATCGGCAGCGAGGTAGCGGAATCAGAGCTGACGACGATCGGTTAGTCTTGAGCATAGCTCAAGAAGGGAGAGTGGGAGAGTAATTGCTCTGGCGTAGTGGTTTATATATATATATATATACAGCGCCACCTTCCTTCGATGGGCCTCTGGGCTGGTGGCGGCCTGGTAAGCAGAGCGCCCGTACGAGGTTGGCGTTTCGTGTCATTTTGTGCGTGTTTATGATTCCCAACCCGTTGATGATGATGTCATTCGGTCGTGGTGGGATATTTTGTCGTGTTCGTGCTTCTTTGATATCTATGCAAAGATTACTTTGGGTGAAAAGTACGTACGTATATACAAGTAGTATTCTTCGATTTAATTTCATGGCAAAATACAGTTGTATATCCATAACTATCAGGTTTGTGACAAAGATATCTACAATTATTGAAATAAACGAAATATTCATTTCCGTCCATTCCGTTAGTTAATTTGATGACTGGACAGACGGTGGATGCTTAGTTGGCGTGTTTCTGACCCTACTATATGACGTGGATTAAAAGAGAAAAATTTAGGCAAATACAGTTGTATATCCACAACTACCAGGTTTGTGAAAAATATATCCACAACTATCGAAATACACGAAATATCCAAAAATCGGAAGGTTGTGTGACAAATCTATCCACTTTCGTCTGAAACTATAATAGCGTGTCAGACGGCGTTAAATTGACTAACGGAATGATGAATCGATGCCATATCACCTGCCACATAAGCCAAAAAGTAACCAAACTTTACACCGTAATCTGTTAGACCTCGTTGCTATAGTCTTCTCTGTTGGCGATTTGGTTAGATTCAAGCTTTTTTTGTTTGAGATTTAAGCTTGGTATCACCATGGCGCCGACTGCATGGAAGCCGTCGGAGTAAAAGGGAGGCAATGGTTGGGGATTGTGGTTGGAATCGAAATCTGGGCTTGGGCTAGGGTTATTTGGGGGTGGAGGCGTCGATCGGAGGAGGATCAGTGGTTATCGGGCGTGTTTCTAGGCTGGATTTTTAGTCTCGCCGTCTTTGGTTTTTAGGGCTTTAAAAAAAAATTCTCTTTTAATCCATGTCATTCCGTGGGGTCAGAAACACGCCAACTAAGCATCCACCGTCTGTCCAGTTATCAAGTTAACTGACGGAGTTAATGGAGTGGACGGAAATGGATATTTCGTGTATTTCGATAGCTGTGGATATATTTGTCACAAACCTAATAGTGGTGGATATATTTGTCACAAACATGATAGTTGTGGATATACGGTTGTATTTTGCCTTTATTCAACTAGCTTATTTGGCATCTACGTGTAAAGTTTGGTTGCTTTTTGGGTTATGTGGCAGGTGAGATGGCATCGATTCACCATTCTGTTAGTCAATGTAACGTCGGCTGACACACCGTTATAGTTTCAGACGGAAGCGGATAGATTTGTCACACAACCTTCCGATTTTTTTATATTTCGTGTATTTCGATAATTGTGAATATATTTGTCACAAACTTTAATTATAGTTGTGGATACACAACTGTATTTTGCCTAATTTCATTACTCACTCTCGTAGGCTCTCACTACTCACTAGTATAGGAAATTGATGGTGAAAATAGTGGCAGAATTAAAAATTTAAATCAAAGAGTTTATGTGAACTGTGATATAATTGAGAAGGTGGCTAAGATTTTATTGACTAATTTATTATTCAAACAATTGTTATGCATTTTACATCTATTAATATTTCAAAATTGAGGAGAGTTATAGTCCTACTGACTTCACCCTAACTCCGCTAAAATTTATGTTTTTAGAACATGAGAAGTTAGTGGTTCAATGGTTAATCATGATAAAATCGTAGGTTAACCATTATAGAACTATACAGATCCTATAAAATGCAAGGCGTATATAACAAATTAGTTTAGGACTTAATAATTCCAAACTATAATGAAACATCAAAACTTCTTATATATCATTCAAACTCAAAGTGTCTCACAAAAGAAATCATGCATTAAAATTAAAATTGATAATTAGGACGGTAGTCGGTAGCGAAGAGCATAAATCTATTAGAAAGGCAGAAAATGAAGAACAAGAAATAGAAGAAGTAGTAACCAGATTGTCTCAGTTCACATTATAAAAAAAAATTCTTAAAAAATTTATGGCTAAAAGAAAGAACTAGCGAACTAGTCAAACTAGGGTGGTGCATCTGGTTCAATATCCAACCATGAAAACCCATTAGATTATCTCTAATCGTTTCATTAAATGAACCGAATTGTTATTATAACTAGTTTGGGTATTCTTTTAGTGTTGCCGCGCTAATATGATCCAGTTCTTGTAAGAAGAGCTAATCATAACTCATAAGAGCTTCCAACAAAGTGGTTCTACTGATGAAAAAAAAAACAAGATCGAACTTCGAATAAATACCAATGGAAAATTTAGACGAAATTACGTGTTTAATAACCCTAAATAATAAAATAAAGGGTTATATGTATAATATGCCCCTCTATTATGTCGCTCTTTTTGCTATTTTTTACATCAAATATGCCCCTCTATTTTGGAAAAATGATCAAACATGCCCTTATGTTAAAATTTTCATAAAAAATTGTCAATCATGATCCAACCGAGATTTAGACGACCCAACATCGGCAAATGGGAGGAAAAATGTCAGTTTTGTCCCCTATTTTAGTTCTCTAGGTCCAATCAAAGTGAAATTATTAGAATTATTTGGCCATACAAAAGAGCGGAAAAAAAAAATTAAGTAAAACTTTTAGAGATATTTTAGAAATTTGTGCCGTCCAAACCAAAATTCGGTCGTGGTTAATGGTTTTTGGATGAAAATTTTAACAGATGGGCATATTTGATCATTTTGTCAAAGTGAAGGGACATGTTTGATAAAACGACATAGTAGAAAGACATATTATACCTATAACCCTAAAATAAAACAAAATTATATAAAACCCTCGCCTTCTCTTCGTCGGAAACAAAATCGATTAAGACAAAAACCGGTGGGAGGAATTGATAGCAGAGATTAAGTGGAAGGATGCAAATAAATGAGTCAATTGCCGAGCCCCTCCACACGATCCAAATAAGGGAACCGGGCAGCGAGCTGTGGCCATCTCCACCAATAACTTTTTTTTTTTTATAAAGAATCATCAATGTGTATTGGATCCCTTGGGCGTACAATTCTGTAGCAATCAACTTCCGAATTAGGCTACCAGCCACATCGGCCGCTCCACTGCACATATTTGTATCATTTCGTCTTTCATGTGTCCGTCTCAATGTACATACACCATGGTCCCTGCAGCATCGCTGAATGATTTATTACACACTACTAAAGTCATCAATGGTGGTGGTTGCTTTGGCTTCCATGGTGATCGCCTATGCCTGGCATGCCAAATTGCCAATTCCCCCTTTCCAGTTTGTTTGAATCGCCTGTTGAACAAAGTGATTAGCTCCGAGCAAGAGAAGCTGTTTTGATTCTAACAATTGGCTGATCTAAAAGTGTAGTAGATAGATTGCGAGTTGAACAAAGTGCACACACATTTCTTTAAGCAGCAAACACAGATGGTTGCTGTTTCTGCAGATTTCATTTCAAGTTTTAGTGGAATGGATACACATTTTATGTAACTTCTATTCTCGTCACAGGGCTCATGGCATCATTAATTCAGAAGAAAGATCACTACTTGAGATTGGAAACTCTACGCGCAAGTCCTCATAACCCACCACTCAGCAACAGCAGCATACAAAGTCCAGCAAATCCAAAGTTTAGCAGCTTGAATTTTTTCTTTTGTAGCATCTGTCACGACGAGAGAAGAGACAAAGACGACCTGGATCAACAACAGCATACAAAGTCCAGCAAATCCAAAGTTTAGCAGTCTTGCAGGAACAGGGATATGTAAATGGGGGTAGACAATGAGGGGCATAGAGCTCTGAATATTATATGGCGTAGAGTAGAACCACCTCCGAAGCCATCTAAAATGTGTTCTAAAATCACAGTTAAAAGCAACTTAAGAGCTCCTCAGGCAACTAAAACAACCTTTCGTCGAAGAACCTCTACATGCAAATAATGGTTCCTAAGACGTAATGCTGCATAACCAGCCACCAAAAGGATCAATCTTTCTTCATGAAAGGACATGGATGCAATTCCTATGGACCGGAAATAAACCTTTCGTCCCGTGACACAATCAATATCAAGCCGATCTCTCAAAACTCCATGATTAACATCCTAATACCTGTGTTGCAATTCCCTCTCATCAAAGACACAAGAAACCAGCTAGTTTGTGGTGCATTTGATACTGAAACAGTACCATCACCATCATCTACCAATGGACCAAACAAAACATCCATAAAGATATCGCGAAACCGAGTGAGGATTCAACCCTCTAATAGATCATACTCCTCTCTTTTCCCCCCTACTTGTTAAGAATTGTAAATTCACTAGATTTCGCACAAAGCTACATTGCAGACCTAGCAGAGAAAGCAAAAGGGTAACTGTTCTACATACGCCAGACCTTCCACTAGTATCAACTGCATATACATTTTACACTAAGGAATTGGGCACAAGCCGAAGAAACACAATCAACCACCAAAGTATGACAAGCATGATCAAGCACAACGTCAACAAGTCGGAAAACCAGGGCACCCCTAACATTCACCAAATTGCATGATCAAATGGAAAGTTAAGCATACTTCAGAAGGTTGTTCAGATCAAGAAGCAGCCACAGAAAGTTAAGCACAACCTACCAGAGGAGGGGTTTCAAGGAGAGAACGATTGATATCAGAGACTAGCCGGCTGTGAAGACGGCACTACGTAATCGAGCACAATAACGCTCTCTAAATGCTCCCTAACTTTATCCTTCTCCGAGTTCACCATCTCTCCCTTGGCATCCACCGAGTCGATCTCACCAACCCCAGGGAACACAGCCAGGGACGCAATCGAATATCCTTTCGCTCTCTCCGGCGAGAAATTCTCCCCGACGGTCAGCTGCTGGATCTCCTCGAACTTATCCTTCACCTCTCCAATCACCCCGAGGATCTCGCCCTTGGCTTCCGCCGCCGAATTCTCCTTCAATTTCAGGAAACTCAACCTAACCGCCGATCCCGGCGGCGGAACGACCGGTCCCTGAAGGTCCTGCGCGATCCAATCGACGGCCATGACGTCTTCGCAGACGGGGAGGATGCACTCCTTGACGGTGGTGACGTGGCTGGGGTGGACGGCGTAGGCCTTGAGGTCGTCCTTGGAGGCGTAGCGGCTGTGGAGGAGGTGGGTGAAGGGGAAGGGAGAGGATTTGAGCCGGTGGATCGGGGCGGCGGAGAGGTGGAGGACCGGGTCGAGGGAGACGAGGGCGTTGAGGGAGCTGAGCATGGATTGGACTCTGGAAGGCTCGGCGCTCTCCTTGACTTTGAAAAGCACGATGTGCTCGATGGTTTCCGGCGGAGCGGCGGTGGTCGACATTCTGACGAAGGAGAGGGGGAAGGGCCGGCGGCGATTGGGAGAGGGGAAGGTTGGGGGAAATGGCGAAGAAAAGTAAGGCCGTGTGGCTCTGAAAGAGAGCATGGACATTATTGTTATTGTTTAATCTAAAGAGGGTGGGAGACAGTGATGAAGAAAGGTTTGTTTGTGACGGCGACACGGGAAAACAGCAGCAGCGGAAGAGCGTGGGAGTTGGGACTGTGCTTGGTGAGAGAGAAAGAAGAAGCGGGCTGATTGTTTTCTAGGCCCGTTTTGGGCCTTTATGGGCTGATTAACTTCTGCCTCTTGGGCCTACGACATTGATTTGGACCGATGGTGGGCTTTTCTCGGCTCCACCTCCAGCTGCTCTCTCGTCTCTCTGAGCCTTCGTTGTCGCCTTCACTCCCTTCTCGCAGCGTTTCATCCCCGCCAAGTGTTCTTCTTCCATCCAGCTGACATCGCTGCCGTCTCCTACTTATCGTCCTTCGAGCTGAATTCGCCTCCGTCGACTGCTGCTCTTCTCGACGCGTGCTTCTCTTCCCATCTCGTAGTCTTCGCCGCTTCATCCTTTTTCCCGGTGAGTTAATATCTTGCTTTGGGTGATGTGGGATGAGAGCTCCATGGTGATCTGGGTTGCGTGACTTTGGATGAATTGAATTGCGTCTTCTGGGTTTTCACAAGAGGCCAATTTTCTCATGATTAATTGTTGCATCCTGTTTCTTTCCCTGCTTCTTGTTTCTTTCGCTGGATTAAGAGTAGTCGGTGGATACAACTCCCATACATTAATTAGTTGGTGGGTCGGTGGATCTACCAAGATGGAGTGCCTTTGTTAATCTCGTCATTTTTCCCCTCACAAATACACAGCCCAGCACCGCTAGTGAAGCTATATATACACAGGAAAACCCAGGACAGAAGACCAAGAAGCTGTGCACCTAAGAATGGCTTTGGAGGTTTCTTAATCTGCCCCTTTTAATTCCTTTCTTTCCGCCTTCTGAGTGTCAGTAGCTTGGTTTTTGCGATTGATCGATGAGTAATTAGGTGTTTGAATCATTACTGTGGTTATATATTGAACAGGAGGAGTTCAAGGAGTATGCTGAGAAGGCGAAGTCACTGCCTCCGGCGACGAAGGATGCCGATAAGCTCGTCCTCTATGGACTCTTCAAGCAATCCACCCTTGGTTCTGTCAACACCAGTAAGTAATCAAACATCCATATTCCACATCTTGTATCTAGCTATAGAATACTACTCTGTAAACCCATTTCAGTTCGGTGTCTGTTCATGCTTTCTACCCTGATCTGATATATTATCATCGTTTCAAAGGATGCTGATCAGTTAGTTGTATATGCAGATCGTCCTGGAATGTTCAGTCCAACTGAAAGGGCGAAATGGGACGCCTGGAAAGCAGTTGAAGGTGTCAATCTTATGCTTCTTTGATTAACTTGATTGAAATGGTCGACCTGATCTACTTGACGATTGACCAATTTAGAGGGGAAAACCATAGCTGGTTGATCATATGATTGTGGGTTTCATGATTGTTGTTCAGGGAAGAGCAAAGAAGAGGCAATGACCGAGTACATTGCCAAGGTGAAGCAGTTGATGGAAGGTGCTTCTACTGCTGCTGCATAATTATATGTTTCATACATGGTATATGGTGGGAGCTCCTTTATAAACTTCTTCAGTATTTCCAACACTATGAAATGAAAGGTCTGTACAATGAAGGTCATGATGATTCTCAATAATTGCTTAATTCACGAGTTACAACTTACAAGTACTTGCTATGTATTTGTGACACTTTGTAAACTTTTTTCATTTTTATTTTATGACATGTAATTCGTATATGAGATGTAATTCAAGACATACCTTGATTTTATACGCCATCGATAGATAAATTTTCGAATGGAAGAATGCAAAAGATTAATAGAGTACAGAATTTCGATAATTTTTACGGGTATGTGTATGAGTATGATGACTTGATAATTTTTATATGGGAGATGAATATAGACTAGAGCATCCAAAGGTCTACCTTTTTTATTGTTCAGGACAACCGAACCGATTTGGTGTGGAGGTCCTTCATATCAACCTAGGTTCACCCTTTTTACTATTCAACGTGACAAATTGTAAGTAAGTTTTATTTGGAGTTTAAATCAAGTCAACATAACAAATTATTCTTATCACTCAAATCTGTGTGTGCTATTTATCAACATACACTAAAAAGGTCATAAGGTGGAGCTCTGTACCACACCCAATGATAAATGTGCTATTTATCTTCAATTATTGAATGATTCAGAGCAATGTTATCCTAGGGTATAAGATAATTGTATGTATTGTCTTGTCGTCTCATTTTTTGTTTTGAAATCCGAGTTCACATATATGAATATGAGTAGGTTTTATGACCAGTGTTTCATTTTGGGCTACTACCGCTATTTTGGCAAAACTTGTCAAGGTTGCGTGAACACTCATTTGAGCCTTTAATGTCATGTTAGGGGCACCATTATAACGATGGTGGTTTAACCTTCATATCGTACATTGGGGCTCAATTTGGATGAATCAACCCATATACGAAGTTGTTGAAAATTTAAGATAAATTAGTTTTCCCCAAGAAAAAAATCCTTAATGAAGTAACCTTTCTGTTTAAAAAGGTTGGTAAATAATAATTATGAAATCCAAGTTTGGAACTCAAGAGTTACAAAGGGTTTTAAATTAGTTCAAAAGGATTTATGGGCTTAAATCAAATCCAAGTAAATGTGAAATATGTTTTGGTGGTTTAGATCATGAGGAGAGACTGAGAGAGTTTGGAGAGTTTCTTGCTGGGCTTATACTTGCAGTTCTGGTTCATGGAACTGTTGGAAATTTCTCAAAATTCATTACAAGAGTTTGTCACTATTTTCTGTTTGCAATGGACAGAGTGTATTGAATGGTTCACCTATGCTCAAGTATTCAATTAAATGAGTTTGGGAGCTAACCATCCTAGACATTCAAGGGTTCTATGGGTGAAGATTGTATGGAAAGGGAAGGCAATTCCTAGGAACACAATACTAGCTTGGATGGTTATTAAAGGGAGCATAAACAGAAAGAATAAGATGCTGAAATGGGGTTTCTATTTTTGGGTTTCTATTTTTGCAATGTTGGGGCAGAAGATAGAGAGCACTTGTATCCAGATTGTTCCTTTACTAAGTATTTGTTCACTGCACTTTTTAGCATGTTCTCATATCATCCTCTTAGTCCTAGTTGGGAGGATGAACTTTCGTGGGTGATGAGCAGGTTTGGAGGCATTATTGAGATTGTAGAAACATGGAGAATCATCTGGTGGGCAAGTCACATATGGAGGGGAAGATGTATTCGTTTGTACTTTGTATATAGGTAATAGTCAAATCTTCCTACCTTGTTGAAGATAATTAAATCTAGGTTGAGTTTTGGTTGGATTTGAGAGAGTTCACTTCTTTTGGCCTACTTGAGCAATTTTGTTGGTCTCCTGGAAATGGCTTTAATAGTAGTTTATTTCTCATTGTTAGTATGTATTATTTCTAAAATTCTACATCCACCCTTGTGGTTTGATAGGGCAAAAGCGTATAGCTTCAATTCCTATCTTGTAGTAAACCGGAAAGTTCGGGTATCGTCTCTCAGGGACTGGTACAACCTTAAGTTCTAGCAATTTTATTGAGCAAACTATATGTAAAAATGTTTAATGAGATGAAACTATGATCTAATAGCAAAGTAATTAAACAAAACAAGCAAATTAAATTGGTCGGGTTTAATTCAATGGGAGAAAGCTCTGGGAGAAACACCGGGATTCACTACCTATCCTATCCAGATTAATTCACATATTCCAATCAATTTAATCCATACCTCTACAGCCAGGATATCACGAATGTGCTAGCTATCCCTGTCGGGAATTACTACGTACTAAACAATTAAATCAAATCCTACTGTCGTAGCTCAATGACTTAATTATTTAGCCTGAAGATCAATATCCTATTTAAGACCGCATAGCACCTTATTTAATCCACTGTCGCTTCGATAAGTTACTATGTCACATGAAATAGGTTCAGTTATTAGGGTTTCACTGTCGCTAATAACCTAATTAACTACAAATCGATGTATTGGTGGCCAGTCAACACAAAGCATTAAGAAATTTCATGCAATAGAGATTGGAAGAAAAGAATCATAAATCAATCCATCAAATCAAGAAATAGCTACATCTTATGGTGTTTCCCCCAGAAATTGGGGTTTAGTTCATGACGAAATTAAGATAAATCGATAGGGTTTTGTTCATCATGTTCTAAATCAACAATACACAACTAGTTCGGTTCAGAAAATCCAACCAACTAATCGCTCTCGTTGAATTCGGCTCAAGCCGCCTGGAAAATTGATCGCTGCTCGATCAATCGCCCCTGCTGCCTTCGCTTTCTTTCTTCTCGTCGCTGCGCCTCAAGCTGCGCGCTGCTCTTCCTTTAATTTTCTCTCGCCCTCAACAATAAAGTTCCGCCCCAGCACTTTTCCTCCCCTTAAAACCCTTGTCCAAAGAATTCCCTTCCTAGTATGTTTTTTTTGTCCCTCCACCAAAACCTCTGGCCTCTCTCTTTTCCGTCCAATTAAGTTTCCTTGGCCAATTTTCGTGGCCCACAAGAAATTGGCCCAACCTCCAAATCCAATTCTCCATTCAGCTGCACTCCATTTTTCGTGCTTTCTCCACCTGTAACATATCAAACTCATGGCACTAGGCAGTAATGGTTTTTCAACCATTTCCGGGTTAGCGAGCCCTAAAATAGTACCAATTGGCTATAACATACCACAGATAATCACATAAAGTCCAAGAATCCGATATATTAAAGCCGAATATCACAACCCCACACTCAATTGTTGCTTGTCCCTAAGCAACGACACAAACAACACAAACACATAATCATCCAAAACAATGACACATTACAGACTCAACACTCAAAGCAAAACACCAAATTTCCTTGTACTCTTGTTGTAATCAGTAGTTTCTTTCTCAACGGACAAGTTGTGCTTTAATGGTCATACCTCTCACCCCACACTCAAGTTCTTTGCAACCCTTAACCATTGACTAACTCAAATCCATCAAAAACTCAAATAGCAACACTCAATTTCGATCGTCGGTAGTGGGTGGTTAACAACTTATGGTGCAACAATTATTAGGAGAATCTAACCACATCAGTGAGGTGCATATCTCGTGAGGACAGTCTGGCTTACTCACACTAATCATAAGCAATTAATTAAGCATGAGTCTCAAAAACTAATGGGGGAAGCCTTTCGTAAGCATGATTTTAACTTTAAGCACATCACTACCTTTTATGACAAGGAGAGGGTTTCTCTCTTTCTGTTTTTGCTTGCCGAGTGGTCGTATTTAGTACAAGTGGGATTTGTTTCTTACTGTCGGGGACCGAGCAAGAGCAATTTCTGCTTCTTAGCACTCGCATAAGGGCTTCTTTCAACTCCTTTTCCTCGGTCCGTGTGGAGGGTCATTGCACATCCTCTAATGGCACTTCACTCAACTGGGGATCGTACTTGATAAGCAACATCGTACGGTCGCGAACCGATTCTCAATTGAATCTTTCCTAATCCCCATGTGCAATGAGTGATTGCCTCACACGATTTTGGCATTTTTACCCACACTTTAATTGTTATGGCAACTTTCTTATATTTTACTTGTCATGTAGTGTTTTCTTTTATAAAGATACAGTTTATCCCATCATAAAACATTCAAAATAGAGAGACTCGTTGCCAAATCAAAAGCTCACAACAAATGCAAGTAAGCACGATATCCAAACATGTCGAATGGTCAATGTTCTCCACCTAACTACTTCACCAAAAGTCATTACACTATCCTCACAAAAGAGAATGTTGCTAAAAGAGTCTGCTCATTCAAAGCATATCAAGTTAGTCAAAACATTTAAGCTCATTGTGAAGAACCATGCAATTCAACACTAGTGGGGTGATTTTGATGATTTCATTCAAGCACAAACTCATTTTCAAGGCATCACGGTCATTTACATCATGTTACCACAAGAGTACAAGGTTTTGTTTTTAATTTTTCTGATTTTTAGGTGTTTTTTAGCCATTAGCTTTGCACAGGCAGCCTGCTTTTTACACAGGCAAACTGCATGCAGTTTGGCTGTGCATAGCTAAATGACAGATTTTTTTTTTTGGATTTTTTTTTACCACATGCAACAGGGACAAACAACACTAAGACTCACCACCCCACACTCAGGATGGAACATTGTCCCTAATGTTCAACTCCTAATCTAAACATGCACGGGTTTGACACAACGAAAAAGAAAAATAAAGAAAAGAAAACTTACCTTGGGTTGCCTCCCAAGAAGCGCTTGTTTAACGTCCTCAGCCTGACGTTCATGGAGCTTTCAACCAATGGGTATGGAAAGGTATCCAGAATACCCTCCCGAGCAATGATAGAACGCATAACCTCCATCCAACATATGAGTCACCTCAGCAGGGCCAGGTGTGCGAAAATTGGGTATGACCTTCTTAGCTGGCATGTTAGGCCCTTTAGTGAGGTGTAGGTGGTATTGCAGCGCCTCAAGCAAGTACTCTTCCTGTTTCAATGTCAGTGAAGAAGGAATAATAACAGGAAGATTGAAATCCTTACCCAAATATCTATACTTGAGGTGACCTGGCAAGGATTTCTGCCCTTGCTTTGACTTCAGAATATGAGCAGATAGGATAGGTGATAGTTCTTCGGATGGTCCACTATCAAAGGAAGAGGGATTTTTCCTTTCTCGAGCTCCACTTTCAAATTCATCATGATTATGGTCAACTTGAAAGACATTAAAAATTTCCTCCTCCTTACCTACTCGGAATGTCAACTTGCCTCTCCCAACATTGATGAGTGCATCACCGGTTGCTAGAAAAGGTCTGCCGAGAATTAGAGGCACTCCCCGATCATCTTCCATCTCCAGAATTACAAAATCTGTAGGGAGAATAAACTTCCCCACCTTCACCAATACATTCTCCACCACTCCTTTTGGAATTTTCACTGATCGATCAGCCAATTGGAGAGTGATCCGAGTAGGCTTAAGAACATCTCCCAATCCCAATTTCTTGTAGACTGAGTATGGCATCAAATTAATTCCTGCTCCAAGATCAGAAAGTGATTTATCGAACTCTGTACCTCCAATGACACATGGAATGGTAAAGCTGCCCGGATCATCCCTCTTTTCTGGTAATTTATTCTGAATCACAGCACTACATTCAGAAGTAAGGGTTACCTTCTCTAGATCAGCCCATTTCCGCTTCTTTTTCAGCAACTCCCTTAAGAATTTAGCATATGTAGGCATCTGTTCAAGTGCCTCCGCCAAGGGTATGTTAATCTAAATTTGCTTGAAGATATTCACAAATTTCTTGAAGTTTGGGTCTTCCATGGGCTTCATTAACCTTTGAGGGAATGGTGCGGGAGGTTCGTAAGGCTTTACCTCTTCATTCTTCAATTTTTCCACTTTTTGAGGTACACGGGCAGCATGCTTTTGCACAGGCAAACTGCTTTCATTTTGCCTATGCAAGGCTGATTCTTCATTTTCTGCACAAGATCTTTCTCCCGGTGCTTCCTCTTCTGCCTATGGTGCCTTTTTCGAGCTGCTAGGGTCTTCCAAGGCCTTTCCACTCCTCAATGTCACTGCTACAACCATGGCATCCTTCGGATTCCTCTCAGTATTTGCTGGTAATGTCCCAGGAATCCTGCCTTGCATATCTGCCAAAGTTTGAGCCATCTGTCCCATTTGCCTCTCCATAGCTAGCATAGACGATTGTAAATTATTGTTGATGGCTAGATGTTGAGTGACAAATTGATCCAGGCCCTTGAAATTATTGTCTGTTTTCTGCATATGAGCCAAAATCAACTCCTCCAGCTGGGGCTTCTTCTCTGGTTGAGGCTGCTGCTGTTGAAAACCAGGAGGTGGGATGTTTCGAACACCAGTTGGGTTGTTGTTCGCCCAGGAAAAGTTAGGATGCTTTCTCCATTGCAGGTTGTAGGTATTTGAATACATACCACCCTGACCTTGATTTCGCTGATTGTTGATATAGTGCACATCTTCCAACTAATCAGCCACCAGTGGACATAGATCCCTATGATGAGCACCTTCACATAATTCACAAAAAGCAACCTCCTCCTGTCCATCTTAGCCAGCCTTCGTTCGAGTGCATCGAACTTGGAATCCAGCTTAGCATCAATCTTTGCTTCTAAACTTGCAACTCTGTCTATCTCATGCAAGCCTCCTCTCCTTCGAATGCCGGTCTCACTACCCCATTCAGTATCTTCAGAGCATATCTTCTCTACCAGCTCATATGCTTCTGGTGCTTCCATTCTTGTGAAACCATTTCGCGAAGCATTATTCAGAGCATCTCGGTATTGTCTTCTGATTTCGTTGAAGAAAATGGAGATCACGTTCCAATCTTCCAGACCGTGGCTCGGGCATCTAATTAGAAGCTCCTTATAGCGCTCCCATGCCTCGGTCAGACTTTCGTCTTCAGCTTGTTTAAAAGTGACAATTTCCTCTTGCCTCTTCATAGCCTTGGCAGGAGGAAAGTACTTATCCAAAAAGGTCTTCTCAAGCTGACCCCATGTTGTGATGGAACGGGGTGTTAGGTTTTGGAACCAGTGTAATGCATTCCCTAGCAGGGAAAATGAGAACATCCAAAGACGGATGGCATCATCAGACACAGCCGGGCTCTTCATTGTGTCACAAATGTTTGCAAAACGGCGGAGATGTTCATGAGGATCCTCGGTGCTAGCCCCTGAGAAGGTGTACCCATTAGTGATCATATTGATGAAGGCTGGGGTAATCTCCATGTTTGCATCCCCAGCCGGAATGACAACACATGAAGCTCGGGCTTCAGTCCTTCGATTCAAGCGAGCCCTGATCGAACGATCCTGTTCTGCCATGATAACAGGCTCGATGATGCGCGGCGGCGGTGTTGGTGGTGTAGGGATGACAGGTGGTGACACCTGCCTTTTCGGTTGACGATTCTGAGTTAGGGAAGGCCTAGTAGTTGTGATTGTGGTTGGCTCCTTCCCTAACTTGACCTGCTTCCTGTTATGTCGGCAGGTCCTCTCGATCTCGAGATCTAGTGGCAGTAAATTGCCAGTCGTCCTCCTTGGCATGCACGAGGAGGATAAACCTGAAAAATTCACCTGCAAACTAACACCCAGATCAAAATAGTTCACTCACAAAAATCAATAAAAATCAGGTATGGCAGTCCCCGGCAACGGCGCCAAAAACTTGATAGGGAAAAAGCGTATAGCTTCAATTCCTATCTTGTAGTAAACCGGAAAGTCCGGGTATCGTCTCTCAGGGACTGGTACAACCTTAAGTTCTAGCAATTTTATTGAGCAAACTATATGTAAAAATGTTTAATGAGATGAAACTATGATCTAATAGCAAAGTAATTAAACAAAACAAGCAAATTAAATTGGTCGGGTTTAATTCAATGGGAGAAAGCTCTGGGAGAAACACCGGGATTCACTACCTATCCTATCCAGATTAATTCACATATTCCAATCAATTTAATCCATACCTCTACAGCCAGGATATCACGAATGTGCTAGCTATCCCTGTCGGGAATTACTACGTACTAAACAATTTAATCAAATCCTATTGTCGTAGCTCAATGACTTAATTATTTAGCCTGAAGATCGATATCCTATTTAAGACCGCATAGCACCTTATTTAATCCACTGTCGCTTCGATAAGTTACTATGTCACATGAAATAGGTTCAGTTATTAGGGTTTCACTGTCGCTAATAACCTAATTAACTACAAATCGATGTATTGGTGGCCAGTCAACACAAAGCATTAAGAAATTTCATGCAATAGAGATTGGAAGAAAAGAATCATAAATCAATCCATCAAATCAAAAAATAGCTACATCCTATGGTGTTTCCCCCAGAAATTGGGGTTTAGTTCATGACGAAATTAAGATAAATCGATCGGGTTTTGTTCATCATGTTCTAAATCAACAATACACAACTAGTTCGGTTCAGAAAATCCAACCAACTAATCGCTCTCGTTGAATTCGGCTCAAGCCGCCTGGAAAATTGATCGCTGCTCGATCAATCGCCCCTGCTGCCTTCGCTTTCTTTCTTCTCGTCGCTGCGCCTCAAGTTGCGCGCTGCTCTTCCTTTAATTTTCTCTCGCCCTCAACAATAAAGTTCCGCCCTAGCACTTTTCCTCCCCTTAAAACCCTTGTCCAAAGAATTCCCTTCCTAGTATGTTTTTTTTGTCCCGCCACCAAAACCTCTGGCCTCTCTCTTTTCCGTCCAATTAAGTTTCCTTGGCCAATTTCTGTGGCCCACAAGAAATTGGCCCAACCTCCAAATCCAATTCTCCATTCAGCTGCACTCCATTTTTCGTGCTTTCTACACCTGTAACATATCAAACTCATGGCACTAGGCAGTAATGGTTTTTCAACCATTTCCGGGTTAGCGAGCCCTAAAATAGTACCAATTGGCTATAACATACCACAGATAATCACATAAAGTCCAAGAATCCGATATATTAAAGCCGAATATCATGGTTGCCTAGCTAGCAAGGTTGTTGCTAGCACCACTTTTTGATGAATAGAAACCAATGATTCATAAAAGAAAACTAGGAGGTGGTTTGGATGAGAAATTATAACGGATCAATTTAACGGGCAAACAAAAGTTCTCACCTTGTTCATGGATCAATGAAAGTCTCAACAAGACCACTTATCAACCACAACTAACCATGCATGAAATTCAAGTTCGAGGAACAAATGGAAAGGCAACAAAGGTCCTCACTGGGGTATGATATGACATGCAAAGCAAGAATGAATCACTCACTCTCAAGACCAGTGGGGTCGGGACCTTTTTGGTGCCAAAGATGTGCACAACCATCAATACTCGGCCCTAACGTCTCAACACCACGACGAAAACCTCTAAAGGCTAGAGTTTCACGGAATGGTTGTCATCACTAGCTTGTCCGGAGGCAATGGTCCGGGCAGAGATTGTGAAGGATGGATGCAGGGATCATCTTTGTTATATCTGATAGCAAATGCGTCAGTCCCACCCAGGTGATCCCGAAGAAAGGCGGGATGACTGTGGTCCCAAATGAGAAGAACGAGTTGATCCTGATGCGGACCGTGACTGTCTAGAGAGCCTGCATCGATTACCGGTGCTTGAACGACACCACCAGGAATGACCATTTTCCCCTACCTTTCATTGATCAGATGCTCGAGAGGTTGGCTGGCCATGAGTTCTACTGCTTCCTGGATGGCATGTTTGGATACTTCCAGATTCTCATCGCACTAGAGGATCAGGAGAAGACCACATTCACTTGCCCCTTCGGTACTTTTGCTTATCGGAGGATTCCATTCGGGTTATGTAATGCATCGGCGGCCTTCCAACGATGTTTGTTGGCGATCTTCGACCGACTGGTTGGAGAGATCATGGAAGTCTTCATGGACGACTTCTCGTTTTACAGACACTCCTTCACTCATTGTCTCCATAACCCAGAATGGCGATAGCTTGCACAAGCTTGTCCGGAGGCAATGGTCCGGGCAGAGATTGTGAAGTTGATGGATGCAGGGATCATCTTTGTTATATCTGATAGCAAATGCGTCAGTCCCACCCAGGTGATCCCGAAGAAAGGCGGGATGACTGTGGTCCCAAATGAGAAGAACGAGTTGATCCTGATGCGGACCGTGACTGTCTAGAGAGCCTGCATCGATTACCGGTGCTTGAACGACACCACCAGGAATGACCATTTTCCCCTACCTTTCATTGATCAGATGCTCGAGAGGTTGGCTGGCCATGAGTTCTACTGCTTCCTGGATGGCATGTTTGGATACTTCCAGATTCTCATCGCACTAGAGGATCAGGAGAAGACCACATTCACTTGCCCCTTCGGTACTTTTGCTTATCGGAGGATTCCATTCGGGTTATGTAATGCATCGGCGGCCTTCCAACGATGTTTGTTGGCGATCTTCGACCGACTGGTTGGAGAGATCATGGAAGTCTTCATGGACGACTTCTCGTTTTACAGACACTCCTTCACTCATTGTCTCCATAACCCAGAATGGCGATAGCTTGCACAAGCTTGTCCGGAGGCAATGGTCCGGGCAGAGATTGTGAAGTTGATGGATGCAGGGATCATCTTTGTTATATCTGATAGCAAATGCGTCAGTCCCACCCAGGTGATCCCGAAGAAAGGCGGGATGACTGTGGTCCCAAATGAGAAGAACGAGTTGATCCTGATGCGGACCGTGACTGTCTAGAGAGCCTGCATCGATTACCGGTGCTTGAACGACACCACCAGGAATGACCATTTTCCCCTACCTTTCATTGATCAGATGCTCGAGAGGTTGGCTGGCCATGAGTTCTACTGCTTCCTGGATGGCATGTTTGGATACTTCCAGATTCTCATCGCACTAGAGGATCAGGAGAAGACCACATTCACTTGCCCCTTCGGTACTTTTGCTTATCGGAGGATTCCATTCGGGTTATGTAATGCATCGGCGGCCTTCCAACGATGTATGTTGGCGATCTTCGACCGACTGGTTGGAGAGATCATGGAAGTCTTCATGGACGACTTCTCGTTTTACAGACACTCCTTCACTCATTGTCTCCATAACCCAGAATGGCGATAGCTTGCACAAGCTTGTGCCACCTTCTCTTCTAGTGTCAAACAGAGAGGAGGGAGGGGTTGGAAATCCGTGTTGGAGCTTGTTCGTGCAAAATTCTCCATGGCAAGCTCCAACTTGGACTTCGCTTCGGGTTGTGGGAGATCCAAGTTCGAGCACCCTTCATCGGTGCCTCGAACAAACCGCTCCACCATGAGCTCCAATTGGCTCTTCAGCTCCGGTTGTGGAGTGGCACATGGTCTTGAAGATTTTCCCATGAAAGCTTCCATTGCCAACTCCAACTTGGATTTCTCCTCGACTTGAGGAGGGAAGTTTCCTTCATATGGGGGAGCTTCTTGAAATCCCAAATGGTATGTTTGTTCTTCTTGGAAGGGAGGTTGATCATAGAACCGGGTTCCTTGGCTTCCACCTTCTTGGTTACTCCATGAAGCTCTGGGGTACCCCCATTCAGGTGGTTGTGGATACCCCACATGTTGTAGAAGCCATTGGGATCCATGATTCAACCTACATAAACAAAAACACAAAAACAAAATCAAACAAACACAAACCACCCTTCTAAGAGAAGAGTGGGTAAACACAACACAACACAAAACACGAACAATAAGGCAATATAGAAAATGCTAGAGTAACACTAAGCGACCTTTTCAAAATAGTGGACCGCGGTTCCCCGCAACGACGCCAAAAACTTGACTCGCACGAAATTATACTGCTAATTAATCCCGACTAGATCCCAAGTTTTTAAACTCCAGCCGGTTGGAGTATAGAGCAATTATTTAAATTGTCAACCCGGGACAATCCATGTACCCCTACTTCAATCGCTGGCGAATGGGGTCGAGACCTTTTTGGTGCAAAGGATGTGCACAATCATCAACACTCGGGCCGATCGTCTCAACACCACGACGACAACCTCTAAATGCTAGAGTTCACGAGATTGTTGTCATCACTAGCTTGTCCAGAGGTCTTAAACACGGGTTCAAATGACTGGAAATTGTCTTGGACATGAGGAAAAGGTCTTTTGGGTGGTGGAAAACACAACATGAGGTTCTCCACCTTCAACCTAAACCCGAAGGTTCTATGATTTTCCAGTATTTCAATGATTGAACTTGTTATTATGGTTTTGTGTTCTATTGGCAACTTTTTCGTGACATCCATCACTAGTTCCCCCCCCCCCCTCCTCCCCCACACTCAACCCAATGGTTGGTTGGTTTAATCGCGGTTAACCAAATTTCTTAATCCAACATCGAGGTTTGCCCTAAATTAACCTAGTTAGAAGACTTGAAAAGCCCTAGGGATACCAACTCGATTGAAACTCCCTTGGAAGGGGGGTTCCATCTCTAGACTAGGTTACTGATTTTGAGACCGCACTCGCCATCACGAGTGCGGGTACTGATGATTTCCTTGAGCGTTGTCTTTTTCTAGTGGAACATGCATCGTAGGAGTTGCAGCTGGAGGAGAAGCTCGCAGAGCTAGAGGGAGCTGCGATCGAGGGACGAGAGAAGTCATTCAAGTCGATCTCTATCTCCCCCCGGATCACCACATCGTTGGAGGAGCTAGCAGAGCTGGATCTTAAGCCCCTCCCCACTCACCTAGAGTGTGCATTTCTCCGGGGAGGGGGGGGGGACTAGAGGCTAATCAATGTGTGACTTGGGCGTGTGGAACTCCTCTACGCGGGCAAGGCCACGCGGTCCGTGTAAGGGCCACTTCTAGCCATGTGGGATTTCCAGAGATGCCACACGGGCTGGCCAGATTTCCACACGACCGTGTCGTTCTGTCCGTGTAGCGCGCCCTGAGTCACTAAATCAAACGTTGCGGTTTGGGAGTCACACGGGCATGTTGGAAATTTCGCACGGCTGTGTGACCTGGTCGTGTGATCATGGAATTCTGGGTTTTTAACCCAATTTTGGGTCTTTGAAGAGAGAACATTTTTGGAGTAGAAAACAGAGTCCTAGAAAGAGAAAGTGCGAAGAATAAACCCTAGGACTGATTTTGGAGATGGGTTTCATCAATCAAGCTTGGATTTCGTCCTTGGAGTGAAGATTATCATCCCAGAGCAGATTCTTCCCATCGTCATGCTTTCGTTAATCCCAAAATCCAGCTATATAAGCTGAAAGAAGATTTAGAGTTAGCTGAGCTTCTTCTCCACATTTCGTTTGCAAATCGTTACCACAACACAGTGAGTACGCTCTGCTTGCTGATGATCGATTCCTACCTTTCGCATTTCTGTTGTCGTTCTGCGGTCGCTCATCTGTAAGTCTCTCCTGGCTGTTTATGCTCGTTTCTTTTTAGTTAGTCGGGGAGGGGGAAGGGAAGGGAACTCTGGTGCTCTATGTTTTCACTTCCCAATAGCAATTCTCTTCAAAGTTCTGTGTTCATTCTTCCGATTTTTCTTGGAATTCAAACTGTATTTTGTTATGCTTTTGGTCTTGTTACTCACTTCTACATGTCCACCTCCTGCAATCTCTTCTACCATCAGGACGGTACATCAGTCCACGAAGTCAATCAAACCTTTCTGCACAGGAATGAGGTTTTGCAGGAGCTGAAAATCAACCTCCAAAATGTGCAATCTAGGATGAAGCAACAGGCGGATAAGGGTGCGAGGGATGAGACTTTCGAAGTGGGTGACATGGTGTTCCTTCGCCTACACCTTTTTCGGCAACATTCAGTTTACCGCCGAGCCTCTCAAAAGCTCGCAGCTCGCTTCCATGGACTATATCAAGTGACTGAACGCATAGGCCCCTTCAAGTGAGCTTTGAAGGGGCGATTGGCTGCAGAGGAGGCTTTGGAGCAGTTGCACATCAACTAGGAGGAAGACATGGGGAATCCAAACGATAATGCGGTTGTCCCCGATGAGCACACCATGGGACACTACTGGACTGCCATAGTCGCGAACATGAGGTTGCCCATCCAACACCCTCAAGTTGCAGCAATAACTTTGAGGTGAGCACCTCTGTCATCACCATGCTGCGTGACTTGGTGGTATTCCGTGGAAAGGAGGGGGAGTGTCCTAGATCGTGCATCTCGAAACTGTTCCAACACTTGACCGAAAACCAGAATTCTTCATGTTAGGTGAGATGGCTTCTTTGGCAAGCAATTGTGACTTGTAGATTGATCCAATTGGGATCATATAAGGCCCCCCTTCTTCAAAAAGCTTTGCCCTCAAAGCTTGTATGATTCTGCAAGCCAAAATACGATCAGAAGGTACCCATTTTGGCACTATAGGCGATGTTGGGTTGACCTTCCATACATGACGACTTTTCCACTAGCGATACTCAGCGGTTAGATTCTCGATGTTGTTCGCCTTCCGCCATAGGTAATCACTAATATCTTTCTAGCATCCTTTTTTCGGAAGTTTTGTTCGTCTTGGAGCGGTCAATTTAGGGTAAAAGAACAGTTCGTTTGGATCCGATGCTCGATCTTTTGAACGTATTGATGGCCTCGGACACGTTAGCCACTATATTAAGTGTATTGTAGCTTAACTTATATTTTTCCAGAGTTGATTGATTCTTTGCGATGGAGATTCAACACTCCAAATTGAAGGATTTTTTGTTTCCAGAACCCTAAGAAGTCACCTGCATGCACACCAAATGGACACTTAAGTGGATTTAGCTTATGGTTATGGCCTCTCAAACGTAAGAAGGCCATGCGAAGATGAGATAAGTTCGTTACTTTCCAAACCACTCTCTTTCTCTTTCTACTTCCTTTCTCTCTCTTGGTGTTTCTTGCGAAATTCTGTGGAACCTTTCAAGAGAGAATATATTGACGACATGAGAAGCGTTGTAGGAAGCGAGGACGAGGAAGCCGTTGGATTTAAGTGCATCTAACGGCTATACTCTCTATCCTTTCCGAGAAGGAAAGCCCTTTAAAGGAGTTCTACGGATTTTTGTAGCCGTTGGAAAGACAGAAAGCAGTGTGTTTAAAGTTGTATCATAATATTAAAGGCATAACTTCAAGATTTACCATAAAGGCAAAAACTAAAGCACCAATGCTTGAAAAGCATTCTAAACGGCGACCAAGTGTAATCGCAGAATGGAAATGCAGTATAGTGGAATCAAGTAATAAATATCAAGCCAGGGCCTAGATGTACTGCCTACTCCGTGATTATCTATTATCTAGCGGGAAAGAAAGCAATAAATTGTCTGGTTTCCTGAAGCAAGAGAATAGTCACTCAGGAATGAGTCCCCCTAGCTTCTAGTTAAGTCAAAGTTGTAATTTCCTTTGGTTGATTTACTGTTGATTAAACTGCGGAAGACCCGGCAGTAGCTTGGAATCTCTTAAACTGACCAAGCCCACTTAGACAGACTAACCAGCAGACGACTAGTCTTCACCGGGATAGAAAGCTAAGGCAATTGACACAGAACTCCACTACTGGAGTTGGATTCCAGTACAAAACAGTGAATCGACTAACTCTCGTGTAATCAATTCACTGCCCGTATTTTTCACTTCCTCAGGCATCTTCACGGGTTTGGCTCGGCATAATTTTTACGGTCAGGAGCAAGCAAAATACGACCGTAATTAGTGATGGCAATGGGGCGGGGCGGGTACCTCAATTCGCATGCCCCCACCCAACGCTACTACGGGGCAGGGCGGGTAAAACCCGCGCGGGTACGGGTCGGGTCGACCAACTCTTACATGTTATTCGAAAAAAATACAAGTAAATTTTACTTTTTACGATAAAATGAAGGGTAAAACACTTTAAGAATGAAAAATAGTGATAATAGAATGGGTAATTGAGTCTAACAAGTTGAAAGAGCGACTCTAACTAGTTGAAGAAAAGTCAAAATAGGAGAAATATGTATAGAAATTGTAAGAAATTGAGATAAAATGAGTCTAGAACGGGGCGAGGCGGGTCAGAAGTAGATACCCATGCCCCGCCCCACGCTACTGCGGGTCGGGTAATACCTGCCCCATCGCGGGTCAGGTCGGGTAATACCCGCGGGGCGGGTTGAAATTGCCATCACTAACCGTAATCCTTTAGGGGACAACGGTATTTTGCACCTTGAATCACCAAATTACCTCCAATTGACCCGAAACTTGCGTCTATGCCTCTCTTTACTCGCTAGGACATGAAATATGACAAAATAACACAACCTAGCGTAAAACCCGCGCGGGTACGGGTCGGGTCGACCCACTCTTACATGTTATTCGAAAAAAATACAAGTAAATTTTACTTTTTACGATAAAACGAAGGGTAAAACACTTTAAGAATGAAAAATAGTGATAATAGAATGGGTAATTGAGTCTAACAAGTTGAAAGAGCGACTCTAACTAGTTGAAGAAAAGTCAAAATAGGAGAAATATGTATAGAAATTGTAAGAAATTGAGATAAAATGAGTCTAGAACGGGGCAGGGCGGGTCAGAAGTAGATACCCATGCCCCGCCCCACGCTACTGCGGGTCGGATAATACCCGCCCCATCGCGGGTCAGGTCGGGTAATACCCGCGGGGCGGGTTGAAATTGCCATCACTAACCGTAATCTTTTAGGCGATAACGGTATTTTGCACCTTGAATCACCAAATGACCTCCAATTGACCCGAAACTTGCGTATATGCCTCCCTTTACTCGCTAGGACATGAAATATGACAAAATAACACAACCTAGCGTAAAATAGGCCAAGAAACCACAAATTTGAGCTAAAAATGGCCAAGAAACGAGGATGAAAACATGTGCAAATACGACGCCATCAATCGCCTCCCAAGTACAACTTGAGGCGATGGCCACTCAAATTGACTAGGTGCGTTTTGGCCACGACACTGAGTTCACTGACGCGTTCTGATGTTCACAGCCGTGAACTGCCAACGCATCCATCATCCGTGAACTGGGCACTTTCGGGCAAATATGAAGACAACATCGGGGAGAGAGCAAGGAGAGATGGATTTTGGAGAAGAATTGGTTTCTTTCTCGATGTTTTGAGCCCAAAACACCAAAGGGCAGTTCTAGTGTGTGTGTGTGTGTGTGTGTGTGTGTGAGAGAGAGAGAGAGAGAGAGAGAGAGAGAGAGAGAGAGAGTGTGTGTGTGTGTGTGTGTGGGTGAGTGTTCTTGGAGTTTAATTGGAGGCTTGGGTTGATCTTGAGGAGAAGGATTCAAGCTTAGAAGAAGAAGATCTTGGGCCCAATTTTTAATCTTATGTTCTCTCTCTAGAAACGCACCCTCTTCTCTTGGGTTTAAGAACCATAGGTCTAGAAACCGGATCTTAACATGGCTGGTTATAAGAGATAGCATAAATACTAAGGCAAAAATGCGGAAATGGGGGTTCTCAGGGGACCTAAAGTGTTGTCTTTGTGATGCAGGGGTTGAAGACAGAGATCATAGATTTGTGTAGAGGAATTCACTGTAACTTTGAAGGTCAGCCCGTAACTCTGGAGAGGCTGTTGTCTTTCGGTCATTTCTTCCTCATCCGAAATCCGAATTAATCACTATTTGATCCTAAACGCTCGTAGTCTCTTCCTATTTCTTTCAATGCATATATTACATAATTCTTTGGTTTCGCTACTCTGTTCTACAAGGGGAAAGCAGAGTTCGTTGCAGCTGCAGATTTAAGAAAGTACTTACGGGAGAGTTAGTGGGCTAGCTAACAATAGTGGAAAAGTCATATGGTTTTTAGATTTTGTATTTAAAAAGATACAAAACATTTATTTAGTGTAATTGGTAATGGTTGTGCCTCAAGTCCAAAGCTCAAGCTTCCAACAACCGTACCAAGCACAAGGTGGCCTAGGGTTTCAACAACAACAACAATCCGACAAGCTATCTAAGCCTGAAGACCTAGTGAACACCTTTGTGATTATGAGTACCCAAAAGTTCGAGAAGATAGAGCAATTTATGGATGTGGTGACTACCAAGTTTACCTCGGTTGAGGCGGGACTGCGAAGCCACCAAGCGAGCCTCCAAAGTTTGGAGGTGCAAATCGGCAACCTTGCCGGCATCCTCACCGAGAGACCAAAGGGAGCCCTACCTTCACAAACCGTGGCGAACCCCAAGGACTAGAGGTAGGAACTCGCGAGACCGAGGTGTGCATGCCATGGAGGCCAGATCAAGGCTCGAGCGAGAGGTGGCAGAGCTGGTCCAGACATTCCACCTTGCTGGCAATATCCACCAAATCTTCAAGCTCAAGGAACGGTTGGATTTCCACCACATTCTTGATTTCACGATTGAGACCATATAGACAAGGAGCAATGGTAGCCTCGCGATCCTCTCGAACATCAGCTCGTATCATAAAAACTTCCAGCTCCTTGTGATAATCTTCAACACTTTTAGTACCTTGCCAAAGAATTTGGAGGTTTTGATACATATCTCTCTGATGAGAACTCAGCACAAACCAATCCCTCATTATACCCTTCATCTCGTCCCACGCTTCAATAGGATGTTGTAATTGATCCCACTAAACGAGATCATAATCCGAAAACTCTAGGGCAACCAACGACAAAAAAAAGCTTTAGACATTTGTTAGGGATGGCAGTAGAACCCGAATTCACGGGTACCCGACCCAACCCGGTCAACGCGGGTAAAACCCACCTTGACGGATTGCGGGCTGGATTTGGGTTTAAACCCGCTATACATTTGCGGGTTTGGTTTGGGTTTAGCCATATCCAACCCGTGGATACCCGCATCCAAGTCCATACCCCCCACGACCCACAAAATCCTTAACTAATTAAATAAAAATTTTTAAACTAATTCCTCGTACGTTCAATTAATTATATTGTTTGTGGATGTTTATCTTTGATGTTGAACAATTAGTAATTTAGTATGAATGATTTGTAAGTTAGTGTGTATATAGTAGACAAAAGTAGTGAACACTAGTGTAATTGCATCTTTGTACATGAATCCGCTAATATCCATCATGTTGGGTTGGGTTTAAGTTTTCTAAATCTAGTGAATTTTACTGCGTTTTTTTTTTTTACGAACAAACCCATAGATTTGGATTTGGAATAACCTACTCTGACCCGACCCATTGCTAGCATTTCTTCCCCTGACCGGTAAACAAAGGCTTTGTTGTTCTATATCTTTAAGCCCAATGTTAAGGGCTCATAGTCCAAAATTACCATCCAGTCTAACAACCCATCATCAGGCCCAGCAAAACCCTAAAGAACGATTGATTGACAACCGTCGATCGCCACCTCCTATGCGAGTATAAAGCTTCCTTTGGCGCTAGGGTTTTGGCTCTCTGCAGTTTGCACAAACTGAAACCATCGCCGGCTTATATATCTGATAAAGCTCCTCCCGACCTATTCATTCTGCTTCCTGCTACAAGATGGCGACCCAAATGAGCAAGAAGCGAAAGGTTTCTCTTCGATTTCTCTTCCTGCACATCTTTTATGCAATCAGAGTTGTAGAGATTGCTTCTGAGACTGCTTCTGATTTTGTGTGCCTCGCAGTTTGTCGCTGACGGAGTGTTCTTCGCCGAGTTGAACGAGGTTCTGACCAGGGAACTCGCCGAGGATGGCTACTCCGGCGTTGAGGTTAGGGTTACACCTATGCGCACTGAGATCATCATCAGGGCCACCCGCACCCAGAATGTCTTGGGTACTTTACTCTCTTTCATTTTCAATTATGTTTTTGATTTCGAGGGTGGGTTAGTTATCGTTGAATCATCCAATTGAGACAGATGTTGGTTTTTGTTTATGCTTTTATCTTTATCTGAGATTTGGGGATCTGGGTTTTGATGATGAAGGTGAGAAGGGAAGGCGTATTAGGGAGCTGACGTCGGTTGTTCAGAAGAGATTTAAGTTCCCTGAGAACAGCGTTGAGCTGTATGCTGAGAAGGTGAACAGCAGAGGTCTTTGTGCTATTGCCCAAGCTGAGTCTCTTCGTTACAAGCTGCTTGGTGGTCTTGCTGTTAGAAGGTTCACACCTTTTTACCATCTCTTACAATCTTTATATGCTTTCGTGGAACTTTGGCGTGTTAGTTTTTTTATATAATCGACACCTGTAGGTTAGCTTGAATATGAATATTGATGAATTCTAAATTGTTCTAAATCTTAATTATGTTTGTGGGTAAATGATTTGATTTCCAATTGGTTATGGAAATGGTAGTATGATTGCCGTCATTGTTCTGAATCATGTATCATGCGCTGATTGTCATCTATAAAGCGGATTTGCCTAACTCTTGACAAATTTTGTGTCGGAAGATGACTAAATTGATAAATATTCCTCTGGTACATATTGTTTCATGAAATGCGATCAAGCTCATGCAGCTAGTTCTAGAGGAAACAATGCATATACAACAAATGTAATTAATTGTCGGTCATACTCCCTAGGTTGTACATCAGAGTTCATAAGCTTAGGGTTCATTGTGCTGTCATTAACACAGCAGATTTGCCCTCTCCTGGCAAACTTGTGTCTAAAGATGACTAAAGGAATATGATTCCCCCGTTCTGTAATAATCATGAAATGCTTTTGCTTTCTTGTGATAACTGAATAGAGGATACATTATCATGTTGTTGGTATGTTTTGGTGTTGTCTAATTATCTCAGCCATAATACTTTTACTGTGCTGGTTCTTCTCTCTTTATGTTATTGTATTATTCCTTTGTTGATCCTTGTCCTCTGTTCTTGGCATCAGGGCCTGCTATGGTGTGTTAAGGTTTGTTATGGAAAGTGGTGCCAAGGGATGCGAGGTTCGTCTCTGATCTTTCATTCTGTGTGTGCACGGTGATTATCCAGTGATTGTTGGCTATTCGATGTTTCTAATAATAATGATGTGTTAACAGGTCATTGTTAGTGGAAAGCTAAGGGCACAGCGTGCTAAATCCATGAAGTTCATGGATGGTTACATGATCTCATCTGGACACCCAGTGAACGAGTACATCGACTCGGCTGTGAGACATGTCCTCTTGAGACAGGTTAGTCTCAGTTCGACATGAACGTTCCAGCCTGCTGTCAGGTTGGTGTTTTCGTATGTATAGTAACATCCGCGCGATGCTGTTATCTGCAGGGTGTTCTTGGTATCAAGGTCAAGATCATGCTCGACTGGGATCCCAAGGGTAAGCTTGGCCCAACAACTCCTCTCCCTGATCTTGTCACAATTCACCCACCAAAGGACGAGGAAGAGTACCTGAGGGCAGCTTCTATGCCTGCTCCAGTTCCTGAGGCCGAGATTCCTCCCCCTGTTCCCGTTGTTGTTGCTTGAAACCCATCTTTTGAGTCGCTCTGTTCAATGGCCGGACACCATCTAAAAAGTTTGCATGTTGAGGGGTTGTTTTTAGGTTTATTGTCTACCTAGTATCTGTTTTGACGATTCTTGTGATAAATTTTGTTATGATAGATACCGGATATCCTATTTCAAGTGAACTCTATCGGTTGTGTGTTTAACATTTAAGATAGCAAGGTTGCCTATTTATAATTCCCTCGTTTCTGTTCTTTTTGGTCTTCTATCCCATGAATAAGTACCGTGATAGTCTTTAAGCCTCGTAGCACTCTTGACCTATGGTTACAACTTTCAACAAGAGTAGCCTTGTCGGACAAACCATACTTAAAAAGCAGATGTTCCTTTTCCTAAACGGTTATTATAGTTGCAGAAGGGACTTGTCCAACGGAATTATTACCACCCTCAATTCCACCAGGGATCGTTAACAAAACAAGGACTGAGCTAGCCGCTAGGTTAGCAGCACGCATTTCCCAAAACTCTGCACACTATTAATTGCAACCTCCAACTATATTTGTAATAGAATTATCAGTCTCTTGATCTCAAAAGATTTTCAACAATGAGTGTGATGTTCTGTCTCGCTGAAAGAAATGCTTTTCAAGAATTTCCTCCGAATTGAAGACTTCTACCAAGTTTTCGTCAAAACCGAAAACATTACTCAATTTTTGAATGATTCATTAAAAATAAGAATACATCTGGATGGAGGGCCATGTAACAAGCTCTACACCAAGTCCTACCAGAGTGCTCATGCCCAGGCTAAATCCTCATGGCATCTTCGTCACTCAAGTAAGACAGTCAAATTTTATCTTTTTTGGCACTCCGCTGGAGTGTGCAATGATCTACATAATCGTTCGTTGGAATTGGGGGCAGATCATAGTGGATCGCAACTCATCGAGCGAACCATCCTTAGACTTAGATGGATAGTTGTTGATAGAAACGATCTAGCCCCTAAGATTGTTGGACGTACAATTTAGCAATCTACATCTAACCTAGGTCGAGGTTTTTAACGATGGTAACTTTGTGCGCGGTTGTAGCAAAAAAATTTATTTTGATTACGCATAACTTTTCGAGAATTTTGAAACTGTAAAACTAAGATCGAATAGTTGAGCACTAAGTTATGGCCTTTCAACTTAGGTTAGGTGTAGATCGCGGGTGTCATAAGCGATCTAGAGTGGTTCTCTTGAGTTTGCCACGATCCACGTAGATCCGAGGCTGGTTCACTTGAGTGCGACGTGACCCATGTTGATTCGAGGGTGGTTCACTTGGGTTGACTAGGATTCGGGATGGATCGCTCCTCTTTCCAGCGGTCCACCACATAGATCGCTAAGCACACTTCAACGAACTGTCCCAAGCTCTTGTATTTTGGGGAAATTTTTGCAAAGTATGGTATAGTGAGAATTAGGAATAGAAACCCTAGTATTTTGGAGAAAATTTCATATTTAAGGGTCGTTTGGATGAGTTTTGTGTACTGAGTTATTATAAGTATGGAAATAACTCAAGGGGTCGTTTGGATGGGTTAATTGAGAATGTGGTATTTGTAAGATCAAATAACTCATTTTCTCTATATGTGGTATTTGTGTGTTATTTCATAAATTTTAAAATAAAAATGTCTTGTTTGGATGAAAGAAAGTTGTGAGTTATTTGTATTTGGTATTTGGTACCATTAAATGAGAAAATACTATACTGTCCTCAAAATAAACTCCTCCATCTACACAAATCCAATCCCCACGACCATGTCCTCAAATTGTCTTTGATTGGGTGTCCAGATTTGATTAGAGATCTAATCAAGACCACTGTTAGCAGGTGTTAATTAATGGGTTAATTATTGTTGGGTTAGAGGTTAATTGTTTGTAGTTATTAGGCCCAATGATGTTGCCCATTTACGTTAGCCCATGTAACCTTTGCATGGACACCACGTTGGCTGGAGTGGGTGATCCTAGGGTTCGGCTAGGGTTAGCTTTCCTTTTGTATATGAGCAGCCGAGTGAGGTGTGAGGGAGAACAACAAATATACAGTCAATAATATCAGTAGCTAGAAGAGTGTTCAGAGCTCTTCCGTGGATTAGTCCTGGATCATCCAGGGATACCACGTAAATCCGGTGTCAGTTATTTCATTGTCATTTCCGATTGTTCAACATGGTATCAGAGCTTCCGCCACTGAATTCCGATCGTCCCTCTGTCCGTCTGACATCAACAAATTTCGCGTTATGGGAGTTTCAATTCCGAGTGTTCGTGGAAGGTCATGGTTTGCTGGGTATTCTTGACGGGACTGTTCCGCAGCCGCGACCAACCCTTCCCGCGTCTGAGATCGAGCAATGGAACCAGCGAGATGCTCGAGTTCGTCACTGGCTGCTCGGATCAGTCGATCCCTCCACTTGTTTAAGTCTTCGACCGTTTGCTACCGCGCATCAGATGATGCAACGACTGAAAGCTACTTACTCTACTGTGAACGTTGCTCGGCAGTTCGAGCTGCAAACTGCACTGGCGCGCCTTGAGCAAGGCGACTTGTCCATCACCGAGTACTTCAACTCAGCCCAGGAATTGTGGACTGAACATGATATCATTCAGGCCACGATTCGACCTCAAGCTGTCACCACAGATGCCCTGGCCGAGAGACAACAAACCCGGCTGTTCCAGTTCTTGATGAGGTTGCGGCCCGAGTATGAAGCTGTGCGCACAACATTGCTTAATCAGGCAGAATTGCAATTTGATGGCATGCTGGGGGTTTTGGTTCGTGAGGAAACGCGGCTACGAACTCAAGCCCAGCTTGATGTGCGACCAGGAGCAGGGGAGTCAGTTTTTTCGGCTTCTCAATCCACCGCCTATGCTGCCGATCGCCGTCAGTTTCAGCGTCGCACTCCGATCTCTGAACTAGAGTGTCACCATTGCCACGAACGTGGCCACCTGAAGAAACACTGCCGTGGATGGAACTTTTGCGTTTATTGCAAAAGAACCGGTCATATTGTCTTGGATTGCCGAACTCGGCAGCGCCATGAAGCGCGCTCACAAGGAGGAATTATGGCTGCCTCTTCCCAGCGGCCAGCATCTGCATCAGGAACCTTTTCGGGATCTTCTTCTCGGATTTATGATCGCCAAGCAGCTCCTGCCGTGGACCGACCGCACCAAGCAGCATATATGGCCGAAGCAGCTCCTGCCATGGACCATCCGCACCGAGCAGCATATGCGGCCGAAGCGAGCAGCAGTGGTGGCGGTGGTGGTCTGTCCGCCCAAGACATTGAGCACATGGTAAACGCTGCACTCCAAAGGTCACTGCCGACAGCCATAAATGCTGCTTTTGCAACCCTTCATGGTAACTCAGGTAAGCTGTCTCCTTGGATCCTTGATTCCGGCTGTTTCAACCATATGACTAGTGATTCTAGTTGTTTAACGAACGTGCTACCGATTAATGATCTGTCTTTGCGGGTAGCAAATGGAAATCAGTTACAAGTTAGTGGTATGGGTATGATGCATGATTCTCACCTTGATTTACCACATACTCTTCATGTACCACAACTTGTTCCTAACTTAGTTTCTGTGGGACAACTTACCGAAGCTGGCTGTTCTGTTTTGTTTGCACCGTCCGGTTGTGTTATCCAGGACCTGGAGACGGGGAGGCAGATCGGCAGAGGGAGTAAACGGGGGAGGATCTTTCACTTAGAAGAACTTGGAAAATCTTCATCATCATTGTCTATCAGTAATCATCGTGATAGGTCTGTCAGTAGTCCTGCATCTTTTCCTACATGTTTTTCGAGTCCGTCTTGTGATGTTTGGGATCTTTGGCACAATCGTTTAGGACATCCTCATTCGAGTCGTTTGGCTGTGATGTTTAGGCAGTCTTTGCTTGGTAAAAATAATGCTTGTACCTCTGCGAAACATTCTTGCACGAGCTGTGTTGAAGCAAAAACCAGTAGTCGGTCATTTCCTTCTAGTACCACTGTGATTGATCAACCTTTTCATGTTATTCATACTGATCTGTGGGGACCTTCTTCTGTTCTTTCTCGACATGGCTTTCGTTATTTTGCCTTGTTTATTGATCATGCTACTCGTTTCACTTGGGTGTATTTCCTGCGTCAAAAATCAGAACTTCGATCGGTCGCTACTGAATTTCTAAAAATGATACATACTCAATTCGATAGACCAGTGAAAATTGTGCGTTCTGATCCTGGTGGGGAATTTAGTTCCTCTCCATTGTATGAAGTATATCGTTCTCTAGGCATTCTGACTCAGAAATCGTGTCCCGGTGTTTCTCAACAAAATGGTCTGGTTGAACGCAAAAATCGTCATGTCCTCGATCTTACTCGTGCTCTTCTTCTTGCCTCGAATGTCCCTAGTCGGTTTTGGCCTGAGGCAGTCGCCACTGCGGTTCGTCTTATCAATTATCAAGTTACCCCGGTTTTGAAAAACACCAGCCCTTACTTTGCCTTGTACTCAAAACATCCTGACTACACTAGTCTTCGTGTTTTTGGCTCGCTTTGCTTTGTTCTTCTTCCGCGGCGAGAGCGTACTAAACTGTCTTCTAAAACTGCTAGGTGTGTCTTTCTTGGGTATAGTGATGTGCATAAAGGCTATTTATGTTTTGATCCTCAATCTCAGCGTATGCGCATTGCTACCACCGTTGTTTTCTTTGAACATATCATGTACTACACCGATGCTTCTTCCTCGCCTAGTTTTCTGCCGTCTACTTCATCCTTACCTGGTTTCAGTCATGATGATATTGATGGTGTTGATTTTCTTCCACCGACTCCCCCCGCCACTCCTGACTCCGATTTGTCTTCCCCGGGTGGCTCTTCGTCTGGTTCTACATCATCACCGCCGCCCGATCTCACGTCCAGCTCTACTGCTTCTGCGTCTCCATCGTCGCCAGTCTCCGCTTCTCCATCCAGTTCATCCTCTGCAGCGCCAAATACATCTCATGGCTTGTCTACATCACCAGCTCCTTTACCCCGTCGTTCCACCCGTTCCACAAGAGGTATTCCCCCACCTAAATTTAACGACTATGTTGCTCATGGGGTGGATGCTTTTCTTGTCCCCACTCGCTACAAGCAAGCTCAAGGAGATCCGGTTTGGGATTATGCGATGAAGAAAGAGTTGGATGCCTTACATGCCAACAATACCTGGACCTTGGTTCCGCGACCTCCTCCTTCTACCTCTGTTGTTGGTTGTCGTTGGGTGTACACAATTAAAATGAATCCTGATGGTACGATTGAGCGTCATAAGGCTCGTTTGGTTGCTCAGGGGTTTACACAGGAAATGGGGATTGACTACAGTGAAACATTTGCCCCAGTGGCCAAGATGTCTACTGTTCGCACTTTATTGGCTGTTGCTTCTCTGCAGAATTGGCCTCTGTATCAGTTGGACGTGAAGAATGCATTCCTTCATGGTGATTTGGATGAGGTCATCTATATGGAGCGTCCTCCTGGGTACACTCTTGGTACTGCTGATCAGGTTTGCCGCCTTAATCGGTCTTTATATGGTCTTAAACAGGCACCTCGTGCCTGGTTCGAGAAATTTCAGGCTACTATCACTGCACTTGGTTATCAGCAGAGTTTGAATGATCCATCCCTTTTTACCAAGAAAACCTCGTCCGGTCTGGTTGCTTTGCTGCTTTATGTTGATGATATGGTTATCACTGGGTCCGATCCTGCCGGTATTCAGAGTTTGAAGGATGGTCTTAGTGCGGTTTTTAATCTTAAAGACCTCGGTGATCTGTCTTATTTCCTTGGTCTTGAGGTTACTCGTAATGCCAAGGGGCTTCTCTTGAGTCAGCGGAAATATATATCCGATCTACTGTCTGATCATCAGTTTCATGACTGCAAGCCTGTTTCTACACCGATGGAACCTAATCTTCATCTCAGTCGTTCATCTGGTCCTCCTCTTCCGGATGCCACTGCTTATCGGAGTATTGTTGGGAGTCTGATATATCTTGCTGCGACTCGCCCCGACCTTTCTTATCCTGTGCAAGTTGTCAGTCAATTCATGGCATCTCCCTGCACTGATCATTTAGCGGCCGTTCATCGTATCCTTCGCTATCTTCAAGGCACTCGAGATGTCGGCATGTTTTTTCCTTCCTCCGGTGCATTGGCCCTTCGTGCGTACTCCGACTCCGACTTTGCGGGCTGTGTCGATACTCGACGATCTACTACTGGCTGGGCTGTACAATTTGGTTCTGCTTTTATCTCCTGGCGATGTAAGAAGCAAGACAAGGTATCTAAGTCATCCACCGAGGCGGAATACAGGGCCATGTCTGATGTCGCTTCTGAACTTGTTTGGTTACGTCGTCTCCTCCGTGATCTCGGAGTAATCTGTTCTCTTCCTATGGATCTGTTTGTGGATAACACCAGCGCTATCCGGATTGCCGTCAATCCTGTTCTACATGATCGCACCAAGCACATCGAAATTCATGTTCACTACATCCGCGATCTTGTTGGGGAGGGCACCATTACTCTTCACTATGTCCGCACGGAAGATCAGATTGCTGATGTTTTCACAAAGGCCTTCTCCACCAGTCGTCATTGGTATCTCTCGAGCAAATTGATGCTTTGTGACCAGCATCAATTTGGGGGAGGCTGTTAGCAGGTGTTAATTAATGGGTTAATTATTGTTGGGTTAGAGGTTAATTGTTTGTAGTTATTAGGCCCATTGATGTTGCCCATTTACGTTAGCCCATGTAACCTTTGCATGGACACCACGTTGGCTGGAGTGGGTGATCCTAGGGTTCGGCTAGGGTTAGCTTTCCTTTTGTATATGAGCAGCCGAGTGAGGTGTGAGGGAGAACAACAAATATACAGTCAATAATATCAGTAGCTAGAAGAGTGTTCAGAGCTCTTCCGTGGATTAGTCCTGGATCATCCAGGGATACCACGTAAATCCGGTGTCAGTTATTTCATTGTCATTTCCGATTGTTCAACAACCACAACATAATCGTTCAAGAAAGGAAGACTCATACACATATTAGGCTTAAGTTGAATCAAAATTGAGAAGACCCATAGGAGAATTCTTTGCTTTTAGATCCACCGCTCTGCCAGCACATCCAACGCCGAATCCCTCTCTCCACCACCACCTGCCTAGCTTCCCTTCCACCTTCGACCCAGACCAATCGCATCGCATCCCACGATTCACATCCTTAACCCAAATAATGACATAGGCCATGATCCAAATCCCCAATCTAAATCGTGACTGGAGCTCCCAGCCGCGGCGAGAGACAGAACGACGATGAATTCTTGCCCAATGCATCTTCTCTTCTCCCCAACCCCCACGCATGCATTCCAAATCGAAACCCAGTTTAGATGATAGCACTCGCTTCACAGCTCTACTGAACCTCAATTCTTGCCTCCTTCGACCAACCGCCATAGCTTTTGAAACCTCTATCGTCGCATGTGAATTCGGTCCCTGTTGCGTACTCCGCCGACAAACCCCTCTTCCTTGCGATTCGAAAGAAACCCCACTTTCGTATATGCTATGGAAAGCTAAAATTCTCAATTTCATAATTGTTGTCGACGAGGAGTTGAGGGATGGAAGGTGGAAGCTAGAAATTGAGAGAAGGAACAGAGAGGGACAAGAAGAGGTAATGGAGTCATCTGTGAGAGAGGAGCAAAGGAAGAAAGAGACAGGGGCAGCGTGGGAAGAGAAAGTAAGCAGAATGCGTACAATAACTTATTTTGGGTCGTTTGGATGGAGTATTTGGGTTCAAATAACTCACAATGAGTTATTTGGGCGCAAATAACTCGTTTAGCAGCGTTTTACTAAAATGAGTTATTTGGACAGTGAGTTATTTACAAATAACTCAAAACGAGTTATTTGAAATAATTCGTTTTATCACTCTGCTTTTACCAAATACCAATGTCAAATACCACATTTGCATGGTTCAACCAAACGAGATACTTTATTTCAATTACCACTGAAATAACACTGAAATACCACATGAACAATAAATGAGTTATTTGACTCTACAAATACCACATTGACAATGAACCCATCCAAACGACCTTTGCGTTATTTCAAAATAACTCATCTTTAAATAATCCATTCCACCAATTCAAATCCAAATGAGTTATTTTGGTCCAAATAACTCGTTGTGAGTTATTTGGGTCAAAATAACTCATCCAAATCATCCATCCAAACGACCCCTCAAAATTGATTATGTGGTATTTGTGAGTTATTTCATAATAACTGCCCCACATGTGGTATTCTCAATAACTCATTATTGAGTTATTCTTAGAATAATTCGATACAAATAACTCATCACAACCTGTTGCACACAAATTTTTAGTTATTTGGTATCAAATAACTCATAATAATAACCATACCAAATAACTCATAATAATAACCCGTCCAAATGACCTAAGTATATATGAGTTGTGTATCCGATTGTAGCGAATTTTTTTTATTCTGCATAACTTTTCGAGATCTTGCAAGATAGGCACCAAAGTCAAGGGATTTATCAACATAACTTTTCGGGCGTACTAAAAGTTGCAAGATCTCGAAAATTTTTGCGGAATCAAAATTTTTTCGCTACTATCAAAATCAAAAAGATCACTTTGCAGGTGAGGGAGAATTTTGTTGCAATGTTTCTTCTCACTTATTTGTTGCCAATTACTACAGCTTCCCTATATTTTATCTACGTACCCATTTGTGCTATTTGTTTTCCATGGAACGTACAATTTCATCATCAAAATTTGACTTTTTTTAGGTGCAATGGTTAGAGACAAGCATTACACTTCTTTTTTTTCTTGTCGACCAGTATAAGCTATGGCAAGACTCTTAGGATATTATTGGATACGTTACTTTAGTGATATAACAGCTCAAATTTTGCTTTGTCATCGCATTGTTGTATAACTGAATGCATTTCAAGTACATACGGTATTTTATCGCTATCCTTTCATTTGTTGGTCTCTAACTATATGAAGCTTCAGTGTCGCTGTTGCTTAGTGTTTTTTAGTCTGTAATTCTGTATGGTGTTATGCTCTTCAAGAATCAACTTATTTTTCAGTTATGTAACTTGAGTTACTTTACTAATAAGACAATTTTTTTTCTTTTGCTACCAAGTACTCCTAATATTGAACAACAATATATGTACATTTCAAAACACAAGTTCTTGCTAAGTTAAGAATCTATATTGACTCTTACAAGATCAATTATCGAAAGCACATTGCTGGTTTAGATTCACTTATCACGAAGCCCAAGCGAGCGGGTTTTGCTAGTTTGAAATTCAAATTGACAAACAAGAAAGGTCATAATGGTAAATAGAATCTGCATTATACAACACGCACAGCCTGCCTGCTTGGTGCTGATTTTCAAATCTCATACCGAAATATATAAACTCGAGTCGGTTATCTTTTTTACGAACCCCACCCCCGCCATTTTCAAGCTCCGATTAGCAGACGCAGAGTCGTCGGCCCTGCTCCTTCTCTCTCACGGATCGTCGTATTCGGAACCTCCATTTTTGCTCGCTCGAGGTGTCATTACTGGAAGCTGAAGCAAATTGTATCTTCGTCTAATTACCGTCTACCTCTCTCCCATTTTATCCAGTTGTTAGGGTTTCTGTTCTCCTCATTCGGTAACCAATGTCGATCAATCTCACACCCAACTCAATAGCCGCCATCAACGGCGGCGACTTGAACTTGAAACCGCTGGTTCAGGTTGTGGACATCAAGCAGATAGGCACCTCCCAGGAGCGGTACCGGCTACTCATCTCCGATTCCGTCTCCACTCATCACGCGATGCTCGCCACGCAGCTCAACGACCGCGTCAAGACCGGCCGCGTCAAGAAGGGATCCGTTGTTCAATTGATTGATTACATGTGCAGCGATGTTCAGAATCGCAGGTGAATTTCTCATCTCTTATAGTGGCTTCGTCGTTACTTTTCGCGTTTGGAAAGTTGAAATGCGGAATTCGGTAGTAGTGCGTTCTTCGTTAGAGATCGAAGTACCGTGCAGCAGTTTGAAATTTCGAACTCCATTAGCAGTTAACTGTTCAATGTTCCTGGTTATTGCTCGTTTTCTGGCATGATTTTTCCTGGTTTCTAGATAGCTATGACTTGTTCTGTTGTGTTCAATAGAAGGATAAGAGTTGAGCAAGAATTTGTCTCCCACTGCTATGGTGGAATACTGAATCTACTGCTCTTGTGGTACAGGATTGTGGTTGTGCTGAATATGGAAACTATAGTCCTAGATTGTGATATTATTGGAAACCCTAAATTGGGTGATATGACTGCTCAGAAGACAGTTTCCAATCTCAATTCAGCGCAACCAGGCAGGTCTGTCTACGACAATCGTGGTAATATGCAAAGTTTTCGTCCTGCATTCAATGCTCAAAATCCAGGAAGCAACAATATGCAAGGCCTGCAGACTAATCCTTTGCTCCAAAGTCAAGGTATGCAAGGTTCGCGCCCTATGTTGATGGTTCCAAATGGAAGCAATGGTGTACTGAGATCAGCTACTGGGAAGAATAATAATAATACACAGACTTATGCACCTACAGTTCAACCTGCATACCAACCCCCTCCAAGTTATAGAAACCAAGGGCCAATTATGAAGAATGAAGCACCAGCTCGAGTGATTCCAATTTCTGCTCTGAATCCGTACCAGGGACGATGGGCTATCAAGGCCCGAGTGACTGCAAAAGGCGATCTACGTCGTTACAACAATGCCAAGGGAGATGGCAAGGTCTTCTCCTTTGACCTTCTTGATTCTGATGGAGGGGAAATTAGAGCCACCTGCTTCAATGCTGTTGTTGACCGCTTCTATGATGTTATAGAGGTAGGGAGAGTCTACTTGATCTCGAAGGGTGGTCTGAAGCCAGCTCAGAAGAATTTCAATCATCTAAAGAATGAATGGGAGATATTTCTTGAGGCGGCTTCGACTGTCGATCTTTGTCCTGAAGAAGATGGTGGTTCTATACCACAGCAACAGTTTGATTTTAAGCCAATCAGCGAGATAGAGAGTGCTGAAAACAATTCCATACTCGATATAATTGGCATCGTGATATCTGTGAACCCCTCAGTCCCTATCCTGAGAAAGAATGGCATGGAGACTCAACGAAGAACTGTGGGTATGAAGGACAGTTCAGGTAGAAGTGTTGAGCTTACTCTTTGGGGAGATTTCTGCAATAAGGAAGGTCAGAATCTGCAAGAGTTGGTTGATTCGGAGATGTTTCCTGTTTTAGCTGTCAAAGCAGGAAAAGTCAGTGACTTCACCGGGAAATCAGTTGGGACAATTTCTTCTACTCAGCTGTTCATAAATCCAGACATTCCCGAAGCTCATGTCCTGAGCGATTGGTTTGCCCGAATTGGCCAGAACTCTGCTGCTGTGTCCATTTCCAGGGACTTGGTGCCTTCAGGGTCCAAGAACGAGATCAGGAAAACTGTATCTCAAATCAAAGAGGAAGGTCTTGGAAGATCAGACAAGCCAGACTGGGTCACCGTGAAGGCTACCATAACCTATTTCAAACTGGACTCGTTCTGCTATCCAGCTTGTCCATTGATGATAGGGGACAGGCAGTGTAACAAGAAGGCGACGAGATCAGGAACACGATGGGTATGCGACAGATGCAGTCAAGAATTCGATGAATGCGATTACAGATACCTGCTGCAGTTTCAGATTCAGGACCACACAGGGTTAGCTTGGGTTACAGCATTCCAGGAGTCCGGGGAAGAGATCATGGGTTACCCGGCGAAGGAAGTATACCAACTGAAGCACGAGGCACAGGACGAGGCGAGACTTTCAGACGTTTTCAGAAGCAGGGTGTTCTACACTTACCTTTTCAGGCTCAAGATCAAAGAGGAAATGTATGCCGATGAAACGAAGGTGAAGATCACCGTCGTCAGGGCCGACAAGATCGATTACTCGTCGGAGACCAGACACATGCTCGACACGATTTCCAGATTCCGCAGGTATTAAATTCTCGAACACGTTTGATTCTCGATAGAGGCTGGAGCATTATTGCCCTCATCAGACTAGGGCATTTGAGGTTCACATTTCGCTTACATATATCTACCATTAGTTAGATTATCATTTACCTTCGAGGCAGAAACACTATTATCATGTAATAGCCAATAGGCATTAGGCAGAGAAGATGAACGATTGTTTTTTACTTAGAAAGGAACCATGCAGATTACATTGAGAGCATTAACAGTAGAAATTATTACAAAAAGCAAACTGCGGCCCTCTTCTTCCCTCTCAGCTCCGCTTGACAGGGTCGAAATTGGAGACGCCAACTATGGCGCCGATGATGGCGGTGAGCACGACGCCGCCGGCAATGATGCTGAGCAAGAAGTTCTTGAGCGAGGGGCTGACCTCAGCGGCTTCCGCCACGTCGGGGATGACCATGGAAGCCGTGAGGGCGGCGGCCGTCAATCCGGTGACTGCCTTCTCCTTCAGGGAAGCCCTGACGACTTGGGATCTGACCCTCCCGGCGCCGGATGATGATGGGCTTGCCGGTGGGAGAGGCTTGAAGGACAAGAAACCCTGCGAAGGAGAAAGCAGCGCCGCCGCCTTCTGGTTGGCGTAGGTCAGCGGCATGGACATTGACACGGCTGAAGTGGAAGCGGCCATGTTTGGTTGTGTTGGTTGCTTACTGGTGTCTCTTCTTCTAAGGGTTTGATTGGGGAGTTTCTTCTCTCTCGCTGAGGAACAAAAGAGGGGAGGAGTGAGGAGGGAGCTGTTTTTTCTAGTTTAGGATGCGGAGAAATGAGAGGTAGGAAACTGACACTCTAGATCTCGATTGTGTGTCCTACGTGGCAACCTCTCCGTTGGGGAGTGGTGGATAGGGTTATCTTCCTTGGCCTAATCACCATCACATTCGTTAAAGTGGGAGAATTTTCGCCTTCGGTTTGGGCTTCATTTTTCCGTAGATTGGGCTGGCAAGTTCGGTGCCAAAGAAAAGAGGACCCTCTCGAGCCCATCCAAGTTGTAGCAACATTTCCGACGAGAGGACTTTATGGCATGTTCAGACTTCAGAGATATAAGAAGTTACACCGGATGAGTCGTTACAGATAAATTGTGGTTTAATTGTGATTCAATGATTTTATACCTGTAAAATTTTATCTCAGTTTGCGCTTTGTTAGGTGATTTTCTGATCAGACCGTTAGTACATGTTTTAGCAAACACTGATTTGGGTAACCAAAACATTGAGTTAAGGACTCTGTCTTTGCCGTATATGTATTAAAGAGCTGCCCATATCGTGGCAAGAATGCTCTCTTGACTCTTATCGTTGGTCGGCTGGCGTCCCTTCTTTTACATTTCGGCATGAAAAGCCTTTATTTTTGTACACTATATCTTACTCCAAAGGAGTAATTATCATGGTTACTAAGGGTAAATTGGGTATGGAAAATAAAATTTTTTAATTAATTTTTTTAATAAATTACATTTTAGGTAGTTACAAAAATCTAATAATTATAATTCTCTCTCTTTCTGTCACTTCCGTAATCTCCAGCCAGATCCTCTTTCCTTATTTTTCTCAATCTTTCTGCAAAATAAAAAAAACATGAAATCACTACCAATCCATTGCATAAATAAATCTATACTATTACACACGAAAACTACCAATATAAACAATCTACCAATAAAAATCTATACCATTTCACAAAAAATCAATACCATTGCATATTTAATCAATGCCAATACATGATAATCAATACCATTACATGATAATCAATACCAAAGCGACAAAAACAATACCAATACAACAAAATCAATACCAATGCGACAAAAACAATACCATTGAGACGAGAGGGTAGGAGATAAAAGGATGACCACCGCTGGCGATTGCTTTGACGACCTCCGCGATCCCAACGGCTCCTTCGTGCGCTGAGAGAGAGAGAGAGAGAGAGAGAGAGAGAGAGAGAGAGAGAGAGAGAGGGAGGGTCGTGGGATGGGGTGGGGAGTGAGGGAGGGTGAGGTGGGCAGGCGGTATTGGCGGGAAGGGAGGGTGAGGTGGGGAGGCGGCCGGCGGGAGGGGAGGTGGGAGGGAGGTGAGAGTAGACGCAGGGTTGGGGAAGGTAGGTTATAAATATAGGTAATAATCTTGTGTGATATTATTTTGATTCCCAAATTATCATTAATTTAATCTTGACCGTCATTTTAAAAAAAGGAAAAAATAGAGCTAATGAACGGTTTAGATGTAGATAGCCACGATGGTTACTAAAAAACTAGTATTCATCCTAACGCATTCCCTATATCGGCTGTTTCCCTTTGGGAATATCTATGGGGAAAAAACCAAAACATTGAGAAATGAAATTTTGTATTCAATTTCGATCTTGTTATGTTATGGAATGAGAAATGGATAGGGAATGAATTTCATTTGTTCTAAGTTTTAAGAACTGAAATCTTGTTAAAAAGTAGTTAGAATTAGATTTATATGAGATAAAATAAGTGGGTATAACAAAAAGTTACTATTATTTTTATCATTTCACTATCATTGATAAAAACACAACTAATTTATATAGTTGTGAGAATTATATCAAATTTATATTATTTGTCTCACAAACATGTGATTTAAAGAGTATATTTTCATGTGGGATGTATTTGCGAAAACACATTATTTTGTTTGGTAAATTTTTGCTAAAAATTGTGTTATAAATATGCAAGGCTACCTTTTACTAGTTTTTTTTAGGGTGATGTAGATTTTTACTCTTTTGTAATTAATGTAGTACTTAAGGGATTCAAACCTGAAACCTCTAGATTCTAGACTAGCGGTGTTAAGCCCATAAGATATTGCACTTAAAAAATATAGATAATTTATTTGTCCGGTCACGATTTATAATGCGTAAATTCGGTCCTGCAAATAACAGGGAGTACCGCATCATGATTAGAAGTGAGATTATCATTGTGTCAATTATATGAGATTTAAGTCCGTCACAAACAAACACTTGCTTGTGTATAAGACCACATTCATCCTTGCAATTACTTAGCAATTTCATATATGGGTCCCACTGCCAGATCGACCACTTAAGCAATAGCTCTTTCAAATCATCCACGTCCTCGCAAGGTTTTAGTCATTTCTATTGTGGGGGCCACACATATGTATGTATAAACAATTCTTCCATTATAAAAAACTAACTTTCTAAACTATAAAGATAAAATAGAAAAGGTAAATAAAATCCTATGTGGCATTGCAAGTGGTGCTGTGGCCAATCATTATTCGCTCGAAACTAATTACTGCAAGGAAAAGAGAAGCAAATTCCCACCGTCAAACACTGAAACTTGGAAAAGATCATTACACAGGTCACAAGACCGTTATTTTCCCCCCTTTCTTTCCCTGATAAAGAATAAGACTGTTAGCTACTACACAGAACTGTGCAAGAAGCCAAGAACTATACATCTATTCAATTGCGTGACGCTTAACCCAAAACTAAAAGCTCAAATCTTTGAAATCTGCGACTATGATACAGAGGAAGAAAGAAAGAAAGAAAAAAAAGTTATACATAAAAAGGAGAAATCCCTATGAACAACAAACCAAGGAGATATAGCTGCACAGGAGGTCCTCAGTCATCTTGGAGGCGGCAGCACAGCCCCTGGCCCAGCAGCATTAGCTGTCAATCCTCCGACGTACCTGACATGAACTTCCTGTGGCGGCAAATGATATTTGATCCCAACCTCCTCGAAAATCTTCTTCATCTCCACCATTAGATCGGAAATCCTGCCCCCTCTCTCCCCACTCTGGAAATTCATGGTGTGACTTATATACAAACCCATATGCATCTTGTTCATGTCTTCAATCCCCAACACCAGCACGCTGTGTGCCGGTCGCCAGTACTGTGGCTTGCTCTCCAAGTAACCTTTGATCCTGTCTTTCATGGCCCCAATCTCGTCCATCGAGGTCGAGGCGTCCACAGAAAACTCAACTGAATCGCTCATCTCGGGGCTCCTGCAGAAGTTGCTGATGGGTTTGCCCAGCAGAACCGAGTTGGGGTAGAATATCTTCTCGTTGTCGTACCTCAGGAACACCGTCGTCAGTAGGTTCATCTCTTCGACAACCATCTGCAAGAACAATGGGTGGGGGGAAAATGAGTGAGTTAATATTTCTAGGAGGGGGCATAACTAAGCTGCACATTCTTTCAAGCTGAGTGTGTAGTGCTCTTGCCTGGATCCCATCGATGACACAACGGTCCCCCACGTCGAAGGGATGCATCACAAACACGAACACGATGGCTTCGAACACTGTCTTGGCAGTGCTTCCAAACATGAATCCGACTAGCAAGATTTGGGAGGAAATGAAGACCAAAACTTGAGTTGAAAGGAATCCCATCACTAGTAGCCACGCAACAATCATAACGAGAACGAGAACAGCCGAAACCAGCTTGTTCAGCTCCTCGATGGCAGTCTTGGTATCGTTTAACGAATGTACTAGCGATTTTCGCTCTTTGTACACCTTGACCTGCAAAAGGAGTACATCAATCTATAACGCGAAGGAAAATCTTCCGATAATCATACTGAAAGATCTAATGTAGCAAGTGAACCATAAGGGTGACCAGCTAACAGACCAGCCACTTCCAGAAAACAGATCTCTTGATCTTCCCAGTTGCCGAAGCTCCTTCGAACAGGAGAATGAAATTGTCCACCTCTTCCTTCTTCAAGAACCGTAGCAGGTCATCTTCATCAATGTACCTGCATCACATCAACCAAGGCAGAGTTACAGAGCTAACAGTCACATCAACCAAAACAACATAACTATATATTTGTTGCGAAAGCTAAGACAAATCATCTTGTCAATCTAACTTCTTTTGTTCAAGGCAGAGTTACAGAGATTCATGAATCTTACTTGCTGCCAGTTTTGGCTACATTCCTGAAGACCTTATGCGCCGCGACTTTGGCTTCCCACTCACTGGTAATCTCGTAGTCTTTCTGCCGATACTCCTCCTCAGTTTCTTCAGTTTCCTCAAGTATGCTTGAAAGAGTTGACAATCCTGTCCCACGAACCACTTCAACCAACCCTTTCATGGTCCAAGCAGAGACCTTCCCGTGCTTGAGTTTCTTCAGCTTATCCACATCAATCACCTCCTCTTTCTTCTCTTCCTTCTCCTTGTCTATGCTTCTAAAGCTCAACTGCCCCGGTGTCCCTACTCTGCTTCCAATTGCCTCGGCCATTTCCATCACCGGAGGACCCGAGAGAGCCCTCAGCACATACTGATGGAAGATGGACTCCTGGATTCTGTCGAAGAATCTATTGACATGGTACGAGGAAGCTACCAACTTGATCAACAAAGTCTTCAGCAGCCAAATCCCAGCCGCGACTAACAACCCAGCAATGGCTCTGGTTATCCGATTGAGAGCCCTTCTAGTACCTCGAGATCTCTCAACCCCATGAGTGAACAAGAGTACCCAAGCTAAAAGCACCAACCCTAGCCAAACCAGTACTTGGAGGCAGTTCTTCAAACCATACACAAAGTAGAGGACCTTCACCTTGAGCAAGAACTTCCTTTCGACCAAGAATACCAACACATTCACCGACCATTCAGTAACCAATCTACCGCAGAGAATTACTAGAACCAGAACGCACCATTTCCAGAGCTGCAATCCCCAGATGTAGGAATTCTGCAGCCTGTGAATCGTCAAGCTAGCAATTAACAGCCCTACCATGACGAAAAACGCCGCCATCTCAAGCAACGTGATTACCTTCCACTTGCTACCGGTCTTGCTGCTCTTCACTTGGGCGACGTTTGCGGTCTTGCAAACCCCATTGCCGTCATCCTCTTCATCATCTTCTTCTTCTTCCCCCCGCTGCGGAGATCCAATCAACGGCGTTCTGGGAGTAATCGGAGTCGCCGACTTCGCCGTACCTTTCGAGAAACTCCCATTCCCACTGGAAATCGCGCCGCTGTTGTTGTTATTAGAGCGGTAAGGGGATTTCTTGTTGTAAGGCGAGCCACCGGAGTTCGCCACCAATTGGGCAGCCGCCGCAGCCTCCCCCGTCTTGGCTTCCTTGAGAATCGCGTCGCTTGCGTACGGCGGCGGCGGCTCGACGAGCCTGGATTTCGGCCTGCTGAACTCCGACTGCCCTGTACGGCACTTTCTTCTTGCCATTGAACTGGCCGGAGCGGGTCTCGAAACAGGGGAGGGAATCGCCGACCACGGCGTCCCCGGAGAATCGGGGAAAGTGGAGGCGTGGGGGACTCTGAGCCTGGGAGTCGGAGTCTCCGACCCCGTCTCGGCATTGGGTTTACTGCTGTTCCTGGGAGTGGGAGGGAAAGAAGAAGCTACCTGCGGGCTGGCCGGAGGGAGACGATCTCTGCTTTCGGGACTGGGAAAGAAAAGTTGCTGCTGGTGGGGCTCGGGGCTTCTGATTTGGAGCACCACTTCATGGGTTTGAGTCCCTTTTTTATCTGGCGGGGCTGATTTTGCTCCGGTTTCCATTCCGAAGCCGGACGCGAATGGATCCGGGAGAAGGGAACAGAGTATTGAAGAATCGAAGATGGCTGGGAAAAGGGTATATGTATGCATAGCGAGCAGGCTGGCGCATGGAGATTTGACCGGAGATGGCCATTGATAAAAGATTAGCAAGTGGGTAGGAAGGAAGGCGTTTCAACTTGTGATTTAAGAATGGTGGGAAATGGTTCTGCAAGAAAGCGGAACAAGCGAAGAAGGTTAGGCCGGCGCCACAGGCAGGCAACGACAAGGGAAAAGGCTGCTGGCTAGCCGAGCCTGCTTATTGCTTAATGCATCAATTAATCAACTTGGTGGCCAACTTGAAGGGAGAATCAATTCAGGCTGGACTGGAGGAGGCTGCCTGGTACGGGCAGTTGTTTGTTTCTTCCGGGAACCACCGGTGATGACGCATATGAAGGTTGAAGGGTTGCCAATGGGCGGGGCCGGGGATTATTGTAAAGCCCACCAATATATGCATTGCATAATGGAGGAGTAGGTCTGCCGTGATCCGATTACGAGGTTTTTCGATGTGTTTTGATAGTTCTTGTCTTATCCTTGTCCAACACCGACGATCTAAAAAGGGTTGCGGGAAGTCGAAAACTCAATGGTCAATCAAAGTATTTCCAGGGTTATAATAATATAATATGATGCACTAGGGTGGGCCGGTGGGGTTGGTTGAAAATGAAATTTAATAATGTATATGGCGATATATATATCCTCCTCCTCTCAAACATTTACGCTCTGTTTGGCGCAAATTCGAGGGAGTGCAAATTGTAGGAGAGAGCGAATTTTAGGCGGGATCAAATTGAGGCGTAAATTTTTGCTTGGGAGAAAAAGTATAAGGGTGCAAATTAGATATAAAATATATTAAAAATAAAATAAAACTCCAATCCTACCCCACCCTAATCTCACACTTCCTTCCTTTCTCTCTCTCCCCTGGCCCCACCACACCTCTCCCTCTATTTCTCCACTAGCAACCACATCCCTCTATTCCCTGGCCCACCACCCTTCCCTTCCTTCCTCCAGCTCCAAAATTTTTTTTTTGGGGCACCCCCAGCTACTGTTGGAAAATATCCAAATGGGAGCATTTGTCTTGGGTTTCACATTTACCTCTCCCCTTTTGCACCTCCTCTATTTACACTCCTATCCAAACAAATGGAGGTTCTCCTGCATAACGAGGAGTGATAAATGGGTTATACCGGTAACGGCTTAACGGCTAACCACACCGCTAACTATTAAGAAGAATGCGGAGCGTTTAACGGAAGTTAAAATTTTATATCGTGTTATCAAGTCATAAACAGTTAATAATTGAAGGCTAGTGGTTAATCGATAACCACCCAAAATAGGCAAACGTCACACTCAACGAAGGAAACGATTTCCCCCTGACCACTAGACACTCACTAAGTCCAATCTCCTCGTATTCTCGGCTTAAATGAAGAATAGAGGTCGATCGACGAGGTTGTACTGTGAACCACAAATCGCTGGTTGTCGAGCTATGGACCCTCTCTAGTGGCTTCCTCATCAGATCGATAGGAGGATGAGCGAAAAAGAGAAGCAGCAGTCGTCGACCTTGATGTTGCCTCATGAGTCATCTCACTCTTTTATTTTACTTGGACGGAGAAGAGATGAGAAGTGGAAGAGCTGTTGGCCGCTAGTGTTTGACTATTCGAGAGTGAAGTAGAATAAGAGGTGCATTTTCTTCTATATGTTGGTTCACCAAAAGAATGGATTCATTTTTTGTCTGCAGAGGTAAACAAGAGAGAGGCGAGAAGTTGAGAGTGAAGAGTAGAAGAGAGTGTGTGGCTAGGGTTTCTCATACCAATCACTTTCCTTTTCTACATTTTCTAAAAAGACAATTACGACAAATCCACAAACCTACCACCTTTCTCACTTTCAGGCGGGTAAGTGGTTAAACGCTAAAATAAATGCTAGCAACATCGACGATTAACGGTTAATAACTAAGTCTTGGCGGGTTGGCTAACAATATTTTTTTGGTTGGCTGGTAACCGCTAATCGCATTATCAATTAACATTTAATCATTAACTGAACCGATTACACCCCTCTGCAGACCCCTCGCCATTTTACTTTTCCTGTGTTGTGCGCATAGTACGAAAGGACCCCTCAATTCGTTTACTAAACTCCAACCGTCATTCTACCGCCGCCAAACCTAAACCTTGTGGAGGAAATTGACTTAGCATGCAAGGTTTTTTTTAGGAAACTATTTCCTGGTCATTTTAGGATGTTTTAGGCCGAGATTTTTCCTATAAATAGAGGGCATGACCCATTAGTTTAGTAAGACTACACAAACACTCTACACGAGTGATAGCCTAGTCGAAGTAGAGGGGTCTGCAACTAAAGAGATGTTGTCATCATCAATGGTGGTACCTTCCTTATCCTCTATGTAGCTAGTCGATATTTATTGTATTAGGATGTGATCTTTTTTTATTTTTATGTGAATGAATGCTATGATTTCATCTCATACTTGTGTTTGTCTATGAAATTTTAGTTTCGATGCTTATGTGATGGTCATTGATGTTTCTATAGTATGAATGGTTTCTTATTATCGATGTTTATGATTCTATTGTATGCTACTATATGCATTATGCTTAGTATTACCTAGATTGTTAAAAAATTACCATCTAGGGATACCCCATTGATGTTACACGAGCTTGGATGGAATGATCAACCATCTATGCTTTGAGTAGTATCAATGTTTGATTGTTAGATAATCGATGCTATAAACTATGATTACGGTTTGTAGAAGCCCATAATTAATTATATATTATCCTAAATTCCTTGTTCTTCATTGATTAGGTAATGACATAAAGTGAAAGCACATATTAGCTAGTTAAATCTCTATCGCAAAAGGCGCATGCATGGGGTAGAGAGTGGCCTTTGAGGAAGGTATATGATGGTACAATAGATTAACCATTGATGCATAATATGGACAAGCCCTACTATGCATGATAGTTTTAGGGTTCACTACCTTCTACAATAACTTATATTTACCTTTATGCATATATAGATTTAAAAAAATCACTAAACAACTTTACTCTTCTTGCTTTGCTTGTGTTTAAATGAAAACCCCTAAATGCCTTTCAGATTTTTGTGTATGTCATGGATTTTATGTAGAAGACCTAGAGGAGTACGACCCTAGTACCTCCTAGTATTTCATCACTATATTAAACATCAATATGTATGATTTTAGTTTTCATGCATATGTGATGATCATTGATGTTTATTTAGTATGAATTATTTTTTCTCATTGATGCTTATCATTCTATAGTATACTACTATATGCATTTTGATTAGTATCATGCATCTAGGTTGTTAAGAAATTATCATTTAGTGATACCGACACAAGTCCCTCTATTGTCCCCCAGATTACCATTATATGACATGTCCAGACTCCCCAGCCAAAGGTTAGGGAGAAAAACCCAAAAAAAAAAATTCCCAAATTGCGCCCATTGTCATAACTGTCTTGTACTAGTTGTCACCCAGGTAGGGATGGCAATGGGGTGGGTTTGGGGCGGGTTTGTCTAAACCATCCCCATCCCCATCTTCAAATACCCAAACCCATACCCGCCCCATACCCATGCGGGGGAATGTTTTGCAAACCCATCCCCATACCCGTGGGTTTCGGGTACCCATGGGTAATACCCGTACCCATACATCCAACATTATTATACCTAAAATTTACAAGAAAAGTTTTAATTATTACTCTAAACGAACCTATTACATCCAACATTTTCTTAATACGGTTCAAAGTATATGATCCTAAAACATCCACTAATACATAATATAGAGTATAATATTTTTCAAATTATTATCTTCTAACTCTTATACATCTACTAAGTGATAATTAACTAACATAATCTTGTAGATAAGGGGAAAAGTGAAAGAGTGAAAGGAGAATTGAGGGAAATGAATTAGATTTTGATTAAAATGGTCACTCAATTGCATTTTTACTATTTATTTCCTTGAGTTATCCTCATCACCATTGATAGATTACAATTTAATCCACATATTTTTTTTTATATGTGAAGAAATTCTCTTGGTGGGGCGGGTATGGGTATGGGTATGGGGCGGGGAAGGTCAAAACCATACCCGCCCCATACCCATCAAACTTTTTGCGGGTTTTACCCATACCCGCCCCATACCCGGTCAAAGCGGGGATTCCCCGCGTTGACTGGGTCGGGGGCGGTCGGATACCCGCGGTCATGGGTTTTATTGCCATCCCTACACCCAGGTTTAGGGGTGGGCATCCGGTTCGGTTTTACCGAACCGAACCGATTCCAAATCGAACCGAAACCGAAATTATGTTGTTCGGTTCGGAAATCGGAAACAAAAAATGCATAGTTCGGGAGCCAGGGTCGTGTTGTCCGAACCGACAATCCGAACACCGAACCGAAAAACCGAAAAACTTAATATACATAGCCAAACCCTCATAGCCTAACTCTCCACACAACCCAATTGAGCCCAAACCCTCACTTACAGCCCAACTCTCCCCACAACCTACCGAGCCCAAACCCTCGCAAGTCACAACCCTACCCTCTAGGCAGTTCGCCCCCTTTCCCACTCACGGCCGTCGCCGCTCCACTCCGTCGCTGTCTTCTCGAGGACCTCGATTCCTCTGGCTCTCCATCGACGCCGTCCCACGCAGAGCACAGCCGACTGACCCCTTCCCATTCCCTCCACCCGCTCCAATCTCATAACCAAAAACCTGCAAAGAACGAAACACATTCAAAGAACAACAGAGGCAAAATCCATAAAAAAATCTCTAATTGAAGAAGCAAATTGAGGAGACAGAGAAGAATTGAAGATCGGCAACATGCAAAGCACGAAGAAAGCAGTAGTAGGTGGGGAATCTAGATCTACAATCTGGATTTGGGACTCTCTCAGTGAGAGATGTAGATGCGCACCAAAATCAAAAACAGAGACGAAGGAGAAAAAAACAAGCCAAAATTTACATGCAATCGCTGCCGTCGATGGCCATCGTCGCCTGAGTTGTTGTCATTGCCGTCGATTGCATGCCGCCGCCGGGTTTTCCTCTCCGTCGAACGCCATCGCCACCTGAGTTGTTGCCGTTGCCGTTGCCATCAATTGCATGTCGCCGCCTGCTGCTAGGTTGTCTTCTCCGTCGATCGCCATCTCCGCCTGAGTTGTTGCCGTCGTCGTCGAGTCCAGAGAGGGGAGGAGCAATCGCCGCTTGCGTTGTGCTCTGAGTAGAGAGAGAGAGAGACAGAGAGAAAAAGAGAGCGCATAATAGAAAATGGGGAGATAGATTAGGGTAAATGGGGAAGTTCGGTGTTGCCTTAAAACCGAATTCGAACCGAGATATATTTCGGTTCGGTTGAACCGAACCGAAATATATCTCGGTTCGAATTCGGTTTGCCCCCTGCACTACTTCGGAAATCCGGTATTCATCTGTTCGGTTCGGTTAAACCGAACCGACCGAATGCCCACCCTACCCAGGTTGTCCTCTCTCAAATAATTTCTAGCTTATTCCTTTTTCTTTCTCACCACTCCAGTCGACTAATTAACTTCACCGTTGGAGGTGCCTTTGTCGAGATCCGCTGGTAGACTCTTTTTGCAAGGATAAGCTGGAGGTGACATCAAGAATAACAGCCTATATAAAGAGTGCTCATCATCCCACTTTGATACCCAATTTATATATATATAAAAATTTCGACGTTTGCTACAACCCCGACATCAACCTAAACAATACACTCTCTAAAAGTTATATGTAAGTACCTAATTTTACTTTTCTTAACAATTCAGCACCTAAACTTTAAAGCATTCTACAAACAGGTCGGAATTTTTTTTGGACAAATCCGAATTTTCATACTAGCTACTGTCTGAAGACATGCATTTGAACAAATCCAAATGCATATCAAATTTACCTAACATGCAAAGTCCAAACAAATCATTTACTAATATTTGTAATTCAAAATCTCAAATCTAAAATTTCAAACCCACACCCAGTACTTTTAGGGGTTGTTTGGAGAATATAAGTTTAAATCTATAGATTGTCAACAATCTAAAGATTCTAACTCTCCAGATTGTTGAAAACAGATTTTAAAATATTTATTGTTTGGTAACTGTGATTAATAACATTCAATTAAAATAAAAATTTAATTTTATATTAAATAAAATTTGTATCCTTAATAAAAAAAATTAGAGTGGTTCAAGAAATGTTAAAAACTTTGTTGATAGATATATTTCATGTGATAAATAAATAGAAGTAAGAGAAAAACTAGGAGAAAAAAAATCTCACGAATCAAGATATAGAATCTCTCTGATTATGAGAGATTTGATATCCGCACATTTTAAAGATTTTAAATCTCTAAAGCTAGAATCCATAATATAGAAAGCAACAAAAAAACATAACTTTCTACATAATCTACAGATTTAGTGAATCCATGTCCTGAATCCTGTTCTCCAAACGACCCGTTAATACAACAACAAATCCCCTACTAATCATGGAAGAATCCTCCTTGTACCATCCTCATCCATTTCCCAATTTATTATCAAAACAATGCAACTGATGTTTTCTCTCTGAGTAGAAGAACCGCAACGCCTAGTTTGATGTTGCCATATACCAATTTCTTTTCTTTTTTTTCCTCGCTGCTGAAAGCAATACGTACCAGAAGGAAGCCACCAATAATTTGACTCCCCCCTCGCTCACTATATCAAAAAGTCCTTTCTCTCCTTCCACTACCACAAAAAGCTCAAATTATGGTAGAAAGCGGCTACAGACCGACGGCTCTTCCGCCGCGGCCTCCTCCTCCTTCTCCCTCCAAATCCTACCTCCCGATGCTCTACTACGGCCTAGTAGTCGTCGGCACCGCCGCCGTCGTGCTCGCCCTCTACAACATCGTCATCATCCGATTCTGCATCCGACACCGCCGCCCGCCGTCGAGTCCCGGCGGCAGCGACGGGGAAGCTGCGAATCACTACGGAAGCCGGGGCCGCCGCCGCGTGAATAACCTGCGGGCGCTGTCGAGCTTCAAGTACAGGAAGCAAAGAAGAGAAGGCGGCAGTGATGATGACGACGACGACGGCAGCGGCGGCGTCGGCGGGAGGAGGAGGAGGAGGAGCTTCGGCGAGTCGTGCGCGGTGTGCCTGTGCGCGTTCGAGGAAGGCGAGGAAGTGAGGCAGCTGCCCAACTGCGGCCACCGGTTCCACGTGGCGTGTATTGATATGTGGCTCTACTCTCACCCCGACTGCCCTCTCTGCCGTGCCGCCGTTCAGATTTCGCCCCCGCCGCGGCCCATAACTACTACTTCCGCCGGAGCAGCTGCCGTGTCGATGACGTCAGGCAGCCAGTCATCGGCCGGTGGACAACGACAAGAAGGGATTGTGTTGATGATAAGCTCTGCTCCCCTTACTTGATTAAGCGTCGAGCGAATTTGAATTTCTTAATTCGTTGATCGATAAAGTAATTACTGAAGACAGTAGAGAAAAATTAATTACTTTTAGTAACATATTTTAGGTTCTGTAAAATTAAAAGGTTGAAAATAGTCGGTTGTAATCGAAAAGTCAGTGATAGGTTATTTTATGTTGAAATCGGGGTTTAACCGTTCATGGTTCACCTGTTTCATGTGGATAAATATCGCCTACTGAATTCGCTTTCAATAGGATGTTTTTCTGGTCGAACTGCTAATACGGTATGGTTTTTCAATCATTGATGATGTAAGCAGAATCCTGGAATCCGAACTCGCTCACGAATCAGAATACGCAGCTCTTACTTAATTTTTAGGGTTTTTCTGGGATTTTCTCAAGAACTAAAAAAATTAAAGGATAGGATGGGAAAGGATTGTCGTGCAACTTCAACACACGGGAAGAGGCTCGAACAATATCAGTGTAGATGCCCGCTCATGATCAATGTGATTTTGATCGATACAGAGTTAGAGTCGAGTTTGGAATCCACCAAACTCACATTCAGGAGTAAACACTCAAGAACAAAAGTTTATTTTTTATTCATCAAAGTCTTAATTGTCTCTTAAAATTCGTTGCTTACAACCTTTTAAATAGGTATGAAAAATAAACCTAATGAAAACACCAAAAAAGAAAAAAAAATCATAAACGAAAAAGATAACAAAACTCGGCAGGACCCAAAACCCAATCTATATACTCAGATCGGGTATTTTACATAACTGGCCGGCGAAAATTCCTGGACCGAATTCCCGGTCTCTTCTCCCATTTCTCCGATCGGGGAATTGATGATTCCGGCAGGGTTTTCTAATCTGCTTTGGCAGCCGGGAATCATATCAATTGATAAAATCACGATTGTACAGTTTTTTTACAATGTTGTTGTCCCTTGTCAGGAACGGCTTGGAGGTTTCGTCGTATTGATTGTAGTAGATTAGTAAAGAGTAGATGGCTGACGGTGCAAGTAACGACTCCTTTATCTCATTGTTTTTTGTCGTTTTACAAACTCAGATTTGGATCTGATTATCTTTAGTCAGTGGCCAAGATTAAATTAAGGAGGGCCAAAGAGCGCTCTAATCATAGATACTAATTACTCCATATACAAGCTAGATAAGCACTCTCTCTGCTTATCCCAAGCCATGACACTCTTTGTTCTTCCATTCGCTCCACCTATGCCCCAAAAGAGTTAAATTGCAAATATGTATAAGGTGATATATTTGTTCTTTTAGTTAGTATATATTAATTAAACTAATATATAAAAGCATAGGTTTGAGTTACTATTTATTAGAGGCTCTCACACTTTTTCATGTGCAAGTGAGGAAGTTCCAAGTCCTTCTTTTATCCCACTCTCCATTCTACAACCTTTGTGTTTAGTTATTGTTTGTTAGGTTTTCGTCTATGGCTTTTTGCACTAATCATCGCCTTTAATTAATTAATTAATATATAAAAGCCTAAGTTTGAGTTACTAATTATTAGTGGCTCTCACACTCCTCCAAGTGCAAGTGGGGAAGTTCCAAATCCTTCTTTTATCCCACTCTCCATTCTACAACCTTTGTGTTTAGTTATTGTTTGCTAGGTTTTCGTCTATGGCTTTTTGCACAAATCATCGCCTTTGTGTTTAGTTATTGTTCGCTGGGTTTTCGTCTGAGGTCATCTCGAAATACTGTCGGCGGGATCCTAATTTGTTCCCCACCATCGTTTTCTAAAGCTGCTACTACTAGTTTTTATCGAGTCCGAGTTTCATCCTCTTCAATGTTTTTCTCTCTCTTTCTTTTCTTCCTTTTTGTTGAGTAACCCAAACACATGGGTATCCTATCTTGAACATATATCATCGCCTTTGTCCATAATTTTGCAGCCCATCTCGAAATACTGTCGGCGGAATCCTAAGTTGTTCCCCATCATCGTTTCCCAAGCCGCTACCGCTACCACGAGTTTTGTATCTGGACCGAGTTTCACCCTCTTTAGTGTAATTTTTTCCTTTTTGTTGAGAATGATATCACAATTGAACCCAAACACATGGGTATCCTAACTTGAACACAAATCATCACATTTGCCCACCATTTTGCAGCCCATCTTGAAATATTGCCGGCGGAATCCTAAGTTGTTCTCCACAATCGTTTCCCAATGTTACTACCACGAGTTTTGTATTGGGCACCCCTATGAAAAATTTCTGGGTCCGCCACTGTCTAAGAAGATTAGGAGGTACGATACCAAACCAATAGTGATATGAACCTCAACTCTCTCGCGAGCTAAATTTCCTAACCCAATCACCATACTCGCTGACTGTACACTTACCAAAAGCTCTAAGCCTCAACCCCCGACTCAATGAACAATTTTGTACATAAGTGTAACCTCTGAAATGTCACATTCTCTAAAGATTCTATTGTTTCTCTTATTCCAAATAGACCAGACCAACCCCAATCAAACTAGACAAAAAAAGAGGAGTGGAGGCCATTGAATGTTACTTATGTTGTTAGGTTGGAATCTAGACAAATTAGGTGCTATTATCTCGGTTATGCATCTATAAATAACATTGTAGCAAGATAACGACCTAAATTGTTTCATGTGAGAGCCAAAAAGTATTTGGGGATGAGGGTTAGGGTTGAATAGTGGAATTGATTTCCTTTGGAGGTGAGCAGTCGCAAAGAGATAAATCCAGACTATCATGGCACATGATTAAATGGAAGGGTTATACTTATTGGAGACATCGAAGGGTTGGTTTTGTTTACAACCATCCCTCATATATAAGGATAAATATTGAATTATCAAAATGATTCGGATGAATCAAGTCCCTATTGCTATTGGGTTTGATACTCTGCATTGCAATCCACTGAGTATCAAAGTTTTATTTCACAGAATTTCAACAGACTAGACGACCCAAATTTATTTTGTCCACATTACCAAATACTATTAATGAAGGAGATTGGAGCTTTATGAACCCTTTAGTGATATGGGGTTCTTTTTTAAGACGAATGAGACAGCATGTATTTGTACAAAACTGAAGCCACTGTAGCAAGCAAGTAAAGAACAACAGCTATATTTACGAAATGCTGTTCTGAAACTGTAATAGATCGATACATGGTATCAGTATGCTTCGCTCTCAAAACTGGTAATAAACTCTGGCCTATGCTTGCGCGCGCGGAGGTTGGTGCTGAATTTCCAAATCTAAGGCTGTACACATATTGTCAGATCAAACTCCTGTCAAAACTAGTAATAAACTCTGGCCTATGCGGTGCTGGTTCTCTGCTCTGTACACTGAACACCTTTCCTGTATCACCAAATCTGTAATCATCTTTACAAACTGCAACGTAGGAGGTAAGTGTTGTCTTCCACCAGCCCTTCACTTGCCTGTTCAATCATCTGGCAGACATATAATCGAAGTCAGAAAGACATGACAAACAAACGAACAAGAACCGAGCTGAGTAACCAGGCAGCAACTGATAAATGGTTCGCTACTGGACTAACCTCAAATCCCATCTTCTCAAAGAGCTGCAGTGCAGGTTTGTTGTTTCTATCCACATGAACGTACAAAAGTTTCACACCTGCCACCGGAATCAACAATATTCACAACTTTAAGCCGCATGAACTGTAATAACGAGCCATTTCTAAGTTTATATCCTGTGATTTTAATACATACCATAAGACTTGGCCGTTTCAATTGCAAACCGCATCATGTTAGTCGCTATCCCATGACGACGAGCAAACTTCGCGACCACCAAGTTGGAGACGTAACCGTATCTGTCATCCCATCCTCCGTGGATGTCGCGGAAGTGAGACTGAGCATCCCTTCCAATAACCCCAGGGAAGATCTCTCCAGGAAAAAACCGGCGGATGCTCAAGTCTAGAGTCCCAACCACACTCTTCAGTACTGTGGGTTTCACCATCCCACCTTGCTTTCTCAGCTAAGAAAAGAAACAACGGGTGACTTTGTAACATTTTCCCTCATGCTGCTATGCAAAGATATAAAACTATAGACGACGGAAGCACGTACTGTGATTATGCACTTAGGTTGTTGGCCAACTGGACCAATTAATCGGTTTCTAATGGCCTTGAACTCCTACCACCAATTAAGGAAACAGAGCTAGTAAATAGATCATTCAGTGGAATCCTTGCTTATGCCAGAAGAAGCCAACTGAAGAAGATTAAAGAAAAGTCCACAAATGCTACCTCATTCGCATATTTCATCTTCAGACTCTGAGAAAACCTGTGTTCATCAGATATAGGCCAAAATCATTAGGGTCTAACTACTGGTCTTAACCTTAACAATGAACCATTCAATTCCAAATGCACTACAATCAAGTTTTCAAGTGAAAGGCTATCAATTTGAACCATCAAGTGGACAAGAACGGCATGAACAAGAATCAATGCAGAGGACCATAACAGTACAGAAATTGGGAATCAGTAAAAGGCAGTTTTGATGGATTTTACCGTACCTGTCTTTATCTCGATTCTCCCAGTGGCTTTCTGCTCGCAGCCAGGCTGCTGTCTGCGGGCAATCACAAGAAGCAAACATTGGAGTCATTGCTTAGCATCAGATTAACTGCAATAGCCTACGATCACATCATGATACTGTGGCCAAGAATCGAAACAAGAAGTGCGAGGGAGAACAAGATAATTCTGAAGGTTTCCTTCCAGAGAACAAACAGAATCCAGATGAAGGAGCCCCAATTGCAGCAGAACCCAGAATGGGAATCAACAAGGAAACGATGGATAGAATTAGAACGAGGGATTTACCCAGAATTCTTCATCAATTAAAGCTCCTCTAGCAACGAATTGCCCGAACTCCATCTTGCTAATGTTCACCAAATCCTCCTCGGGTAACTGCAGGCGATCAAAGCGCAGATCAGGCAGCTTGGGCGTGTCATCCCCTTTTGGATCAAAAGCTGCAGGGTGATCTACGTGAAAAGAAAGCTCTTCCCTCTTCTTGGTCTGGAAAGACCCAGAATTCATCGACCTGAAACTCGGTCGAAAGGTATCCAAACAAGAACAGAATGAGGGACTACCGAGAAAGAAAGAAAGAAAAAAAACCGAATCAATGGCGGTCACTAATTTCCCACCCAATTCCCAGAGAGAAAAGAAGGAACAGAAAGAACCAAGCAAAGAAACAGAAAAGGAGAAGAGAAAAGTGTAGTTGGATTCGTACATTCTCCAAGAAGCGGTGATAGTGGAGAGCTTGCGAATGCTTCTGGAGGAGGCTGGAGAGGCCAAGAGCACCGGCGGCGCGTGAATGGGAACAGCGGTAGTCAGCATGGTAGCAAGAACTTCTCTGAATAGGCTTCCCGCCGAAGAATTTCGATCTTCCGAAGCGGAGAGAACAGAGGAAGAAGAAGAAGAAGAAGAAGAAGAAGAAGAAGAAGAGAGGGGAAATGGCGATGGCTTCCTTTCTGGCTGGTTGATTCGTCGCTTTCCAAATGACTGAGACTTTCTGATTCTGTTGGTTTGTTGCGGCGTTAACAGAAAGGGGAAAGCTTATAAAAGGAAGGAAAAAGGGTCGTCGCCGTTCCCGACTGCAGTGGGCCCCAGCAACTTTGGATGAGGTGGAAAATCAAACAATAAAATGTATATTCTTAATCCATGTTTCTAACAACCTTGCTAATTTTTCGCATTTACTGAAACAAATTTTGTGCACTGCATACTAATTTTCTAGTCATTAAGCGACTAATTATTCTAAGAAATCATTTTCATAGTTCTTCTATACACATAAAAGAAAATTGCTCGATGTAGTTTATTGGTTAAACAATCTAATAAATGAACTGATTTAAACAAGAGAAAATAGATGCATTGTTCTCAATAGAAAGAAAGATAAAAAAAGAATTGTCCACGTGTTGCTTCTTTGTTAAGCTTATGATGTGCAATTGGCCAGTCAATGGGAACTATGAATCCACCCAATTAGAACTCACTCAATATATATTTGACCGGATATGACGGATGGGTGTGAGGCATTTTTTATGTAGCTCATATAATGTGGGTAAGTGATACGCAGTGTAGGAGGCTAAAGTGGTAGGTGGCATTTGACGGTACTTACCGTTGAACTACGGTTAAACCACGATTTTACTATAAAATACTTTACTGCTAACTTTTCCGGTACGGTCTCGATACAGTTTCGTGGACCATGGTGATAGGTGGTGAGTCATGGCTCGTAAAACAACTTGATATATTGAGTATATATTCTATATTAATACATTTATCTCTTTTTACTGCAAAATGTTAACTGTGATTAATGTAGTCAAAAGTACAATTATACGTCGAATCATTTTGATGACAAATAAGTGTTAAAACGTAAGCTTTAAAACATAGTTTTGACTACATTGACCATGATTAATTTGATTAATAATAAATAATTTCTAATGAAGTTTACTTGATTAGCTGATAAAGTTTATTGAAATTACTAGATTCTAATGAAAGTTACTGGATTATTTTATTAAAATGATCCCCTCCAATTTCAAAGTCGAATACATTTCTCTCTCAAATTTTTGTGGCAATTTATGTTAACTTAAATGATATGTCAGATTTCAAATCTTTGCACATCGATAAAAATCCAAAATTCGAAAAAGATAAGGTTAACACGATATTTAAAGAAATTGAAATCATGCAAGTCCAACAACATCGGATATTAACATAAATTTTTTCTTTTTTTCTTTTTTGAGATATGTATTAAAAAAAAACGCAATCTTCATATCCAATCACGGTAAAACTATGTGCAAAGATTTAACCACACTTCCAAACAAGAAAGATGCATTGAATCAATGAAACAAGAAAAGCAAAAGCAGCAGCAGTCAATTTACTAGCCACTAGCTTGCTTTACAAAGGAAGAAGGTGGAAAAAAAAAAAAGAAGGAAGAAACAATAGATTTTCGAATAGAATTCCTTGGTTCGGTGGGTTCCCAATTCCGTGCCGTTCTTCTCCCCATCAGATTCCTTAGTCGATAAATAAACAATTTGAAATTTCTAACAGGCCGTGGATTCACCGTAAATATTGTCAAGCACCGCAATCACTCCGAACACAAACGCTTGATCCACTCCGGGCTTCACCACCACGTAGTACAAATCCATGTTTCTCATCCCTTTCTCCACTCCAATCTGATTTCCCGCCATAAAGAAAAAAAAAGAATCACCAAATCAATGGATTGTTCTCCAAAATCCCCGCAAATTGAAACCAAGAAATCAGCTAATTACTTACCTGGGCCATGATGCGGCCCAAATGATCCACAATGGTGCAGGCTTTCTCCGGGAACCGGCCCTGGACCTCGAAATCCCAGTCCCCGCCGCTGGACCTCCTGGGCTCCGTCGAGATCCGGATCGCGCTGGTCCGGCCCAAGCACGAATTGGGCTCCTTCAGCTTGAACACCAGCTTCTTGATCCCTTCGTAATCAAAACTGTAGCCTTTCCACTTCCTGTTAATGCTCAGCGCCTGGACCACGCCTTCCTTGCGACGGATGAGGAGCAAGGCGTCTCCGGCGCGGTCGCGGACGATGAGTTCCCCTTGCGATCCCAGCACCCCGCAGCCTTCCACCCGAAAAACGACACTCTGGGTCGAATCCTCCGTCACCACGAACCCGCCGCCGGTGACGGTTTGGGGCCGTTTTCTGACCGTCAGCACCACCTGAGACGGCGAGCAGTACAGCTTGCTTATGATCGCCACCGGCGCCTTCAATTTCGGACTGGCCATGGACTTGTTTATGTGGAATATATGGAAGTAATTATACGTCACGCGCCCAGATCTTAGCTTGGAGATGGAGGGAATTGGAACTGTTGTATTTTGTGTATTTGTTTCTTGAATTGGGGAATGGACGTCTCTAACTACTTATAGATTAGAGAGAGGGGGACAAATTGAAGACTTGTTTTTGAAGCAATAACGAATTGGGGAGTTGGGTGGGAAGTGGAAGGAAGAAGATGAAGATGCCACCCCTCAAAAATGGCTATCGCCGAATTTGATGAAATGGGGGGTTTTGTGGGGACGGGACGGGGGAGTTGAGTTGACGTGTCAAGTTTGGCTCACGCGCCGCCGAACCCTTGGTGCCGTTTCTTACCAGGGACAAACCTAAAGTTGCCACGTGGCTGGAAATTCATGGCCGAGATTAAAATTGAAGAGTGTTAGTTTTTTTCGGTTCTTGGTTGCCCATTGATTGAACTATAGCTTCTTGTGTTAGGTTGATGGTTATCAATATATGGATTTGGTTTCTTAACACCTGAAACATGTATGGGTTTACAATTATTTTTAAACAATGTAGAGATACTTGAGGAGAGTTAAACAATGTAGAGATACTTGAGGTAGACATGTATCCTATGAAATAATTTTGTTTCTCTGATGTAATGTAAAGAAGACGATAAGTTCACAAATGGTGTTGCCTATATGATAATCGACTCGAAATCGACGGCTGAACAGACCTACAACTCGAACCACTTTAGAGGTGAAGAAACAAAATCTATTAATCAAGCACACGAGTCCTCTCAAATCGGGAAGGCAAAAGGAGGAACTTGACTAATCGCAAACCGTAACTTCATAAAGGGAGGAGCACATAGAAAAGATAGAGAATAAAGCATGGATTACGAAACCGTACCGGACATCAAACCGGAATCGTTTTTGGTATGGTAAATCGTGGTACAACCATGGTTCAACCGTTTCCTACAGGAAAATACCGTTTTTGGAATAAAAAAAAATATTTTTTTGTTAAAAAACCGTACCGACAAAATTAGGGTACCATACCGGGAAAATACCGGAATAAAACCGGATTATACCGCCTAAGAAACTGTAAAAGAGTAAATAAGCTTAGGTAACATTCAACAAAGTGCGAGATTTCAATACCTAATAAACCTCATAATCATCCAAATACATTTTTAGAAACTAGTACAAAAACCACAAGCTTAATGTTCACAAATCACAAGCTTAATGTTCCACAAATCACAAGTTATTTAGCCAATTTATTTAGCCAATAATTGAACTGGAGCAAGTGGAATATAATTCTCTATTTGAATTTAGGTTGGAATATTGGATTGAATCTAATCCTTTAGAGTTGCTATGTAGCATAGCAGCCAGCTAGCAGAAAGAAAGATGGAATTTGTATCGACAACTTTTTCCTAGCCTTGCTCTTCGATTTTCTTTGGATGGAATTATTAGTGACCTGGAGCAGGGGGAAGGAGGTCACCTGGAGCAGCCGAACCGTCCTTCTCCTCCGGCGCGGCGCGGCTGTGAACGAGTTGCTGGGGAGGACGAGTCGCCGAGGTCACCTGGAGCAGCCGAATCGTCTTTCTCCTCCGGCGCGGCGCGGCTGTGAAGTGTGAACGAGTTGCTGGGGAGGACGAGTCGCCGAGGTCACCTGGAGCAGCCGAACCGTCTTTCTCCTCCGGCGCGGCGCGGCTGTGAACGAGTTGCTGGGGAGGACGAGTCGCCAGTGGTGTTTGGATGCTGGGGACGCCGCTGTCGCCACTCGCCGGTGGTGAGAAAATGCAAAAATGGAAAGGAGTTTGGATGGAAAGGCAGAGCGGCGCGGGGGAGACGAGAGGAGAGTGAGGAGAGAAGCGCTAGCCAGCAGCAGCCGAAGGTAGGGTTTCGAGTTTTTGTCTCTTCTTCTCTTTTTTTTTTTTTTTTTACTTGGTCAAAACGGCGCGTTTCATTTAAATTAAAGGGACCGCCGGTTTTAATAAAACCGGCCGAAATTTCGGCCGGTTGCGGTCCAACCGTAAAAACCGCCCGGCAGCCTCTTGAATGGTACAAAGGCCATGTTGTGCCGGTCCAGGTCCGGTTTCCGGTTTTTCCGGTCCGACCGGCCGGTCCGGTACGGTATCCTTGTCCTTGGAATAAAGTGATCCTACAAGAACAACGGTCACGTGAACGGGCTATAGGAGAAAACTTACGACACACTCGTCCACAAGCTACCCACATAAAAACTAGCGCCGTTTATATAGTAATTCAAAATTTATGCATACGGTGAGACCTATTGTTTATTTGATTATTTCACTACCATAATGTGAAGATAAGTGATATAATCAGATTATCCAAACTACAGCTATAGGAACATTCCTTATATTTTAAATGGCATCATATCCGTACAACCCAAATCAACCGTGATTAAAAAGGTAAGCTCATTACCAATGCTATAATATTTGCAAAAGATATGTAATTAACATGTGATTGTATGGTATTACAAGGAATACTTAATTAACACAAGCACGCATCATGGAAGTTAAAACTTGTGAAGGTTCTAACCAATTCTGTAAGAAAATATTCACTCCTTTTCGAATAGTCAAATTTAATTTTGAGTTAGGTGTTAAATCCCCTTTCTACGCGAATATTTCCACTAAAAATATTATTAGGGGGATGGAAGGAATATATTGTGGAAAATGATTTGCTGTAACGTTTGTCCAACTCCATACTCTAATTATTGATTGATGCTCTTCTCCTTTAAATGGGTAGCTTAGCTTTGGTAGCAAGTTCTATATATTTTGGGTTGGAATGGAGAAAGTTGATTAGTAGATATTCCGAAAATATGTAAGCGAACTAGGTGACTGGATGGCCGGTTCATTCATTACTCCATGTTTCACAACTTATGTGCATAGCTGTTTTCATGTGGAATGATGGCAGCTAGCTTGTTTTTATTTTTATTTTAAATAATCTTATATTGAATCGAAAGAGATCGAACAAATTACAATCTGGTATACAATTAGGAGAGGAAATCAAAAGAGCGATATATAGCCTGATACAAAGAAAGACTCTTTCTAGGCACTAAGTGGGCTACCCGATTGCTATTCCGACCTACAAATCGTACACGAATCTCATGAAAGTTTCCCGACAGACCATGAACTTCCGCAAGAATGGTACCAAAAAGTTTATCTTGAGCACCAGTCAAATTTACCTTATAAATGACCACCTTTACATCTCCTTCAAACCGAACTTGCGAAAGACCACAATCCAGACACTACTGGATGGCCTCGCGGAGCACTAAAAGTTCAACAGTAAGCGGGTCATCAATATCCATAATATGAATACCTCGATCCAAGATAATCGAACCACTCTGATCCTAGCAAGGTTGTCAACTCGGTTTAGTCCGTTGGCCCGGTCGAGCAAGTGAGTTGAGGGTTAATGGGTCGACCGCTTTAGCCCGGATATATGAAAATAGTCATTATATTGTTCATACATTTACAAATTATATCAAATTTGATCAAACATATGAATAATACACATATAACATTACAACAAAATAACTTGTCGTGCTTGGATCCAACTTATAGCGAAAATTCACACACTTATGTAACATCAATATTCAAATTTCTAACTTAAGAATTAAAAAGATTGGGTTAGGTAAAAAAAATAAAAAAATGCACATTTCACAAACCAAATAAAAAAAAAACAATACAATTTGACCTCCAACACGATGCCCTGTAGTGGTCAACACGACAGGTGTGTGCGGCTCATTTTTTTTCACTTGGTCAACCCACCGGTCGACCTGTGGATTGACAAAAAATGTTTCAAACGTACGAAACTCGGTAATGGCGAAACATATTATACTATCACTTTTTGTTAGAGATACAATTAGGTGTATACCATGGTTGTCATGTCGGTGGCATGCCACCCGGTTGAACCTGATTGAACCTGTGCCGGTCATGAAACCGGCATGACACCACCGGTATGACCGGTATGATCGACTTACGCATTCTAAGTAAAATGACATCATTTTAATGAATTTAATGAATAAAAATAATAATTTATTATTCATTTTATGAATGTAATAGTTAAAAGTTGATGATATATGTTGGATTGTAACTAAACTGTCCACAAAAATATTTTATATATGATTAAATACATTAAATATAAATTATTTTCACATTTTTTTTAGACTGGCATGAACCAGCACAAACTGATTATACCACCGGTCGTACCATTCGACCAGCGGCGGATCCAGAACACAGAAGTGCACTGGGCCGTATTTTATTATAAAATTAGAATAGTCAAAAAATATTATGATTATAATTTTTTTACAATGTAAATTATACACGACGGTATTTTAATTTAGCGAATGCATTAATAAAGGAGTCCACATCCATACCAATAGTATACACTGTTTCAAATAAAATACTTGAGCAATCGACTAGAAATTCATTGCTCATTTTGTTGCGCAAATCAATTTCACATGTTTCATTGTTGAAAAGGTTCTATTCGTATTAGCTGTTGAAACGAGCAGCATCAACACTAGACAAATCAATCTACTAATCAATTTACATTGTGCTTCCATCCCTATATCCACCAGCTGCTCTAGTAAATTTTCCAAGGTAACAAACCTCATATATGTTTTAGTCTTTTACGTTTAATACTTATTGAATTTTTAGGTTTCATTGCTTTTTTAGACGAATAACCTTTGGGGTTAGAATTTATAAGCTAAATTTAGAGTAGTGATTTTGAATATGTTCATCTGAATCATTTTTCTAATTATACCCAATCTTATTTTAAAATAACAACGACACGAATATCTAAAATCGAAAAATTCATAAGGCCTATACTAACTATGGATCCAGAAGAGGGCTGGGCCGGGGCCCGGGGTGGCCACCCCCTGGATCCGCCACTGCATTCGACTTGCCAAACGGGCAGAACGGTATAAACCGGTTTGACAACCTTGGTGTATACAACTTCGTTAATGGCCATTGCTCTACTCTAGACTCTAGTGCTGTATCACGCGTGACTGCAATCAATTACACCCTATCCAAAAAGGTCCATACGGCACGATAACAGGCAAGTAGTTGAAGGTATTTAAGCACAGCATGAGCCCAGGCCAGTGATTTACTCTCCTCCATATCCAAAACCGCATTACTATACATGCATACCACATGCAAGCTTGTACTAGTGCCCAGATACAATACAAACCTTTCTATACTTCCACAGTTTCAGTACATACTAATTTCTACAAACCCACTTCTCCCTCTTGTTCTCTCACCATCAGCAGTACTCATGATTTAGTGGTACAATCATGGGTTGTTGATCGGTATGTCAACAAAAACAAACTATAAGTATGTGCGCGAACTTTACAAACACAATGTGTAGTGCTAGCTCGTTTACAAGTAGAGGAAACTAGTTTCACTATTTCGATGAAACTATATATAACAAACTACTGAGGATCAAAAAGTACAAATATATAAATTCTTTTATGATAAACGGAAAAGGGAAAGAAATATATCGCAAAAACTATAAAAAAAAAATTTGGACGAAACTCATACACTGTGAGACTCTCAGACTGCCAATCGTAGGTCAGATAAACATATGATCGAGATTCAAGGCAACGCAACATGATAACATATCGATAGGATATTTTTATTAAAATAATACTATAATTAAATAATACACGACCAAAATCAATAAATTCAATCAATTATTGTTGATAGGCAAATTGGTTGTATGTATCAAGGACCGTAAAAATCGTATTAGAGGTTAAACCATATAAGATATTGGTAGGATATTTTGTGATTGAACTTTTTTATACCAGTAAAACCTTATCCTGAATTCCTAATTTGAACTTTAGTAGCTATTTTTTTCTAGTCGGATAGATCGATATCAAACACTAATATATATACATCCATGCTTGGATAGGGTGTTAATACCCCTATGTCTTAGCACCATGTTAACATAATTATGAAGGACATTAGTCCTTATGTTAACTACTGTACATAATAGTTACTTCATCTCTTCCTCCTCTCGTCCTCCACTTCTATTTGTGTAAAAAAGTCGGTATGTTGCTTGTAAAATAATTTATTTATCATTATAAAAATAATTTCTCCATTATAAATCTTTTATTACTTGTGATCTTTTATAATGTTCTTGATTTAATTATTTTATCATTATGAAAATAATTTCTCCATTATAAATCTTTTATTACTTGTGATCTTTTATAATGTTCCTGATTTGCTACGTGAGTTTCTGGTATGCTTCATGAGAGTTATGGTGTGGTTGCACATATTTATTGTATGTTTCATCCTTCAGGGAGCTCTTGTAAGTTTTACGAGGTATCTTTTCATGAAACTTGTTTTTTGCTTTATGAGGTTTATACCTTCTTTAAGAAACTTATGGTAAGATGTATGAGGTTTCTAGTATACTTCAGGGAACTTGTGGTCAGCTAATGAGATTTTAGGACTGCTTCAGAGAACTTGTGGTATGCTTTGTGACATTATTTGTATGCTTTAAAAAATGTGATCAAATTTATGAGGTTTATGGTTTGCTTGAGAGGACTTGTGGTCAACTTTGAGTTTTCTAGTATGCTTTATAAATTTTGTAATGTGGTGAGATTCTGATATGCTTTATAAGCATTATGGTCTACTTTATGTTATTTGTAATATGGTTTGTTGTGTTTCTGATATGTGTTTTGTGGTCTGCTTCATGATAATAGTGATCGATGCTGCTAAGGATGGGACGTGAAATAAATGGACAACGCCACGTACATGTTTCCCTTAAATTTTAAAAATGATAAACATGGCCCTCCCTTTAAAAATCAATCTTAATTGTGGTCAACCTTTTAAATATGAAAATTCATCAAAATGAAATGTTTATATTGGATGGAGTTAGTGTTGTCACCAAGCTAACAAATTGAGTTTTAAAACATTAACCTAACTCATATACATCCTACCCAGCCGACTCATAATATGCAAATTTTATGGTTCGACCGGCAAGGTACTACAATCCAGGGCTCTCTCACATAGCTAGCCAATCACCACTCGGTATCGACCTACCCCTGATCCTCTTCCTAGGGATGACAATGGAGCGGGTTTTTATCTGATTCCTCATCCTCAGTTCCACATAGCCGAATCCATACCCACCTCTTACCCATGAGAAGGGAGGTTTTGCAACTCTATCATCTTACTTACGATTTTTGGGTACCCATGGGTAAGACCCACCAAGACCACGTATATCCAATATTACAATATCTAGAATTCAACATATAGGTCTTCTTTTATAATACTAAACAAACCGAATAAATCATGAAATAAACAAAGAGACAATCATTCTCAATACAAATTCAAAGCATTCAATCCTAAAATATCCAATAATTCATAAAACAAAGTACAATACTATCCAAATCATTCATCTCTGACTCTCACACATATACTAAGTAATAAACAACTAACATAATCTTGTTTACACGAGGAAAAGTGAAAGAGTGAAAAGATAGTTGAGGGAATGAAATTAGTGTTTGGTTTGGGTGACCACTCAATTACAAATCCACTTTTTATTTATTAATTATCATTCTCGCCATTGAAGTTACAATATGATCCTATATTTTTAATATACGAAGAGATAATCTTCGTGGGAGATGTATTGGTATGACTTATGAGTATGGTTATGGATCGAAAATGCTAAAACCAAATATGTCTCATCCCATCAAGCGTTTTGTTGGTTTTACACATACATGCCTCATACCCAATCAATATAGTAAGTCCCCACATTGATTATGTTAAAGGAATCAGGTACTCACAGTTGTGAGTTTGATTGTTATCCCTACCCTACATAGGAATGAAAATGGGGCATGTCCGGGGCTGTATCTTGATTCTCATACCTGTCCCATGACAGGTCGTGTTTAGGGTGACTAAGTTATGTATCATGGGATGCAGGTCGGGACAAATCGATCATATGAGTAAAGTTATTTTAAAAAATAATATTAGAAAATTTCATTTTAATTAAAAATCCAAGGAAACCACAATCTTTTCATCTTTACCTTCGCAAGTGCTGAAATCAGGGAGAAAGTCTGGTTAGATAGGCCCTGGAGCCTCTCTAACACTCAGACGGCGCTGCAAAAATGGAATGGGAGAGGATTACCAGAGGAAGTCACTAAGGATCGGCTGGCCTGCTGGGTACAAATCCATGGTCTTCATCAGTGCATGAGAGTGGAAAGTAATATAAAAGATATAGGTACTTACTACTTCCCCAAATTCCTGGGTCTCGACAGGGGAGGGCTGGAGTTCAATGGGTACAGGCTATACTCAAGAGTTCTGGTGGAGATCGATCTAAATGAACCTGTACCGGTGGGCTTCGATTTCCCATTCCTTGATGAAAGCACCGGAGTAGAACACTGTGAATGGATCTCATTCAAGTATGAACGCCTTGTGGAGCTTTGTTACTTCTGTGGCTATGTTGGGCATAACTGGCCCACCTGTGCTCGAATGGCGGAAGAGAGGAAGAGAGACCCAGAGGTCGGACTGTCGGAGATATATAATGCTTCCCTCAAGGCTGGAATCGACTCACCCAGAAGCTCACCGCCGGCGAGTGGGAGCAGCAGGAGGAGGAGTGGTGGAGGGATGCCATCGTCGCCTCTCTCCCAACGAGGTGGGTCCAGCAGCTATGGTTTGGGCGAGCAGGCCGAAAAAAGCAAAAAGCAACTCTGTGTGACAGGAGGGGAAAGGACGAAGGAACAATCAGTCCCACCAGGCTTTCGACCGTTGGAAGAAGGAGTTGGAGGAAGGCAGAATCAAGAAGTCAGCATCAGTAAGGGAAGGGAGAATTGCAGGTACAGATCTAGTATGGGGGCAAGGGATATCTCCAGTGATCTGGAGGAAGCAGCGGCGGCGATGGAGGCTAACCTAAGCCTAGGGGAGGACGAAAGTGGGAAAGGAGGAAGGGGCCGAGAGGGTGTAGTGGAGACAGGCCTGTCTTTGGGCCCAACAGAGGGCTGCTATGAAGCCCACAATACCTAGTCATATGACTTAAGGTATTTCCAAGACCAGTCCAAAATGGAGGGAGAGATGGGCCGGGCCAATAAAAAAAGAAAGGGAACTGAACACAAACAGGCCGAGTTTGCTTTGGGTTTTAATGGGGGAGGCAGTTTTTCTCAAGAAGCCCACAGCCCAAGCCTGTCTGATGGGGGGGCAAACAGAGTGAGGAGGAAGAAGAACACAAAAGGAAGCAAAAGGGCAGTAGAAAAGGGAGCAAGCATATCAAGGGAAGGAAACTATCTTGGAGAAGAAGGAGGAGCAATGGCAGCGGTGGTTCGCCAGAAGCCACCTCACGAGCCATGAGTTTGGTGAGTTGGAATTGTAGGGGGTTTGGCCAACCCCTTATAAGAAGCTATGCAAAAAGGCTTTTTCGGCGTTATAGCCCATCGATTGTCTTTCTCATGGAAACGAGTAAAAACGAAGCTTTCATGGAAGATCAAAGAAGAAGTTTTAAAATCTTCCCCAACAACAAGTATGTGGAACCAGTGAACTCTTCTAGAGGGTTTGCTCTTTGGTGGAAATCGGGTATTGATATTGAGGTTTTAGATTGTAATAGCTATTTTATGGATGTTAGTATTGACATGGGTAGAAAGTTTTATTGTACTTTTGTGCATGCCCCTTCTACATCTGTTAGAAGAAGGGAGTTTTGGGAGCTATTAAGCTCTCTTAGGGATAGTAGGGATGACAAGTGGATTGTTGTAGGTGACTTTAATGCTGCTGTGTATGATTATGAAAAAGAGGGGAGATGCCCCCTTAGGTACGAGAATGTAGAACCTTTCAAGAGGTTCATCTACCACAACGCCCTAATCGACATTGGCTTCAAAGGAGAACCGTTCACTTGGTCCAACAAGAGAACGGGTCAAAACACGGTCAGAGTTAGACTGGACAGGGTGTTGTGTTCCAATTCATGGAGAGAGCAATTTAGGGAAGCAGTGGTTTTTCACGAGAAAATGGTGGAGTCAGATCACTGCCCTATCAGACTTGACCTTCACTTTGGAGGCAACAGAAGGAGAAGGACTCCTTTCAGAGTAGACGAGAGGTGGCTAGAGAAAGAGGAATGTCGAGGTATCATAGCAAGAGAATGGGATCCAGGGGGGCCATCTTCGGCACAATTGAACAAATGCGAGAGGGAACTCAAAGCATGGTCAAAGGAGTTCCATAAAACCAACTCGCAAAGAGAGACGGATATCCTGAACAGATTGGAGGTCCTACAACAACTTCTGAGAGATCAAGAAAATGTGGAAGAAGAAAAGAGAATCACAGCGGAGCTGGCTAGATTGTGGATTGAGGAGGAAGCTTTCTGGAAGCAATGTTCGAGAGTGAGTTGGCTCCAATCAGGTGATCTGAATACATCTTTTTTCCATTCTAGTACAACGTATCGAAGACACAGGAACAGAATCCTCCGGCTCAAAGACGAGATGGGGAACTGGGTGGAGGATGAAGGAAGATTGAAAGGAATAGCAGGGAATTTCTATAAGGAGCTTTTCAAGGCGAGAGAACTGATCCCTACCAACCATCTTCTGAGTGAGTTCCCAAGAATACCACCAGCGAAATGAACGAGGATTTGTGCGCACCGGTCATTAATGAGGAAATCAGGAAAGCGGTGTTCTCCCTTGGAGCAAAAAAATCTCCGGGCCCAGATGGATTCTCGGGTCAATTCTATAGGAGATTTTGGAATACAATTGGAGAAACCTTGTGTCGTGAGATTAAAGAGTTTTTTGAGACGGCTAGCATGCCGGATGGGTGGAATGATACACACATTGTTATGATCCCAAAGGTTGATCACCCGGAGGAGATGGGCCAATTCCGTCCTATCAGTTGCTGCAATTTCAGATACAAGATCATATCTAAGATCATGGCCACTCGACTGAAGAAATGGACGCCCGAGCTTGTTTCTGAGCTCCAAACAGCCTTCACCGGAGGGCGATTGATACAAGATAATGTTATCATCGTCCACGAAGCACTTCATCATTTCAAGAATCATAAAAAGGGGAGAAGGAAGGATATGATGCTTAAGCTGGATATGAGAAAGGCCTACGATCTGGTTGAGTGGGATGGCTTGGAAACTCTACTTAGCAAGTATGGGTTTGAGGACCGATGGTGCAAATGGGTCAGTGCGTGTATCAGATCGGTAAAGTTTTCCATCCTCTTCAACGGAGAAGCATCAGAGCCGTTTGCCCCATCAAGGGGTATCCGACAGGGAGATCCTCTATCACCTTTTCTCTTTATTTTAATGTCGAATGCTTTATCCTTTCTTACTGAGAAAGCGGTGATGGAGGGTAAGATCCAAGGTATAAAACTGAATTCAAGATGCCTGGTCCTCACTCATTGCCTGTTTGCGGATGATACAGTTATCTTCGGAAAAGCTAATCACCAGGAGGCTGGACGGATCCTAGAGATTATCAATGATTATGGTGCTATCACAGGACAAGAAGTTAACTTACATAAATCCTCGGTTTTCTTCAGTGCGAATGTGACGGATAGTGAGAAGGAGGATATCATTACCCAAATTGGGTTTGCCAGCTCTAATTGCCACTCAAAGTATCTGGGGGTTCCTACGGAATGGGGTAACTCGAAGAAAGAGACCTTCTCTTTCCTCATCCAAAGAATGGAAAAGATGGGAGAAGCTTGGAAGAGCCTACTCCTATCCCATGGAGGGAAAGAAGTTCTCCTGAAAGCAGTTATCCAGGCCATTCCGACTTATATCATGTGCCTTTTCCTCCTTCCAGTTGCACTCACCAAGAAGATGGACACGATTCTTAGCAACTTCTTCTGGTCAGGATCAATGCAGAAAAGCAGTATGCACTGGTGCAAAAGAGAGATCTTGTGCTCCCCGAAGACAGAAGGAGGACTTGGTTTCAGAAGTTTCAAGGACTTCAACTTGGCACTCTTGGCAAAACAAGCATGGAGACTTCTATCCTCACCAGATGCACTCTGGAGCCGTCTGTTAAGAGGACTGTACTTCCCAAGGGGAAACTTCCTTTCGGCAAAGAAGGGCAGTAGAGCATCCTGGATCTGGGCAAGCCTATGGGAGGCCAAAAAAGTTATTGAGATGGGAACGGTAAAAGTCATTGGATCAGGTGAGAAAACATGGGTGGATCAGGATCCGTGGGTCCCTACCCTTCAAAAGGGGACTATTGGAAGCGGACCTCAGAACCACATCAGAGTTAAGGAGTGGATTGATCCGGGAGAAAGGATCTGGAACTCAAACCTCATTCAGGGAAACGTGACGGAGGATGAATTGGAAGCTATTTTGAGAATCCCTATTGGGGAAGAGGAGTCGGAGGACTTTTGGGCTTGGAAATTCAATAATGACGGCAATTTCACTGTCAAATCAACGTATCACGCTATCCATGAGACCAACACCATCACTGCGCCGCCAGGGAACTCTGATAAGTGGAAATGGATTTGGTCTTTACAGCTGCCTCCGAAGCTCACTTTCTTCATTTGGAGGTGTGCAAAGAATGGGATTGCTACGAAAGAGAGGTTGTGGCACCGTAAATGCTCCTCGGATGCGACATGCCCGGTTTGCCAGAATCAACTTGAATCCATCGCCCACTGCATGTTTGAGTGTCAGCATGCGTTATCTTCGTGGAACAACATGTTCCCATCTCTTCCACTTCCACCCCAATCCACCACCTTCTTTGATTGGTTCTGCTCATTGAAAGACAGTATTCAGCCCAATAGTCTCATCTTGATTGTCTACCTCTGCTGGAATATCTGGAAAGCAAGGAATGAGTGTGCCTTCAAGAATCGTATCCCGGCCCCAAATACCTGTAGGCAGACCGTCAGGGAATTTACCGAATGGACATCGTGCCCGAGACTATCCCAGCCTCATGTCCAACCATCTTCTGTTCAGCTTAGGGATAACCTACCTCATTCTTCTCCACCGCCAAGCAATCACCATATGGTGATTCACTGTGATGGGTCGTTCATAAGCGACTCCCAGCCGGCGGCTTTTGGTGTTGTTGTTGTTAACCACCATGGACAAGTATGCGATGGGCGAGCTGACATTTTACTTTGTTCCACCCCGTTTGAAGCAGAAGCGAAGGCGCTTTTGGAAGGTCTCAAATTAGCCCAAGAATATGGAGGAGATTGTATTGTCCAATCAGACTGTCTTATTCTGGTTCAAGCTCTCATACAGGACAAAGCGAGATGGCCATGGAGGGGAGCAACATGGATGGGATCCATGAAATCGATCCTTCAGGCCTCAAATCGCATTGAGGTCAGGTTTGTTCATAGAAAGTTTAATGCTAGAGCTGACTGGGTGGCCCGGTCGTTGGCACGAAATTCACTTCCAGATGACTGGATTAGTATTCTTGATCTAATTTCCGATTTCCTTTAGCCCTGTAACCGCCGTTTGTGTTTTCATCAGAGTGGAATAAAGTTCATCTTTGGTCCAAAAAAAAACCTATTTACAACTTGATTATAGCTAGATAATAAAAATAAAATTCTAAGTAATTTGAGTACAATCACATATAATCTAAGAAAAAAAAAAACAAATCAGACTAAGGAGAGTATATTCCCCTCCCTACCCTAAAACAGATCGAATAGATCAATTCAGGCCAAAATTGCCATCGTCCTGCCTCTACTCCTGCGACTGCCGCTTCATTTTCCTTTTCTTCTTTTGCCTCCATCCCCTGGTTTCTTTACCCTTCGGCATCCGCATTTCCCTTTCTCTCTCACTGAGATAGAGATTTCCCTTGTTTCTGCGTGTTGGGGTTGGAATAAAAGATGAATTTACTGTAAAAAAAAAAAAAAAAAAAGAGATAGAGATTTCAGATTTGTGTGTGGGCAACTATCGCAATAATCCCTGTGTCAGGTCCCAAGTTATTACTGCCCCTTCTCCTTTCCTCACCTCGCTGTCACCGCTCTGCCAAACGCGCACACAATCACAATCACAGTCTCACTCTCACTCTCACTCCATCCATGGCATTACTATTTACTACAACCAACCCCCAGCCAATCTCCATATACCCCAATTCCACTTCTCCACAGATCGCTTTACCTTCTTCCTTCCTTCCTTCCTTTCTCCCCTGCCCTGCCCTTCCGCCTTCCCCAAATTTCACCCCCACCCACCATAAAACCACCCTTCTTCTTTGTCCCCCTACCTTTACTTTTACCATTTCTCGCTAGCTACTGCTTTGCTTTCTCACTTCCCTTCACTTACTCTCAGTACTTGTTGCTTGCTCTCTTTCTGCACTCCCAACCCAACTTTCCTTCTCTCTAACTCTCTCCTTTTTGTCCTTCTTTTTCTACTTTACTATTTCTAAAATAAGTAGAAGGAGAAGAAGAAGAAGAATGCATGTTTCTCCAGTCGTTCGTTGTTGAAACAAGAAAGTAAATATCTTTCCTTCCAGAGAAGGAAATGGCCACCGCCCCTGCATCAGGTTGTTCTCCTCAGTCGTCCTCCGTCAAATCGTTGCCGCCTCCGTGCCCCAAGTCGCCGCCGGACTACCCTGACTTGTATGGCAAGCGCAGGGAATTGGCTAAAGTTCAGATGCTCGAGCGAGAAATCAACTTCCTTGAGGTTGAGCAATTCCCCTGTTTTTTTTTTTGGTTCTCTGTTTCGCTAAGATGTTATGCTTCAATTTGAACCAACGCTCTTTACCGTGAAGCTCTTTTCTTTTTTGCTGGTGGTGAGTAGAGAGAGAGAGAGAGAGAGAGACTAAAGGCTTACAACCCAACCCCAAATTATGTTAAGGCAACAGGAAAGTAGTACACTTCAATTGTAGCCATAAGGACTTTGGTAGCTGAAATTGGTCCCCTGAAAGTTGCTATTCCTCCCCTGTTTTTTAATTCATCTTAGCAAATAGCAACCCGAACAAGCCCAACTCCACAGTCAGAGAGTGCAGAAATCTCACACCATCTTTGAGTTATGATTACAGTGAAAAGCAGTAAAACAATCTCCTTCTGCTGCCTCTTAACAGCTGCCACCCTCTTCATGCAGAGATGAACCCCACTCTTACTCCCACAACCCCAAAAGTCTGCAGGGTTTACCTCTCTCTCTCTATACTACAAACTGTCGGGTTTATGGGGGGATTTCCACTTTTGCTTAGTTAATTATTGTCCTCCTTTTCCATGTAACGTGATGAAGTCTAATGAATTATTAACCCCCTAATTGGATTGGCGGGTTTCTGCTTGATTTTGGGATTTTGTTTCTCCACCTTCCATTTTCACCCAATTAACTGTTTTGGCTACTGAGCAGGAAGAGCTAAAATTTGTACAAAACCTACAGCCTGCATCCAAATGCTGCAAAGAGTATGCCAAACTTTCACTCTTTCCTTCTATTCTGAAAAATCTTCTCATCTTATTGACATTTTCTAACACATTTTTCACGAAATTGGGTGCAGATTGAGCGATTATGTGGTGGGGAACCCGGACCCTCTGATACCAACGTAAGACCCACAGCAAACACCCAGTTTCCCTCTTTGTTAACCAGGATAACGATCTTCCCTACTAACTTGAACTTCTTTCTTCATAAAGCAGAAACCGAAAGAATAGAAGGTCATGTCGATTCTGGAAATGGCTATGGTACTTCTTTCTTGTCTCACCCGCTCCCCTTCTCTTTATTTTGGGGCTTGGTCTGTTTCAGGGGGCTTGCTCTGTTTTTTTTTTTTTTTTCATGTCTTATTCATTGAATTCGTCCAATCTGGTTATTGCAGTGGGATCCCCTGTTTCAACTTCTCATGGATTTGTTGCTGCTGCTGCTCCGGATTCTCTTGCCGTTGTCCGAATTTGCGTCGCTGCTGCCTCTGCAATCCCTGCCCTCGTACATCCAATTGCTGCTCCAGCCGTGACAGCGGCGGCAGCTGCTGTAATAACTGCAACAGATGCCTCCCGCCGCCGCCCAACAAGTGGTGCTGCTGCAGCTGCTTTTCTTCCGCCGCTTCCTGTGGCTGTCGTTTACCCAGCTTCAGATGCTGTAAAAAGGACGGCAGCGGCGGTAACGAGGAGAGCAATTCCTGCTGCTGCCGCCCAGATTTGAGTTCTTGCTGTTGCGCTTTCAAGTTCCCTTCTTTTTCTTGCTGCTCGAAAAATGGCTGCTGCTGCGACGGCCGCAATTGCTCTGGTTGCTGCACATGGAAAAAATGGTGCTGCTGCTGTCCCAAGGTACGGCGCCCTCGTTGTTGCAAATGCACAAAGAATCCTTGTAACTGCCGCTGCAGTAATCCATGCTGCTGTTCATTCTTCTGGTGATTTCCCGAGAAAGAAAAAGAAAGTAGGAATTTTATATAATTGATTAGTGGAAGGAAGCGCCCATGTAACCTTTTAATATTTCTCTATTGGGGGTTCTTTCCTGTGGATATTATGCATACTCAATGTACAATTAGTTAACTATTAAGATTGGGGTTATTAATGATGAATATTGTTTGTGATTGATGACAGAGTAACCGCACAATGATGATCTTGTAATCAACATACGAATTCGTCCATCCAACGGTCGCTCTTAGTGGAGCATGCTTGTGCACAGGCGTAGGAGTCCTCCGTCACCGTCGATGAGCAACTGTAGCGACTCGCAAAATTAGCAGTGAATGCACAAGCAGGAATACAGCGCAAATACTCTATGGTAGATGCAGCAGGTAATACCATTAACATGGGAGAAAGGAAATGATAAGAAAAAGGGTGAAAGACATCAATGGAGGGTGCACTGCAGGCAGAGAGAGAGGAGCCATTATTGGTGGGAAATAATTGAAACAGGGGAGCAGAGGAAAAGGAAGGCAGGGTTGTGGCAGAAAGCCATAGCCCACATTCTGGAGAAAGAAGGTAATAGCGCAAATGCTAATACGGCCGTGAAGCTAGCTAGATAGAGAGGCTCCTCCAGTCACTGATCCCATAACATCTCGCCTGCAGAAAACTCAGAAGCTACCATCAGGGAGCTGTCTTTTCATTCTCAGTTTTCCTCTTCTCTCCTTGCTGTTCGATCCATTTATCATTATTATTGGTTTGACAAAAGCAATGGCCCATTGCCCCCCAGGCCCCAATGAGGCAGGTGGCAGCGCCTTGTTTCCAACAATTCGAGTTGTTGGGACCAACTGGTATATGACATGGTATTAGACCTGATTTGATCAAGTGATCGTGTGTTTGAATCTCCCAGATTTCCAATATTAACAGTCGATTAAAGCACAAGGTATAGTGGGTCTGAGCAAACTTCAATTCACTGAGTTGGCTTTCGTTTGAGGCGGCGTGCTAGAGTAAGGTAAAAGATCCAGGATAACCTTCTCCCAACAACTCGAGTTATTAAGACCAACTGGTTTATGATAAGTGGTTAAGTACCATAAATGAGTCTCTCCCAACAACTCGAGTTATTGGGAGCAACTGGTTTATGACATGGTATCAGAGTTGTTTTGTTCTTGAGGTCACGTGATCATGACTCCCAATATTAACCGTTGTCTTCAAACACATGGTATGGCGTGTTCAAGTGCTTATGACCTTTCCCTCTCTATATCCTACTTGTTGAATTCATTTACATAAGGAAGACACTAAACTCTGATTTGGGCCGGTTAAAGCAAGATCGAGCTGAACATGGATTCGAAGATTAGTGATGGATTCGCTCGTCAGCAAGCGTGCCCAAGCCCAACTGTTGTTAATTCAAATTAATTGTTCCATTATGTTTCGGGAATTGTATTTGTCGTGTTAGGTACGATTTTGTGACAAACTATTTAAGACCTTTCTTTCATTAATAGAGAGGCAATTAATCCCACAAACCAAAAACCTAAGGCTTCTATCTGAGCCTAGCAGGAGAGCAAACTCATAAACTGTGATGTACCCGTTCATCAATGAGCACAAACATGGACAAATGGCATCAACGCATAGGAAACTGTTGAACCTCAAATGGGAGGTAATTATCTCATGTGTATAGGGAAAGCGAATTTGCGATAGACTATAATGTCAATTTAGGTCATTCTTATACTTTTGTTGTACATCTCTTCGATGTTTGCGACTAGAAGCTCATGCACTGGCTGCTTCATGATGTTAAGGTAACATTCCAAGATCAAGACATTGATCGTTTCGATCACAACATATTGTTATGACACAAGTTGAATGTAATTCCAACAACAATATTAAAGTGACATAATATCTATTTTACCAACTATGAGTATTATACTATAACTATACAAACACAACTTGGTGGTTGGTAAGCCAATCAAATCTCTATCCTCTCTGCCTGCAGGCCCAACCCAAGCTGCAAACATTTTCAAAAAATTTTTCATCTGACTGATTGCTGACTTTGCTCCACAGAAATTATTGGTCCTTTCCTTTGCCCTGCGATCACCTCACCTTCTCTTGCCTGCAAATCTTCTGTTGGATGGGATGGTGGCTCGATCTGCCCTGATTCAGTAAATTGGGTAACATCGGAAGTGAAAATGACTCATGCTAGCTGTTCATCAAAGTGCCCTAGATGGATAACAAATTAGCTTGTTTTGTTTTGCTATTTTTTAACTATAAGATGGATTACAATCCAGATTTACTGGTTTCAAATCATTATTTTTTTTTATAATGGCGAATTCATTGAAAATCAAGAGTTTGAAAATGTACAACAAAAACAAAACAGAAAAAAACATACCCTCCACCTAGGTGATAGATAAGCATATGACAAAAGTCAGAGAGAGAAATCGAGTCTAAACAGAATGTTTCTAACTCTGCTTGGGATGGCAATGAGCCGAGTTGGGTTGGCTTTTGTCAAACCTGAACTCAAACCCATGGGTATATCCATCGAAAATCCCCGGGTAAAATCCAATGAGTTTGAGAAACTCAAACCACACAACTTGTTGGGGATTCGCGAGTTCATGAATACCATGGGTTCTATAAATGTACAATAGCTTCATATCATAATAAAAGTCTAATATCAATCTTCTCATACAAATTATTTGTAAAAAAAAAAGCCACCAATCTAAAGCATACACTACAAGCAAACCACAATATCAACTTCATTTAGAGAAAAGAAGAGCCATCTATTGTATGGAACATTCTATTGCACAGGCAAACACATGGATACATTTAACCTGCTCCAGCCACTAGCCTAGTCCATCCTGTTTTTCATCAAGCTCTAGGCTGAGCTCAGCCCCAGTAAAGAAATCACCACAGGAGCCAAACAATGTAAAACATAGCTTGACTTTGGGCCCTCATGAGTATGGGTTTTGTAGCCATGCATACTTTGGAAACTGTTAAAAATGGACCCGAAAATATTCTGCCCGAATCAGTGTTTAATAGAATTAATAATCGCTAAAGAATAGCCTTATGCTGAATCCATCATCTGAAGCCGTGAAAATCTAAGGAAAATGGTCTTTCAAAAAAATTGCCCGAAAATTACGAAAAATGCCCTTCGTAAAATTTCGACCAAAATTGCTCCCCAAAATCGTCAATTAGTAGACTTCATCGTTGGTGGAGAGTACCCTAAAGCCGAATCTTTGACCCGTGACCTTCAAAATTCATGGAAAATGGTCTTTACAAAAACTCTCCCGAAATCTGTGATGGTATCCTTTTGGAACATGCCAAACATGACCCCGGAAATATTCCTCCCGAATCAGTGTTTAATAGACTTAATCATTGCTAAAGAATAGCCTCAGGCTGAATTCATGATCTGAAGCTTTCAAAATCTAATAAAAATAGCCTTTCAAAACATCACCCAAAAATTAGGAAAATGCCCTCGGGAAAAATTCAACCAAAACCCAAATTGGAGAGTACCCTAAGGCCGAATCTGTGACCCGTGTCCCTCAAAATCTAAGGAAAATGGTCTTTCCAAAAAATCGCCCGAAATCTGTATTGGTACCCATTTGGAAACTGCAAAAAATGGCCCAAGAAATATTCCGCTCGAATCGGTGTTTAATAGATTTAATCATCTCTCAAGAATAGCCTCAGACTGAATCCGTGATCTGAAGCCTTCAAAATCTATGGAAAATGACATTTCGAAAAAATCCGCCAAAAATTACGAAAATGAACTCCGGAAAATTTCGAACAAAATTTCGCCCAAATCGGCGATTAGTAGACTTTATCGTTGGTGGAGAGTACCCTAAGGGAGTATATGTGGCCCTTAGCCTTCAAAATCTAAGGAAAATGGCATTCCAAAAAAGTGTGCAAAAAAATTTGTGATGGTACCCCTTTGGAATCTGCCAAAAATGGCCCCGAAAATATTCTGCCCAAATCGGTGTTTAATAGACTTAATCATCTCTAAAGAATAGCCTCAGGCTGAATCCGTGATCTGAAGCCTTCAAAATCTAAGGAAACTATCCTTTCGAAAAAATTGCCGAAAAATAACGAAAATGCCCTCCAGAAAAATTCGACCAAAATTCCGCCCAAATCGAAGATTAAAAGATTTCATCGTTGGTGGAGAGCACCCTAAGGCCGAATCTGTGACCTGAAGGGCTTCAAAATCTAAGGAAAATGGTTTTTCCAAAAAAAATTACCAAAAATTGTGATGTACCCCTTTGGAATATGCAAAAAATAGCCTCGGATTTATTACGCCCGAATAGGTGTTTAATAGACTTAATCATCTCTAAAGAATAGCCTCAGGCTGAATTCGTGATCTGAAGCTTTCAAAAGTTAAGGAAAATGGCCTTTCGCAAAAATCGCCAAAAATTATAAAAATGCCCTCTGGAAAAATTTGACCAAAATTCAGCCACAATCGTCGATTAGTAGACTTCATCGTTGATGGAGAGTAACCTAAGGACGAATCTGTGACCTGTGGCCTTCAAAATCCAAGGAAAATAGCCTTCCAAAAGATTGGCTGAAATCTGTGATGGTAGCCGTTTAGAATCTGCCAAAATTGCCCCAGAAATATCCCGCCTAATCAGTGTTTAATGGACTTAATCATCGCTAAAGAATATCCCAGGATTAATCTGTGATCTGAAGCCTTCAAAATATAAGGAAAATAGCATTTCGAAAAAATCGCCCAAAAATTAAAGAAAATGCCATCTGGAAAAATTTGACAAAAATTCTACCCAAATCGGCGATTAGTAGACTTCATCGTTGGTGAAGAGTACCCTAAGGCCGAATTTGTGACCCTTAGCCTTCAAAATTCATGGAAAATGACATTTCCAAAAAATCAGCCGAAATCTATGGTGGTACCCCTTTGGAATAAGGAAAAAATGGCCTCGAAAATATTCCGCCCGAATCGGTGTTTAATAGACTTAATCAACGCTAAAGAATAGCCTTAGGCTGAATTCCTGATCGGAAGCCTTCAAAATCTAAGGAATATGGCTTTTTGGAAAAATCGCCCACAAATTACGAAAATGCACTCGGGAAATATCTGACCAAAATTTCGCCCAAATCGGCGATTAGTAGACTTCATCGTTGGTGGAGAGTACCCTAAGGCCGAATCTGTGACCCGTGTCCTTCAAAATCTAAGGAAAATGGCATTTCCAAAAAATCATCTGAAATATGTGTTTATACACCTTTGGAATCTGACAAAAATGGCCCCATAAATATTTCTGCAGGATTGGTGTTTAATAGATTTAATCATTGCTCAAGAATGGCTTAAGACTAAATCCGTGATCTGAAGCCTTCAACATCTATGGAAAATGATATTTCGAAAAAATCGCCCAAAAATTACGAATATGATGTCCGTAAAATTTCGAATAAAATTCCGCCCAAATGGGCGATTAGTAGACTTCATCATTGGTGGAGAGTACCCTAAAGACGAATCTGTGACCCGTGGCCTTCAAAATCAATGAAAAATGACCTTTCCAAAAAATTGCCAGAAATTTGTGATAGTACCCCTTTGGAATCTGCCAAAATGGCCCTGGAAATATTCCACCCCGAATCGGTGTTTAATAGACTTAATCATTGCTAAAGAATAGCCTCAGGCTGAATCCGTGATTTGAAGCCTTCAAAGAGTACCCTAAGGCCGAATCTGTGACCCGCAAGCTTCAAGAAATAAGGAAAATGGCCTTTCCAAAAAATCTCATGAAATTTGTGCTGGTACCGATTTGAAATCTGCAAAAAATGGCCGCGGATTTATATCGACCAAAATTATGCCCAAACGGTCATTAGTAGACTACAACGTTGATGGAGAGTACCGTAAGGTCGAATCTGTGACTCGTGGCATTCAAAATCCAAGGAAAATTGACTTTCAAAAAATCGGCAAAAATATGTGATGGTAGTACCCCTTTGGAATCTACTAAAAATGGTCAGGAAAATATTCTGCCTGAATCGTTGTTTAATAGACTTAATCATCGCTAAAGAATAGCCTCAGACGGAATCCGAGATCTGAAGCCTTCCAAATCTAATAAAAATGGCCTTCCGGAAAATTTCCCAACAATTACGAAAATGCCCTCGATAAAATTTTGACCAAAATTCCGCCCAAATCGTCGATTAGTAGAATTCATCGTTGGTGGAGAGTACCCTAAGGCCGAATCTGTGACCCGTGACCTTGAAAATCCAGGGAAAATGGTCTTTCCAATAAATCTCACGATATCTGTGATGGTACCTCTTTAGAATCTGTCAAAAATGGCCTCGGAAATATTCCGCCCGAATCGATGTTTAATAGATTTAATCATCGCTAAAGAATAGCCTCAAGCTGAATTCGTGATTTGAATCCTTCAAACTCTAAGGAAAATATAATTTCAAAAAAATTGCCAAAAAATTACGAAAATGACCTCCGTTAAAATTCGACTAATTTTTTCCCCAAATCGGCCTTTAGTCGACTTCATCGTTGGTGGAGAGTACCCAAAGACCGAATCACTTACTCGTGGCCTTCAAAATCTAAGAAAAATGGCTTTTCCATAAAATCGAACAAAATCGGTGACACCCTTTGGAATCTGCCAATAATGGTTCCTGAAATATTTCGTTCGAATCAATATTTAATAGACTTAATCATCGCTAAGGAATAGCCAAAAAATGGCATTTTGAAAAAATCACACAAAAATTAAGAAAACGTCCACTGTAAAAATTCGACCTAATTTCGCCGAAATCGGCGATTAGTAGACTTCATCGTTGGTGGAGAGTACCCTTATGCCGAATTTGTGATCCGTGGCCTTCAAAATCCATGAAAAATGGCCATCCAAAAAATCGCTCATGAATTATTCGACAAAATTCCGCTCAAATCGGCGATTAGTAGACTTCAACGTTGGTGGAGAGTAACCTAAGGCCGAAACTATGACCCGTGGCCTTCAAAATCCATGAAAAATGGTCTTTCCAAAAAGTTGACCGAAATCTGTGATGTTACCCTTTAGAATCTGCCCAAAATGGCCCCAAAAATATTCAACCCGAATCAGTGTTTAATAGATTTAATTATCGCTCAAAAATAGCCTCTGACTAAATCCGTGATATGAAGAATTCAAAATCTAAGGAAAATGGTATTTCGAAAAAATCGCCCAAAAATTACGAAAAATGTCATCCCAAAAAATTCGACCAAAAATTCGTCCAAGTCGGCCATTAGTAGACTTCATCATTAGTGGAGAGTACCCTAAGGACGAATCTGTGACCCATGGTCTCCAAAATCCATGGAAAAAGCACTTTCCAAAAATCGCCCGAAATCTGTGATAGTACCCCTTTTGAATTTGACAAAAATGGCCCCGGAAATATTCTTGAACTTTATTTGACTATCTCATGAAGCCAATTGGTGCCATTTTAGGGCTCGCTAACCCGGAAATGGTTGAAAAACCATTACTGTTTAGTGCCATGAGTTTGATACTCACGTGGGCCTGAAAGGAGCAGCTCGAGGGAGATTGATGGCGGACTGGTGATTGTTTTGGGCTTGGGACGTAATTTGGAAAAAAGAGGAGCTGGGCTAGGAAGTCTCCTGGAATTAAAGAGGACACATAATTGGGCCCGAAAAATAAAAATGATTCGTCCAGGAGCGGGGAAGAAGTGGGCCGGGTGACTTTTAATTGTTGGGGAATTAAAGAGACGGTGGAGGGATTGACCAAATCAAAAGGGGGGACGAGGGACTAATATATATTTTGGACGGGGACATATTTGGAGGAGGATTGTTTTTTGGACGGATTTTTCATTTGGCGGCGGAACAGGGGAGAAGCTTGGCATCTTGGGGGCGGAATTCGATTGAAAGAAAGGGAAGTCTTGGGGAAAAAGAAGGAAAAAGCAGGCGCAGCCCACAAAGCTTGGGGCGAGAGGATAGCTTCGTTCGGGGATCGGCGATCGAGATTTTCAAGGCTGCTTGAGCTGAGTTCAACAGGCCGCCCACTACATAAGCTGCTGGCGGAGAAAGCTCGAAGAGCTTCCCTTCATTCGCTTCGCGGGAGCCGCACAACACATAGCTGGAAGTCAGAGGGCCCATACTACCTGCCTAACCCTTCGCTCCGAGGGACCGTAGATCGGAAAGCGCCTTCTAAACCATCTCAAGAAGGGAAGGGGCCTATGTATTTTCATAACCTCTGCAGATTTTACCCTATCTACACCCGGAGCCAATCTCCTATCGGTCCTGCCATCACGCCGCAGAACGAGAGCTCGTGTGGAACCTTTTCTTTCTGGCGTAACTGCGGTGGAACATAAAAAAAGATTACGGTCGCGTAACATAAGGGCCGGAAGTACAGTAAACTCGGCCAAAATATGACACCCGAAGGACCCGCCACGAGAGGGATTATTTTGGTTGGATTTTCTGAATCGAATTAGTTGTTTATTGTTGATTTAGAACATGATGAACAAAACCCTATTGTTTTATCTCAATTTCATCATGAACTAAACCTCGATATCTGGGGGAAACACCATAGGATGTAGCAATTTCTTGATTTGATGGATTGATTCGTATTTCTTTTCTTCCAATCTCTATTGCATGAAATTACTTAATGCTTTGTGTTGACTGGCCACCAATACAACGATTTGTAGTTAATTAGGTTATTAGCGACAGTGAAACCCCATTAACTGAACCTATTTCATGTGACATAGTAACTTATCGAAGCGACAGTGGATTAAATAAGGTGTTATGCGGTCTTAAATAGGATATCGATCTTCAGGCTAAATAATTAAGTCTTTGAGCTACGACAGTAGGATTTGATTTAATTATTTAGTACGTAGTAATTCCCGATAGGGATAGCTAGCACATTCGTGATATCCTGGCTGTAGAGGTATGGATTAATTTGATTAGAATATGTGAATTAATCTGGATAGGATAGGTAGTGAATCCCGGTGTTTCTCCCAGAGCTTTCTCCATTGAATTTCTCCCGACCAATTTACTTTGCTTAATTAGTTAATTTTGCTTTTAGATAATTAGTCTCATTAAACTATTTTCACCTATAGTTTGCTCTATAAAATTGAGAGATCTTAAGGTTGTAACAGTCCCTGAGAGACGATACCCGGACTTTCCGGTTTACTACAAGATAGGAATTTGACATATACGCTTTTGCCCTATCAATAGACTTAATCATCGTTATTTGAATAGCTTCAGGATGAATCCGTGATTGAAGCCTTCAAAATTTAAGGAAAATGACATTTCGTAAAAATCAGTCAAATGAAAATGACATCCAAAAAAATTCGACCAAAATTCGACCCAATTCGGCAATAAGTAGACTTCATCGTTGGTGGAGAATAACCTAAAGCCGAAACTATGACCCGTGGCCTTCAAAATCCATGAAAAATGACCGCTCGAAATCTATGATGGTACCCCTTTGAAATTTGCCAAAAATGACCGCCGAAATATTCCGCAGAATCGGTGTTTAATAGATTTAATCATTAGTAAATAATAGCCTCAGGCTGAATCCATGATCTGAAGCCACCAAAATCTAAGGAAAATGGCCTTTCGAAGAAATCGCCCAAAAATTACAAAAAGTCCTCTGGAAAAATTTTGACTAAAATTTCGCCCAAATCACCGATTAGTAGACTTCATCATTTGTAGAGAGTACCCTAAGGGAGAATCTGTGACCCGTGGGCTTCAAAATCCATGGAAAAAGGCATTTCCAATAAATTGTCTTAAATATGTGATGGTACCCCTTTAGAATCTGCCTAAAATGTCCCCGAAAATATTCTACCCGAATCGGTTTTTAATACATTTAATTATCGCTCAAGAATAGTCTCAGACTGAATCCGTGATCTGAAGCCTTCAAAATCAAAGGAAAATGGCCTTTCGAAAAAATCGCACATAACTTATGAAATGCACTTAGAAAAAATTCGACCAAAATACCACGCAAATCGGTGATTAGTAGACTTCATCGTTGGTGGAGATTACCCTAGGGACGAAGTTATAACCCGTGGCGTTCAAAATCCATGGAAAATGGTCTTCCCAAAAGATCGCTTGAAATCTGTGATGATACCACTTTAGAATCTGCCAAAAATGGCCCAGTAATTTTACGCCCGAATCGATGTTTAATAGACTTAATTATCAGTAAAGAATAGTTTCAGGCTTAATCTGTGATCCGAAGCCTTCAAAATCTAAGAATTATGGCATTCGAAAAAATCACTCAAACGAAAATACCATCCAGAAAAATTCGACCCAAAATCGGCAATTAGTAGACTTCATCGTTGGTGGAGAGTACCCTAAGACTGAATTTGTGACCCGTATCCGTAAAAAATATAAGGAAATTGCATTTTCCAAAAATCATATGAAATTTGTGATGGTACGTACTACGTACCCCTTTGGAAGATTTAAAAAATGGCCCAGATTTATTCCTCCCGATCAGTGTTTGATAGACTTAATCATCTCTAAATAATAGTCTCAGACTGAATTCGTGATAAGAAGCCTTCAAAATCTAAAAAAAAACCTTTCCAAAAATTCGCCCAAAAATTCTGCAAGATTAAGAAGCGTGTAAGGATTTACAATAATTTCTTCTGGAAAAATTCGACAAAAATTCAGCCCAAACGGGGATTAGTGGACTTCATCGTTGATGGAGAGTACCTAAAGGTCGAATTTGTGACCTGTGGCCTTCAAAATCCAAGAAAAATGGTCGTTCAAAAAAATCGCCCAAAATTGGTGATGGTATCCCTTTGGAATCTGCCAAAAATGGCCCCGCAAAAATTCCGCCCAAATCGGTGTTAAATAGACTTAATCATCGCTAAAGAGTACCCGCAGAAATTTGTAGATCCAATAGATCATGTTGAACTCGTTTCTTCTGAGCAAACGTTTTAAAAATCGACTTAAAAACGAAGAAGTTACCATATGGTATGTAGTTGGTAATGGGAGGTAGGAAAAAAGTTTCTCGAAATATATTGAAAATTAAATGCCTTTAATTTACAACCCTTAGATCTGAAGCCTTCAAAATCTAAGGAAAATGGCCATTTGAAAAAATCGTCCAAAAATTAGGAAAATGTCTTCCGGATAAATTCGTCCAAAATTTCGCCCAAATTGGCGATTAGTAAACATCATCGTTGGTGGAGAGTACCCTAAGGCCGAATCTGTAACCAGTGGCCTTCAAATTCCATGGAATATTGCATTTCAAAAAAATATCCCGAATTCTATGATGGTACCACAATTGAATCTGCCAAAAATGGCCCGGAAAATATTCTGCCCGAATCGGAATCTAATATGTTTAATCCTTACTCAAGAATAGCCTCAGATTGAATCCGTGATCTGAAGGCTTCAAAATCTAAGAAAAATAACGTTTCGAATGAATCGAGCCCAAATTACGAAAATGCCCTACAAAAACATTCGACCAAAATTCCGCCCAAATAGGCGATTAGTAGACTTCATCGATGGTGGAGAGTATCCTAAGGTCGAATCTGTGAGTAGCCTTCAAAATCTAAGGAAAATGGCCTTTCCAAAAAATCGTCTGAAATCTATGATGGTACCCCTTTGGAATCTGCCAAAATTATCGACAAAAATATTCTGCCCGAATAGGTGTTTAATAGACTTAATCATCGCTAAAGAATAGCCACATGGTGAATCTGTGATCTGAACCCTTTAAACTCTTAGAAAAATGGCCTTTAGAATAAAACGCCAAAAATTACGAAAATGTCATCCGGAAAAATTCAAACAAAATTCCACCCAAATTGGTGATTAGCAGACTTCATCGTTGTGGAGAGTACCCTCAGGCCGACTCTGTGACCCGTGGCCTTCAAATTCATAGAAAATAGCTTTTCCAAAAAATTACCCGAAATATGGGATGGTACCCCTTTGGAATCTGTCAAAACTGGTCTCGGAAATATTACGCCCGAAGTGTTTAATAGACTTAATCATCGCTAAATAATAGCCTCAGGCTGAATCCGTGATATGAAGCCTTAAAAATCTAAGGAAAATGGTTTTTCGAAAAATTGCTAAAAAATTACGAATATGCAATCCAGAAAAATTTGAACAAAATTCCACCCAAATCGGCGATTAGTAGACTTCATCGTTGTTAGACAGTATCCTAAGGCCGAATATGTGACCAGTGGCCTTTAAAATCCATGGAAATTGCCTATCAAGAAAATCGACCGATATCTGTGGTGATACCCCTTTGGAATTTCCGAAAATGACCCCGGAAATATTCCCCGAATCGGTGTTTAATAGATTTAATAATCTCTCAAGAATAGTCTCATACTGAATTCGTGATCTGAAACCTTCAAAATCTAAGAAAAATGACATTTCGAAAAAATTGATAAAAAATTACGAAAAATGGCCTCAGGAAAAATTTGACTAAAATTCCGCCCTAATTGGAGATTTGTGGGCTTCGTCGTTGGTGGAGAGTACCCTTAGGCCGAATCTGTGACCCGTGGCCTCAAAATCCATGGAAAATGGCCTAATCCAAAAATCATCAGAAATCTGTGATGGTACCCCTTTGGATTCTACCAAAAATGACTCCGAAAATATACCTACCGAACTGGTATTTAATAGATTTAATCATCGCTCAAGAATAGGCTCAGACTGAATCCGTGATTTGAACTCTTCAAAATATAAGAAAAATGACATTTCAAAAAAAATACCCAAAAATGATGAAAATTCCATCCGGAAAAATTCGACCAAAAATCGGCCCAAATTGGCGATTAGTAGACTTCATCTTTGGTGGAGAGTACCCTAAGGTGGTATCCTTGATTTGCAGCCTTCAAAATCTAAGGAAAATGATCTTTCAAAAATATCGCCTGAAATTTGTAATGGTACCCATTTGGAATCTCCAAAAAGTGGCTCCGGATATATTCCGCCTAAATTAGTGTTTAATAGACTTAATAATCGCTAAAGAATAGCTTCATGCTGAATCTATGATCTGAAGCCTTCAAAATGTGTTAATAGCATTTAGTACCCTCTACTATGATAAATTAACAAACGTACCCCTCTAATATTAAAACGTCACAAGTTTACCCTTCCATCTAATTTTCTGTTAAGATACTGTTAAATGAGCTACATAATTACTTTATTACCCCTTATTTACTCCTAATTTCATTTTTTAATTAATTAATTTATGTTTAATATCAATTAATTAAAAATATAAACCCCTAAATTAATTGAGAGCCCTCAACCAGAGACGGTCCGACTCCCATCTGAACTCTTTCCTGGCGAAAAGCTCGACTCGGCGGCGACACCTGCTCCGGCATCTCCTCGCCGGCGGCTGAAGTAGAGAGTACCTGCGAGACCAGACACCATCTTCCTGCATTCCCCGCGATGTCCCAACGCCATCTAAACCTCCCCTCGATCACACAGCAGGGACCAGCTTCCCCGGCTCCTCCCCGGCGTTCCGATGCCAGCTTGTCGGATTTCACGAGACGTTGCGACGCTGGCGCTTCCCCATCGATCCATCTACTCGGCTGCCAAACCTCTACTCTACTTCTTCCATCGACCACAACTTCCCCATTGGCAAGCTGCCGACATTAAAAGCCAGATTTCTCTGGTTCACGTACTCGCGGAAGAACAGAGGAAGAGAAAACTTTCGTCGGGTGTATTGTGTGCGGGGGAAGGGGAGTGTTGTGTACAGGCCGAAGGGGGGAAGGGGTGTGCTTTTGTTGTTTTCAAATTAGTTGATATTGAACATAAATAAAGTAAGTAAAAACTGAATTAGGAGTAAATAAGGGGTAATAAGGTAATTTTCTAGTTCATTTAACGGTCACTTAACAGAAAAATAGATGGAAGGGTACACTTGTTACGTTTTAATATTAGAAGGGTACACTTGTTATGTTTGTTCAAAATCCATGGGATGGCCTTTCCAAAAAATCGCCCGAATTTGTGATGATACCCCTTGGAATCTGACAAAAACGGCACCGACAATATTCTGCTCCGAATCGGTGTTTACTAGACTTAATCATCGCTAAAGAATAGTCTCAGGCTGAATCCGTGATCTAAAGCCTTCAAAATCTAAGGAAAATTGCCTTTCGGAAAAATCGCTAAAAATTCACGAAAATGCCCTCCGGAAAAATTCAAACAAAATTATGCTAAAATCAGCGATTAGTAGGCTTCATCGTTGATGATGAAGAGTACCCCAAGGCCGAGTCTGTGACCCATGGCCTTCAAAATCCATGGAAAATGGCCTATCCAAAAAATCATAAAAAATATGTGATGGTACACATTTGGAATATGCCAAAAAATTGTCTAAAAAATATTCCGCCCGAATCGGTGTTTAATAGACTTAATCATCGCTAAAGAATAGCCTCATGCTGAATCTGTGATCTGAAACCTTCAAAATCTAATAAGAATGGCATTTCGAAAAAACTGCCCAAAATTATAAAAATGCCCTCCGAAAAAAAAGCGACCAAAATTCTGCCCAAATCGGAGATTAGTAGACTTCATCATTGGTGGAGAGTACCCTAAGGCCAAATCTGTGACCCGTGGCCTTCAAAATCCATGGTAAAAGGCCTATCCAAAACATCGCCCGAAATCTGTGATGGTACCCCTTTGGAATCTGCCAAAAAATGACGCAGGAAATATTACGCCCGATTCGGTGTTTAATAGATTTAATCATCGCTCAAAAATAGTCTCAGACTGAATCCGTAATTTGAAGCCTGCAAAATCTAAGAAAAATGATGTTTCAAAAAAATTGCCCAAAAATTACGAAAATGATCTCCGGAAAAATTCGACCAAAATTCGACCCAAATTGGCGATTAGTAAGCTTCATCGTTGGTGGAGAGTATCCTAAGGCCGAATCTGTGACCGTAGATTTCAAAATCTAAGGAAAATGACATTTCCAAAAATTTTCACGAAATCTGTGATCGTACTCTTCTGGAATCTGCAAAAAATGGCCTCGCATTTATTTCGCTCGAATCGGTGTTTAATGGACTTAATCATTGCTAAAGAATAGCTTTAGGCTGAATACGTGATCTAAAGCCTTCAAAATCTAAGAAAATTGGCCTTTTGAAAAAATCGCTCAAAATTAAGAAAAAGCCGTCCCGAAAAATTCGACCAAAATTCCGCCCAAATCGACGATTAGTAGACTTAACTTAAACACGTGAATTTATCCTTGTGACCAAATATAAACCGTTTATCATGGGGAAAATCCCGTAATCAAATTTCTCGTGATGAAAAGTTTGTTTTCTTGTTGTGAAAGCCAATCCAACGAGGCTGACCCACGAATGTAGCAAAAGTCATCACTAATGTTGTCAAATCTAGAGAAGCAATAGGTGATTTTATGTGGGTTCGGGTGGTTTTGGAGCCACCCACTACGTGGTGGGTAAATGAGAAAATGATCCACACACCTAAACATTACATATGAGTGGATTGGGTTGGGTGATTACGGATGATGGGTGGATGGATGTATTCGGTGGGTTTACAACATATAGTTCATATGATCACATAATTTCAATAGTTTTAAACAAAAATTGAAAGAAATGTTCAAATTTATTACCCTTAATCCATGAATAAGGTGAATAATTTATTTAACAATATTGTTATTGGTAAGTGTTCATAAATCATAAAATACCCAACCGATAAACATAGGTATATGTTTATAGCTTCATTCGCCCAGGCGTCGTGAGCGTAAATAGCTTTTTAACCTATAGTCGCAAATTACAATTCAAATTTGATGGAAGGAATGAAGGACGAATCGATGGTAGTTTGAGATGATGTAATCTTGGGGAAGACAATTGTCTTTTCTGCCATTTGTCTACTAGTTAATTAGTTATATTTAAGCGTACTTCTAATTACCTAAGCATACCTCACAACACAATCCTTTGATAAAAACCGAGAGAAATTTTTATTATTTTAAGGGTTTCATTTTCGGTAAAGCTATATGTTAGAGCTTAGATGGTTTGAGGTTAAAAAATGGGGTGAGTCGTAGGTAGGGCTGCAAATGAGCCGAGCCGAGTCGAGTTTTACCCCAGCTTGAGCTCGGCTCGAGCTAGCTTGTTTATTAAAATATTGACTTTTATTTGGTACTTCATTTTGTATATAATGATACATGATTTATTTTGTTAGCTAATCTCATATTATACTTTGTTGGTATCATATATCGTTTAGTTAATAAATTTTAACTACTCCAAATCATGTTATTTTATAGTATCGAAGCAATCTATGATGCATAATTTCTTTTTAAAGTAGAAAACAAGATATATTTGATCACATACTCAACGTGTTAAACTTTATATATGGTGAGATATATAATTTAACAACCATATGAATTAAAATCATAAGATATAGATTGATTCGTCCATAAGTTGGTAATCGAGTTGGCTCTCTAGCCACGTGTTAAGACATATAATGAGCTTTAAACGAGCCAGCTCACGAGTTTAGCTCAACAAGCCACCGAGTCGAGCTAGCTCGCGAGCTTCACGAGCTGAACAAAAGTTAGCTCGTGTTCGGCTCGTTTATTAACGAGCCGAGTTTCGAACGAGCTTTTCTCGAGTCGAACGTCGAGCCGCTCGCGAGCAGCTCGGCTCATTTGTAGCCCTAGTCGTAGGTCAACCACATTCCATCCGCACTCACCCAATCTTTTGTAGGTCACCTATTTTACAACCCACACCCACCGATAGGAACCACCTACATGATAATGGGTGGGTCGATTGCGGATGGATTTGTGGGTTCAACTACCCAATGCTCACCCTAGACAAATCGATCGGTTTATATTGTTATGGCGGTTTGTTCCAACCAGTGGTACAACCGGTTTATGTCAATTCATGCCGGTTTTAATAAAACTCGTAAGGATGTGAGTAGTCATGAACACTAAATAAATCTAGGCATATATATATAACATATTTGAAGAAATCTCTCTAAAACCTACATGCTTAAAATAAAATACAATATTCCAAACACAAATGAAAAATCACCATAATTTTTTTTATAATGGTGACATCGATTTATTATAAGAAACAAACTTAAAGTTACAAACAAGAGCGTCTCAAGTGGGCATCGCTCTGAGAGCCCCAAAACAAAAACAAAAACAAAACACCAGCAAGCTGCTAGTGTAGCGAAAGAAGCAGCCGAACACACGCCAATAGATAGTTGCCCAGAAAAAGCATCATATTTCAATACAACAATTTTTTTATAAGGGTTATATAGGTTTCATTTTTTGTGATTAAGATGGGACCTCCAGCTTCTAGGCTAGTGGTATTATCATTAGTCCTAACCCTTATTCGTATTCAAATACAATATTTAACACCAACATTCAAAAGTTTATTCTTGAATCCAACAATAACATAAATATCTAAATATTCCATACTTGAATTCAAGAATTAACTTTCAAAGATAAAAAAAAACCTAATAATTTTTTTTTTTGTTAATTACGGGGTCATTTGGAAGTTGCGATTGTTTTGTTGAGATTGTCATTATGCATGTATTGTTTACAATGCATCATTTTTTGTTTTTTAGCAGAAACAATAGATGGATTGTTTCTGTGATGTGACAGAAACTATCACTCATTTTGAGTGATTGTTATATCTCAACTTTTAGTTGTGATTGTTGAGATAGTTGAGTTGAGATTGTTTTGCCTCGGTTTTTAGCTGATGCGACATACACAATCACACATACCAAACGTTGTATTCTACAATGCATCAAATTTGACAATACATGTATAATATTATACATTCATTCTCAACAATACATCTATTTAACAATCGCAACTTTCAAACGACCCCCTACATTTATCGAAAGAATGTCATTTTGTTTAAAGATCGAAATCGATCAAATGACAGTCATACCGTAGGCATTCCATCCAATTTGATTACTGATATTGGTTCAATCCGGTTGTATTGGTCGGCATGCAACTGATATGACAATCAATGATCGTCAGCTCGTCGCTAACGAATTATGGAGGACATATTTTTTTTTTTAAAGTTAAAACCGAGAAAAAAGAAAGAATACTATAGTGTTAGCGACTAAGACTAGGCAAGAAAAGTGAAGATGGGTCGTATATGTAGCTGTTGTAATACTCCTTTTGTTATCAATTATTGGCCATGCAAGGTTTTGTGTGCCACGTATTTTGGCAAAATTAAATCAACTATATATTGAACAGGATTGAAAAGGTGGTAAACGGTGATTTAGAAATCACGAAAAAAGAAAGCTGCAAAAGCTAAGCCGGATATAAAGCAAAAGGGAAATGAGCAGTAGGACGTAGGGCAATTTTGCTATTAGCTCACACGGTGAGAACGGATCACTTTGTGACTATTGAATAAACCTCGTGGTAATTTTATAAATAAAATTGTGATAGTGTTTATTATTTAGAAAACAAGAAACACTCAACGCTCAATTAAACGACTTTTCGGATTTATGAGCATGTCCTCACATATGTGTTGCGAGCATTATATCTTGGTGGCAAGTACAACCTTTGACTTTTTGGTTTCAAATTGAAAACCAATTATGATACCACATAACCATATGTATGAAGAAACAATTAAAAAAAAAGTCAAGAAACCGATGGAATAGATACAATACATTGTTCAGTAAAGTTAGGATTCGTTTGGGTGGATCAATCTAGAAATAAGTCAATTTGATCAATTATCTCGTTTTATAAACGAGTCAATTCGAATTACCTGCCCCCACCCTAGGTAATTGAAATTGACTCAAAACGGATCAATTCAAAGTACCTTAGGCAGATTGATCCATCCAAATTTTTGTTGGCAAACGAGACAATTGTGTCAAATTGATCCGTTATAATTTCTCATCCAAACGACCCTTAGATCATTGTATGCTTCATGAATATTAAGTGCATCATGGACATGAAGTTAGGAAGAGTACTTTTGTAGATGAATTCTGTCAATATTACAAGTCAATGAATTCAGTAAGTTGATAACGTATAATCTGTTATTATTTATGTTACAGTTAAATACTTACTTTTCACTGAGATATTGGTAATTTTCAAACCATTCAGAGAATTCAATTTTACAGTAGATTAACTCATTCTTTTGTGAGTCGCTCTTTTATTCTCGAAGTTTATGTTTAAGACTTTCCAGGTGTGACCTTAGCCTATTGAACTCATGTATAAATTTTTGAAAGTATGTTTTCCATCTTTATTGTTTGATAAGGATTATATTAATTTGTTGTCATTATTACGTGCTACTTAAAAGGATTTGAATTTAGAACTACAATAATACCACTATACCGTAGTTGGTTTTTTACATCATTTTACACTAGTAAGAAAAGGTTAGCACACATTTTTTTTTACTCCAAAAAGGTCACTTGAAAATCTCTATAAATCCTAAATAGGGCATCCAAACATTTCCCACACTTAGCCCAATATTGCTCCATAGTCCTACGAAGGAAAAATGGAAGTAACTGCATTCGCCGCTTTGATATTCCTCACACTTCTCACCCTTCTTCTCATCCTAGCAAAGCTCTCGAACCGCCGCCGCCGCACCGCCGGCCTTCCTCCAGGTCCTAAACCGTGGCCAATCATCGGCAACCTCAACCTCATCGGCGCCCTCCCCCACCAATCCCTCCACAAGCTCTCCCAACAATACGGCGCCGTCCTGCACCTCAAGTTTGGTTCCCACCCCGTCGTCGTCGTCTCCTCCCCGGCCATGGCGAAGCAAGTCCTCCAGACCAACGACCACCTCCTCGCCGGCCGCCCCATGACGGCGGCGGGGAAGTACACCACCTACAACTACTCCAACATCACGTGGGCCCCTTACGGCCCTTACTGGCGCCAAGGCCGCAAGATATACCTCCACGAGCTCTTCACCTCCAGGAGGCTCGAGTCCTGCGAGTACGTTCGCGTGGAGGAGAGACGCGCTTTTCTGGCGCGTCTCTTCTCCCTGCATGGTGGAGAGATGGTCCTGAAGGACCACCTCTCCAGGTTCACACTGAGCGTGATCAGCAGGATCGTCCTGGGCAAGAAGTACTTTCGTGAAGATGATGAAACGAATACGGTTAGAGATAGATCGAACGGTGGAAAGGACGAACTTGTGACGTTGGAGGAGTTCCAGGGGATGTTGGATGAGCTTTTTCTGTTGAACGGAGTGCTGAACATCGGGGATTGGATACCGTGGCTGGGGTTCTTGGACTTGCAGGGTTACGTGAGGAGGATGAAGGATTTGAAGGTGAAGTTTGATCGGTTTCACGGCGTCGTGCTGGAGGAGCACAGGGAGGCGGCGCGTGTGGGTGGCGTGGGGAAGGACATGGTGGATCATCTCTTGCGGCTGGCGGAGGATCCTAGTCTTGAGGTTAAGCTTAACGACGACGGTGTTAGAGGCTTCATACAGGTAGATCGATCAATTATATATGCTATATATGTTAGAGTGTGGTATAAGATACAGCAGAACCTTCTCCCAACAACTCGAGTTATTGGGAGCAACTGGTTCTTGACATGGTATCAGAGCCTGGAACCAAAAGGTCATGTGTTCGAATCTCCATGACCCCCAATATTAACCGTTGTCTTTCAAGCACATGGTATGGTGGGCCTGTGCAAACTTCAAGCCCATGGGTTGGCTTTCGTTTGAGGGGGCGTGTTAGAGTGTGGTATAAGATCCAGCAGAACCTTCTCCCAACAACTCGAGTTATTGGGAGCAACTGGTTCTTGACAATATAGTACCTATATAGTGTTATTGCTCTTTATTTGTTTCTTTATTTTTATTCTTAATATAGGAAAGCCTAAGTTCTAGGTTTACTATTCATTAACCGGTAAAATCGTAAATAACTTCAATTTTAGTGGCATTCATTCAACATGTCAAATATTTTGCATCATTTCCTTTTTATTTATTTATCCATCTTCCTTTTTACTTCCAAGATGACACATATTTTGTATTTATCTTTTTTCGTTTCATTTGCTTTGGTCACATAAGAGAATCTCTAAGTATTTTAATTTTGTCCTGTGGTTTTCCTATGTCGAAACCGCCATCTACTCATCTTAGTTCGTATTTGGTTTTGCACCGTTACACATGTCTCTCGCTCGGGTTCGAATACAATTATACAAAGACAACGGGGAAATCTCTCACCAATTCATGAGTATGAAAGTGACATGTTATTCGTATTTGGTTTTGCATTGTCACACATGTCTTTCGCTTGGTTTCGAATAGAAAGGCATCCGGAAAATTTTACGCCCAATTGAAGAGGATGAAAGTGCCATAAATAATTATGGACCATATGTTATGTTTTTCGTCTTTTTCCTCGGCTTGGGTTCATTAATTTTCCTCACATTCCCCCCCCCCCCCCCCATCTCAAATGAGAGTCCTAGGTTGATTCTAAGTTCATCCTTTATTTCTTGGGTGAAACAGGCACATAATCAGTTATCTCTTTGTCCTTTATATTTCATATATAGAAATTTTATTAATTTCTAAATAATTGTTGTGAACCTCCAATTGAACCGGTTCTTAATCAATAGTAGTTAGATCATCCTCCTATGATCTATAACATCGTTGGTCAACTAGTGCAAATTGCAATTGAGTTCTTTCACTATATATTTTCATATATATTTTTTGCTGGTTTTGTAGTTATGTCTTACTAGTTACATTCTGTTAATTATTTCACGCGCATTTAATTGTTAATTGTTAAAAGAAGAAGTATTGATCATCCTTATATAAAAAAAGTTTATTGATCATTCCATTGGAAGTGTAAAATGTGATGAAAAATGTTATTTCATTCATCATTTAGTACAATTTCTATTTGTATTCCCAACACCTAAACACAATTTGACAACGTCTAAGCAAAGTTAGAATTTGGCCAAAACCCCAACCCACACCTTACTCTTATATATCTTTTTAATCCTGATTAATACTAGACAAAATACACCTGTGTAGCCAAAACTTTGATGGTTTTGCCAAATATAGCCACTTTTGGCGAAATACCAAAAATAGCCACTTCCGTCCAATTCTTTGACGGTGTTAACCAAACGGCTGACTGGACTAACGACATTGCTGAGTTGGTGGCATTTTTAAACAAAACATTGCCACATAGATTAATGAAAAAATTAATAAAAAAAAATTGTCCAAACCCCACATCCCCTTAACCCAACTCCGTCTCTATTTCAACCTCATCGATAAAAAAAAAAATTCTCTCATTCCACATCGTCTCCTCCATCTATGCACAAGTTCTCTTTCACAGACCCATTCCACCATAGTCTGCTCAATTGAAACCCAGAAACTATTTCATCTAAAACCATCTCAAAACTTTGAAACCCCAAATCCATCAAAACTTGAAACCCCACATCCCCACAATTTCTAATATGCTATCTCCATCAATATAGATCTAAATTCCAATCTCCTATTTGCTCAATCGACCGCTGCATACCCGTCGTCGTCGCCATCGTCAATCGTCGTCGTCACTCCCTCGTCGCGCCTACTGCCGCCGCCGGGCCGGGAGGGGTTTGGGCCGTTCAGGCCCGACCCGATTTCTGGGGTTACGCCGCGGCTCCACACGAGATGGTAGCTCAACACTCGAGTCTCTTTGTTCACCAGCAGCAAGCAGCTGCGGCGGCGGCGGCCGCTGCCATGGGGGAGGCCTCAGCAGCTAGGCTCCAGATAGTGGTAACTCGCCTCTCCCGCTGTAGCTTTAGCTGCTGCCGCCGTCGCGGTCCTGGTGTTCGGCTCCGCCGTGAAGATCTGAAAGACAGCCGTCTCCCTTGTGCTTCTGAAGAGATCTGAAATTTCAGATCTGATCCTCTAGGTACTGCGTGGCGCCGCCCACCCCTTCTCCCCACTCCACCTCCAGTCCACGATAGTCACTCTGGATCCATTTCGAACACTTTTTGTTCTTATCGGATTAAGTATAGCAGAAAAAGCAGAGCAATTGATCAGGTGAAAGAGTAAGAAGAACAAGGAGGAGAAAAGGCAGAGGTAAGGACTGAACGGGACATATTCGTTCCCAATAGAGAATTGATGGTTGCTTCAGCGGAGAGGAGTGTTTGGATTGGAAGCAAGGAAACGAAATGGGAAGAAAAGAATTAGGTAGAGGGAAGAGGGAAGAGAGAAGTAACAATGGTTGTGGCCTGTGTGTAGAGTGCTGGTGGGGAGTGAGAGGGTAAGAAGGGATTCTTGGTTTATTTATTTATTTATATATTTTAAATATAAATATAAATGATGTGTCATCCACCTATTATTGGAGAGTGAGTTGTTGATGACGTGTCTGGTGAGCTGGCAACGTAGTAAGTCAATCGTTAAAATAACTAACGGTGTTATTGACACCGTTAAACTTTGTAACAGAAATGGCTATATTTGTCATGAAATTTTCAAAATACTGGCTATATATGGTATTTCTCTAAAAGTGGCTATTATTGTCACAAACGCGAAAGTTATGGCTACAGAAATGTATTTTGCCTTAATACTACGGAAAATGTGTGGCGAAATATAAAAAAGTAATAAATGATGAGTCCTTAGATGAATAGTAACAAAAAGGAACCATTAATGGACATGGATCACCCTGATCATGAAAGATGTGTTGTCGTCTTAACAAGACTATTTTCCATGAATGATTTGGCCTAAAGAAGTGCTTTGGCCTCCGCTTGGAGTGCTATTATTGGCAGCTAGCCTTTTGATGAGCTTTTGATGAATTATTTGGCCTATGTGGCATGATCGTTGGTTCCATGTTTATCATCTTGTACTTGTACCCAGGACTTGATCGCCGGAGGGACAGACACATCGGCGACGACGGTGGAATGGGCCATGTCGGAGCTCATGAAACAACCCCACCTCATCCGCAAAGCCAACGACGAGCTCGACGCCGTCGTCGGCCGCGACAGGTGGGTGGAAGAAGCCGACCTGCCTCACCTTCCCTTCATCAACGCCATCATGAAAGAAGCAATGCGGAAGCACCCCGTGGCCGTACTACTTGCGCCTCATCTTGCCTTGGAAGACTGCACCATAGGCGGCTACCACGTGGCGAAAGGAACCCGAGTGTTCATCAACACGTGGAGCATGAGCCGGGACCCAACCGTGTGGGCCGAGCCCGACGAGTTCAGGCCCGATAGGTTTTTGGCTGCGGGCCGCAACAAAGGGGTTGGCGTGAAGGGACAGAGCTTCGAGCTGCTGCCGTTTGGGTCCGGGAGGAGGATGTGCCCTGGGTACAGTCTTGGGCTGAAGATGATCGAGTCCAGCTTGGCGAATTTGCTGCATGGGTTTAACTGGGAGTTGGGGGGAGGTTTCACGCCGGAAAGGTTGGGGATGGAGGAGGTTTATGGGCTGGCTACGCCGAGGAAGTTCCCGCTTGTTGTCGTCGTCGAGCCTAGGCTTCCCGTTGACCTGTATCGTGTTTGACTATATATATATGGTGTTGATATCGTGATGGTACGCGATAACTAACGTAGGTAAGTTTTGTTCGTGCATGGTTGGGGGATTAGATATGGTCAATGAGCTAAGGTATCACGGGACCAATTTGTTGGTAATATGGTGGTTTAAAACTTCACGGTGGGATATATGCTATACGCATGAAAGATTGTAATAATGCACTCATTTTACAACAATATATTTCTTGTTCGCTTTATCCGTGGGTGTGCAAATAAAAAAAATCTTTGTACCATATCGATTTACTACAAGAGACTTAATGGATTTATACACCCAGCTCAACATTAATAATTAAAAGAGCTAGTTGGGCCTTGTTGAGATGGATTTTTGGGCCTAAGTGGCCAAACTCTTCTCCATACATGATGGCTCACTCGTCTCCTTGGCCCCCATAGTCAGATGATGTCTCCACCCTTTGGTACGAAATTTGGCTCCCAAAAACTAAGTCTGGAAATAAGGCGACACAAGACGGTACCAAGCCGGCAAGATAGGGCTGATACCCAAGTATGGAAATTGGCTAAGTATGGAGCCAATAGGGAACCAGGCCACCCATAGCAACAAGGGGCCAAACAAGACGAAGACATGGAATTTGGCTAAGTATAGAAACAATAAGAGCTTGGTAGCCAAGCATGCAAGACAAGCTTAGTACCAAGATACCAATGGGGTATCAAGCCGGGTACCAACTAAGAGAGTCATACAGAAACTAAGTATGTATATCAAGCCGACAAGACGGGCTTGATAGCCAGGCATCATGGTACCAAGCCAATAAGACAAGAACTTTAACTAAGACAAAGTGGCTAGCTGAGGTGGCCACCCGACTTGGGTATCAAGCAGCCATGGATGGATCGGACAGGGTGATGAGCTAAGAGTGTCAATATGATGAGGACTCGGTGTAGAGCCCCTTAGGGGACCATATGGAGACTAAGACCCAAGATGGGCTTGGTTGCCCCCTAACGGGATACCAAGTCGGCAGGGCGGCAAGGTACCAACTTGATAAGATTATAAAAACTAAGTATGAAGACCAAGCCGACATGGATGGCTTGGCGGCAGGGGCTGACATGATTGGCCTGGTAGGAGAGGGTATCAATACGGAGATACAACAATGTACCAAGTTGTTGGGACGGACTTGCTAGCAAGCTGGTAAGAGTGGCTTGCCGACAGGGCAAGGTAGAGGGTATCAAGTGGTATCAAGTTGACAAGATTGGCTTGATACAAAGATGACAAGTTGGTGTCATGACAAACTCTCTAATACTAAGTGCGGAGACTTGGTGGGTAAAGGGGCCAAGTTCTCATCTTGCCTAGATAATCCAATCGATGACAGATAATCCAATTCAAGTCATTCAAATTATCAATAGCTTTTACTACCAAACAAATTGGTGTAAGAAAGTTGAACTATAATTACTGTTGGTGTTGTGCTAGTATTGCCACCAATTCCATTCCGCTCTCAAATAGGGATGGCAATCAAACCCATGGCCACGGGTATCCGACCGCCCCCGACCCAGTCAACGCGGGGAATCCCCGCTTTGACCGGGTATGGGGCGGGTATGGGTAAAACCCGCAAAAAGTTTGATGGGTATGGGGCGTGTATGGTTTTAGCCTCCCCCGCCCCATACCCATCCCCATACCCGCCCCACCAAGATAATTTCTTCATATATAAAAAAAAATATGTGCATCAAATTATAATCTATCAATGATGATGAGAATAACTTGTGAAAAATAAATAGTAGAAATGCAATTGAGTGACCACCTTAATCAAAATCTAATTCATTTCTCTTAATTCTCATTTCACTCTTTCACTTTCCCCCTTGTCAACAAGATTATGTTAGTTAATTATTATTTAGTAGATGTATCAGAGTTAGAACATAATAATCTGAAAAATATTATACTCTATATTATGTATTAATGGATATTTTAGGATCATAATCTTTGAACCATATTAAAAAAATGATTGTGTTTTGTTGACTTTATGATATAATATGTTCGTTTAGAGTTATAATTAGAACTTTTGTTGTAAGTTTTAGGTATAATAATGTTGGATTACGGGTATGAGTATTACCCATGGGTACCCGAAACCCACGGGTATGAGGATGGGTTTGCAAAACATTCCCCCGCATGGGTATGGAGATGGTTTAAGCTAACCCGCCTCAAACCCGCCCCATTGCCATCCCTACTCTCAAATGTGGTTGGCTCTTACCTTCGTTGCCAAATTCCAACTTGCCTGGGATTCTCCCATATGTGGTAATATTAGTGCGATGTAATAAATTTCTAATTTTACTTGTCTCAATCATCCGTTCCAGAAAATGGACGGTCAAAATCGTCAAACTACATTCGTGACAGTATTGAGTACACAAAGATACCAGCCCACTGGATTATATCGACCCAATTTTTTCCTGATTATCTTTAAGTGGTAATCTTTTTCCTGATTTGATAATACTTATATTTGTCGGGTACCAACCACGATGGATAATATAGACAGATATTGCAAACGATTGTTTCGTTTCTTTATATTTGTCTTCTTCCTCTCCGCTGGGGTTTAGTGGAGATTGTACCGAATTGTTGAAAAGGTCAACAATTAATGTCCCAATAGCAGGCAATTTCCAACTGGCTTCTACCATTTCAAAACCGGCTTAGCTGTTTCTTTGACTCCATTCCCATTATAATCACTGAAATCACCAACATGTCTTAAACTTGTTAATAACCGGTTTTTGACTTGGTCGGCAACGTGTTAATGTTGAGGAAATCCGCCCCCACCAAATACCCATATTTCTACAATATTCATACTAGTAGCTGGTAGGGGGAAATCCACAAAGAACAGCAATTTCCATTAACAGTATATAAGGCATTTTTTTTTTATCATACGCGCAGAATTATATGTAATTTAGAAGCGACAAATTTGATATTGTTACTTGTTATATATGTACACAAAACGTGAGTAGATCAATTGATAGATTTGGTAAGCTACTAATTGGATTGTTCCATCTATGATCAATTTCATCTTAATTTTTAACTTGTACTCAATATGAATTCACTTTTAAGCATATTGCCACAGATGAAAAAGCTAGATAATATTTAATCTTTCATGTAACTTTGGATTCAACTGTGTAATTAGTAATACTAACTCCTTCTAGAAACAAAAATGGTTGAAAAAATGAAAACAAAACAAAATCCTTATACAGTTGAGCCAATTTTGGACCGTTTCTATTGGCAAAATAAAGAATTAAGAAGAAATAAAAAAAAAACTCCACATGTGTCTACGCATGGCATGTATCTATTTACAGTGCCAGAAAATATACACTTGCAATATTGTAATAACTAAAAATTGTTGTACTAATTATTAATTAATTAAAAAAAAACAAGAATAAAAAAATCACGCTCCTTTGGCGTTTGGATGCAACGGAGAGTTCAGTCTGTTGGACCGGGGACTCTGCTTGTACCCACCACCTCCTTCCGAGTGAACCGTCGGCGACCTCGGCGAACTCCGGTGATGCCTCCGGCCGCCGCCCTCCCCACCACGGTGAAGCCTATGCCTATGATGATACTGTTCCTGCCCACCTTGCTCCTTCTTCGTCGCCGCCTTCTCTTCACTCTCCGCCACCTTATTCTCCTCCTCACCCACCAACTCCTTCTTACCACCACTATTTTTCTCCTTCTCGCCGCCAACACTCTTGGCCTCCGTGGGGACGACGTAGACGAACGTGCCCATCGCGAAGTCGTTGTAGTCCTTGAGCGGCTCCAACGTCTTGACGACGAGGCTCATGTTGGGCCTGTGCTTGGGCCGGTGGCTGAGGCACTGGTACGCCAGCGCCGCCGCCTTCCTTGCCCCGGTCTCGGAGTACTGCCCCTCGAGCCGCGGGTCCATGATCCGGCTCAGCCGCCTCGGGTCGTTGAGCATGGGCCTGGCCCACTCCACCAGGTTCTGCTCCCTCTGGGGCCGGGCCTTGTCCACGGACCTCCTCCCCGTGAGGAGCTCCAGCAGCACCACCCCGAAGCTGTACACGTCGCTCATCGACGTCAGGTGTCCCGTCATGATGTACTCGGGCGCCGCGTAGCCCTGGGTCCCCATGACACGTGTCGAGATGTGGGTGTCGGACCCTTCCGGCCCGTCTTTCGCCAGCCCGAAATCGGAGAGCTTCGCGGTGTAGTCGGAGTCGAGCAAGATGTTGGAGGCCTTGAAGTCGCGGTAGATCACCGGCTTGTCGGACTCGTGGAGGAACTGCAGGCCTTTTGCCGCTCCCAAAGCGATCTTCATCCTCGTTGACCATTGAAGCGACGCCGCATAGCCTGAAGAAGAAAAAGTCAAAAATCAAGATTAGACATCATTTTTTTTAAAATCCTGTCAGGACAATTGGCTATACTACTCTATCACAATGAATCATTATTATTATTATTGCTACTTACGTCGGAAGAGGTGGTTCTCGAGGCTGCCACGTGGCATGTACTCGTAGACGAGGAGGCGGTGCTCCTCCTCGCAGCAGTAGCCGATGAGCTTGACGAGGTGGGGGTGGCGGAGCTGGCCGAGGAAGATGACCTCGGTGAGCCACTCGCGGTGGCCCTGGAGGCCATCGAGGTCGAGGAGCTTGACGGCGACGGGCTGGGCCTTGAGGGCGCCGGGGCGGAGCTTGTCGTCGATGAAGCCCTTGTGGACGGGGCCGAATCCTCCTTCCCCGAGGAAGTTGCCGGAGGAGAAGCTCTGGGTGATGACCTTGAGCTCGGCGAGGGTAAAGACGTGGAGGTTGGAGCCGGCGAGGGAGGCGGAGAGGTCGGAGGAGAGGGAGTCCGGGTTGCTGAGGTCGGAGATGGAGACCCGGCCGTGGAAGGAGCCCTGCTTCGTGATCGTCATCATCACCGGGTGCTGCTGCTTCTTGGCCCTGGGGGAGGAAGAAGGCGACGACGATGACGTGGACTTCTTCTTCTTGTTCTTCTTTCTCTTGTTGTTGCTGCTTGTCCGGTCGTGGTGTGTGGTTTCGTCTTGGGAGCCGAAGAGGCAGCTGGAGAGGAAGGCCGACCACCGGGATTTCTCCGCCGTCATTCTGAAAGCGGAAGGTCTGTGTTATCTGTTGATGTTCTTCTTCGTCGAGGTTGGAAGGAGATTTAGAGAGAGAGAGAGAGAGAGATAAGGGTAGAGAGAGAGTGAGGAGGAGTTTGTTCTGAGGAAATGGGTTGTGGGATTGGGAGGTATATAAACCAGAGGGTGGGATCGGTGTAAGCGACATATTTTGGATTTGTTTTTAATTTTTATAAAATAAAAAGTTAATTATATTCCGACAAAAACGCGGATGCGATGCTTGACCTGCGAGAGAGAGAGAAAGAGGCGAGGCGAGGCGAGGCAAGCGACTCCTTTTTTTTATTTTGGTTTGAATTTTCCCACCCTGTTTCGTTTTTTTTCCTTCGGCTTCTTGGATTATTCTATGGACTTTCCCAGGAATTCTTCTTCTTTCCATTTGGTAAATGGTCCCTCTATTCTATAAAAATTTCAACTTCTTTTACTGTTTCCAAATTAATTTGATTTGTGGTTAATTATTAGATTCTTTTTGTACATGTCTCTATACTATTTCCTTTGTCCATATATAAATTGTGCTATTGTCTACAAATTATCGTCATGTACAATCACAAATCCACTATCAAAGGACAAACATACATCAACTACAAACTAACAAAACAACATGCCACAATGGAGGAGTTAGGTTGAATTATAAGGGGCTACAGGCCGCCTCAAATTTGAAATACAGGCAAAATTACATTTAAAAATTATAATAAATTTAGGACATAGAATAATCGATAAGGCTTTAATTTGAAATTCACGATCCAAATCAGCCATTCATTCAAATTTCTGGCTCCGTCACTGACATGCCAACTAGCTAAACTCGAGTTTCCTATGATCAGGAGTTGGATTTCTGCAAAATATAGATCATGCAGAGCTTTTAAGTTGCGACCAGAGCTACCAAATTATGATATATTAATTATGCGATTTGAAGAAAATGAATATTTGAGAAGGGAGAAAAAAAACTCAACTAGAAAGAAGCTCTATATATTGAACATCTAGAAATTTTACGATCGGATCCACTACATCCAGTACTAGCTTTCGCATATTGCTTTGCTTGTTTAGCCAATTCTGTTCTCATGGTGTTTTTTTTATGCGTGTAATATTTTTCTCCTTTAATTATAAAGTCGGTATTTAAGAGTCGAGGAGATTGCAAGATTTAGAAATAGTAACAGTTTCATTATCATCGAAAACCTAGATTTTTTGAGGGACCGAAAACCTAGATTTTGAGAGATGGAATTCATATCATCTCATTCTCAATCCTATTACTTTTTAGTGTTAATTAATTTAGCAGTTTTTCTTCTGGAAACTATTAATTAAGAGTTGATTAGGGACTTGGGCAGGGAGTCACAAGTCTCCAAAGTTTTTTTTTTTCTTTTTCTTCTCTTTTCAATTTTTGGGTAATTAATGTAAAAATAAGGAGCCCAAGTCTCCGAAGTTGGTTCGTACGAAAAGGACATGCATGGCATGGCTGTAACTACCCCCACTTTTTGACTTTCTCCATCTCCATCGCCTTAATTAGTTTTGACACTCAATTCAATTTCTTTCTTTGCCGGAATCCGCAAGCATAAACGATGAGGTAACATCTGATGTCTGGATCTTGACATTGGATGACAAACTAATTTACTCTTTCGTGATTTACATAAGATTAAATTCATCGTAACTAGCCGTTAAAATGCACGCATGAGAAACTTCAACCGAATTTGACGGTTAACGAGAATAGAAAAATAAAGGCATAAAACGGTTATGTATTTTTTTTTGTTGGTGGGTCATTCTTGTAACATCCCGAACCTTTTTCCGGCGAAAATATTGTCCGCTTTGGGCCTCGATTTTCACAGTTTTTGACTTGGGGTGCAATTCAAGGTGACTTCCCATAAGATCACCCATCCTTGTTGTACTCCACACTGAGCACGTTTAACTTCGGAGTTCTCACAAGAACTCCTCCATTACACCCCAAAACGCGTCTTGTCAGTTAAGGCCGGTTTCCTACTTATGAACCATGGATCTCTCACGTGCTTTGTTGATGTTGGATTTGCCTAAAGTGTTACAATTCTATTGTGCCATGTGTAATTGCAAACCGAACAAAAAAAAAAACACACACACACAGAGATAACCACACGATTACAGATTCCCAAACCTCAATTAACCAACCCATCCGGCCCGTACCCAAACCGCAAAGAATGGCCAATGAGTTATTCAGTTTTTGCGGTTATAACCCGAAAACCATAACATTCTATTCATGTCTAACCGCAACGATTTCACTTACGGTCGCTACGAGGGCACCAATTCGAGTTCGAGTAACTGACCAATTCAGTTCGGTTCACCGAAACTAAACCGCATTCCAGTCATATCTTCAACCAAACTCCTGATTGATAAAAAAAAAAGTACCGTTAACATGATGATTACAGAACATTAAAAACCCAATCTTTGAACTGGTAAATGAGTCAACATATGTGTAAAGTGTTATGATCAATCCTCGCTGTACGTAATAATTCCCCACTTTCAGATCTAGCTAGCTAAGACGACTTACTCAAAGAGAGACGTGGACCTTGCATATAATAATAAACAAAAAGGCAAAAAAACGAACACCACTTCCACTTGGGCTGATGATGCCTGCGCCACGCGGGTAGCCTAGTTTGTTATCTGCAACTGCTTTCACATGCTCTATATACACTACTCTATACTATAAAAAACCAGTTTTTTTTTATATATAAACAAAAATCCAAGATCAGTTTTGCAAGTAGGCGACGACGACGAATTGACCCGCCGGCCGGCCGGCCGGTGAATGAAGTCCTTTTCCGTTTTGTATTTACATACACGACGACGCGGGAAGACCAATCACCTCTGGGTATTTTGTCAACAAGTTTTTGGCAAACTTCCCACCATGCATCCAGAAAATCCACACGTACTGTTTGTTGATTCAGGCTGCAGCTTCATTCTCGAAGCTTTACCTACTCCCTAGCATAGAAAAAAAAATATATCTTTGGGTTAAGTTTGGTCTATTCACAATTACATTTCTGTCCACACTCAACCTTCTAGAAATCCTATCCCTATCCGGTTGGGTCATCTACCCTTTAAAAAAAAAAACAAGCAAATCCGACGTAAACATCTCTTAACTGAGCTATCAGGGGTATGATTATTTCAACTTAATTCTATACATAAATAATTTGCTTTTGCTTGTGTATGTACGATTATAAGCGGCACCAAGAATATATATTCATTGCATTTTGTTAATCACTGGTTCGTTGGTTGGTTTGAAGTTAATGCGTGCTTGATTAAAAAACACAAATAAATCCGGGATTAATTAGCCAAAAGGGAAAATGGGAATTCTGCTTTCTGGGAGGTTAAGGATCAGGGCCGCGCAAGGTTGTCAATCGCGGGTTGACCTGGACCCGGTCGAGCTAGTGGGTTAAGGGTTAATGGATCAACCGTTTTAGCCCGGAAATATGGAAAGAGTCATTATATTGTACTTTTCCTTATAAATTATATCAAATATTATCTAACATATGAGTTATAACATATAATATTACATCAAAATAATATATCGTACTTAGATCTAGCATAAAGTGAAAATTCACACACACTTATATACATCAATATTCAAATTTTCAACTTAGGATTCCAAAGATTGAGTTAGGCGAAAAGAAAAATCGGAAAATATACGCATTTCGCAAACCAAAGAAAAAAATTACACAATTTGACCTTCAACCCGATACCTAATAGCGGTCGACCCGGCGGGTGTGTGCGACCCGTTTTTCTCACCGGATCAGGGTCAAAGTGGGTCGACCCGCGGGTTGACAACCTTGAGCCGCGTGAACTGCGGGCTGCGGTCTTGTGTTCTTATCCAAATGAATCGGACGGTGATGAATGCGGCAAAAAAAAGAAAACCAAAGTTGACTTCCGTGGTGGGGGGTTTTAAGTATGTGAATCGGACGGTTGGTGAGGGGTCACCGGAGATCTCTCTTGTTTGTTTGTTTGTTTGGTTTTGGCCGTCGACTTTGCAAATATGAATTAGAACATTCTATTGGCAATAATGCGAAGAGAAGATTTTCTTGGGAATTTTTTGGTTACTTGATTCCTCACGTTAAATTGGGAATAAGGAGTATTATTTTGGGACCAATTATTTGTCAGGTTCAGAGTAACCTGAAAATGTTTGTGATCATATAGTTGGTGAAGCATCCGGCCGTTAGGTACGTGTAGTATGGTACTTGCATAATGCTATAAATAAATACCAGCCAGGGGAAAAAGAATGAAGAGATTCGAGGACCAAATGTGCCCGCCGGCCATGACATTGCACAAGAAAATCAATCACCCTGGCCGGTTAGAAGAACCAATATGTATGCTTAGGAAGTAGAAAGAAGTGGAAGGGATGGTAGCGCTCCGGCCGGTTGTAAGTGTCGGGTAGGTGGTTTGGGACGGTGGCTCTGGGTGGGGTTGTAAGGGTCGGGTACGGGTGGTTGGGTCGGGCGGGCGGGTTGGATGCGGTTGGGTTTGTATTATACATGGTCACATGACTTACTATTTCATTTATGTTTCTCAGTGCCAAAAACACTACCAGCTTGTTTGGATAGACAAAAAAATTCAGAAATTGGAATTCAATTTCCAATTCTTTTTCATTATTTCATGTTTGGAATGGTAAGAAGGTTGGGAAATGAATTACAATTGACCCAAATATTGGAAATTAGAATTCCTATTAAAAATGATAGGAATTGGGTTTATGGAGATGAAATTAGTGGGACTCATTCATATTTATTATTATTTTATAATTCCACTATCTTATTTCTCTCTTTCTCTCTCATCAATATTTTATTTCTCAAGATAAAAAAATCTACTAAATCATTAATGATCGTTAAAGAGTACAATTCATTTCCATAGTCGTTGGAATTATGCCAAACACAAATATTGGAAATGGAATTCCATAAAAGTTAGAATTGGGAATGAAAATCCATTTCCATTTCTTATGGAATTGTATCCAAACAGGCTGTACATGAGTTTCATAAACACCATCACGACTCGTAATTACTCTGTCAGTTGCGAATTTCCATAGCCATTTTACATAAAAGAGGTTTGTTGATGCAATCCATGTATGCAATCCCCATACCATGCACCCAACTCCTTAGGCATTTTGCAAGAGTGTCCTATGCTAAGAAAACAATATGAAATCAAAGGCAGGTATCATTAGAAGAAGACAAGCTTATGATGGCCGGACAAAGGATTAATGAAACAAGCTGGCAAGCAAAAACAGTTTTTAACAGTAGCTAGGCAATCAAGTTGGCTGATTGATCATTAATATGGTACACGTGATCATTAATATTAAACAACTGCCACTACTACTAATCACGTATTAACGTTTGTTCCATACACTTAAAGAGTATATAACGCCACTACGAAATTCAGATCTACTCTCTTGACTAGTGGGATCAATCGTACTCTTTAAGTAACTATAATTATATTACATACATCACATTAACTCCATTTCACATGTGCATCCTTTTCGATCTCGTGTAGTCGTGTTTCCTTTTGAGTTGTCAATTGTAATGAGCGTGGGGAGCATATAAAATGGGCAATGGCAAGTCCACACATATTGAATCATTCATATTATACCCGAAAGAATTTGACATGCATCATTGTTTTTGGGTGAAGAATGTTGATATTTCAATGTACACTAAGGTGCGTTTGGATAGGTGTATTTCAAATGTAAAGTATTTGAAATACATGTAATTAAAATTCGTGGATACTTATTTGTATTTTAAATTTCATGATTTTTTATTTTAATTTTGAACTTTTTGGTCACTTACTACAAATTTGATAAATTACAGTTTGGTATCTAAAATAATTTTTCCTTATAATTTAGTACCTAAACCTTTAAAATTATACAAAAAGGTCCAGAAATTTTAATGGTAAAATTATGTTTTGGTACCTTTATATGTTTTGCCTCACACTATAGTACCTAAACTTTTTAATATTTTACAAATAGGTCCCATTTTTTGTTAGGGGGTATTTCAAATCACTAGTTGTTGAAATGTATTTGAAGTTGACAAGTAATACACTAGACATGTTTGGAAATCACCCCATGGATTTGGCACAAATTCAAATTATCGAAATCACATCCCGCCTAAACCGATCAAACTAGAAAAACATAGGAGAACAAGAAGCCATCACCGAAGATGAAGAAGATCGATGGTGAGGCCTCCTCTCTATGAATTTCTAACTCGTTCTCTGGGTTAGAGTGCTGTAAAAGGTGTGTGTTAATGCTCTAGCCTAGCCTCCTATTTATACCAGTTACAGAAAGAGATTTTTTAGTCCATTTCCTTCTAAAGTCGGCCAAAACCTTCCTTGTACGACTTGAACCCATATTCCCTCAACTTGTGGATGAAGTAATCTTGAAGAGGAAGTTTTTGGAGGGCCTGGGTTCGAGGGGCAGATGGATAGTGGTAGTACCCTCACTAGATTTTCTTCTCAAAATTGGCCCATTCTTTATGGGCAACTTTTTCTTGTTCTCATTGGTCTGTGTCATGGACCAACTCTTAAATTTCAGCTATTTGAACTTTATTTGACCCATCTTCTCTTCAAAATACTATTCTCTAGTCCATAACTTGAACTTCTGGTGTCACAATTCATCTCTGTTTGAGCCCATGAACTTGTATTTTCCCCCCTCTTTTGATCCATTGGGTCCCTTGGTGATCCATATTCATCTTTTGTGCATTATACACTTGAAAAGCACAAAACAATAACAAAAGATGTAAAATAGTACAAAAACACACTCAAGGTCTATAATAATCTCACTAATCAAATAGTTATGAATTCAATATGAAATATAATGAAAACTACTAAATATGCAATTATAGAAGGAAAATTTGTATGAAATATGAAAGTTATAAACACTGTATATACAATGTCATCAATATGCATATGAATGTAGTATATCATCTTCTTATAAATCTTCAGGGTACTCGCAATGTTGGGATTTTGTTTCCAGCGCAAGGTGATTTGTTCTTCAGGGTTTACATATTCCAATTATGTCAGGCATATCAAAACTCGCTCCTCTATTACAGGTTAGTGTGTTAGTTTTGGTAATGCTTTCATTTTGAGGCATTGCAAGAGGTAGGACCGTGCTTCCAAGTTTTTCACTGAGTCAGAGTACAAGCCTATGTCCGATGGGGCATCAAAATTTAAATGGCTACAACGGTTACTTGGTGACTTTGATGTGAAGTGTTTTTTTTTCCTATGGAGTCGTATCCCGATAATACTAGTGATATACAAATCGCTACTAATCTTATATTGCATGAACATACACAGCATATTGAAGTTCATATGCATTATATTCATGAATTAGTTCGTGAGGGAACTATATAGGTATCTTAGCTTCCTTATGAAGAATAAGTGGCAGATTTTTTGACTAAGACTTTCACGAGCAGTCACAATTGGTATTTGGCTAGCGAATTGATGCTTCGAGAAGTGTCAATTTTGAGGGAGGTTGCTGATTGAGTCAAGCCCATATCGATACATAAGTTCTAGCCCATGCGCATACATAGCAAGTTGTACCTCATACACTTGCATTGTTGTACATACCTTTAGCCGAGTTAGGGATTATACCCTATATTATATATGCATGATGTAATCTCTTAGCCTATTAATTAATGGATTGAATAAGAGAAGTATATGCTTTTTGTCGTGGATTAGTCTCAACGATTATGATTATTGTTGATATCATGTATAGTGTTTTGTTGTTTTCATTATCGTAAAATTAGAAGAAATTAACTTTTGCTATATAATTATTATAAAAGCCCTCTCACCCCATCCTGTTTTAAATTTTAACTCTACCCCTGAAATCGAACGAAATTCAAATATGATACTATACTTTAATATCTAACGAGTGACTACAAACATTAATTTACTAAATTCAAACTCTAAAATCAATTTAGTGAAAATAATAATTTAATTAATCTAAATGTATCCAACAATCAAATCATGAGCATAAATACACACCACATGTTTGCTACCCTTTGCGAAAATACATATATCTAAATATATATACACTTCATTTGACAAATTGAGCATCGTTTTTCTTCTTTCTATCTGACATATTATATATTACGATATAACTAAGAAAAAGTATATGCTTTTTGTCGTGGATTAGTCTCAACGATTATGATTATTGTTGATATCATGTATAGTGTTTTGTTGTTTTCATTATCGTAAAATTAGAAGAAATTTTGCTATATAATTATTATAAAAGCCCTCTCACCCCATCCTGTTTTAAATTTTAACTCTACCCCTGAAATCGAACGAAATTCAAATATGATACTATACTTTAATATCTAACGAGTGACTACAAACATTAATTTACTAAATTCAAACTCTAAAATCAATTTAGTGAAAATAATAATTTAATTAATCTAAATGTATCCAACAATCAAATCATGAGCATAAATACACACCACATGTTTGCTACCCTTTGCGAAAATACATATATCTAAATATATATACACTTCATTTGACAAATTGAGCATCGTTTTTCTTCTTTCTATCTGACATATTATATATTACGATATAACTAAGAAAAAGTATATGCTTTTTGTCGTGGATTAGTCTCAACGATTATGATTATTGTTGATATCATGTATAGTGTTTTGTTGTTTTCATTATCGTAAAATTAGAAGAAATTTTGCTATATAATTATTATAAAAGCCCTCTCACCCCATCCTGTTTTAAATTTTAACTCTACCCCTGAAATCGAACGAAATTCAAATATGATACTATACTTTAATATCTAACGAGTGACTACAAACATTAATTTACTAAATTCAAACTCTAAAATCAATTTAGTGAAAATAATAATTTAATTAATCTAAATGTATCCAACAATCAAATCATGAGCATAAATACACACCACATGTTTGCTACCCTTTGCGAAAATACATATATCTAAATATATATACACTTCATTTGACAAATTATATATTACGATATAACTAAGAAAAAACAAAAGAAGACTTGATCTTCGACTACTGGCGGTCAAACTCTACAGTTGTAAGAAGGCAGTTTTTTTTTCTTTTTCCCGAAATGGTCAATGGTCAGACATTTGACATTCATAATGTTGCGGTCATTAATTGTTTGTGTTACTTGCCAGTGATCAATTGTTGGCGTTCAGTACTACTTGTACTAATCTAGTAATCCAAGTTTGTATTAATTAATTAAAAACTTCCTCAGAACCGATTGAGCCAGTGTTATATAAGTGTTTTCCCGGCGAGAAAAACTAGATGAACAGAATTGGATTTTGCACCTTTGACTTCCAAACAAACGATCAAACAACACAGTTCACACCTCTTTGAACAAAGTTCAAACAAGAGTGTTCAATGTTTTGATGAGCTACGAGGCAAATCTACATTAAATTAGCCCTACTCCTATGGAGGTTCAGTGAGAGCTCCAAAAACTACGACTATGGCTAAAATATGCAGAGGAAAAGATAAAAAGATAAAACTTGACAAGTGGTGTCGAGTTGTGATTTTGGCGAACCCCTTCTCTGTCATCTTCACCTCCTATTTATAGCCACCAGAAGTAACTGCCCCAAGAAACTGCTCTGGTGACGTGGAGTGGCGGTTACCCTCTCAACTGCTTCGACGGTTACCTTAACGTTGGATGGAGACCAATCTTGGCCTCTCCTCTTGAGACCTCACTCCATGCTCTTGGTATCCCCTCCGTAGCTTTGCTTGTCTATAGAGAAAAAATGGCTAAGGCATGAAAGCACACCACATGCCACATATGGGTGGGTACTCGAATCACTTGAGTCAAAAATGGCAGAATCACTTGAGTCAAAAATGGCAAAAATACTTCACCATTACAGGAGTAGGGAGATCACGTGCCCACCTGACCCCCCTTGACCAGATCACGAGGGTGATGTCTTGGTAGCCCCCCCTGGCAACCTCATGGGGGCGATGTTGACCACGCCCCTTGGCCATACCATGGGGGCGTATGCTGGTGACCCCTTGACCATACCACATGGGGGGTTCTCCTTGCCATCATGGCATGTCCTGGGGTGGCTCTCATACTCCTTGCCTTAGCCAAATTCGACAATCACCCCCATCACCATGTCATGGGGTGGCGGTATGATGTCCACCCCCTTGCCACGTCCTGGGGGGTGGTGGTATGATGCCCACCCCCCTCTGCGTGTCATGGGGGTGGCTCCCATACTTAATCAAATTTGGATATGCATGGCGCACGTGGTGGCACGGAGTAATGGGCTCAAAAACCCAATCCTCATGGCCCACTCAACTGATTTAAACTGATATGATTAAGTTGGCCTCATAAAGCCATTTAATTCCTTATTTTTAACCGATGTGGTACAAGGTTAATTTTTATGGGTAAACAATAAGTTGATTACAGTCTCTCATTTATATTACATACTACGTACCCACGATCAAATAACCATGTGGCACTAATATGAGCCATTGTAGCAATCAAGTTCCTCTTTCGTAGGCTTGCTTCAGCACTAGTAAGCTCTTCTTTTGTATATTGATAAATATTAGTGCTAGCTATTGATCAATATTTTCTTGTATATATACAAGAAATGCGTATATTGATTGTTAAAAAATGACATAGATGGATTAGCTATATGGTGACAATTATAAATGATTTTCTGGAAAATATGATAATTGAAGAGTTAATAGATAAATTTATTTCAAAATATGCTACAAAGAAATTATTCCGTTTAAAATAAAAAAATATTGAGATCATTTCAATTTTCTTGTACTTGAAAAAATTAGACCATGTCTCGATTCAAGAACAGGTGTCAACAATTTATTTGATTGTCGTCAAATCAGCCTAAAATTCATTCCAATCTAGTTTGCAACTTCTAGGCCCCACGACATATATAGACAAACTCCTCCAACCCTCTTAATCATCTCTAATGCCTCGTTTAAGTTTAGTATAATTTTGTTATGGTTGTGGTTGCAGTTTACAATCCCAAAAAGTAGCTTTTGATTACAGTAAAGAAGTTACTTAAAAAAATTTCACTGAAAGAGTCAATTTATATTGTATTGTCTGTTACTCTTATTGGGATCAGATCATGTCAGTATCCTTTCTATCAGTAAATGTCAGTAATCCAATCATCTATCCTTACGTGTCATTCTTTTTTTATTTATTTAAATTAAACACGGAAGGGCACTAAGGTAAATTGCACCCCCTATGTAACGCTGACGCTTTGAAGCTGACTTTTTGACCAGACGCGAATTGCCACTCCCCCACCCCACACTGGTTCCCATCTTTCTCACTCTTTGTTTTATTTTATTATTAAAAGAAAAAATACATTATTTCTTCTCTCTCCCATCTACAACAAAAATGAATCTAACCATCATAGCTATCTCTGTTCTAATTCCAACTCAAATTGAATGATGATTTTTTTGTTAAATAATTCAGTGCTAAAGTTACTAATTACAAGTATAAATATGATTATCACTTTCTACTATCATGGTAAAACATGGTAAAATATGTTGAAGAAAATTAAAAATCTAACTACCATACAATACCACATGGTAAAACGTGGTAAAATATGTTGAAGAAAATTGCAAATCTAACTACCATACAATACCACATGGTAAAACGTGGTAAAACATGTTGAAAACAATTACAAATCTAACTACCATACAATACCACATGGTATAACGTGGTAAAACATGCTATATAAATTTACAAATCTAATTACCATACCATATGGTATAACATGCTAAAATAAAATTACAAATCAACTACCACCACATGGTATAACTTGGTAAACCACGCTACAGAAAATTATAAATCTAACTAGCATACAATACCACCACAGTAGAACATGGTAAATCGAAGGACCACAAATTTATTATAATTACCATATAATACCACATGGTATGAGAAGGTAAAACAATATAAATCTAATTACAACCCTCTACGATCATAGTAAAAACATGATATTCATAAAAATACATTTTGTTACAACACATTACCATATGGTATAGACACATTACCATATGGTATAGTGTGGTAATCTTAATATATATACAATTACGACCTTCTTCTCTCACTTCATTGTCTTCTAACTCTTCTTTCTCGGAACTGGTGTCGATTACCACCCACTACCACCATGATAAAACCCGTGACTATAAAAATACATTTAGTTAGCACACATTATCATATGGTATAGTGTGGTAATATCAATATATATTCTCAAGGGGAAAAACAGACGAGGAAGAGAGAAAAAACTCGTCTTCTGTCTCCTCTCATTTACTCCTCCGCAATCAAGAACATCAAATGCAAAAAGAAAAGAAAAAAGAGGAGGAAGATCGGAATTGAAAATTCACTAACACATGCTAAAACACAAAAGATGCAAACTCGACTCACCTAGATCTGTCCCCTCTTTGACAATATGGAGCGTCATCTATTTTGAGGCCGAGAAAAGAAAAAACAGAATGAAGGAGGAGCTTGAGAGAAGAAGGATTTGGAGCGTCACCGGATTTGAGGTGGGAGGCTGCAATTTTTCTTCGTCGATTGTTGGAGAGAAAAAAAGTGAAGAACAAGAGAAGAAAGAAGATTTAGATTTGGAAAAAGGAGTTTGGAAGAGAGAGAGGAAGAGAGAAAGAGAGAAAGAGAGAGGAAGAGACAATCTGTTTTTCTCTTTCCTTCATTAAAAAGACAACATATAAATGCTGGAAAAAAAAAGGGAAAAAAAATTAAATTTCAAAAATTGGACAAAAATGCCCCTCCTCACTCCGCGTGCAGCCCAGCCATATGATGATTCCGCCCCTAGATCTACGGTCTTGGTTTAGTTACTGACATGTCAGTAACCAATGGTTACTGACTCTATCTTAGACCCTCTAATTGCCACAAAAACATATCAAAACAAAACGAAACTAATATGTTAGTGAATGGTATATATCCACGATTGAACCTCTCCCAACAGCTCGAGTTATCGGGATCGAGTGGTTTTTGACATGGTATTAGAGCTGGTTTGTCCTTGAGGTCACGTGTTCTAGTTAGGGATGACAATCGGGCGGATCGGGGTCGGATATATATGGATCCGTCACCCGCCCGCCGAAACTTCGGGTTCGGGGAATCCCCGGCCGAACACTGTTATCGGTTGTAAAAGAGCAACCAAGCCCGCCCGTTTTCGGGTGTCGGGTTTGTCGGGGACCCGAAACCTATCCGACTAGTTCATTAGTTAAAAAACAACAACCAAATTCTTACGTGAAGCTGAAACATGAACTTCATAACGTCAAATCCAGAAACCAGAATGCACTGGAGAAGTAGCAAAAGTACAAAACATTCAACAGAAAACATCCAATCCTAAAATACCATCAAATCCAAAATGACCAAGACCATTGTATCAGCAAAACAAAAGTTTAAATGACTAGCAAAAGTGCAAAACATCTCTACTACTCGTCCTCGAGAACAACTTCGATAGCAACAGCAGCACAACAGCATGAGAAAGACTTCACTTTAGGCCTCCATACTCCACTTTCCAGCAGCAGCAACAATGCAGCATTCTGCATTCCTTGGTTCCACCCAGCAGCCAAGGCAACAAAACTCAAACAAAACCTGAAAAACGAGGAAAAACAACCGTTATTAAGGATCCAAATTCACAAATCATGAACTCAATCATTCTGCATTCTTACTTACATCTTGCTGCTAAGTATCAGTTCACAAATCTTGATTAATCTTCAAGAAGCTTGAAACGAGGGGCTTGCTCTACACATTTAAACAAACTATCTCAATCTCATTGACATATATCAAAGGCTAGAAGAAATCACACAACTGAAACAAGGTTTTTTGCTTATTACCTTCAGTAGTTTCAGCATCAGGTTGGAGCTGGACCAGATTGGCTTCACTTGTAGGGGAGAAACATCCTTCCAATACTCCTGCTCCAGTAGCAGCATCATCTAGGAATGCAAGCCAAGTCAAAATAGTTACATAACATGCTAAAACAACAATGAAATTGAACAAAAAGATTAACTTAACAGGGTTAAGAGTTTACCTCCAGCCAACTCAGCTTGCAACCAACTTCTTGTGCACACAAGTGTTTCCACAGTAGCATGGTGCAACCTGCTCCTATGAGGGTATAAACACGACCTCCAGAGCTAAATGCACACTCAGATGCAACAGAGGTAACAGGAACAGCCAAAACATCCCTTGCTATGGCTTGCAAAGTGGGATATTTTGGACCATTATGCTTCCACCACATTAAAATATTAAACTCAGCAGAACGAGGGAGAATTTCCTCATTGAGGTAACTGTCCAACTCAGTATGGACAGAAGCAACTCTTGCCCTTTTTCTTTGGCTCACAAATCGATCAAAGTCGAAATCAGTGGTGCTAGGAGCAGAGGACTCAACTCCAACATACCCAGAAACATTCAGATTCCTCTCCTCATTCATTTTACTTTGGTACTCCAATACCAGATCAGATAATATGTCCTTAACAGATTCCAAACAATAGCCATCAAATTCAACACCAAATTTTTCAGCATAGTAGTCAACAATTTCCAACTTATACCGTGGATCTAGAATCACAGCAATAGCAAGGACTTTGTGAATCTCGTCCCAGTACTTGCTGAATTTTTCCAGCATAGAATAACCCATCTTTTGAATCACTTCATTGGTATCAACACACCACTCATGAACCTTGAGTTTCAAGTCACAAATACGAGGGAAGAACAGATTAGTCGTTGGATACTTCGATCCAGAGAACAAATCAGAGATAGAGCTAAAAACTTTAAGTTTCTCACAAACAAGTGCAGCAAATTGCCACTGCTCATTCGATGGCAAGAAATTATATTGAGCATCACGTTGCTTCAGTCTAGTGAAAACCTCCTTGTAAGGAATAGCAACAGATAGCATTTTAAAGGTGGAGTTCCACCGAGTAGGGCAATCCATAACAAGTCGTTTCTCAGAAGTGAATTTTAACTGCTTTGCAATTTCAAGGAAGAACTCTAGCCTTTTAGGGGTAGCAGACCAGTAAACAACACTGCTCCTAATGTTATCAATTCCCTCTTTAACAACATCCAGACCATCTTTCACAATCAAATTCAAGATGTGAGCAGCACACCTCATATGTATCAAAGCACCATCACTTATCAAGTCAGGTAACACTAATTTTGACTGTATGACACGAATCATAGAGTCATTAGTGCTACAATTGTCTAGGGTAATGGTGGATACCTTACTATCGACATTCCAGTCGAGCAAACAGTTAACCAACACTGTCCCCAACCTTTCAGCAGTATGAGGTGCTGGTACATATGCAAATCTGCACAAGAACGAGCAGACAAAGAAACAATTGCAATTAGGAATGAAACAAAAACTAAGAAACAGAAACCAATGATTCAAATAGATACAAATTACATGTCTTACCTTAGCATATGGATCCTAAGCACCCACGAATTGTCAATATAATGAGCTGTAACAGTCATGCACCCCTTCTTTTGATTGGTGGCAGTCCACAAATCAGTAGTTATTGCAATTCTACCTCTGTTGATATCAAACAGACTTTGAATCTTAGCTCTTTCAATATCATAGATCTTAAAGACCTCTTTCTTTATAGTATTCCTCGATGGAACAGTGAACAATGGTTGAAGAGAGCATACAAATCTCTTGAAATAGAGATGATCAACCATCGACAAAGGATATTCATGCATTGTAATAGCAATTGCAAGCTCCCTTTTTGAAAAATCAGAGTTGAAAGCAGTAGCAACCAAGTCTTGATTTCCTTTAGCCAAATAGTGAGGGCCGAGAATCTTTTGACTACCATCCCTAATTTTCTTCTGAACACAAATTTTGGTGTGATTCTTTAGGTGGGTAGTACCATTATTTGATTCCCCACCTAATTGCTTCTTACAATAATTGCATTTAGCCTTGACAATTCCATTAATTCGAACTTTGGTATAGTGTAACCAAACAACACTCTTAAGCTTACCAACGTCGAGTATTTCCTCGACAACATTACCATTCCCAGCATTGCCATTCTGCTCATTTGTAGTTGCTGCCTGCGGAGTTGGGTTTGTGACAGTCCCATTTCCAGTAGGTGCAGACAGAACTGGATTTGCACTATTGTCATTATCTTGTGGAGTGGGTTGAACTCCCTCTGTTGACATTGTTCCTGCCGAAAAAACAGAGGAACAAGGATTAGTAGGATATCAAGCGACTCCCTCAATCATTAACCAACACCAATGATCAAAATTGAAACAAAGAAAGTGGATATTTACCTTGAACAAACAGAGTGAGGCACAAACAACGGGTGGGAATGGATGTGAAGATGATTCTCGCACAGTCGCACGCACAAGGCCAGTAGCCACAAACCAAACAAGCAGTAAAAGGATGAGAAGTCAGTCTGAGAACTGAGAAACAGAGTACTGAGATTGAGACTTGAGAGAAGTATGAACAAAAAAATAAACCCCACCTCGTATTTATACTCCAACTTCAATCTCCAGCCGAATCGACTATTCGACTTCGCTGTCACTGCGAGAAATTCTCTTTGCATGCGCCAAGCCATGATCGAAAGGGAAATGATTATCATCATCGGGAAGGAAAGCGGATAATCGATGGGAGATTGAGATATGCGACCGATATGTTAGGGATTCGATGCAGCGGGAGCAATCGGATTGCTAGATTCTAGCCTAGGGTTGGAGGCGGAGAAGAAAATGGGAGACGAAGAGTTGAGGGGAGTATTCTAGACCTAGGGTTTCTGATTAGAGGGTGTCTATATATGTACAGGGCGGAGTCGGGGCGGATAGTTTCGAGTCCGAAGCCCGACCGAAGCCCGTTTCTCTTATTCTCGGGTTAATCCGAGTCCGGCCCGGAGCCCATCATCAACGGATTTTGCCTGATTTTGTCGGGTCGGGTTCGGATCGGATATTCGGGTTTCGGTTCAATTTGCCAAGCCTAGTTCTAGTCCCCACGACCCCCATTATTAACCGTTGTCTTTCAAGCACATGGTATGGTGGGCCTGTGCAAACTTCAAGACCATGAGTCGGCTCTCGTTTGACTGGTTTATGACATTGTATCATAGTCTTATGTGACTGAAAGGTCTTGTGTTCGAATCCCGGTGACCCCATTTGTGAAGCACATGGTATCGTGTATTCAGACATGTGCAAACGAAAGCCCTTATGAGGTGACTGGCTTTCGTTTGAGAGAGATGTTAGTAAACGATATATGATCCACGATTGAACCTCTCCCAACAACTCAAATTATTGGTATCAAGTGGTTCTTGATATAATCAATCAATCAAGTGGCCATAAAAATAACGATTGCTATAGCAAAAAATATGATCACCACTAAGCAGAGGACGTCTGAAACGTATGAAATACTTTCTTCGGTACTTAAAATCTTTCTTTTGTGTACCTTGGGGTTGTTATTTGCTAAAATAACGTAAACCATATAGTTGTTCCTTTCTTTCTTGTTGAATAGGTAGAAAAGAAAACAACCCTTTTGCTTTTATATCTCTATCTAAAGTCAGTGACTATATTAATTAAATTCTTTGTTTGTGATTGTGAGTACTAGACCTTTGGTTGTTGGTTAAGGATTAAGGAACTAGCTGTGGCTCAAGTTGAATCAACATTTTGTAATCTGGGTCATATTGTACACGCAGATTATGCTGATTGGACATGGCAAGAGTTCCAAATGCAGAGACTTGGAGCTGCTCAAAACTGTTCTGCCACCAGGAGGGGTAATTTCGTGATCACTGATGCTGTCCTCCCGGAAAAGGTATAACTCCTAAGCTCTTCATTCGTGGTTGTGCTTTGGATTCCACTCTGAGAAGGACTAGAGTAGTGGGAGTAAATGATGTGTTGATGTGACTTGAATCGGAATATCAGCCGTTACGACTAGTAGTCGGGGTCTCAATGTTATTTGGGTTTGAGTTCTGGGTCTGGTCTGTAATCGTTTCCTTTGCCAGATTCAATTAGATTTAGACCCACATGGAGAAGTACTATAAATACTTCTCATACTCCTATGTAATCTGTAATCTCCTCGATATAGTGAAACTGACTCTCTCTCGCCCGTGGACTAGCTAACACACATCGTGTTAGTGAAACACGTAAATCGTGCGTCTGTGTTTTTCGATTCCGGCGATTTCCTGATCAGTAACAGCGCGTTTACAACATGATGTCTCGCTATAATATCTTGAACTAATATTACGCACACTGCAGCACCACCGGAGCTCTTGATATTGGAGGTCGTGGAGATTCGAACACACGACCACTTGACCAAACTAGCTCTGATACCATGTCATAAACCAGTTGCTCCCAATAACTCGAGTTGTTGGGAGAAGGTTATGCTGAATCATATATCACTCTAACATTCAGGATGTGAACCATGCGGTTCTGGCCGTGGGGTATGGAGTTGAAGACGGCGTACCATACTGGCTCATCAAGAATTCCTGGGGAGGAGATTTGGGGGGAGAGTGGTTACTTCAAGATGGAAATGGGGAAGAACATATGTGGTAAGTTAACTTCCTACTGCGCCTACTACGACGACTGCAATGTTATTCCATTCAATGTGGTGCTTCTTCCAATGGACTCATTTTGGGTTGGCATTGATAAGGATTAATAATTTCAATTTTATTTAGCTTTTACTTAGTCAGCTGTAGGCCTTTTATTTCTCGGTTCTGTTGTCCACGATCTCCCACTTCCCTTTCTGTTGTAACCACTTCAGCTGATTGATTGTATTTAAACTAGTTCTTGCTATCAATAGAAATAAGTTAATCGCAAATTCTCTTCATGGTATCAGAGCAAAATCTGATCCCTTAAACCTAATATATTTTCTCTTTCCCTCTCATTGCCGTCTGTTCATCTTCTCTCTGAGCTCTTTCTTTCTTCCCTCAAACATGTCCACTGACGACACTTCCAACTCCGGCACAGCCGTTCTCTCTGTTGCTGCCTCCGAGAACCAGGTGATCTCCCTCAATCCCGTGTCTCAACTTCCCACAAAACTCACCGAGTCCAACTTCCCAATATGGCGAGCGCAGCTTCTGTCACTGCTTATTGGTCTTGATCTACTGCGATTCATGGACGGCTCCTTCCCAGCTCCTGCTCGCAATATCACCAAAACTGATGGTACAACTCAGCTCAACCCCACATACCTGTACTGGTACAGGCAAGACAAGCTTCTTCTTCATGCCCTTCTTGCCTCTGTCTCAGATGTTGTCTCTCCCTACATCTCTGCTGCTGCCACATCTTTTGAAGCATGGTCGATTCTGAATCGTCTTTATGCTAACAATTCTCGATATAGAATGATGAGTCTCAAAACCGTCTACCCTCCTCGTCGTTAGGTGGCCAAACTCCTTTCTTTTCTCTCTTCAACACAAAACCCAACTATCTCAAACTTCGCACTTTTGGATGCGCTTGCTTTCCCTGGTTGCGTCCTTACAGTCCTCACAAGCTCGCTGCCCGTTCACGCAAATGTATCTTCCTTGGATACTCCACTCAACAAAGTGCGTATAAATGCTTTGATCCCGCCACCTCCCGTATCTTCCTCTCTCGCCATGTCATATTTGACGAAACTCAATTCCCTGGCCTTCCTTCCACCCCTAATTTGTTGTCTTCCTCCCCCTTGGCTTGGATCGCTGCCACATCTCCATTCCAAATCATCCCTATTCCTTCCATAACCTCCCCACCTACAGATTCTCCCCCGGCCCATTCCACCTTCCCCTTGGCCCAACAGCCCTCCTCACATCCAGACCCAATTCCTACGCCAACAACCATCTCCTCTCCTCCTCCCTCCGCTGCTGCCCCTCTTGACTCGTACGCCTCGCCGCCCCGCTCCTCCCCTGCTGCGGATCCTTCGCCACCCAACAATCGTCGGGCTGCTCCACCGCCACCAAGAAAGAGGCTGCCACCTACTACTGTTCGTCGTCACCCAATGGCCACGAGATCACAGCACAATATTTTCAAGCCTAAACGTCTCTTTTATACGCAAGCCAAGCTCTCTGCTCTTGCTCTCGAACCCACCTCCGTCGCTGCTGCTCTCTCCAGCCCTGAATGGACAGCCGCTATGCAGGCTGAATTTGATGCGTTACTTCGCAACGGGACATGGTAGCTTGTGCCTCGATTACCCCATTACAATGTTGTTGGTTGCAGGTGGATTTTCCGGATCAAACGCAAGCCCAACGGCTCCATTGATCGATTCAAGGCGCGTCTTGTGGCCAAGGGATTCCACCAACGTCCCGGTGTTGATTTCATTGAGACTTTCAGCCCTGTCCTCAAGCCTGTCACCATCAGGACTGTCTTCAGCATTGCTCTCAATCACTCTTCGCCTATCCACCAATTCGACGTCAATAATGCGTTCCTCCAAGGTTCCCTGACTAACGATGTATATATGGCACAACCTCCGGGTTTCAAGAATGCCTTTTTTCCCGATCATGTTTGCCGCCTCAACAAAGCCATTTATGGACTCTGTCAAGCTCCGCGTTCTTGGTACAATGAACTCTGCAACTTCTTGGAGCAAGAGGGGTTCGTCAAGACTCAATCAGATGCATCTCTTTTTGTCTACAATTGCCGTGGCACTCTTCTCTATTTCCTGGTTTACGTCGACGACTTACTCCTCACCGGTAACAATTCCACAGCTCTCTCTCGGTTCCAACAACGCCTAGCTGCTCGGTTTTCTCTCAAAAAATTGGGTCCCGTCAATTACTTCCTCGGCATCGAAGTCTTGCCCATGTCCACTGGCTACTTGCTCTCACAGCATAAATATGTCACTGATATTCTTGAGCGGTTTCAAATGGCTGACGCCAAATCGGTTTCCACTCCACTGGCCTCCTCAACTCGGCTACTCTTATCCGACGGCTCACCCCCTGCTGATTCCAGTACCTATGGCCAAATTGTCGGCTCTCTGCAATATCTTCTATGCACTCGCCCAGACATCGCATTCGCCGTCAACAAACTGTCACAGTTTATGCATGCTCCAACACATACTCATTGGCAGTCCATTCGCCGGCTTCTTCGTTACCTCAAAGGCACCAGTGATCATGGACTCCTTCTTCGTCGTGCTCCCTCGGCTACTCTCACCGCCTTTGCTGATTCCAATTGGGCCGGTGACCCCAATGATCGTACGTCAACCATGGCCTTCCTCATCTACTATGGCGGCAACTTAATCTCCTGGAAATCCAAAAAGCAGCGAACCGTCGCCCGCTCCAGCACCGAAGCGGAGTATCGCGCTCTGGCCCATGCTACTGCCGAACTTGAATGGATTCAAAATCTGCTACTTGAGCTTCACCAACCTGTCTCCACTCCTCCTCTACTACTCTATGATAATTTGGGTGCCACCTATCTTGCTCAAAACCCTGTGTTCCACTCTCGGATGAAGCATTTAGCTCTGGATTATCATTTTGTTCGACAGTTGGTGCAACAACATCGTCTCCAATTTCGCCATGTGTACACTCACCAACAGCTCGCCGATCTCTTAACAAAACCCCTCGCTGCAACCAGGTTCCATCTTCTCAAGTCCAAGCTCGGTGTCGTCAGTGCCGCCACCGTCTTGCGGGAGCGTGATAAGGATTAATAATTTCAATTTTATTTAGCTTCTACTTAGTCAGCTGTAGGCCTTTTATTTCTCGGTTCTGTTGTCCACGATCTCCCACTTCCCTTTCTGTTGTAACCACTTCAGCTGATTGATTGTATTTAAACTAGTTCTTGCTATCAATAGAAATAAGTTAATCGCAAATCCTCTTCAGGCATTGTCTTCTTGACTGCAGGTGTTGCCACATGCGCTTCATATCAGATTGTTGCATAAGTCTGCGCGAGAAATCGGTGAGAAGGTGGTTGATGGTTACTTGATGAACCAAGAGGCCAACCTGCTAGTTAGCTTTCAAGTATTGTGGCTATGTTGTAGATATTTAAGTTCTAAGAACTTGGTCGTTTGTACCAATGGTCTCCGAAACCCAGGGGGTTGCTCTGTAGTCTGTACAAAATAATAACCCACAGAAAAGAACACTCGGTGTAAATCTCATGTATTATTGAATGGTGTCATGAACTGAAACCTTTGCGCTCTGTTTAAGAAAGAGGAGGAGAAAATTGGGGTTGGAGGAAAATTGTGAGGAAGTGAAAGTTTTAGAATAATAAAATAATGAGAAAAAATAGTATTAAAGGGAAAAAGATATCCAACGAGAGAGAAATGAGTTTCATCCCAAATATTGGGCAATTGCTAATTGCTATAACTTTTCCCACCAAATAATCACTCATGTATTGTTATTGTAGTAAAATTTATGAACAATGAAAAAGTTTCAACTCCCTCCAATTTTTCCAGTTTTCTCCCACCTCTGTTTTCTCTCCTTAATGAACAGAGAATGAAGTAAATGGATTATGAGGGCAGAAAGTGGGTCAGATCCGTCTCTTACCTTTTTATAACCTTGTATGACCCGTTCTTGTAGGATCAATTTATAAAACTGATCCATCCTGCTCATGTTTCTTCCTTGATCCGGTCTGATTTGCTCGGGTTAGGCCAAACATAGCTGACCGGCTCGGTTCAAATCAATCAACAAATTATAATTTTAAAAGTTACATTTTGGTATCCAAAATTTTTTCTTACAATTTAACACGTAGACATTTTTTACTAATAGGTCTAGAAATTTTGGAGATAAGATTTCTCACAACTTTAAGGGCTAAGATCGACTTAGACAAGTAACAAATGGACCTGATCTTACCCGGTTGGACTAAACATTTCAACCCTGGTCCTTTCAGTCACGAAGGAAGCCTGAGAGGCTGAACAACGAGGGCTGGTCTAGCATTCTAACGAGATTCGAGTGCTAAACGTTGCACAGAAAATTAGTCCATGACATGTCCCACATAACTTTCTATGGAGGGATGCTGGAAGAATGACCAACTAATTATAGCTAAAATTGTACTCTTTAAGATCAGCTGGTTTTATGTGAAACTGTCGGTAGGACAATATTCCAAGTTCAAGAGAGGTTATTTCTACCTGGTATCTACAACTTGAAGAGGCACTTTCTCGAAGTTCATTGCAAACTGTTCTCCATTTATTGGTGATGGTCTTCATTAATGGCCAACAACGTCGTCTCTTCTTCTTCTTCTGCGCGTCCTAATCAGTGTAGGATCAGGGACGTGAAGTATATACATACAATATTCATTATAGACATCTGTACAAGTTATATACAAATACAGTTGTTTCGTCGCAAAATTGGCCGACTTGCTTAAGTATGAGCTCTTTAGCGTTTACTTGCAGCCGTCCTCATCTTCATGTTCTTTGCTGCAAACGCAAATAATCCCTCAGTTTCGATTTCACCGTGGAATACGTAAAATGGCGGTGCAAGAGATTTCCAATGCAAGCTGCCATTGCAAACAGAGCTTTTGCTGGCCTTCTCGCTGCGCGCTTATCACTCGCCTGTGGATTCTTGATGAGCATAACATGATTCTTCGTCTAAGAGTTCCCCTCTAATTCCTCATGTAGTTGTCGCCTTGGGTATAGAACCACTGCCATTAACAAAGAGACTGCAAGACCGACCACCCCGCTAAAAGGTTGGAATGGATGAGTCCCTGCTACCCATAAAGGCAACGTGTACTTGTACGTCAGGAATCCACCTCTCTGAAGAACATAGCTTGAAGCCATTATCCCAGCACGTAACCCAATCACCACAGAAAGGCTGCCTTGGCTTCTTTGCCGTATCCCTGACAGGGCCATAGATAGAAGCCACAGTGCTGGCACTGCCAATGGAGACCTGGCAACCAATTGGTGGAGAGAAATGGATTAAGAGGCCAAATTTCTAATGAGATACGTAAAATCGAGGGACAGAAAATGAACGAGCGTATTGGTTCTGCTATAATGATAAGTGGACTGCTAAAATGAAGGCCTGCAGAAGACAAATCGATAAGTGACAAGAAGAGAGCAATTGGAGATCTTGGCTGGGGTTGCACACCAAACAATACCTCTGGGAAAGAGCATATAAAAGTCCCGAAATGACAATTCCTTGATGAAACCCAAGATCCAAAGCAATTTCTCCAGGCAGCCACGATCTGAAAAACAATTCTTCAACGAGCACAACGCCAGCTGCTGATAGGATGCCTTGTAGGGCAAACAAAACCATTTGGCCGTACAGTTTCAGATATGCTACGACAAGATTCGTAGAAGACGGGTGCCTTGCAGGCCAAGAAAAACTCACACAGCCCAGATATACATTTACAGATTGTATCAGTAAAACAAGTGCCATCCCTCCAGCTAAGGCCTTGAAAAAGCTTTGGATCTGCAAGATATGGCCATAAGATGAGACTATTTCATAGGCACAGAAGATGAAGAAGTTTTGCCACTCGTCATGCAAGTGTATAAGAGATGAAAAATAAGGAGCAAAAGTCAAGGAATCGAAAGGTTTGGTGTAAGGCAAATCTATAGACTTGTAGCAAAATATCAAATTATGTAGAGAGATTCTCTACGGGCTATGATATTCAGAGCTAAAATTTGGTGCATTTACTTTGTTTAGTATGAACAATATGGAAACTATACAAAACGATTATATAACCAGTGGCACATAATAGAATGGCTTAAAATCAGAATGAACTCTTCAGCTTAACAAAAGAAAGCTTGAAAAACCAACCTTGCTCTATCTTATGACAAGCTAAGTTAATTTTTTTAATGCAGACATAATAAAAACAAGGGTAGCAACCCAAGTTCATAAATCTGAGTATCCGCAATCAGAAGTGTAATTTCAACATTGAAGCCTGATTGACCCAAAATTTACACATCGTAGATATCAGGTTTATTACTTCTTATAATAATAAATGGATGCTGGTCACCGAAATAACAAAGTGACTTCTACTGGCTTCTGAAATAAACCAACACCTCTACCATCCAAAATGAGATAACCTACTCCAAAACAACATATGACAGGCTGCAAAAGCTAGAGAAAGCATGCAGAGATAATGAAGCCATACAGCTTCTCTAAGAACATGTAAGCTCTCTAACAAACAATATTTTGATTACCTTGGACAATGTCGTCAAATCCAGACCATATTGTTTCAGTGGAAATTCATGCCCACGTAGCTTTCTGCCCCAAATGATAACAAGCATCAAAATAGCAGCATAGAGGCCAAGAATTGAAACAAGCTCCGCAAATCTGGATGGAGTGCCAGATGTCCAGCTCTGCACCAGTGTTGGAAGCAATGGAATAACAACTGGCGACCATAAAACAAGAGCCATGCCCACAAATCCCAGAATCCTGTAAATAAAAAACGTGTGAGACAGAAATTGACATATACGAATATACTGTTAAAATACACGGTGTTATGTATTCTAACAATGTTTAGGTTAACCCAAAGGTTAAAAAATTGATCAAACTCCTTGCAAATCAAAAACTGCATGCTCGCGTTACATGAACTCTTTCAATCCCACTGGCACATGATTTCTTGACATTCGTGTATTTTATATTTACACCAATTGCTTACCAAGTGACGCCTAAAAAACTTGTCCTCAATTTATCTGGTAAAAGATGGAACATATAAATTATACACACATGATATAAGTACATAGAACTAAGAAGAGCTTTGGCCACACATCTTCAGATGGAAAATACTACAAAATCATCTTGATGGTGCGGGCCGTAATTTTGTCGCATATATCCTGGATAATAGATAGCCTCACTCGCCATCACATCTGCCACTATATTCAGTAGCTCTTTGTCATATGACACTGCTCCATAAGTAGGAGAATATTAGCATACTTTCCATTTGAAGCAAGAACAATATTACAGCCAAAAACATATCTAGTAACACCAACAAATAAGGCATGAAATATGCAGGGTTTGTCTAAGTCATATGGCAAGACAAGCATCAAGCAGGCAAGACTACTTTCACTTCATTTCTTAGCGGAAGAGCATATTAAACTTATTAGCAGATTTCCCCAATTTTGACTCGCTCAAATGACGATAAACACCTGTGTAAAAAAATGGATTTCCCACAATACCAAACTATTCACCAATCATCATATGACCTTTAGAAGCAAGGTCGCGCAGGGGGCCCTCCAGTAATTACCACAAGAGTTGCTGACGCTCAAGCACTGTTTCACCACTATGAATTACCTTTGGTGTAAGGGCCGGTCAGCTAAGTGCAAGAAAGAGATAAGCCTCTCAGTCAGACTCATAGCTCCACGTAGACCACCCCACAGCAGAGCAAGCTTCCCAACCAAACTCAAAATGCCACCCTTTTGACCCAAATCAGCTAACATAGCAACCAACCTGTAGAGAGTTGAAACACATACACATCATAAGAAAACGCATATCAGCTATTCTGAACAAAGGCACAAATATAGACTATTAGTAACCTTTCTTGATCCACTCCGCCGTCTTCCTTCGTAGGAACTACTGGACCAGCAACTGACATCGCTTTCTCAGCAAAGCTTGCAACAATGTTGTTTTGATCTTTTTCAGACAATTCACCATCAAGCTTTTCTGATGCTATTTGGGGACTTACTCTCTCCTTCAAGTACTTGGCCGATGATTCCTCTATTTCATTGTCATCCTGCGGAATTTGAATTAAGTGGTCTCAAAAACCATCATACATGCCAGTCCGGAAATTTGAAAGAAAACAGAAGTGGCAAGTGATGGGTTGCTCTCTTTTGCACACACGCACACACAGAATCATATGTAAGGAAAACATCCATACAGGACATTATTAATACTTAGATGATGCAGATCCTATCCACATACAAGATACTTCAGTTATCCATGATATGATCTTGCCACCTCATGGGACAAAAGTGCATTCAACCCTAGAGGACTTTGAGCTGGTTGGTACTTAAATAAGAAGTTGACAATGATAGTTTTAATTTTTCCCTGGGTCTGTTAGCCTAATTTTTCCGACCATCATAAGTGTCATGAACTCTAAAGCAACATATAAGAGAAGCTTTAATACATTCACAAAGCAATGGCAGTCTATAAACCTTGAAAAACAGTTCCAACAGAGGGTCCACACAGTACATTATAAAAAAAAAACAAAAAAAAAAACAGAGGGTCCACACAGTTGGTCTGAATGATGCTTAGTTAATTTACACACATGAAAGAATACGTGAATGGATCGTCATCCTTTAACACAGCCAGATTCTTAACTAGTCGGGAGAAATATTAGATTATCATACTCAAGAATCAATTAATTGCCATTACCTGTTGTCCTAGAAAAGCTGAAGCTCCAAGGGCAGCGGTAACAGCACCCACCATAATGCTGTCATTGTCTATGTTCTTCAATACAGCTTCTTCACCCTTTCTACTTCTTGTATGGTTCAAACTAGAAACTCCAAGATCATCTGCAAGCTTTAGATCCTTCTTACTAGTATTCATTTCATCTTGGCAGTTTTCCAGAGAACTTTCATTTTGATCATATGATTCCAGATCATTATTAGGTCCTGTAGCTACGTCAAAATGTTTTTTCAATGCAGCTAAGCAACAACCTACTATGACCCCCACCGGTAAGAGTCTTCTTAAATAGGTTGTTCCTGAGACAGAAGATGATATGGCACTCACAATGCTTTCTGCATGAAGGACACCGTGCCTTTCTGAATTATAATCGACCTTATTGTTTTCATCATGGACGTTCCAGATATGATCCTTGCCATGCCCAACGGACAAAGATACAGCATCAGCCACTAGTTCAATATCTCTTCCAAGATCAGGCTTCATTTTTCTCACGTCAGCCACACTCAGCTTGCGGCCAACCTCAACCTTTAGAGCATCCAGGATAATGTTCTTCACAGAATGTATAAGCTCTTCTGTCTTGACGCTAACATCTCCTGCCTTCCTTTTTAGGTTGTCCAAAACCTTATATTCTCCAACAGGCTGCTGACGTGTCTCAGTATCTAACACAACATAGGAAGGTTCAATAAAATCATCTCCTTTTTTCACCTCCGCATTCAATTGGACCTTAACCTTTCGTTGAACAACATTACTAGTTGAAGCAGTTTTCCTCAACTGTCCAACATTCACATGTTGTTCCAAAAGCTTCCATTGGCCATCTTCGGGAAAATAGTCAAGTAATAAAGCAGCAGTTGGGTCAACATCCAGTGGTTTGGTTTTTGGCATCTTAGCTAGAAGATATTTGTTGAGGTGAGCATTCTGCAGGTAGTCCTCATATAGGTGTTTGTTCACACGCAAAGGAATATCTCTCACATTGCTATCGTCCAAGTCAGTTGTACTTCTAATACCAAATAACTGTTCCTTTTCAATCTCGCTTCTGTAGTTATTAACAACCCTCCCAGAGTTACTAGAAATGTTGCCACTCGAAATTAATGTATCCATTTTAGGTCTCGCCTTTGAACCATCGTAACCTGCTCCAGCCTGTGCTGATGGCCGATCAACATTCAGCGGTTCACTAGAACCAGAATCATCAAATTCATCTTCAGTCTCATTTCCATCATTGGCATGATCTTTGTTATCCTGATCCTCTTGAAATTGGTCAATCATATTTTCAATCACACCAAAGACACTGTTAACTGCTACTTGAGTGGAATCATCAATTCCTGCAAAGGCATCCAGGGCTTGAACGACATTGAAGGTGGGGGTATTGGAATCGGGAAGGGCAGACTTGTTTTGAATCGGTACAGGCTGTTCGCTTATGCTATCTCTCTTCTGATCATCAATGCCTTCCTTTCCAGACTGTTGAGGCTCAGGAACTCCTGCAGATGGACTGCCGCCTTCACTAATATTGGAAGGTGTCACCTCACTCCGCTCACTGGAAGACTCCATGGTTGTCTTTTCATGAGAATTATTCTCCTTTCTCGTTTCTGGCTCAGGTGATGATTCATCATCATGGAGCAATTTGGTATCATTGGAAGTGGCATCCTTGACACTACCAGCCTTTTCAGGAACAGACTCCAGACTAGCTTCCAATCCCTTATCCTTACTCTCGGCAAACGAAGCAGCTTTTTCTCTAGTGACTCCATCACTAGTATGATTATTTTCAGATTCATTTGCTCCCATTGTAGGGGGGCCATGTATGTCACCATGCTGATTTGTCATACTTTGAGACTGACCTAAGTCAACAGATTTCTGCAAATTATCAGAAGACAGAAGCTCTGGGTCTAGACCACCACCAGACTGGTCAATCCCCGATTGATTGTCACCGACACCATCTGTTACACTATTTGTCTTATTCATCTCATCTACAGCAATGTCTTTTGACATGCTGTCAGAACTTGCTTCTACTTGCGTGGTTGACTTCAACCCTGAAGATAGAGCTGGTATCTTACCTTCACCACTACCCATCAGCCCATCAAGCTTTAACTTCATACGATTAGCTTGCAGAATTCCTGATGCAGCTGCAGTAAGCTTTCCGCGAACTTCTTCTGGTACAGCACCTTCCAAGGCTTTCAAAAGTGTCTCTCCTCGACCTACAGCAGACAAGACCTACACACAGGAAGCACGAAAGTTCTGCTGAATGGCTAACGATACAACAACCAGAAGCAAATTAGAGATTTCCCATCAATTCTGCAAAGACCTGCACCATCTAAGGATAACAGCGAGACGTCAAGAAATCACTAGGTCTATCAAATTTGTTCAACTATGACAACTTCAAATATGTACCACTCAGTTTGCTAGATGTTTAATATCTTGTATTTGAGCTCATCCTAATTTATTCATTACAAAACAGATATTACTTTTGGATAGAACAACCAATCACTAGGTCCATCAGTGGTTTTATGTACCAAGGAAAAGAGATAAGAGAAGCCTTCTTTCCCAACTAATTCTGCAATCTCACCAATGCGAAAATCAAATGCAATATCCAATGAATCTGAATTCTGGAGCCATGTTGTATGAATATTGAATATCCACATATGCTAAAAAGGGTAACAGTGAACTAAAAACAATCACTGATCTCAAGCAATTCAGCCTTACCTTCTTTCTTTCATCCTGTGCAAGAGCACCGGGCATTGCAGTGTCCAGCATTTTCATTACTAACTGTGCTGTCTGTAACACTTCGCCTCTTTCAGCATCCACAGGTATAGCTGACTCATCTTCCATCAGCTCTGTTTCTACAGTAGTTTTCTGTCTAACCTGGCCTTCTTCTCCCTGTAAGCCATCTTCGATTTCCATATCTTTGTCATAATGAAGTATTGATCCTGAATTAAGCCCATCACTGGTAGAGCTACCGTCAGGCAGCTGATTGGATAGACTCACAGCATACCCATTGGTATCAGTTACAGTAAGATCCAAGAGTTCTTTATTCTCTCCATGAATGTCAACAATTGCCTTTTCTCTACGACTTAAACCTGTTGATAGGTTGACGGTAACATCTAAATCTTCAAGTAGTGGATGACGCCCCTTCAAGAGTCCGAGCTCCACGGCTGTGAGCCACTGCACATTTCATAGACACACTAACTAGATTACCACTTGTAGTTATGGCCAAACTAAGAAACCAGGTAGCCCCAGACAAAAAAGATTCTGAAATAAGACAATGGCAGGCATCTATCAACCACTCAGTGAATGGCTTCATGTTTGAAATACCAGCGCTGGTCCCTGTGCATGTAAATTTAAATATATTGCCTTCTTATGAGGAACTTTACTAATAATTGAAGACGTCCAAAATTCGTCATGTAATTACTCAAATGAGACATTGAAAAATAAGACGATGATCAGTAAATGATACACAATCATAACGTGAACATTTGAAATCAAGAAAATGATATCAATAAATGTATGGCAGAAAATAGCTAAATGATATGCTGGTCAACAAATCCCTTGAAATAAAAAAAAAATCACGTTGTCTTCTCAACAAAGAAGATTTATCACCTCCAATGTAAGGTTTTGGCACCATAACTGAGCTGCTCTGTTGTTTACTTTGGTCACATGCGGTGAGCATGAGCATAGAAGAAGGTTTGTACAAGGATTTTCTGCGATTGAACTGCGTGGAATGGAGAAGAGCGGGACAGCAGCATCATCATTCTGATATTTTGCGAAGTTGCAATTGATTAGATTCTGGGAAGTGAAAGTATACAACAAAAAGAACGGCAGTAAGAGAAAAAAATTGCACCTGGATAAAGAGCACAGGAATCTTCACATGCTTGACCAAACCTGATGTGCTTGATTTAGAATAAAATTCTTCTATTTCTTTGAAACCATAAGACACCATAGATATTGCTTTCTCAAAATCACGAACGGATTTTGCCAATAAGGCTTTCTCCACATTAAACCCTTTTGCTTTACCTTGAAACAGTCCCTGCACAATAATTAATAGCCCACTCACTACCAAAACGATTCATCAACGGACTGCATGAAATTACGTCATATTTTGCATTATGCACAAGTTATCGTCAAATTTAGCAGCTTATGCATGTTATTTCCCCTCATCTTCTGAAAGATGCTCCAATGATAACTTTGAAGGTCAAGTTTGAAGTCAATCCTCTAACCTTGTTAGCCCGTAGTATATCAACCAGCCCACCAGTGAGCTTCTCATCCAAAGCGACATGATAAGGAGAGCACCTTGTGGCCTCATCCAAGTCAAAAGGGTTATTAATACAAGTGGCAGCTGTAATTGGAGTTCTATCCCCGACTTCTCCCAGATATTTTGTCAACATGCTTGCACCATAACCCCAGCCAACAGCCATGATTGTAGTCCATGGTCTTGCCTTGGTGATGAAATGTACAACTGTGGATATATCATCGCTGTCAGCAGCTGAAAACAACCTACATGAAATAAAGCAGTTAAGAAGCTCTACTCTCAGCTTCTTCTGGCATCAAAATGCTGGAACCTGCTATATACTGTTCTCTCATTTGCCCATATCACACTCTAATTCTTCTATTTTCAACTAAAAGCTGTGATTTCGATTTTCAGCTGAACAACACAAAGCAGATTAGTCCGAGGTTCTATCACTATCACACCAAAGCAGATTCTCCATCCTGCAAGCTGTTTCATTTTGCATTTTTGCTTCAAATTCCTTAGTTGAAGACGTTGCGTACCTGGCAGTGGTGAGCGGAGAACCAGCGCAGCCTCTAGGATTCATAACAATGGGAAAGAATCCGCGGCCCAGGGATTCACAGACGAATGACCTAACGCTAGGATCCATGCTCCCGTCCGGTGTCCCCGGCACCAGCAAGAAAGTCGTATCCAGTCCACGCTCCTCCTCCAGGTCCAAATTCGACGGCCAATCGATCGACACAACGCCGCCGTCCTCCGCACTCACACAAACTCTCTGGTACTCCAGTTTATCCACCAGAGAGCCACCACTGCCAGCATCCTCCTCGCCAAAAGTCCCTTGAATTCTCCCGCTGTTCAGGCGCACAAAATGCCTGTCCTGCTCCACCAATTTCTCATTCACCCCCTCCAGCAACTCGCTCCCTTCAAACGATACGGAAGGGCACCGCAGAATAACAAACCTGTTAAACGGCGTCGGGCTGGTGAACAGAATCCACTCGCCGACTTCAGGAGACTTGTCCCTGGACTTCCGTCCAGCGAGGTAGAGCGTCAAACCGGAGGCGAGGCCGATGGCGGGAGCGAGAAGGTCGAGGGAATTCGAGGAAGGGAACTGAGTGAGGAAGCTCTGGAAGGGGTCCAGCAAGCCGGCGCAGAGCACGAGCGTTCTGGCCGCCGATTTGTGACGGCGGCGGCGGTAGAGATGGAGCTGGCGGGTTCGGGCGGGGAATTTGTGGTGGTGGAAGTGGAGGAGGTTGGCGTGAGGCGGCGGCTCGAGTTGAATGGCGGACTTCATCTGAAGCAGAGGAGAGAATCGGGGGATTTTGAACAGACTAGGATTGGCCGGAGCGAGGGAAAGGAGTATGCTACGGAGACTTGGAAAATAGGCAAAAAGTTGATAATGACGGTGACGGTTGCGGTGGAGGAAGGGGCGGAGGTGGTGGCCGCTGGTTGTGATGTGACAAAGAGCTTAGCCGCGAAGGTGGAACGGACGGTTTTGGTTGATCCGAGAATGGGTCCCAAAGATTTTGAAGTTCGATCGAGAAGGAGGGTAGCTGCCGCCATCGCCAAGAAAATTGGGGAAAAGGCTGAGCGAGCTATCGAGCATGTGGATGCTTCCAGATTTTCTTCCTCGGGAAAGAGTACGACGCATCCTTCTCATTTGACCTCACATACGAAACGGCGACACGTGGCTTTTTCTAGTTTTTCTTTCTTCCATCATCGACGTGGTTTGATTTGTGTTTTTTTACTTTTTAGCACAACAACGAAGGTCATGTTTGTGTATCTGGGCCCATATCAAGCCCATGGACATTAGATAGGTAGGACACGACCAACAAACATTTCGTGCATGTACGGATTTGTGTCTAGCTCGTCGACCCTGTACTCGTATCGTGCCTTAGATGTGTTGGATCGGGGCCGGCCCATCAGGTATATTCAAAGCACAAGCCACTCTTATGTTTTTTTTTTTTTTTTTACATAGTCAATCGTCGAACTTTCGATGAGAGAGCGTTTTTGGCCACAAAATGGGTTGCTCTATTAACTCGACGAGTAACATGGGCTAAAGAACAAAACTCAAAGGATCCGGACAAACGATGAATAATTTCCAGGATCACATCACCCGTCACATGATCAGAACCTCCCGCCAAGAGTCGTCGGAGAACTAGGTGTGAATTCTCATGCAATTTGAGCAAAAGAAAACCATGTGTGAGGCACCAATCCAAGGCAACCCTGCGCGCCAATAATTCTACCAAAAAGAATCATGGATGCCTGCATGAAATTTACCCATTACGAACAGAATTACACATAAAGGATCACACCCAAAAAAGACACCGTTACTCAAGGCTATTGATTCAATAGCCTCGCCGTCAGGTGGAAAGCCTCCCTTTTGGTTGGAAAGATGTTGTCCAATAGTCTACAACCACTCTGAAGCCCCTGCAAAAAGTTAGTCGGAAACCACGAAAGTATTGCATCGATGGAGGCAAAGCCCCCTTCCTCCAATGTTTAATTTTAAACACAAGTCATATCGAGGAGTCACATAAAGTCTCGTGAATATAGGGAGATACAAAATTAGGGTGAGTTTTTTTTTAGGGGTAACCTGCATATGTATATTAATTAAGAACCAGCGGTTACATCATCAGTCTTAGCTAGTTAACTAGGAAAATTGGTGGTCTATCGACCCACATCTCTCTACTACCCCAACGGGTCTCACTATGTGCCATAATATGTGCTATGTTATTCGTCGAGCGTCTCACATGGATAATCCAGTTTGTATTCGACCTCGTCGCCTCTTGCAGTCGATGATTATTCAGCTTCAATCGAATTTTCATAAGTGTAAACAAGTTTTCTCTACTGTCTATCACACCAGAAACTCTTAAAAGTGTGTTTTATGAAGTTGGGATTTAAATGTCTTCTTTCTTCTCCAATCATCTTTATGTTCCTGTAAGATTTAAAAATGACGGTCAAGAGCATCTAAGACTATAAGTGTTAGATGATTTTAACATTTTGGCTTCCAGAAAATGGTTTTTGCTCCAATAAGACCATCTTCAACCCAAACTCAAAAATACCAAAAAGTGGATGAAGTGTGCTCAAACTCAAGTCCAAAAAACTCAAAAATGCAAAAAACTGACAATGTTTGGGCCAAATTTGGCCCCCCAATCTGCCGGAAAAGTGGAAAACCCATATGCCTCCACCATCTACCGAAGATGACGCGGCGGTCGGTGGTGGGGTGGGGCGGGGGAGTATGCCACGCGCAAGTTAGAGACAACGGCCACCACGCCTGTAGGGAACTCTCCCCCCCTCCCTTTGTGAAACTTTCACTTTAAAGCAACGTTGTATACTTAAAAAATTACAGTGGCTGCCCCAATTACTATCCAACGGATCTTTCAAGCTTCAATTAATTTCCAACAACTCCTTCAGGCCAAACAACTAGTTTTTTCAATTTTATCTTCACCACATTTCTTCACTTATTCTTCATCACTTTCATATTTTTATTGCCTTCTCATCTCGTACAGACCATCTTCTTCCCACTAAAAACATTCTCTCTTCCCAAACTCTTCATCATGTCTCAATCCAATCGTCCTCTAAATTGGATTGAGCTTGAAGATGGAGTTCTATGCAAGACACGGATTGAAATTTCCGAGGATGGTTTGGTAGTTCATTATCAATCTATGACTGAATTCTGGAGGCGATCTGGAGTCAAATTTGCTTCAAATGGACGTAGGATTGCACGTACTAATGGGGACTTGATTTCTCTATGGGAGATCATTCTCCATCAATGTGGGCACGTGAAATGTGAAATCAAGAAGGGCAAGCGCAACACCAATGAGAGGCGAGAACTTAAGTAATGAGATTAGTCTCCATCTTATGTTTATTACCATGCATTTATTTCTTAATTATTTATTTAGTTTACTTGTTGAAATAATTGGATGAATTTGTGTAGTTTGAACGAAAATAAATTTTGTAGCGGACACCAGAAATATTTCAAGTTGAAGCATTGTTGGGATATAGTCCAACACTCCCCAAATTTTATGCAACAATTTATTGTCCCCGTATCACCAATCATACCAATGGATGGATCTTCATCAGTAGTACCATCTGGCATCTGGCGAAAGTAATATCCCTGACATTCAACCAAGCGGGACTCCATTGTGATCAACCATCCTGAAGGTCGAGATAAGCAAAAGAAGAAGAAAAAAGAAACTACATATTCTTCCACAGAAAGTTGGAACAAGAGTATGGCCAATATAGTGGAGAATTCAAACACGCACACAAGGTTAGCAATCGCTAGCCAGGTACGTGAAGTTGAGAGGGAAGAAAGAGCTAAAGCAAGAGAATCAAGGGAGAAGAACAAACATGATTATGAAGATAATGAATATGGACATCTCTTAACATGGTCCTCGAACTAAGGCTTAAGTAGTATTGAGTGTATTGTTTTAAGTAGTTTGATTCATGGTTCATGTATGTTTTAATTCTATTGTAATTCCAACTTCTATCTTCACTAAAACGTAGGGAATACAAAATTTAAACTGGGGAATACTTCAAGAAAACAAAGAAAATACAGAAATAAAACATAGGGAATCCATCACATTTCTACTCTCCTCTTTGTTTGTCCATAAATGCTCGATCAAATCATCTCTCAATGCTTGATGTGCAGGACAATCACAAATCCTATTGTGTCTTGCCATGTAATCCATGACAGTGAAAATGTTGTGGTCGGGTGGATATCATGTGACATTTGCATTACTATCATATTCAATGTTCTCCATTACACCATCCACATACTCATATCATTGATCTTCCGCAATCATATTATGCAGAATAATACAAGTTAACATAATCTCACAAAGTGTTTGAACGTTCCATAAATGACTTGACCCTCTCACAATATCCTATCTTTGTTGTAGCTAGTATGCCAAAAGGCCCTTTCAAAATCCTTGCGGTAAGCCTCTTAGTACTTTGCAAACAACTTCTTCTTCTGGTTTCTTGGATTACTAATAGTCTTCACAAATGTAGCCATCTCCGGGTATATTCCATCAACAAAGTAATAACGTTGATTGTACATCTTGTCATTTACCTCATAACTCACCTAGGGACCATTCCTCGTACTACTTGATTGAATAGTAGGGATACTCCAAGAGTATTGATGTCATTGTTCAATCTAGGTGTTCTGAAGAAGGCATGTCAAATCCAAGTGGCGTACGATGCTAAAGCTTTGAGTACAATGGTTGGTTTCTTCTTGTGCCCAGTGTGGCCTGCCCGTCTAGTCAGACAGTTCTTCCACTCCCGATGCATGCACCCAATAGATCCAATCATCCAATCATGTCGGGAAAGCCATGTTGTGCAGCATGATGAAGGAGGCGGCAAGTATTTTCAACTGTTGATGCATGCAAGTACCGAACACCATTAATGTTGGTGATATCCGAGTAGAAATTCCTCAGTATTTCATGACCGTGCTCTCATCCATTCAACATTACTCATCCAAACAGTATGGTGAGCATCCATATATGCAAGCATGCGGAAAGCACTAGTAAGCTTTTGGTGCGAGGAGAGTGAGTCGCGACCTAAAGCATCTTTCTTTTGCTGAAAGTAGGCATCATACTGAACAACATCATTCATGACTCGGTTGAATAAGGTAGGGGCATCTTATACCACCTTCTGAAAGCCCTAGCGTCGTAGGTTGGATTTGAGATGAAATAATCTTACATCAAGTACTTGTTACTTTGGTCTATGTTACGTCTCACTGATTTTGGAAATGATGAACTGTCGCGAGATGAAGTTGCTTGATGCTGATGAAAATGGTTTGTGTACATCATGAACATCTCCATACGTTCACGCTCAAGTTGACACTCATACTCTCAATGATTATCATCGATTTCTCTTTGCCTCTCATCAGCTTCTCTACCAGGAGAATCCATGAAACAGAAAGAGTTGTTTTGGCTAGAGAAACGAAATAAAGAAGGTTGAATGGTTTTATCGAAGAATGAAGGTTGGATGGTGGGTGAATATAACGACCAATGATGAGGGTTGATTTATAGAAACCCGAAAGGATTTCTTCTGCAATAATGTGTTCAAAGTTGGATGAATAGTTGATGGCACAATTCATTCTTATCAAAGTGGAATGAACGTTGATGAAACAACTCATTATGATAAAAGTGAGATGAATAGTTGATGAAACAATCCTGCAAAACTCGACTCAAGTTGCTTTTTAGACCACAACTATATTAGTTATTTAAAACTTCTTATCTTATTGTAAATAGTCCAATTGGTAGAAAAGTATTTCAAGTTAGCATGATAACT